TGACGGAAGAGCCACAGTGGTCGGGCTCAAGATTGATTTGACCAAACCACCACAGATTGGGTGGCTGCCAATTTCGAGACACTGGGTCTTATCCTTGATAATCCCCTTGTCCTTTGCAGCTCGGATGCAACCTAGGAAATTTACCGGCTCACGGCAGTGACGTCTTAAATACTTTGCGTTGACGATTCCTTTCTCGTTGACCACGGTGCCCAGCAGCGGAGCAATGAGCGGTATCTTTGGAGCATTGTAGGTAACTCCAGCGGCGGCAGCTTCGAAGTCACCCAGAGCAGGTTCCACCTGCGTGGAGTGAAATGCGAAAGGCACTGCTAGTTTGGTACATTTCATGCCTTTGGAGGACAGATGTTCCTTGAGCTTGTCAATGTTGGATGATTCTCCACTGATCACTGTTGCCTTTGGTCCATTGATGCAGGCGATCTCAAGTGTCTTACCGTCCACGACTCCCTCCAGTTCCTGGACTGAGGCAGCAACAGACAGCATGGCGTGCGTGTTCATCGTACAATGTTGCTCGAGGCATTTCGCCCTTGTGCCCGCTAGGAAAATAGCATCGTTGATTGACAAAATACCAGATGCTTGCAAGGCTGCATATTCTCCGAGGCTGTGGCCAACGACTGCGGCTGCTTCGATACCCCAGGATTGCCATAATCGAACAAGCGCCATTTGAACACAGACCGCTCCAGTCTGTACCACCACCGGGCTAAGCTTCTCGATTTCAGTGCTCCCATCGACCAGGGGTAAGATGGCAGGCAGTCCTTGGTTTCGAGCTAGAAGATCGAAGCGTTGAAGATCGGTTTGGAATTGGTTGTTGGTTTCGTAGAGCTCTTTGCCCATAGCAGTGTAGTGTGAGCCTTGCCCAGTGAAGGCAAACACCATCTGGACACCGGAAGGAACAGGGGTTGGCTCAGACTCCAAGGATTTTCGAAGTCCTGACAGAATTCCAGTCAGATCGGAGCCAGCAACACTTGTTCTGTAGGAGTAGTGGACTCTTCTGGCTGTCGTGGTGTAGGACAAACATGGGAGATCTACAGTTTCGTCGGATATATACTCGATCAGGTTTCTTGTGTTGTCCACTAAAGCTTTCTTGGTCTTTCCAGTAACCGCAACGACGGCAGTGGAGCGAGGATCTTCGCCATCCAAAGTAGGTAGAGCTCCGTCCTCCATGAGAAGCGAGGTGTTCCCTCCTGCGGCACTGAAGTTGTTCAAGAACATCCTCCGTTTGCCACCTTGCGGTCGCTTCCAGGGTGTCTCACGACCGAGAGAAATGTGTACATTGCGAGCCCCAAGATCGGGAAAGTTATGATTGATACTGCCCTTGATACCGCAATGGGGTGGGATGAGACCATGCTCAAGCATGAGGAGGATTTTGACGAGGGCAGTGATACCCGAAGCAGCCTACCCATAAAATCAGCATCATTTCCATCGGAAAGAGTATTCTAGAATACCTCTCCATGTCCAACATTCGCTTTCACACTGCCTAGATAGAGTGGGCGGTCTGGAGGACGCTGTCGATCCGCTGGGGCGAATGAATTTAGGACCGACTCCATTTCGATGGCGTCACCTGCTTGAGTCCCGGTACCGTGCATTTCGACATAGGAAATATCATGAGGATCAAGGTTAGACTCCGTGAGAACCTTCTTGAAGAGATACTCCTGAGCTCCCGCATGAGGGTGGGTGATGGAGACTGCATTAGCAGAGTGGTTGGTACCTGTACCAAGGATGACTGCAAGAATTGGATCATTGTCCGCTTCAGCATCTTCCAAACGTTTCAGGATGACCGTGCCGGCCCCGTCTCCACGACAATAGCCGTCCGCTGCATCATCGAATGTTTTGCAGTTGCCCGTTTTGGACAAGAACTGGCCACGGGACAGACCGGAGAAGATATCTGGGTTAGTTAACACATTCAGACCACCGGCAAGGGCGGTATCGCAGTCTCCAAGCCATAGGGAGTTGCAAGCAATATTGATTGCAGCAAGACTAGAAGAGCATGCTGTATCGACGCTGAAGCTGGGCCCCGAAAAGCCAAAATGATAGTTGATTCTTCCGGGTGCAAAAGCTCTCACACCTCCTGTATGGGGTTAGAACGGGCAAATACCGAAACAAAGAGAGAACAGAACCAACCAGGAATAAAATATGTTTGGATGTTTTGTCCATCTTGAATCTCTCGCCAGTCATCAGAAGTCTGGCCAAAAAATGTCCCAACCCTGTCAACCCTCGTTGAAGGGGTTCTATTAGGAACAAAGCCGGACATTTCGAGCGCCTCGTAAGCGGTCAGTAGAGCCAATCGGTGCATGGGATCTGTCTGAGCTGCTTCTTTAGGACTCATGTTGAAGAAGCGGGCGTCAAACAAGCCAGGGTGCTCGATGAAGCAACCATATGGTGTGTGGGTTGTGTTTTTGCGCTTGCCACTTGGATCGTAGTGTGCTTGGGCATCAAATCGGTCGGGCGGCACTTCACGGTGAACGTCAAGACCTTTCTTCAAGAGGTCCCAGAATAAGCTCGGGCTCATGGCATCGGGGAATCTGCCGGACATTCCAACAATGGCAATCTTGGATTTGCCTAGACCTCCAATTGGCCTGGGTTCCGTGGTTTTGTCGGCGGCTTCCGTCTTGCGGGTATCAACCACGATTTTGAATGAAGCCTTATGGTTCAGGGCATTGACCAGGCTGGCGGAGGCATTCTTCGCGCCTACTGGTACGACGCGGCATTGCTCTGGTTCCGCCGAGGAGACGCTGGCTACACAATTGGTACACAGCCTGTCCCAATGCAGAGGTTTCAGAAGGATGTCTTCTAGGACATCTTCGATAAGCTGGCGGAAATTGGACGCCTCGTAGGCATACTCTTTGCCATTGTTGATGATGGGAATTCGCACGTTCCACTCACTGGCACTCGCATCATCGATCGAAGCAGCCAAAGAGGTCACCGTCTCGTGACCGTAGAAATGAGGCGCATGATAGGGCCCAAAAATGGGCAGCCGAATGGGTCGACAAGATTTGAAGATGCGAGCTTCAATCAGTCTCTCCAAGTCTCCTGGAGGAGCGCTGATGGTGACCGAGTTGGTGCTGGTAGCAGACACATAAGGTCGGCTGGTTGGCGGGATGTTCTGCAGCAGGAGTCTTTGTTCAGGAAACGAGTCACAACACGAAGGGGCGGCATTGCATTGGCTTACCGTTTTCTTGTAATAGTCGTCAAGGGCTAAATAAGCTGATTCTTTTCCTACCCCAGGGAAGATGGCTGCCCAACTGCTTGGCAGCGACGTCTGATCAATCTCATCACACGCCTGGGTCACCTGGGATCCCACACGGAATGCAAGCTTGAGAGCCTCGAGGCCGACAGAGACAAGCTCGCTATAGGTATGGGCGCAACTGACGGCGGCAGCAGAGAGCAGCCCGGTACAGGAGGCCACAAGTCTGGTATCTTCGGGCTTGGGATAGATTTCTGATCCATCGCCGTAGTATCTGAGGGAGAGATTAGTGGAGATTCCATTGAGAGAAGTGTGGCTGATGTGGAGGAAGATGAAACAACATGATTCTTGCTTGAGGCGCAGCCCGAACTGCGCTTCAACCCGAGTCAGGCTTGGCATGTCACGTGCCTCCTGAGGAGCGAAAATCACAACACGACAACTTCCAACCTTTCAAGCAATTGGATGTCATGTACATACCTCAACACAGTACCAATCTGATGGATGCACACCAAGGCACTTTCGATCGCTGGATGTCGAACGCCGGCCTCCTTATACCGCCACAGCAACGTCTCGATGCTCGTGAAGCCAGGCAGGCCCCGCGTCACCGAAGGGAGATGGGTAACCTCGTCTCGTAAAACCAAATATGCCTTTTCGATGAAAGCGCTCAGAAGAGGATTGTCGGTAACTGTGACTATTTCGCGCAGCTCGTCGAATCTTTCTTCCGACTGGTCTCCGAACAGGAGGACCTTGATGTCCTGTCCCATCGTGGTCGGAAGGTCTGCACGCGAGAATGGCAGACACATTTGTGGGGGACAGTGAATCCAGATGATCTGAAGGCTGAATACAATTAGGGATGGGAGTAGAGAGCGTCTTCAGCCTGTTTTTCTACTGACGGAGCCTCACACAACAGCCCTCGAAACCTACTGAGTCTACGATTTATCGGCCACCGATAACACTGGAGACAAAAGACAGCAAGGGGAGCAGGGAAATGTAAGAGCGGGCATTCTACGATGACGTCTCATGCCGTTGGTCTTTTCGCAGACACTTACCCTATCGATGAACTTCGTGAGGTCTTCAAGCAATGCTCAGGTGCATACCTTCTCCACAATCTCTCGCGTATGGCACATGCAGCACGTCAGGCGAACCATCCAAAGAGGACCGAAGCAGAGGTGAAAAGCGTCCGGTGTGTTTACTGTCCGGCGAATCTAGAATATGACGACACCGAATGCCGCCACCAGGATCGCAGATACTGTGGTTCATGGGCTCTCGTCCCCCTGTGGATCGTTGTCATTTCGAGCAACTCCCAATATCCACCGAACTTCGCTCGCCGGTCAATTCTCAGCATTGTGACTGCTCACACATGGGCTTTTTGATTCGTGTGGGCGAACAAATCCATCCCAAATGCTTGGAAATGCACATCTGCGATCTCTTTTGCCATTCTAGATGGCTCTCTGGGGATCGAGATTTGATGGCATATCTTCGCATGTAAGGGTTGAGCTCAAGACTAGAGCAAAATGACGGATCCTACGGTCCAGGCCCTCCATGTTTCTTGAGCGGGTGGTTTCGGCCATTCTGGACTTTGCTCGGCTTCGCTCCTATATCGAGATTCGACGCCTGGCTTTCGGCAAGAGAGATGAGACCATTGTCAGGGAAAGGGAAGATCTGTTACCAGTCCGACATCTCGAATTGTCTATCTAGGGCTTTTGGAGGTGGCTATGGCATGGCTAATGGTTTCCCAAACGACCTCAACCCCTCAAGGCTGATCGAGAACAAATCCTCGGCTTCATGGAATCTTTCCAAATCACACCTTGACCGCTGTTGCTGCCGGAAACCCAAGCAGCGAAAGGCTCTCATTTCTGAGAATCGCAGGACGGTAGGAGGCTTCCAGAGACGACTCGTCAAGAGCCTCGCGCTGGGAGGGAGATCTTTTGTCTACCTCGAATTCCGCACCTTTCAGTTCCTTCACTTTTTCTTTGGCTTCGTCGACCTGCCTTTCGAGGTCGTCGTACCAGATCCAATCAAATCTGTGGTCTAAATTCTTCTTGATCTTCTCGAGGTCGGTGCCGGTTTTCTCACCCTTCTTCATGCAGATCATGCCGTTTTCCCTGCTGGTATCGACGATCTTTAAAGTCCGTGGGCGGCGGATGGCGTCGAATGCGGCAAATGCGGTCTCAATGTCATCAGCTGTTTTGATGTTGTCATCCGCCAACAGCCGAGCGAGAACTAAAGCATCTTCGAATGCTTGCCCGGCACCTGCGCCTTGGTGAGGAGTGGCCGCGTGTGCAGCATCGCCAATAATACAAAATCGACCACGATAGAAGGTCGCGGCCTCTGGGTGGTGCCAAAGGGACCATTTCTGCGGATTCTCCAATAGCGACACCACTTTCTGCATCTGTGGTCCCGTTCCCTTGAATTCTTCCTCGACCGTCTCCTTGTTTGCTGGAATGACCCAGTTGGGATCGTCCCAGGTCGGCTGGTTCCGTGCTGCTACAACATTGAGCATCGTCCCCTTTTCGACGGGGTATGTAGTTGTGAGGGCACCATCGGAGATATTAACATTGCCGTTCTTTGCAAAGTCCTCCCCAAGAACTTCTACAGCCTTTTCCATGGGCACGAGGCTGCGGTAACCGAACTCTCCCGAATACTTCGGCTTAGCGTCGGGATTGTCTGGCCCCAAGAGGATTTGGCGAGTCTTGGATTTGATTCCGTCCGCACCGACCACAGCATCGGCGTCAAACATTGTGCCGTCCTCGAAGCTCAAGGTAACACCGCCGGAAAGATTCTCCTCGATGGTGGTCAGCCTTTTGTCCATGTGCCACGTACCATCGGGCATTAGGGACACCATGTCCTAAAATTTTATCAGAATATTTGTCAGTCTTGTTTGTGTGAAGTTGGTCCAGACCTTGACCAGCAGGGTACGGTGCACGGCCTGCTGCCCAGAACCTTTGCAGTACAGTGTCGTGAGCGCGTGGTTGTCTTCTGCGTTCCCATCTCGGTACGTCATGTACACGTCCTTCTTCTCTGACATTTCGCTGCACCGCTTGAGAAAACATTCGTAAGAGTCAGGATCGACGGCCTTTAGTGCCTCCAGGGAATTGAGAGCAAAGCTGAGACCCGCTCCGATATCAGCGAAGGCGGGTGCAGCCTCAAAGACTTGACAGCTGATGCCACGGCGGAGGAGGCCCCGAGCCAGGCTGAGGCCGGCAAGACCTCCGCCAACAATGGCGATGGAGAAGGGTTTCTTGGGCCAGAAGTCGGTCATGGTGAAGATCAACAAATCAAGACAATGGTCTCGTGCCTGTCTCGAAAAAGACTTGCTGAAAGATAACTTCAAGTTGAGATTTTGACGGTGATATATCCCAAAGTTTCATGTCCGAATGGAGCTGATGTCATTGGCATATTTATGATATCTTCAATCTGTAAGAATGGACGGCCTCTTGGCTTCAGTGTCTCATGGGCAGCTTCTGACCGAAACACTACACGGTGACCGAAGCCTTGTGGCACATTTGGTATTGCCATTGGTTCGATCCGCCACTGGTCCGCTGTTGAGATTGACGTTTTGCCGACATCAGAGAGCCTCGCCGTGAGGAGTTGTCCTGCTACATGGAACTGCTTCACCTCGATCTGACGGCTTTTTTTTTCGCGCATACCGCACGGTGATTGCCCGATGCCTTCTTTCGACCGTGCTACCCAGCCGGTGATACCGTTTTACGAATGACCTGCACAGTAGACGAACAGCAGCTCCCTTGGTCTAAAAATCAGGAGTCTACTCGCTTCTGCTTTGTGTTCGGGGCAGAAGTCTCACAAGTCAAGGCGATTCATGAAGGCCATTCTGAGTGCGCATTTCTGTCATCTCACCAGAGTTTGCATTCTGACTTGTCTACCCTCGACCGTTTTCGCCTGTTCCTCATGATTTCAAATTGGCTATCTTACAGGGCCAAATCACTGTCACATCCAGCATACCTTGACCGTGGCGGCTTCCAAGCTCAGCACGATATGCCCTTGGGTACCTTTGTTGGGATCGAGAACGGGTTTCGGAAGAAGTTGCTGGGATCATATTTCTTCTTGATGCTGATCAACCGACAGGTGTTGTTGCCGTAGAATGCCGTCAGCGGATTGATGCTGATGTCGACGTCGACATATCCAGAATAGCTCGCGTTTCTGCACGAGAATCAAGAAAGTCAGTTGAGTCCCTTTTGAAACGATACACCGCGAGTTTGTCGACTGGAAAACAGATACGTACCCTACTTTGGGGCGCAGGAACTTTTCAAAGTCCAGCAGCCAGGCCCGGTTCTGGTTGTACGCGGAGACGTTCTTTGGCGAGTTCATCTCGATCCGCAGCAGAGCCTGTGCCTCTTTCAACCAGGGAAACGAGGAAGATGTGGTCGGGTCCGCGACGCCGAAGCTGGTCCATTCGCCCCAGAAACCAGCGTCGTCACTCAGCGCCGCGGATCTGTTGATGAGCTCCTTCAAAGTGTCGTTTGTGATGGGCCTGCTCTTCTGGGTGAAATATGTCTTGCTGATGACACCAAAGCGGGGCCACGGCACCGCCACAGGCTCCGACGGTATGGCTGGCGTATTGTCCAGGCGAAAAGCCGGCTGGATCGGTGCGAGGTTGATCGACTCGGTATTGTAGACCTTGAGGAATGCTTGGTATGCTGATGCATCGTCGGTGCACCTGGTCGAAGAGTCCTGCCAGTACATTCGCGAGTTTGCCGTGCTGCAATTCCCGTCGATGGACACGACACCGTCGGCGACATCCAAAAGACCCGACGTGTTCAGAGCCGTTCGGAGTTGTTGGGTAGAACCGCCCAGGTACCAGCCGATCAGGTGGGTGCGGTTGTTATAGACGTTCAACTGGGTGGTGAGTTCCTTTGGCGCAGTCGGAGCCCAGTCCAGCCATTTCCTAGCCACCTCATAACGGGTATCGGAGTTGTTATAAAACCCCACGACCATGGCAGATCGTGGCAGGGTGAGAATCTTGACGGTGGCCTCGACGATGAAGGCATACTGGCCACCACCGCGGGCAGCGAACCACAGATCTGGATGGGAGGTGGGGGAGACGGTGACAAGCTCGCCGCTGGCCAAGATGGCCTTAAATGAGAGCACCTGATCGACCGCAATCCCCAGGGCTCGATGCTGAAGGCTGTATCCTCCCACACCGAGATATCCTCCGAGAGCCACAGTGGGACAGATGCCCCCGAGAAACGTCTTGTTCACCACGCTCAACTCGGTGTATATTTGGCCAAGGTTTGTGCCGGCCCCGATTGTCGCGTTACTGAGGTCACTGGAGACATTGACATAGCTGAGAGACGAGACATCGATGACCAGAGAGCCATTGAGTGCCGACCAGCCTTCGAAACTGCATCGACCAATCAGAAAGAGTGGGCAGTAAGAGTTTGACGGTGCTTACTGGTGTCGTCCTGATCGAGGAACGGCCTGGTACCCAGTGCTGTTGGCGCAGCCCATCAAGGCGCCCACCTCTGTGAAACTCTGGGCGAAGGCAATCATGGCGGGAGTTTCTGGCTTGCTTTAGAAGACGGTAAGTCAGCAGTTTCCTGCACGAAGAACCTTTTGAGATACGCACATGATGCCACCGACATAGGCATCGTCCCAGGTCGCGTTTGCGGGCGATTGTACACGCTGCGCGACATTTCCCCCTGCGGCCAGAGCACCGCTGACACACTGCTGCAGTGCCTTGAAATTATAGCCTGGAGCTGCGAGGGCGGTGCTTGCGAGCAGCACGCATGTGAAGAAGGGTTTCCAGGACATTTCTGCGCGAGTGACAAACTCACTTCTTCTCGACACCACGAGAGGATCGAAAGAGCACAAACGTTGACGAAAATATCTAGGTAGTCTCGACAAACCCCGAGAAACACGGCCGAAAGAACAAGAATGAAAAGGTCGCGCCAGATGGCAGTCTGTGTTTACGCGTCTCCTCTCACCTTTTAAAGAAGGTTGGAAAGTCGGAGCTGGACCAGTTCATCCAAATCGTCCAGCTCAGTAACGGAACAGTCCATCGTCATTCGTAGGACAGGGATAGGCATTCGAGCTAGGTTGCCTTTCCCTGTGTGGTGTTGGGTGGTGGTGTGGAGACGTCGGTCACCGAGGGTGTACAAGGCACTCGGTGTGGATGTCCAGCTGGGTCGTTCGTCCCACGTTGCTCGCCAACGTCATTTGCCCGTGCCTCGTGACTTTTGGAAGAATTTCCCATGTTGGAGATCGACAAGATCGAGATTCCCCCTTGTGGGAGATGGAACGCCTGCATGCCCATCGGTCATGGTGACACGCAGCTTGGCGCCTGAGAGGGGAGAGGGAGTGACAGATATCTGGCGACCGGTGAACATGTGCGGCAGTCTGCATACGGACCGGTAAGCCCTGCGTGCCTGGGTACCTTGTGTCACCGTCATCAATCAAGACGCCCTTCGATGTGGATGTTCCCCCATGTCAAGAATCGTTGGGTCTAACTTGTATCGAGACACGCGGGGTCTAACCGATGGCTTTGGCTGAGAATCGACACATGGGACAAGAGCGATGTGTGTGGAATAGAGATACCTACTATCTACTCTAGACATGTCCACGGTCGAGAGGAGAGCAAACAAGTATGGAAGAGAAGTCTTGGGATTGAGCCTGACAACAGTATGTAGGGATGGTGGGCTGGACAAGGCTGGACTCAACCAGGGGGTGGATGGGAGGGTGGGGCGCCAAGCAGTTCAGTTCCCCTTTTTTTTCCGCCACACACCCAACTCCCACTTTGTCTAGCAATGTCATCGTCGTCTCATCATCATATCACCACCACCACCACCACCACCACCATCATCAGCATCCTTTTGAACTTATACGAGGTGAACACGACACACGTCACAATATGTCACGTATGCGAACCACTTGCATCCCGCATTTTCCCATTTTTCCTGGTATGGTATGATATGGTATGAGGAGACTACTCCTTGCCCGCCGCGCCGCGAAAGACGTGTTCGAAATCAAACTCGTTCCAAATGACCTTTGTCTTGATTCCCGCCCACTTCCACCGCCCGTCGATCTTTCTGTAGAAGGTGGTGACGGTGCCGTGGCCGTGGCCCTTGACGGCGACGTCCCTGCGCCGCACGTCCTCGAACCGCTGGTGCGCCGCGCGCGACTGGTGGTGCGACACGATCTCCGCGTCCGACACCTTTTCCCACTTGGTCGCGCCGATCAGGTGCTGCGACGCGACGAGCTCGTCGCCCAGGAACAGCGGGTCGCTCATCATGGCGATGTACTTTTCCGCGGGGAGGTCGGTGAATTTCGCGTTGTTGACTTTGTCGTAGTCGATCTGACACCGAACAATCCCCCCCGGTTTTAGTGTGTGTGTGTGTGGTTTTTGTATGCCTTTTTCCCAAGAGTGGACGAAGAGAGAGGGAGGGGAGAGTGACTAGAGGTGATGGGTCATACCGTGAGTGTCGGGGCGATAATGTCCATCAACCCGTACCAGTTCTACTTGCTCGTTAGTCTCGACTCCCTGAAACCCAGCACAGGAAATTCCAGGAACCGGGATGAGGGAGTACTTCAGTACCTTATTATCATAGCAGTCCGCCCACTCGTACAGCACGCCACTGCAATCCAGCCACTCTGTCTCGCCCCAATCAGCCATCTGCAGCCACAACAAGACCCCAGTCATGGCCAGAACCGCGTCAAGAAAGGTCCAAAACTAACTCACCATCAAAAGTGATTCTCTCTTTGCCTATCGGGCTCATGGATCCGATCGAGCCCATTGTCGCAGATAGCTGTCGATATTTCAAAGGTTCGAATCAGAATCAGAAGCACAAGAGTCTGTAGAAGGGATTATGTCAACCATGTGAAATGCGGCACTGTTGAGTCCCAAGGAGAGGCGAAACCCGTGTATTTATCAAGTCGGCAAGTGTAATACTCCGTGTCATGGCGATCGACGTTGGCGCGGGTCGGGTGGTTCTCCACTGCTCACGGCCAGACCTCGCTTCGGTCACCGTTTGTCGTTGTACGTATGTAGGTAGGTACAAGTGTGTAACAAGCATTTAGGTCGTCGGCAGGCGATCGGTGGTCTTCCCCCCTGCAGGAAAGTCGTCACAAAAAGTGGATCAGGGCCTTCACGGCGATGCATGTCGATACTTCGAGATCTCGATGATCCGAGTCGCTCACTAAGCCGTGTCCTGCAACGTCCGCTGGGCAGCGACTTAGTGGGGATATGCTATGTACAAGTCCGCATCACCAAGAGGACATAGATCACCCGGATAAACTGTCCGAAATGAGAGTCTAGAGAAGGAACGGGAATTGGTCAAGTGTATGATTGTAAACTATTTGTTCAACGCCTGCGATTCATGGTCACGAGAAGATCTATTCTGTAATGTAGATGTGATGTATATGTTGTGCCCTTTCATACGAGGTACATACTTGGCCAGACTGCGAGCATCCGATGATCGCTCTTCCATACCCTAAGCTAATGCCCCCCCTGATATGGTGATGGTTTGTCCTGGATAGAGATGTGAGCTTCTCTCCTCGGTAGACAGTCTTGTCAAGGGTCAGACACTCACCATTGATCCAGCCTCCATCCTCGCTGGCCAGAAAGGCAACCACTCGCGCGATATCCTGCGGCTTGCCCGTCCTCTCCAGCGGGTTCCGCGCCGCCACCCACTTTGAAATGTCCTCGGGCGTCCACGACGGATTCGCCCCGGGGATGTACTTCCAGCCCGCTTCGGCGGCCATGTCGGTGTCGACGCCCCCGGGCGCGATGACGTTGACCGTGACCTTCTTGTGTCCAAACTCCTTGGTCAGGCAGCGGCCGAAGGCCTCGACGGCCACCTTGCTGCCGGAGTAGAGGGCGTGCTCCTTCATGCCGACGTGGGCCGAGATGGACGACATCATCATCAGCCGGCCACCTTCGCGCAGGAACTTGTACGCGTTCTGCGCGACGAAGAACTGCCCGCGCGTGTTGAGGGCGAAGACCTGGTCAAAGGCCTCGGGCGTGATTTGGTCGATGCTGCCAAAGTGCTCGCGTCCGGAGTTGGACACGACAATGTCGATGTGCCCAAAGTGCGCCTGGGCCTTTTCAAACAGCTGCGCGATCTCTTCTGGTCTCGAGATGTCGGCTTGGACGGCGATTGCCTGCGAGCCGTTGGTCGCGATCTCGCCCACCACGTCGTTGGCGTGCTTGGAGCTTCGGGAGTAGTTGACGACGACATTGGCGCCTCGTTTCCCCAGCTCGATGGCGATGCCGCGACCGATGCCTCGTCCAGAGCCCGTCACGATGGCCACCTTGCCGTCCAGACGGGACGTGGGAACTGGTTCTCGAACCGTAAAAGTCATGGTGGCTGAATGAGGTAGACGCCTCTACTCCAAGATTGTATGTAACCGTAAGAGCAATTGAAGGGCAAAAAACTTTTGTCGTAGCATAACATCATGTCGACCGCTTTGGCTACTCTTTGTTTTATTCTTGACGGGATGTCGCAACACACTTTTCTTCTGGTCATCCGAGATCGAACAGCCAGGATCATGTGTGGGACTTCATGGTCGTTGACCGAAGAGACACTCGGATTGGTCCATTCCTGACTTCTCAGGGACTCATAACAGGGGGTTGATCCTCTTTGCCGAACGCCGAAGAAAGCCGCTCAATACATCATCAAGCATCCGTCAATGCGCCTCTTCGACGCAAGGGATCGCACCAGACCCGATACCAGCTTGACAGAAGATGGGCACAAGCCATGGCAAAGAGATCTACTTGTGGACCACATTCCAACCACCACCATGGCGATATTTAAAAGCCCCAAGGCACGTCGACCGCAAGAGGAGGAATTATCTCATCCGTCAATCGTCTCTGTCTGTCCCTCTTCGAATACCAAGCGATATTTCTAGAGTTTTTTCACCTTTTGTTCTATTATATCCATGGGCATTATCGACAGCATCCGCTCCAAGATGTCCGGCACCCACACCAACGGCCATACCAAAAAGGTGCTGGTGGTCTTTGGCGCCACGGGCAAGCAAGGCGGCTCCGTCATCAAGTCGGTGCTGGGCGATCCCAAGACGGCCTCGATGTTTTCGATCCGCGCCATCACCAGAGACCCGTCCAAGCCGGCCGCGCAGGAATTGACCCGGTTGGGGTGCGAGTGTGTTTCGGTAAGAGGACTCCATCAGGGAGGGAATGAGCGGGTTAAGGAAGGATACTGAGATGAGTCTACTCGCAGGCCGACCTTGACGACAGGGAGACTCTCGTCCGGGCTCTCCAGGGCGCATATGCCGTGTACGCCGTGACCAACTTCTGGGAGAAGAAGACGGCGGCGGCCGAGATCCAGCAGGGCAAGAACATTGCCGACGCGGCCAAGGAGTGTGGTGTGCAGCATTTGATCTGGAGCAGTCTGATGAATGTCACCCAGCGTGAGTCACTCCTCCATATTTCATGAGGCATGGGTATATTCCGAACTACAGACAGGGTAACTAATGATGACAGTCTCGGGCGGCAAACTCTCCAAAGTCGCCCACTTCGACTCCAAGGCCCAAGTGGAAGAATACATCCGCCAGCTCGACATCCCCGCCACCTTCTTCATGCCGGGCTTCTACATGTCCAACATCCCCGGCCAGAGCCTGAACAACATGCAAGGACCGTACAACTTTGCGCTCCCGATCCCCACGGACTCGCCCATCCCGCTGTTCGACGCCGAGCACGACACGGGCAAATTCGTCAAGGCCATCCTCGTCCACCGCGACGACGGCGTGCTGGGCCGCCGCATCTACGGCGCCACGGCGTACTACACGCCGGAGCAGATCCTGGCCGAGTTCCAGGCCGTCAAGCCGCGCGACGGCCAGGGCGGCGCGGCGCGCCACGTGCCCGAGGAGGCGTTCAAGAAGGTCCTCGCCGCAAAGGGCATGCCCGAGCCCATCCAGGACGAGATGCTCCAGAATATGCTGCTGATGCCGCAGTTTGGGTACTACGGCGGTGCCGACCTCGCCGAGAGCCATGCCGTGAGTTTTTCCCTCCTTTTCTCCCATTCTGCTCCCTACTCTTTCTTCCCTTTTCACCCCTGAGTTTTTCATTTGATCTTCGCCGGGAAATGGCTGACGCGAATGTCTCTGCCTCTTTCTTTGCTTGGCCGCCAGATCGTCGACGAACCGCTCACCACCTGGAAAGACTTTGTCGCCCGCTCCCCCGTGTGGGCCGAGGTGCATTGATTGAGTGCGAGTTGAGTTAAGTCGGTGTCAGAATCAGGTCAGGTCAGGACAGAGCTTGGAGACAAGAGACAAACATCATCTCGGAGAGGGAGGCGTGGAGACTGATGGGTCCTGCAAAGTACATGTACATCCATATCCATCAGATGTATATCTGTCCGTCTTTATCATCGAATCCCCATGCCTCTGCCTCTGCTTCTGCTTGTTCCCGTTGGTATCCATCCACCCAACCTTCCACTTCTATCGCAAATATGTATTGTAGCTCTGACTGCTCAACGGGAAGAGCTTCCGGGGGTTCTGCTTGTGGAGTCATAGTACTCGACTCCGATCCTGTTGACTGCTCCTCTGGGGACTGTGGTGGTCCTTTTCCCTGGTAAGACGTGAGTAGCTTGACCACGCCCTCGTGCTTTTTATGAATCGCATGCTGTAGTGGTGTCCGACCTTCTTCATCCTTAGATTCTCGATCGGCGCCATACTCGAGTAGTAGCCTTACTACTGCCTCGTGCCCTTCTATAGCCGCCGAAATTAGTGGTGTACGGCCACAAGGATCCTTCAATTCTCGATCGGCACCAAACTCGAGTAGTAGCCTCACTACTCCCTCGTACCCATTTCCAGCCGCATATCCTAGTGGTGTCCGACCTGAATAATCCTTAGATTCTTGATCGGCGCCATACTCGAGTAGTACCCTTACTACCTTCTCATACCCACTCTCAGCCGCAAACGATAGCGGTGTCCGGTCTGTTATATCCTTTGATTCTAGATCGGCGCTATACTCGAGTAGTAGCCTCACTACTCCCTCGTACCCTCTCTTAGTCGCTAACGATAGTGGTGTACAACCTAAATCATCATTAGATTCTCGATCGGCACCATATTCAAGTAGTAGCTTTACTACTCTCTCGTGCCCTCCCCCGGCCGCTGATAATAGTGGTGTGTAGGCATAAGAATCCTTAGATTCTTGATCGGCACCTTGCTCGAGTAGTAGCTTTACTACTCCCTCGTGCCCTTCCCTAGCCGCTGATAATAGTAGTGTTTGACCATCCTTATCCTTAGATTCTCGATCGGCACCTTGCTCGAGTAGTGACTTCACCATCGTCTCGTGCCCTCTCTTGACCGCCCAGGTGATTAGCATCTCAGCATCCCTGCCGATCCTCTCGAGGGCCGTCTTGCTGCAAGCACAGAAGAATGCAAGGAGGATATCATCGTCATGGTCTTTGAGTGTATTGAAAATTCCTTTTCGTTGTGAGAAAGTGAAGGTGCGTGGAAAGTGCTTTGGCATGTTTCCAGAATGACAGTATTGGTCGTAGATGACGCGAAGAAGAGATGTTGTGGGCTGGGCATCTACCTGGATTTGCAATAACGTACGCGCTGCTTCGTCGCTTGCAGTAGCCAGGGCTGCGAAGATCGGTGGCCCATAACGTTCACCTTCGACATCGAAACATGACAAATTGGATGGGTGTATTCTGATCAAGCTGGACAAGTTGTTCTCCGCTAGTATGTATAGCAAGGTCACCTTCTCAGTGTGCCGGCGTGTTTCGTGTCTTTCGACCAGGTTCGCAAGCCATACCCATCTGGCGAGCTGGAACGTGCGGACGAATTCACTCTGGTCGACCTCCTTGGCTTGTGCCTTGTCGGCGTGCCACAAAACATTTCGAACCGCGTACTCAAGGAACGGAAACTTTTCGCCCACACATTGGCGGAGACGCGCAGCTTCTTCCGTCGATGCCCTCGGCAATTCGTCCACGTCACCCAGGTGGCTGGCAACATCGATGTTGAGATAGTTCAAGCAGCATTGCCTTAGGCATTCGTGGCTTTTCCCTTCAGAGATGGTTAAGGTGGTTCCCTTCTCGAGATCCGGCCACAGCTCCGAGAGGCCTTTATCTTTGAGGAGGAAGTCTCGCACTGATTCGTGAATGAACTGCACTATCGGCGGTTTCGACCTCGTAAGTTCTGCAAGACCCTTGGATGAACTGAGCACAAATCGGTTCATGTCGTCTTCAGTAATCCCATCAGGCTCCCAGGCGGTCATATACTCAGAGTCAGGAGCGAGACCGGCCGTCATTGCAAAGTAGAACTCTTCTCGCCGCAGCGGCCGTTCTGCAAACAAGACCCATTGGAGACAGAGCAACAAATCATTCATGTTGACAGAGTCTTTGCTCAAGATCTCTTTGAAGAGGTCGCTGAGCCTAGCAGGTATCTCTTCGAGCCTTTTCTGGACCGCCCAAATACGTCCGCGCCTGAATTCGTCGTTGAGCATTGGAATGACTAAAACCGCCCACAGGAAGACACCGTTGGCCTTTTCTCGTATTTGTGTTCTGATCGTCTCAACTGATTTGCCTTTTCCAGCTCGAAGATGACTCTGGACATATTTCCCTAGATCTTCAGCATGACCGTCTTCTGTTTCCAATGTCAGCTGTCGACCGTACCGAATGTCGATCGTCGGGTAGTGGCGACTGGCGAAGCAAATGTAGAGCTGGGTTCCATAACGAAGCGCTTCCTGTCCTAGCTCTTCGAAGAAGATGATCATTTCTTGAATCTGTTGTTCTTCACATTCATCGAGGGCGTCAATGAAGCAGGTTAGTCGCCGGTCCCCGAGTCTTGTGATAGCTGTAGATAAAAGTTCACACAGCTTTCCTCTTGTCCACACCGAAGATTCACTTCGATCTTCTAGTGCGTCTTGGTCATCCAACAGATCCTGGAAGCCAGGTATCTCCGTCAGGAGTTGAAATAGTAAAGCTCGGTACAAGCCGACTGTTGAGTGTTCCAGCTGGTCCCCTCTAGCGTTGAAGAAGAAGGAAAGAAGAATCTCCCCCTCAGATGTCCATTTGTAAGCCTGTGACAGAGCGAACTTCATCAGAGTCGACTTGCCAGCCCCCGGCTTCCCATTGATCCATAGAAACCCACGGTGCTCGTGTATCTGCTGTGGATCAATCCAATTCACATAAGCCGGATGTTTCAACAGCCATTGGCAGGTAGTAGAATAGGCATTTTTGATAGTGGACTGACGCGAGTCCATTTGCTCAAAGCCGAGGGAGGCCAGCATCGTTTTTCGACGGTCAATGAGTATTTCTTTCTCTGAAAGAGTCGTAGTTGTCCCACGTGGGGGTGCAACGAGGTTTTGGGAGGACGAGAGAAGAGGAACTGGCCTAATACAGTCTAACTTCCTTCGATGCTCTTTAGCGATTTCGTCTTTTAGCCGGTCAAAGGCTATGTCTCCTTCGCCGTAAATAATTGGCATAGACACATTGAAAATTCCCAAGAGACAGTATGCCTTATCTTCTGTTTTTTTTGTCTCGCGTCCGGATGCCCACCGCATCCGCTCCTGAGGGGTGAATTCTTCAAGAGATTTGCCACTGAGAGCTGTTCCAGGGATTCCCGTTATATTGGAGATGATCGGCCCAAGCGTAGTTTTGTCGCCCAGTCGCACACTCTCACGAGAATAGAACTCGACTCGTCTCGGAGCAAGGAGTTCTTGCAGCGTCCAGCCCCGCGTGAACCACCTGCTTGTCCGGAAGGTGGATTCCCAGATTTGAACATTTCCTGTGTTGTCGCGTTTATGAGCCGAAACATCAGACAGGAACACATAGCACTTTTGCGCTTCTTGGTACCAGTGAAACATCGACACAATAGATTCTGAGAGAGCGACGTGGTTCGTCTTATCGATACAACATGTATCGATCCAGAAATATTGCAGACCGTCCTTTTGCGTTTGATCCGCACAGAACCGGATCTTGATGTAGCCCGCCTTCGACTGGCCTGATCCATCTTTTAGATCCTTGAAAGTCACCTCCTCATTATCCGGGCCCCATGTGTGTGAGAGTATAGCGTAGGGTGGTCTGTCTTTTTTCATCAGGTCGTCGGTAAGGCTAAGCTCACCATGAGGACCAATTTTGAGCAGGTGCATCGTGGAAATGTGTATTTCGTGAGGTGGGAAGACTCGACAGATAAGTTCAGGCTACGTGATCAGACATCCAGAGAGAGTGCTTGGACGTTCAATTCTCTTGCGAACTCGAATGGGCTGATCGAGATACTGAGATAGATGTCGTCTTGCAATGTCCCTCAGAGGTGTTGGGGTACGCGGTTCGAACAGGTCTCGCGGTGGTTCGAAAGAACGTCTTTCGAGTCCAAGACTCATGTAGCCAGTGCAGGAGGCTTGGAAACAATCTCTAGTACGTATATCTAAAGCTTTGCAATGAAGTTGAACAGGTGAGAAGAGGGGAAAATCTCTGGCCAGCCTGAAGAGTGGCTTGGGCAAAGGCCTCGCCAGTAGTCGCCAAAGGCCCATACATGGTGTCAAAAGGCAGCAAATAACCGCATTCGATGGCCCTGCATTGGTGTTGTAGGCTTGTCTCTCTACAGGCTAGCCTGCGCTGAAGCAACGCAGTCGGGCCAATGAGGTGACGAGAGTTGACGGTTGTTGCATGCTGAGAAACAGGGCGCTGAGGCGAAGAGACGCTCTGACACGAGTTACTCGGTATACATATTATGTATTTTGACTACCTCGTACGAGGTAATTACTCGTATGTGGACCGCAAAACAGGCTGAAGCAGCACCTCGAGCGGGATGCGGGTCGAGCCAGCGGGACTAAGTGGGGGTAGCAAAGTGAAAGGCAACCGCCAGCCTCTCGGGGATTACGGCTCATCCTAGAGAGGATGCCTCCAAAGTGCCTTGGGCGAAAGACCCCGCCTTTGGCAATGGACCCGTCACCCGCAAGCTTCATATATACTCAGGTAGACCAAAGGAATTCAATCACTACTCTTCTCTTCCGTACCTAGCCATCAGCCTCTCTTCTCCGCCTACTTGTCCTCGGATCGCCCCACCCTTCTTCAACTTGCCTCGTCTCAATTGGTGTCTCCTCCGTGGCTCAGATCCTACCACCCAACTTGCTGGCTATGACCTCGACTTCCCGTCCTCCTCTCCGTCCACCTCGGAAGACCCGTGAAATAGGAGGTCTCCTGCGTGGTGGAGGAACATAGGATTTATCAAGGTTTCGTATTTTTTCGGTGAAATGGCAGGTGGTCTTCAAGTCACAATCCATCCACACCCTGACAATGTTCACAAGTAAATGTCCCGTCCAAAATAGAGAGGGAGAAAGAGAGGCTATCATCAGTCGTCATGATCGTCGTTGTCAACAGAGACACAAGGCACACCCTAGAGTAAGAGGAAAGGACCGGAAATGGTCACCAACCTTGTTGCTCATTGTGCCGTGGTACCCTCCCTATGCACCTATTACCCAGACAACACCCAGCTCCTTATGATGCAGTCAAGATCTAGCCTCACTTACCCGTGCGAAGGCGAAGAAGAAGAAGAAGAAGAAGAAGAAGAAGAAGAAGAAGAAGAAGAAGAGAGTACACCACATCTCATAACTTAGGATGATTGTTCAAAACTGGTCAAAGCCCTTTGATGGTGTCATCCAGTCCATATTCCAGAAACGCCATGTTGGCCTCATAGAGCTGCCGATCGGCGCCCTGGAGGAAACTCTCGAACCGGTCGCGGAACCGGGTGACCAGCGACTTGATCTTGCGCAGCTCGGAGCGAATCAGCACCATCTTGATTTGGTATTCGTCCTCGCTGTCCATCTTCAGCGAGCCCATGGTGACGCCGACCTCGTCGCACCCCTGGCACTCGCCATTGCGGATCTTCTTGTAGCACTGCACGATGCGGGTGATGATGACGGACAGGAGCATGACAGACGAGATATCCGGCAAGCAGTGGCAGGCCAGACTCTGGGCCATGCGCTGGACGGCTGATTTGTTGATGGCCAGGAACTTGTCAAACGACGGCATCGTGCCGTTGAGCGCGCTGAGGATGTCCTGTAACGAAGCCATGCAGTTGCAGGAAGGGGCCGTGCTGGTGATTCCAGAGCTTGAGCCGTCATCGTTGAGCGTGCTTGTGTCGGAGCAGCTGAACTCTGGGTAGAGCATGATGTTGGCCGACGACACGGTCATGCCCTCCGTGGCAAAAGGGACTTGAGCAGCATTTGCATCCATGCCGGACATCCACTCGGGCGACATCTGGAAGTCGGCCGAGAATAGGTTACCGGTGGAGAAGGCTGCGGCAGAGGCAGAAAAGTCGTCGGTGTCCATGGTCGAGTGCGTGAAGGTCTGTGTCAGTGTCGGATCGAGCGAAACACCAGTCGTCTCAGTCATGGACTGCAGAGTCGTGAAACTCTGGTCGAGGACTGAATCTCGGCGGCTGCCGGGGATGTCGACGTTCCACGACGCATCGTCAAAGTCGATGCTCATGCGCGCGTCTGACAGAGGAGACTCGGGTCGACTGCAGAACTCGGGCGTGGTGTTTTGCAGTTTGTTGTTACCAAACGGGCCAGTCTTTTTGCCGCAGCCCTTGGGCTTCCCTGCTCGTCGGGATTTCGAGTAGATGCACGGGGCGCCCGAGTTGGCGCACCTCGAGCACAGCGGACGTTCCTTTGTGCATTTGACCTTTGCTGCGTGACAGTTGTCGCACGACAGTCTGAGCTTTTTGTTATCTGGTGCCGTTGTCGTTGTCGCCGTTGCTGGGGTCGCAGGGGAGGCGCCTGGATTTGGCGGTGCAGCCTTGTTGACCACCACCGCATCGGCAGAGGCCATATCTTCCCCGATAGAGATATAGTGGTAGAGACTGTATAGTGTTGTGCTGTTCCTAATTAATCCGAGTTCTTATGACACTAGGGGATGGATGGGTGGATGGGTAGGCAGGTAGATAGATATATATCGAGATCATCAAAACACCCCAATGCTGGGTCTGGAAGGAAAGGGAAACCTTTGAGGAACAGTAGTGACAATAGGATTCCCCAGTGTTTACATATTCTCTAAACAGGACAGAACCAAGTACTAGGCAGGTAGGGTATGCACAACGCCACAAGGCACACAAACCTCATCTTGCCCCTCTGGTGCTTCCTTTGGTTTAGGCGATCCAGCAAGAACTCGACAATGCTAGTCCAAGGATAGGACAAGGATAAGGGCAAGGTCCGTTCCATTGATATCTCTACCTACCCACCTAAGCACTTACTCACCCATCTACCCACCATTCGACCACTCAACCACTCAACCATCGAACCAGCCGACCAACCAACCACTCCCAATAGTGATGCTGCAAGACAGGACCTAACCCGACCGACCCTCGCGATACCTGTGTACGTGGGTGTGTGTGGGTTTATGTGTGTGGACCGGACCCGAGTAAACAAAGACAACACGATCCTCCCCTCATCCCCCCTCCCCTCGATCGTCGCTGCGGATTCGCACATGGGACAAAAGAAAACTGGAACCGGCATGTGTCAAAGTACGAGGGGGAAAAGAACATGGGAAAATCAACTCTTGCCCACCACACCTCCCTTCCCACCCTCACTCCCCGGTCTGTCATCCTGATACCCGGGGGGGGGAGTGAGAGAGTGAGTGAAACACACACCAACAATGACCGCCAATGATGTCTAACAACTTCTCGCTTGGCCTCGAGGCCCGTCCTCTTTCGACGTCATCGAGCATGAACGTGAACATGAACGGGGAACGGGTTCGATTTTACGTCGATTTGCAGGCAGGTTATCCTCAAGTGGTGTGGCTCACGATCACTGTGGAGTGGGCAAACATGATTGCCATGTTGGTGTCGAGGTAGGTCCTCCATACCTACTGGTACTGATACGAGTAGGACTACATAGCTCGGAAAGGAAGAAATGAACAAAGGAAGAGGAACCTGGTCGTATTGCATCACCAGCCAGCTAATCGAGAGCTGATCGAGAATCGACTCGAGTCGGGACCAGACAAATCGATATGTACGAACGAGTACAGAAGCTGTCCATCTTGTCCATCTCATCTCATTCAGACAAGGGCAGTCCTCACATCGGATCCCATGCCCATTTGGCTGTGTGATCTAAACTACCATCCTCATCTTCAGCTTGTCCGTCTCCACAATCTCATACTGCATGTCCATCAGCTCAGCCATGTCCCAGTTACACGACAGGTACCGGCCCCGTAGCCACTCGCGCCGCTTCTGCGTCAAGTACACGACCGTGTCGGCCATGAGCTCGGGCGTGTCAATCAGGTTGACCTTGACAAAGTCGGGCATCTTCCAGGACAGCTCTGTGGGCACGGCACCCGGGTGCATGCAGTACGCAATCACGCCCTGGGCGCCGTACTCGACATTGATGAAGTCGGTCAGACGCAACAGTGCGAATTTGGTCGTCTGGTACGCACTGGCTCCAGGAACACACATTTGCGCGCCGATGCTCGACATGTTAACGACCGTCTTGAGGCTCGAGTTGTCTGTCAGAAGCAACGGCAACACGGCCTTCCAGGTGACGAACTGGCCGCGGATGTTGACCTCCCAGGACCGCCACCACTCCTCAACGTCGGCCTCGATCATGTTGGTCCAAGGTTCCATGTAGCCTGCGTTGCTGATCACGATGTCTAGTCGCCCCTCAAACTCTGGCGTCATCTTCTCGACAGCCCGCTGCACGCTCTCCGGGTCCAACACGTCCATGTTGGCCGTCACCACCTTGGGCACCTCGCGGCCAACCGAGGCAGCAGCGTCCTCAATCTCCTTCTTGACCGCCCCCAGATCCGAGCGGGCTGAGATACCAATGATCGAGGCTCCGGCCTTGGCATAGGCAATGGCCATGGACTTGCCGATGCCTCGTGAGGCTCCCGTCAGAAAGACGTGCTTGCCCACCATGCCCACGCTGTGCGAGACATCAATGGCCGAGTACGTGTCATGATGGATGGTAGGCGTGAAGTGCTCCCCTGTGATTTTGCGAAACCCACACCCCATCAGCCCAGTTCAACTCAGCTCAAGCTAGCACATGCAACACGGGGAAAACACGGCGCAGGAGCTTACTTACCAATGTGCGCAGGACCCGTTCTGCGAGGTTTCTCAAGGCTTCCCATTTTTTTTTCGGGTTGTCCTGTCGTGATCGTCACTCGACAACTTGTTTTCGCCTGCAGGTACCGAGTAGACACACCCGGCTTTGCTTCGTTAGGTCTCTTGTTAGTAGGGCTTGCCTCTGCAGCGAAACTGAATCCACACTAGAGGTACACGGCACGAGGCTACGCTTTTTATCATGTGCATTTAAGGGCGGAGGCGGGGGTTGGCATCGAACAATGACCACTCAGTCCGAAATGGCCATGGCCTCGTATCGCCCGAGAACCGTTTTGTCCTCGGCGTCTCAAAGCTCCCTCGACACTCGACGACCAGGACCCAACTCGGGTTTTGAGGTCAGCCCAGACTTTGGTTTTTTTGAACGGCGAGCCGGCCCTAACGTAACGTGCACAGGTTCGGCCCTGTCGTTTGTCGTTTTGAGTCATTGGCTGGGTTAGTTGACCTGGGGCAAGTGATACCCGGGAGGGCATGAACAAGGATGAGTAGATGGCAGGACGGATTGAATCGAGAAAAGAAAAAGGAAAGAGATCGATCGATCGATTGGTTCGTTGATGACGGTAGACCATCAAATTTAAGTACCGTACCGAGTCACCGTAGATGGCCACGTTCGAGGTGTTTGAGCATACCGAGTACGGACAGGCGAGTTCGGGGATCCAAGGGGATATCGAATCGGGTCCACTGTCTGTCAGTCAGTCTACATCGTCCCATCTGCAGGATAGATGGGCAGATGGGATAAGTCACCGATCCGATCTAACACGGCTTGCGAGGGGTATGATTCCTGTTCTCGGTGCCTGACAGAGAGGCTCTGCTCTGCTGGCCAGGGGTGGCCTGGGATCCGAGCAGTGGCCGATCACGCTCGGGCCGAGACTTACAAGTTACATACACTTGCAAGTGTAAGGCTTAGCTCGAGAGGGCGGGAGATCCCAGATCGCTCGGCTCGCTAAAGGTGCAACCCTACCTTCGCGTAGGTAACCGATGCATGGGATAGTGTATGTAGTGTGAATCGCACCGATGTCGATGTTGACGTTATTCTGACCCAAAGTTTTTTTCTCACCTCGACACATCCCCCACCACCTCGGTCACCGAAACAGGAATCACCCATACACCCATACCGCCTGACCTCATGGAAATCTGAGGTCCAGATGCACATGTACCGTGGTGTGTAAAATGCCACTCCGCGGAATGCCATTCTTGTCTTGGCCCGGTCCATACATTCATTCATTTGTTCATTTCGCATGTTTCTCTGCCTGGCTGGCACCCACTCGGGTCCGCATCATCCGTCATCTACTGTGCCTATCACTGTGGGAGGGGGCAAAAAAAGAAGGAATACCTCGTATATCATGCCGTGCGACCTTGGTGGTACCTTCCAATTACGATCGTATATGGTTTTAGGAAGTGCAAACGGGTGTGTAACGCGGTGTTGGAAAGTGGGTAGGGTGAATTGGGTTGGGTTGCAGCATGTGTAACAAGCACCAGGGTTGGATCGAATACGACTCTCAGATACGAGAAAATCTTGGTTGGTGTCTACCGAGGAGTCTGATCAAGTGGGTCTTTCGTGATTGAGGACGTGAGGCCTGTTGAGTAATCAGGCCCCCAGAAATTGTGAAAGAAGAGTACACCGGTTTTTTCTTTTTCCAGAAGATCAAAAGGTCGGAAAGGACACTTTGACTCAGATGTCCAAGGTCAGATAGACGGTTCTGGCGGATTTGGATACACTTTGGCCTCCATAATTGGTCACTTGTATCCCACCGACTGATCGGGCATTGGAAGACGCCGCTGTTACTAGAAGGACCGCCCTCTCAGCTCATGGTCGAAGCATGGCAGCGACAGTTTTAGTAGGCCAGAGAGTGTAGTCGGTGGTCGAGGACTGGGTTGTACGCGTGAAAGGGAGAGGAGATGCCGGGGCCGCCAGGCAGTGCTAACCGCCTCTCTTTGTAAAGGCCATTGATTCTTCGTCACTCTGCCTCAGCACCTGTTGTGAAAGTTTTCAGTCCTTGGGCTTCGCAGCTCTCGTTGAACCTCACACATGACGACTTTCACCTTCCCTCAGCCCCAGGGAGGTGCTAGTTCTCCACAAGTCGTGGATTTGACCGCCCTTAGACCACCACGAAACTGGCTGAGTATATCTGGTGGATCAAGAAACCTTTGAACAGGGGATCACGAGTCTGGGTGGTACAGTGTCCAACATTGATCACGATGGCGACAACAGTGATCTGCCATCCAGGTATATCTCCTCATGCAAACAACAAGGGATGTTGCTTGTAAGACCGCCGACCCATCAGTCGTCAAACGGCCACAGCTTCTCGAACTCCAATACGTCGTCCTGTGATTTGGCAAATTCCTGAATAACTTCGGCTTTCATTTCTCGAAGCGCTGTCTTCGCATCACGGTACATGTCGTGGCTGACTGCGTCCTTGTCAGGCCACAACGGTCCCAAGCGAGCCTTGAAGTCGTTCATAATCTCCATGCCATGGATAGCCTTTTTGTAGTCGTCCTCAATAATTGCCGAGGACTCATCATCAAAGGTAATTGGAAACTGTCTCGGCGTCATAGAGTCTTCCATTGAGGTCAACCCTGGCCATGTCTCGCGTAATTCAACCGTCAGCGCCTGAAAATGTGCCTCACCAAACTCGAAGAGACGTCTCCCGATAGTGAGAAGGTCGAACGCCGCTGTTTGTTGATATTCCAGGGCGTGATAAGCAGCCGGTAGCTTTTTATTGGCAATTCTTCTGGAGGCCACATAGAGCGCCCTGTCGAAGTACTCCTTGGTCGCCCTCGCCCGTTCTCCAGCCGACATCCCTGACGTGTCCTCGAGCTCTGGTGGTTCCAAAGTCTCTGGCTTCGGTCCGGAATATTGGACAAATGCGGGTTCGAGATTGTGATCGAAGAGTGGGAGCAGGTCAACTGACTGCCAGTCTATTATGCCGAGGATCTTGGTCGGGTTCTTGCCATCGACAAATATGTTTTCCTCATGCAGATCATGGTGCCAGAGTGTTGGAGCAGTGATCGTGGGATCATCAGGAAGGAGAGCATCATAGATTTTGAGGTAAGATTCAATCGCAGCAGACTTCTTCGCAGCACTGGGCAGGTACAGTCCTGGACCACAAACCATGAACGTTTGTTTAGGAAGTGGTTTTATTGATAATGTTGCCGTCAATTCCCGGAGACCCACAGCTTTATGGTATTCACTCGAGGTAAGCCCTAAGAAAGATTAGGAGAGCGCAAATAAAGTAAATTGGGTGGTTCTTCTTACAAGGCCCTCGGTCACACTGCAGGCCTGCTCTTCCACAGTCAGACCAGTCGCGCCCAGTCATGGGTCCAATGGCGAAGCGAGAGTCTTGTACCTTTTCACCTTTCTGGTTGATATACAGATGACCCTCAGAGCGTTCCTTGTCCAGGTCCTCGTTATAGTATAGCGCGCCGAACTGGCGAAATGAGATTGAGAGCCATTTTGCTTGGTACAAGGCCAGGTTCAGTCGCAGTTGCATTTTGTCCCCAATCTTCATGTTGTTCCATACTTCACTGAGCTGAACGCCGGGCATCTTCTCCATTATGATGTACTCGGCTCCGATCGCGTTATCAGCTCTGGAACTCCACGCATAGACTTTGGGCACAGGAGTCTGCAAAATATTTCTGACCTGTCCGGTTCTCAGTCAACGATTCCGGAGAGGCAGTATTGACTGTGTGCTTACAAAATCCATGGTCGCAACCTCACTTGCCGTGGTGTAATGGCAGACTCCAGCATTTGGATTGGGTACTTTGGCGATGACTTCTTGCCCGTCATCCATGGTCATGACAAAGCTTTTATTGTACATTCCGTCGGGACATTTTCGTACAGAGACGCAGAACTTTGCACCAACAGACTGGGCTGCAATCTGGACGAGCTCATTCATGTCGAATTTTATGTAGCGACGCTTCATCTGGCTGGCCTCGTCCACTACGAATCGACCCCGCGTGAATGAAAAAAACTCGTCGAATTTATTCCAATCTAGGGATCTTAGTCACAACAAGCATTGCGGTTGGAAGGAGTTACCTGTGTTGGCAGCTTTTGTACTAGGAGGCATAGCCACAGAATGAAAGCAAGGGTTGGTATTCGTTGCTCCAAGGTCGAAGAGAGCGTTCCAGCGCCTTAGCGAGTAAGAAGCACGACGGAGGATTTGACGTGTGAGAAGCCACGACATATTGTTGACAGACACTGCAAAACCCGGGCCAGGAGAGATGTTTGTAGATGGTATTGAAAAGCAGTTGTCATGTACATGCCTTCAAGCAACTCAGGAAACTGCAATCCTTTGTTGGCGAATTGGCAGAACCGCCATTCTTTATGGTCACCTGGTACACGGATTTCTAAGTCCAGGTGTGAGAAGACAACTGTGTTGCAACCGCACTCGACGTTTCCCAGGAAGAGAATGCCTCAGAGCATAAGGTTTGCGGTGAGAGACACAATAGGGACGCATTCTTTATTCACGAGGCTGGGGCGGAGCCTCTCCCGCTAAGAGCCGCACCCCCTCTTTAGGCACGATACCATCATCCCTGGCTCGCTCCACTGCCATACGAGGTACATATACTCACCCTAGTGGGGACTGTCCATAACGACTATAATTAGCCCCCCCGACGAGTAAGACTCCTGCTAGGCGCCCGAGGCGCTTTTCAAGGCACTGAGCGTGTATATATCTAAGAAGAATGTATGCTTGGTCAGTGGCATTCTGAAGAACTCCTCGTATATCTTCATCTGGTTTCCAACGTCTCATGTCTTCTCCACAGCCCACACCGACGGACGACTCTCAGACCGAAGGTCGTGCCACTCCACACGACTCGACTTCGCAAGAGACGCATACGCAAGAATCCGAGCCAATCCCCCAAGGCGAGCAAGATGGCGAAAGCGAGCCGGTCTCCGAGGACCTAGTCAATGTCGCAATTCTGTGCCGTCTGACACCGGACGAAGTACAAACCCTATACGCAGCGTTGCTGAATGTAGCCGATCCCGAGGCCGCTGAGCTAGAAGGGATCATACCGCACTTTATTTACTGGACATCCGACCGCGACGGTGGTTCCGAGGCTCTGTATCAGCGCCGCCACGAGCCCGAGGAGCGGTTCTACGTCGACCGTGCCGGCGTGGCAGATTGCACCTTGATTATCACCGAGAACTATGAGAGTTCGTTGATTGTGGAGCCCTCTTTCCGCGACGAGCTCTGGTCACTGCTGAAAGACACGCGCGACGACTACGACGACTACGACGACGTAGACGATGGCCTCCTCGACGCCATCGCGCTCGAGGCGTTGGAGCACTGCGTCATCTATGGACGCATACCGTGCGGTGGGTTTCGCAGCGCATGGGCTAACCTGAGCATTGGCAACCAGGGGTTGAGCGAGACAGTGGGGATGTACGGTGGCGAGGTTGAGATGTGGCGGGCTGCAACTTGGAATATGGAGACGTTTTACAGAGAAGGCGAGAGGAAATTCAGGGAGGCTGGCGGGATCTTGTATCAAGAGATTATGGATCATATGGGGAGCGATGAGGAGGAGGCGGAGGAGAAGGCGGAGGAGACTGCCATCTCGACGTAAGACAACAAGGAAGGAGATACTGAAGGTGGAAATCAGCAGAAGGACAGGGAAACAGGCGAGGGATCTCAAGCACAGGGAAAAAAGCGAAAGGCCGATGAGATTGTCACGTCGTAGAGTGTCTGTTCATCTTCCTGACGCTACCTTACCTATCATGATATATCTCCTTCCATACTTAATGGATAGAAAGTCCTAGCATATTCAGGTCTCTCTTCTCACAGCTCCTCGAAAGTAGCATTCGCACTGGTGAGGTCTAGTATATATCGCTAAGTCTGATGTGCGTAGTTATGTTAATCTTAAAGTGCCTGTACTGCCTCTCGTACTCGCCCTATACGATCTGGGTTATTAGCTGGAAGTTGCGGTACGTCTCGCTGAACCAGCTGATTTGCTCGAGCTGAAAGGCGATCTTCGTTCTATTGAGGATATGTGCTAGCAAGCGTCGCTAAGGTCGTATCGTTGACTGACCCTCAATGGACATTGGCTTCTGTATCAATGGTGGTCCCATTCAATCGGTGTGCTAATGCATGATCAAATAGGGAAGTAGTAGGCCCGGGCCGAATTACGGGTACCTAGGGAGGTTAAAGGTATATTAAAGGTCAGTAAAAGGTACGAAGGTGAAGGGTGAAAAGAGGTAAAGCGGCGTTAAAAGCGGCGCAGGCCGCCAAGCCATCCCCGCAGTGCCTTGGAATTTTTCAAAGGTGAAATGAAAATGTCATTTGGCTCTGCGAATTCTTAGCATACCTGCATACTAGCGACTCACGCGCGGGCTGTATCTTGTCCTGGGGCCTGGTAACTTCCTGTATACTTTACTCCTGATTTCCACTACTCCGTGCGACTCACTACACAGCTCCTGACTCATCGACCACTCCCAGAGCCACTGAGTCACTTGCATCCTCTTATTTCCTACCATCCCCGCACCATTGACCCATCTTCCGCCTGCGTTACTACCCCGAATATCTAGTCGAACGTTTACCAGTGTCTCTGCCGCAAGTGTGTGAAGATGTCTGTGGAAGAAGCAGTGACGGATGCACTCCAGACGCCAATGGACCAGAATGCGCAAGCCGCTGAAGAGGCCAAGAAGATGCTAGCTGAGTTAGAAGGTGACGCTGCTCCAAAAGACGAGCCCGAGCAAACAAATGGCACTGCAGAGTCGAAACCAGCAGAGGAGGACGCCCCAAAAGAGACCGAGAATGCTTCTGCGAAAGAGACTGCGACCGAGGAGAAGGAAGGTACAGAGAACAAACGTGATCGTCGGGACCGGGGTCGATCAGATAACAATCATCGTGGTCGGGGTCGGAACCAAGGTCAAGGTCGTCACAACAACCACAACTCCCGGTCTTACCGTGACAATATCAAGTCCGATCTCACGACGCTAGAGGAGACTGATGACCCAGTCGCCATTCGGAAACAGGTATGTGCGCTCTTGAAGCCCTGAACGCAGTGCAGAGATTCATAACTTGAGCAGGTAGAGTTTTACTTCTCGGACTCAAACCTCCCGAAAGACAAGTTCCTCTTCGCGCAGACTGGCGGTGTTGAGAACAAACCTGTCGACCTGCGAGAAATTCACAAGTTCAAGCGCATGCGCCGCTTTCAGCCTTTCGAAGCTATTGTCGAAGCGCTTCGGGAATCCAAGACACTCGAACTCACCGACGATGACACCCACGTGCGCCGAAAGGACCCGCTCCCAGAAAACTTTTTCGACGCTGTTGCGCAAGCAGCTGACCCCCGTACGGTGTATGTAAAGGGCTTCGGCGAGGAGACTGCGAGCACTCAATTCGATATCGAGGCATTCTTTGATCCATATGGCCCCACCCGGGCCGTCCGGCTCAGGCGAAACGACGAGAAGTTCTTCAAGGGCAGTGTCTTTGTGGAGTTCGAGACAGAAGAGTTGGCGCAATCGTTCCTGGCCCTGGATCCCAAACCGAAGTACCAGGGTAAGGATCTCCTCATCATGAGCAAGACAGAGTATACTAGCAAGAAGACCGCGGATCTCAATGCGGGCAGAATCACGTCAAACAACAAATATGATAAGGGCGGCAGACGAGATCGTAACAACCACCGCGGTGGGCGAGACGGCGGCAAGCGCAAGAGGGACGAAGATAATCGAGATTGGAGAACGCGTCGGGACGAAGATCAGAAACGCGGTTTCAGGGATGACAAGCGACGAGGTGACCGAGGTGGTCGCGAATCCCGAGGTGACAGAAACAAAGGGCCTGAAACAGACGAAAAGTATGCTGATCTCTGTTGTGCTCTGGGAGATGGCTAACTTATTGATTTAGTGGCATTCCGACAATCAAGACAACCCCCTTGAAGAACGATAGTGGTCGTGAAGAAGCCCTGGCCAAGGCGAAAGCGGCAGTTGAAGCCGAAAACAAGAAAGAACAGGCGGCTGTGGACGAAGTTGAGTCGACCGAGCAAAGTGGCCATGCTGATGCCGCTTCAAAGACCGTCAACACTGTCGCAGAAAGCATCCAGGCTGATGCAGAAGCGACTGCTGGGAAGAAGCGAGCACGAGAAGAAGATGACGCGGAAGCCGAGCGAGAGGCTAAGAAAGTGGATGTCAAATCCGAGGGCGTTGCGGCTGAGGGCGACTCATAGCCATGAATGACCCAACCTCCTTTGTCCGCCCTGAAGGGGTATCTTTATGGTTTGGAGGAGGATTGCATGGCAGTCATGATCACTGCCAAAATCCTCCTGGATATGTGCGTCTGTGAACTACCATTGTGGTGTTGTGAGCGTTCGTGCGGAAGGATGGGGTTTGTCTACCGGCAGACGGCAGGGATCAAAACTAGGCGGTTTCCATGTGCTCAGTTATTATGAAATCTTGACACCTTAGGGCAGTAATGAATAGGAATTGGACGTCGAGTAACAAATATTCATACATAGCCTTGTCTAGAATAGTGCGCGACAGGGAGGATTAAAAGTGCCTGCGAATTTCAATTCTCTGACCTCTGCGCCGTGTCTTGACTTCTTTCTCACACGCAAATTCCAACTCTCAACTCAAACACATCTTTTATCCTTCCATCTTCCACTCCTTGTCCCAGACTGACCTTGTCCATCCCGAAACCACGACTCCAGCCATGGCGTCACGTGTCTACCTGCCCCCGCACGTGACTGACGAGGCTGACGAATCAACGGCCGCCACTCCTGAATCCCCACAAAGTTCCTGGTCGTCACTTTCGAGTCTCAAATCACCACGTTCCGACACAAGCCTGGCCAGTTCCAATTCAGATGACGACGGTAATTACACTCTTGTCCAAATCCACATTCCGTTGCCGTCGAGACCAGAGGACTTTAATCCCGACGACGTTACCGTCTCCGTTGTGCCGCCCAGGGGACATCGGCGCCCAGTGTGCGAAGGTGGTCACGGTTCTTCCCACTACCATATCTATTCCAACCCCATGAATGGAGCTGCTGGTCCTCCTCCCCCTTCCGGTGGTGAGGGGGTCACAGCGACAATTTCATCCAATATGCCTGCAGCAGGCGGAGGTCCGCCCAAGCGTACCGGTCCACTACCGAACCACGTCCAGGTCGCAAAATCATACGTCTTTGAACAGGAGATCCAAAAGTGTCTTAAGGAGAACGGCGTCAGCCAGGCCAGAGAGGACAATATAAGGCTGGCTGGAGTGCAGTGGATCGATAATGTGAGGAGGGCGTTGAAGTTGTGAGTTGTCGTTGAATCTTTATCATTCTCACCTGACTTGTCCTCACGTTTTCCTTCTCGTAACGCACAAGTCACAATCGACTTTGTGAGTTGATACATGACTGACGTGATATATCTGTATATAGACCAGTCAGAACGTTCAACACAGCCGTTGTGTACTATCACAAGTTCCGACTACAGCATTCCGACGGAGAGTACAGTTTTGTGGTAAGGCGTGCACCGATCTTGTGAAGCATGGAATATTGCGCTCTCACTCAGTCCTCTGAGTTGCTGACATCGATGCCGTAATTAGGACGCATCAGCAGCGGCACTTTTCACCGCCTGCAAGATCGAGGACACACTCAAGAAATCTAGAGACATTCTGTGCGCGGCGCATAACTTGAAGGTTCCTAGAACAGAGCAGTTGTCACCGGATGATCAGGTAAGAACCAATTTCTACGATCCACCGGTAAAATCACCTTGTTGGATTTGCTGCTCACCCAAGCGTCTGGCTCATTTAGGTCTTTGAGCACCATTCACGCACAATCATCGGCCTTGAACGACTCATGCTCGAAGCCTCGGGGTTCGACTTTCGCAATCGGCACCCACAGGAGCTCCTCATCAAGTTCGCCAAAAACTACGACCTCGCCAAAGGCTCACCCGTCGTCAAGACCGCGTATTCGATCTCCCTGGATCTCTACAGAACCTGGGCACCGCTGAAACAAACGACAGCAACAATGGCGTTCGCTTGTCTTGAGCTTGCGGGAAGGCTACTGGGCGAAGAAAACGACGCCATTGGGACGGGAAGGGACTACGATGAGTGGAAGACTGGGAGAGGGATGGTGATGGGTAAGTTTTCCTCGATACAGTTCTCACAAAGGCTTGCCCAAAACGAAGGCCTATGGCGATTCCAGACTGACCGTGATTCTTCTCCGTAGAAACGCTTCTGGACCTCCTCGAACTCTACACCCACCACCGCAATTCGACGGTCGTTGGGCCGATGTTCCCTGTCGACACGTTCCTCGAAGTGCGCATCCCGCTGAACATGGAGTCCGAGGAGAAGGAGATCCCGCGCTTCACAGCATGGGTGGGAGCCGACGATGGGTCGACCGCAGCTGACCACGCGAAAGGCGGTTACGGCCACCACAACGTGAACGGAACGGGGAATATGAACGGCTCCAAGTCCGCCTCGTCGAGCAAGAACGTGAGTCCACGAGACGTGACGAGCCCGCGCCGAAGCAGTGCTGCGAGTTCTAACACCGCCCCTGGCGCCGCTGTCAATCCAGGCCCTGGATCCGGTCCCGGCTCTGGAGCGGCTATGGGGATAAAGCAGCGTGTCGGCGAGAGAGGGCGTGAGGGCACTGTGCGCTTCATTCTCAACCCGGATAGGGAGAGGGAAGAAAAGGCGGTTATCGAGACGTTCCGCAATCCTTGAGGAACTCACCAAATGTCAAAACCGTCAAAAGAGCAAGTAAATGTGGACAATGACGACCACGTCTCGATATGACACGATACGACAAGGAGAAGATGAACAAGACGCTATGAAACTACACAGAGAGAGACATGCACACAGAACAACTCCGAAAAAAACACTACCAAAATAAGCAAAAGAAAACACAGAGAGGGATCTCCAGCTCTCTGCACCAGAACCATAGCTTGTGTTCTGCTTCTCTCTCTCTATCTCTTGTTTATCCGTCTAGCAAGAAAATGACAGACTACCTGCGCACGCCCCGCGATGGGCGCTCTCAGCATGAACAACAACAGCACGTACGGAACCACACAAGCACAGGCGCAGAGGCTGGATTTGCTGTTTGTCGAACCGAATCGAACTCGTCGCATCGAGCCCGGTTCCTGCGCTCCTGGAGGGAATGAGCGGGATTGGCTGATTCGACATGGGCTGGACTGCTTCGGAGTGCAACGGGCTGGATTGAATCAGATTCTATCGGACGGTGCTGGACGGTGCTGGATATTCCTGGACATGGCTGGGCTGTGCTACCATGTGCTAAGCTGAGGGATGAACATTACGACATGCATGCAAAATGGGGGGGCGGCATTGTAATCGATAGGGAAAACCACGGCGCACATGGTATGGACTCCCAGGGTCTCTAGTCACGGTCTTGCAAGCGAGTTTCTCAAATAGGCGGCGTTTGGCTACCTTTCTACCGACTATCCACTAAGTAGTAGGGTAGTAGGTATCGATTCATGGATCATCAATCTTGTACTCGGTCCTTGTCCTTTCCAACTCCACGATCGCTCGCTCGCTCGCTCACCTCATGCATGCGTGTCTTTGGAAATAAAATAACTGTTCCACCCTATTGCCCATGTACACACGATCAAGTAACGATGACTCGCCTCGACTCGCCTCGCCAGCGACGACAAAACAAAGATGGAGACAGAGACGGAGACAGTGCCAAACGAGCAAGCAAATAAACCCCCACACGAGGTATGCAGGTCCTTTTCCCAACGATCTCTGATGCCTCAGGACGGAAACGAAAGAGGTTCCGGATACGCCGCCTGAGACGCACTTTTCGCGCTTTGTACCTAAACATCCACCCAGAAGAAGGCGCGGAGATTTTCAAGTCATTTGACGGCTCTTCTCAATCCAATAAAATGCATCAACCAAGGCAAAAGTCAAAATCCTGGTGTTTCCCTTGTGGTACCAAAGACGATCACAACCACAACCACGGCCATGGCCATAAACACAAACCCATTAGTTGCTATTGCTTGCTATTGCTATTGCTGACGCTCTTGCTCCTGCTGTGCACCTAAAGGCTGGCCAACATCTGACTCAAGGTGCCCTTGTCGTACTTGACCACCTTGCCCTTCCCCTTGTCCACCTCGTGATACCGGTCCCAGAACCGCGTGTAAAGCGGCTCGATCATGCCTTGAATCTCCCGGGCCAGCTGCGACCTGACCTCGGCTTCCATGCGCAGACTCTTGTGTCTGGTGATCAACTCGTCAAAGCTGGTGTTGAAGAGCTTGAACTTTTCCTTGATCTTGTCCTTGTCCTTGGACGACAGGGATTTGATGATGGACGTGGAATCGATGGCTTGGCCTGACAAAGGCCGCGAACCGGACGAGGTCTGGATTTGGTCAAACAGGTGGTTGGCAGGGTCACGCCACGCCGTCAGGTACAGCGAGGAGCCGGCTTTGCGGTAGGCGTCGAGTTTGGCGCTGTGCGGAGAGATCCCCAGATAACGGGCGAGGTCTGGTGAGGATTGGACCGCCCGGGTGAGCACAGCGACGCTATTGAGTTGGAATATTCCTTGGAGGGGTTTCTTGGGGTGGAGAACCTGTGAGCGTGCATTGAGCGTTGAAAGAAGAGCGTCGACAATGTCAATGAGGTAGTGTGACAATAACGTTGGGTTTTCAGTCGACGGAGCCAATTCAAGGTTCAGCGTCGATTGCGAGGCCATTCCTGCCGCGGTCTTCCAGTTTCCGTCGCCGATAGAGGAGAGGAGGGCAAGTAAGGGTCGCTCAAATACCGCAAGGTTCTGGAGACGGGAGGCCGTCTGTGAGACCAGCGGGATAGTGCTACCGTCTGGTGGGAGGGTCGAAACTGATTCGGCTTGTTTCTTCGTTTGGTTCAGTATTTCGCTGAACGATGAACGAGCAGTCTCACGAATCGGTCGAAGCGCATCTGCAAACTGGGATCGCAGTTGGCCCGTCCGCGATTCGAGTCGATACCCAAGCGGAGTGAAGAGATCCAATATCTCGTAGGCGAGGAAGCAGTCGCTCAAGATCCGTGGCTTGATCACATTATTCAGCTCCGAAAGAGTACGCGTAAACGTCCCTAATGCCTTGCCGCAAGTCATTGTAAAGACGCGACCAGGATCGTTACGGAATATCCGGGATGTGTTCTCTGCTTCTGCGAGAAACATGCCCTCGATACCATTCGCGTACGCCCCAACGCCACTCGAGCCTTCCCGGTAAACACCCGAATCGTTTCCTTGTCGTTTGGAGGTCATAATTGAGGCTGTGGCTAGATTTTGAAGGCTGTTTTGGAGGTAGTCCCCCCTCACCTCGACGTAGATCGAAACTGCCGCGTCTTCATCGCGTTGGCCCAACCTGGCCGAATGTGCTCCGGCGGATGCCATTGCCATTGCCATCTGGCCGAGAGATTGGGTTTTGTCTTGAGAGTATGTAGGGAATGGAATTTGTTTCGTGATATGATGCAGGGGCTCGACGGGTTGCGAATCTTCCTGCAACATTTGCCGATACATGTCGTTCAACTGGTTAACTCCCGTGGATAGGAGGCTATGGAAGTCGGACACAGCTTGTTGGTTCGCTCTCATGTTTGTGGAGCCTAGATCGGTGAGAGCTTTGTCAATACGCTTCAAGGCGCTGAGATATTGTGGCAGTCCTGAAGCTTTGGGCCCTGCTCTGATGATAGCTTCTTCTCGGCCCCTCGAGTCCAACGGCTGCTTGAGCTTTTCGATAGCTTCATTGATCTTGTCAATATTCCGACTCGTGATCTGAAGTTGTTGCGTGTTGCTGTAGATCGGCCCAATAGCATCCTTGACGATCTTACCGCTAACATCGAGCCGTGCCAGACTGGCCGCTATCCGCTTGGTGATGTCTTTCGTCTTCCCCAAAGAAGCCAACAGCACTTCAACCTCGGCGCTCTCTTCGGCGAAGGCGGCGTTCCTGGGTGCCACCATCTTGAGTGTCTCAAACAGAAAAGGTACACCATTCAAATTCTCCGACGGGCGCCTGTGGCCATGCAGTCTGGTCTGAAACAGCGTCAACGGGTGTCAGTCTGTGGTGCACAGCTTCGCATTTTGCGGGGACTCGGTCGATTGCGCTAAGGTGATATTCCGCAATGGAGCATGCTCTGAAGAAGAGGGTCTTGAGCTGCTCTATGTCAACTATGCCAAATTGATAATGATGGGTGAGCTGATAATAGATGTGTGAGACGGAATCGACGGAGACAGACTGGGGCGGCGTAGGCGGCTTGGGAGATGATTTGGCTGCTGTCCCAATTGGGTTTAGTCCAGGAACCTGTGGCGCCACGTGCCTCGACGCCAGCCTCGGCCGGAATCGGATTCCAGCTCCTTCCCCCGACGTCATTGTGACCAGATCGTCCCAACAAACCCGCTGCCCACTTTGCGCATCAACGAACACGAGAGGCACAAAATAGCTCCTGAGGCTCTCGGTCGATCCTAAAGCTTGGTCTCTTCCTTCTACAGCATGGAATTTGATATCTGCTGATTCGCTCTTTTGGCGGCGCTCTTGTGACTATGAGCGCTGCAAGGCTGCTCTTCAATTCAAGCTCCCTCCAATATACTGCCCTCGCCGCTCTCGCCTGTGCTGGTGTTCAAAGCTCAGCGCGCAGGACCAATCCCGTTAGGCTCGACAGCCCCTCGGGAATACATACTACTCAAGATGCCTCTCTCATAGCCTATGCTCGACGTGTGCAGAGTCACTATGCTCATGCCGAAGATCCAAATCACACCACAAAAAGACATGACGCGACCATCGTCGACAAAACAAATGATCCCGACAAGTACCTCCCCGCCTTCGAGAGCGACGACGAGAATGCCTGGGCCTCCTTCTCAAGAAACTTCCACAATGTAAGAGAAGGCATTGCGCGCATAGACTGGAGCACCGTCGGCGACAAGATCACGGATTTGGTTGTGCCCAAATGGGCCAAGATCCTTCCTGATGGATTTCAAAAGCTTCAATCCGAGCTGTCCATGCAGCCAGGAACGCTAGCAGATCAGATCTGGCAGGAGGCACACGATCCATACATCAATCCGGAAATTGAGTGGAATGCCACCGTTCGCGTTGGTGACACCCTTGGCAGTGACGAATTGGAGTTCCGACGCAAGAGGAAGCAATTCGTTGTCAAAGCGTTGGCAAAATACCTCGGTCTCGATGAGAAGGAGATTCACCCAGATGACGTGCCTACTATTGCGATTTGTGGCAGTGGCGGGGGTCTACGAGCCATGGTCGCTGGTACAAGCAGCTACCTGTCTGCTCAAGAGGCGGGTCTTTTTGATTGTGTGACTTACACCGCAGGAGTCAGCGGCAGCTGTTGGTTGCAGACACTCTTCTACTCCTCCCTGGGTAAGCAAGACCACAGGCAGCTCCTCAAGCACATAAAGTCACGGATTGGGACCCATATTGCATTCCCTCCGGCAGCATTGAAGCTGGTCACGAGTGCCCCGACCAACAAGTTTATCCTCAGCGGTTTCGTCGAGAAGATCAAAGGTGATCCCGGGGCTACCTTTGGCCTTGTGGATGTCTACAGTCTTTTGCTCGCTGCTCGGCTTCTGGTCCCTCACGGCGAACTTGATGTTAATGATCAAGACCTCAAACTGTCAAATCAACGTTTATACATTGAGAACGGTCAACTCCCCATGCCCATATATACCGCCGTCCGCCATGAAATACCTCTGGACGAGGAGGAGGAGGAGCAATCCAAGGATAACCTCGCTCTCAAACACAGGATAAAGGAGAAAGCGAGGAAGGAAGCATGGTTTCAATGGATTGAAATGCACCCGTGGGAGGTCTGGTGCGAAGAGTTCGGTGCTGGTATACCTACTTGGAGCTTAGGTCGGCCCTTCAAAAACGGCCGGAACCTGCTGCTTGACAGCGGTGTTGCCCTGCCAGAGATTCGACAAAGTCTGCTCCTTGGGATCTGGGGGTCGGCCTTTTGCGCCACACTGGCGCACTACTACAAAGAGATCAAACCTGCTTTTATCGGGATGGTTGGATTCGACGGCGTCAATCAGCTGGTTGAAGAGAAGAATGAAGATCTCATCAAGATCCACCCCATTGACCCAGCTACGATACCCAATTTTGTGTATGGCATGGAAGGCCAGCTCCCGTCGACGTGTCCAGACTCGGTCTTCAAGAACGACCATCTCCAGCTGATGGACGCTGGAATGAGCAATAATCTGCCAATCTACCCGCTCCTCCGACCTGGCCGGGACGTTGACGTCTTGATTGCATTCGATGCGTCAGCAGATATCCAAAAGGAGAATTGGCTGTCGGTGGTTGATGGGTACGCCAAACAGCGCGGCATCAGAGGGTGGCCTGTGGGTGCAGGTTGGCCGAGGGAATCGTCTAAACCTCAAGAGAATGTCAAAGCACTGGAAGAAGCACAGGCGACCACTCCACAAGAAGCGGCCACAAAGCTCGCTGCGGCGAGGGAGGAAGATCGTGAGAACAAAGCTGCAGACAAGGACAACACTACAGAGAGTCCGACGACAGGCTCAGCTCCGGACGCGGCGAGCGTACTTGGGCCTTGCACCGTCTGGGTGGGCAGCAAGGCCGAGCGATCCAGCGATGAAGAACCACCGCCCTCCAAGAGTCTCAACTGGGACGCCAGCGACAACGAAGACTCGGCCTCGTTCCACTTGATGGACCCGAATGCCGGTATTGCCGTGATTTACTTTCCTCTGCTTCCACACCCGGATGTCCCGAACATCGACCCGGACAAGTCCGACTTTATGAGCACCTGGAATTTCATCTACACGCCCGAACAGGTCGACAGCGTGGTGGAGCTCGCCAAGAGGAACTTCGCCGAAGGTGAGGAAAAGGTGAGGGACACGGTGAGGGCCGTGTACGAGAGGAAAAAGAAGGTGAGGCTGGAGAAAGAGGACAAGAAGACCAGCAAGGAATGGAAGGGCCGAATACGGAGGGTGGGCAACACTTTTGTATGAAGTAAGACAAAGTTCGACAGAGCTGGATGGCCCAGAATCCAGTGACGGTGGTTGATGCCTGGCTGTTGTTGTCGGTACTTGGTTTCTACTGTGTCTTCGTCTAACAACAATGTGTTGGATCAGTCTTTGAAAAGACTCGTCGCCACAACCCACTCAAGACTACGAATTACGCTTCAAGGAGGACTTGGGTCGGAGTCAGGAGAAAGTCCACATGCCATTATTCAACAATGGCAACAGAAAAGGAAAGGTACTTGTAGGATAGAATACACTACAAGTATAAGTAGAGATGGCCTTGCCTTTTGAAATCCAGCTGATAAAGATTCCATTTTCATGCACGTTGATTGATCATTCCATATTTATAGTCTGTGGGTATTCTAATCAATTAACAACGGAAAGAAACGAAACCTCACAATATAATTCCATCAAGACTCAGTGGGGTATATAACACGCCATGCTTGCTAGACCAAACTAATTCAAGTAATCAACAACGACTTGGTTCTCGTCTCTTGGGTTCCCCTGGTGTCCGTCCTGGTGAGGGAGAGTTGCCTGTTCCATGTCTATATCTTACCAGTACACGACCCGGCCGATGGAGCGCGGTTGTGCGTGAACAATGACGCATATCACGAGACGTATATGGTACGGTAGTGTGGGCAGTAACGTCTCTGGGGCGCCGGGTTGGGGCTTTAGTGCAAGACACTGAATGCTGGATTGCATCCCCGCATGGGCAAGTGCTCGCGTCGCCTCGTAATGTAATGCAATACAACGCATCACTCGTGATGATTCATGGAATGTAAGAGTCAGGCGATCCGGAAAGCTGACCAATTACCCTCTGTGTGGTAGGTCGCCATTGCAAGACAGGTCGTAATGTTGCCATTCTGCTCCGTCGTCGAAGAGCCCGGATTCAATACTATAAGACGCGTGCTTTGGTGTGACCGTCGATTCTTCCATGGTTCATCAATAGTGCTGTTCGCACAGGGTGGCCGATTGGTGCGTGCAAAAGATAGCCCTGCGCGCAGCATAGGCCACGCCCATGTTTGCTTCCCAAGCCGTCGTTAAAGCAGAGATCCTCCACTTCCACGCAAGAATAGTCGACCTGGGATTGAGGTAACGCTGGACAGGGAGGATGGGACGATGAGGCTCTCATATAGGACTGTAATGCTCGCTTGTGACCCCGCTGCGTTCACACGGGTGGATCGCCTCCCCCTTTCTTGTTGCCTTTGATCGATTCCACAAACTCTTTGGCCCACTGTTTCGCCTTTTCGAGCTCTTCGTGGAGGAACTTCCACCAACTCCCTTTCTTTTCTTCCTGATCTTCGTCGGGTGTGTCTGCGTCTGGCTTTTCAGGGTCGGTGGGCGCTTCAACTGGAGAATCTGGATCGTCGTCGGGAGTTGCTTCCTCCTGATGCTCTTCCTCGTCGACGGGATCCACGATTGTGTCTGGGGTGTCTCCCTCTTGATCCTTGTTCTCATCGACGGGATCTGCCACCACTTCCGAGCCCGGCCTGTCATCCTCAGAATGCAAGCCTTCGGTTTTCAAGGGAAGTCTTAATGACCCGTTGTTTGGTTGTGGGACGATGCCCAACGAATCACACATGATATTGTAGACCTCGATGTTCTGGAAAACAGGTACTCGACTGTTGGGCGCGTGTGGAAATGCAGGCCCCCTGGCCACAAAGATAGCTCGCATGAGCGGATGCTCGTGATCGTAGCCATGCAGTCCTTTCGGCGTATATTCTCTGCCCGTGCTCAGCGCATCGGCAATGTCGAAATCGGATTTCTCCACGACAGCCCAGCCGGTCTTGGGAACGATCCACAATGGTGCGATGCGATCGTTCTGGTTAAAGTGATAACGCTCTGGCATGGTTTCAAGAGTGTAGACTTCGAAATTGCCTGATTTGGCGGCTTCTTGAGAGAGCTGTTCGTAGAGCACGGGGACGTCGCGGTCTGGATTCTTCAGGCGCAAGCCACGAAGAGGCCACCCGTCAATGTGGTCGACTAAGGACATATCCATGAGATCATCCAGTTGGATTAGTCGATTTGTGGACGTGGTAGCCATTCCATGGTCGGAGACGATGACAATGTTGACAATCTCGGTCAGGTTGCGTGTCAGGAGACCTTCGACGAGCAAAGTCAGCATGCTGTCGACATCCGCAATGGTGGCTCTGATCTCTGTGCTGTTTGGCCCGTAGAGATGTCCATCGGCATCAACATCGGGAACATAGGCAGCGATAAATTGTGGTCGTAAGTGTACCTGCTCAGCAGGGGCTTCGTCATCGTCGCCAGGCAGATCGAGCCACTGCAAAACCCTATCGACTTTACGAGACAAGGATTCATTCCCGTTGTACTTGTCCAAGTATGTCGGCTCCACGTCAGGTATATGCGCTTCAGAACCAGGCCACATGTGAATTGCAGAGCGGACACCCTGATGCTCGGCTGTAACCCACAGAGGCTCGGCGGTCCACCACTTGGGCTGCATCGAGACTTTGATGTTGGTGTACCAAAACTCTTCTTCAAACGCGGGATCCCAAAACTGGTTGCTGACTATGCCGTGACTTTCTGGATATAAGCCAGTCACCAGGGTGAAATGGTTGGGAAAGGTAACGGAGGGAAACGACGGGAGCATGTACTTGGGCGACACACCGCTCGCGATAAAGGCATTGAGTGCTGGAGTAATGTTGCGGTTGAGAAAGTCAGCGCGGAAGCCATCGAGAGAGATGAGTATTGTGGTCGGTCGGAAAACGTGCGTCCCGTTATGGTACCTGGTCAATCGGTGAACCGTGGGCGTCAGAGCGTGTTTCTTCGTAGAAGCCTTATAGGCGCCAAAGAGCAAGGCGACGAATAGTGCGACAATGGCCAGGTATATCATCGTCAGGCGTCCCCGATGGGATTTTTGAGGAGCATGTCTGTCCCATTTTGTGCCCTCAAACTCGGTGTCGGTAGAGGACTGGGAACTGGTGTCTTTGAAGCCGCTTTCCATCTCAAAAACTTTGTCTGCAGGTCTCGCTCCGCTTTTCCTCGACTTCCTGCGTCTGTGCCTCCGAACTTTGGCTGCATTGCTTCCCTCATCATACGTTCCATCCCGGAACCCAAAGGTCGCACGTGCTGACTCGAACTTCGACGGTTTGTGCAACAATTTCTCATGCTCTTCAGTTTCTTTGAGGATATCTCTGTCGCCCTCCCTGACACGGCCTCCGCTTTCGAAGTCTAGCTCAGTATCGGATCCTGAATCGGAGGGGACAATCGCGGCGTCTTCATCGTAGTGTTTCTCGGACAGGAGCCCGTCGCGTTCCCGTGCCATTTCGATATATTCTCGAGTTCCCGGTTTTGACAGAGCGGATTCGATTGGATTGTGCTAGAGCGCCATCGCTGGGCAAATAGGTGCCGCATGGAAAGAGGTGGCATGTGGTACAGCCTTTCAAACATAATCCGTACCCCCTTGAAGGCGCAGCTGAGGATTCCTCGGGATTCGGATCAACATTTATTCCGTTCAGCCTCGCCAACTCTATAAAGTGGGCTCAGCCTTGTCTAATCCCCTTTCTCTCGGTTTCAAAACTGATTGGGTTTTTCGAAAATCCACACTTGTTATGCGCCAATATGAGTGTCGAAATTAATGTGGCGGTGCGGTGATACCCGGCCAAGCCGCACTTCATATATCAGGCAGCAGTCAATTGGTTTGGTCCAAAAGTCAGGAATTGAATGTTGACAAGATCATACGGCTAAAATCTAACTTGGATATACATAAGGGGTCCTTCGAGATGGAGGGTTTTGAGAAGTTGCGCGCGGTCGGTATGCTGATCATATTCACTCTCAAATGTCACAGCTGTCGAGACTGACACGATTTTTGCAGGCAGGCTGGAACGTTACTCGACCGCTCGCCATGACCTGAAGTTCTATCTGGGGCCAGCAGTCACAGCCTTATACAAGCTCCCAAATAGCCGCTCCGATCAGTTGAGGGTTTGTGTCTACAAGGCTTTGGGAGATGTTATCACTCGACATCCGATTCTCTCAGCCATCCCGGTGGACGAGAATACCCAGGATCCATACTTCATTCGGTTACCAGAAATCAATCTCGACAAATGTGTGTTCTTCCAAACACGGCACCTAGATTACGACCCGGATGCTGGTGGGGAGCGAGATGTTGCACTAGACGACCTGCTGAGCACCCAGCATAGCGTCCCGTATGAGCCGCCAAACCCTTTTTGGAGACTCTTCGTCCTGACAAGCTCTGCTCGACCCGCTGAGTTCACTGCATCTTTCTTCTACCATCATGCCCTCGGCGATGGCATTTCGGGAATGGCATTTCACAGGACCTTTCATAGTGCCTTGTGCCAGGTCCTTTCGAACTTCGCAATTGACCCTCTCTTCACATCAGTCATCCCATCACCGTCGACGCCATTACTACCTAGTCTTGAATCCGCCCACCCACTACCTATCTCAACCTGGCACATCCTGACCGTACTCTTCAAGCACAAAATCTGGTCCCCCAGCCGCGACCCTGGTCTATGGACAGGTTCGAAGTGTATCACGCCATTGGGACGTACAGGTGCTCGTCATCTCGCCCTCTCGGCCTCGAGCACAACGGCGCTCAAGAACATTTGCCGTAAGAACGGCACCACCATTTCCGGAGCACTCCAGACGCTGATCGCAGGGGCACTATTTGCCCATCTGCCCGAAAAGTTCACCAAGGTGGCATGTAGTGGCGCGCTTTCTGTGCGCGGATTTCTCCCTGCGGACGCTGGCATCACGGAGGACAGCATCGGGGTTTGGGTGCAAGGCATGTCCGACACATACGTTCGAGACCACTTCTCTACCCAACGCGGAGGGTCGGACGAGGGAGCACATGATCTGTTACTACCATGGCCCGAAGCCCGGCGATCCCGCCAGAACATTGAACGCGTCTTGAGCTTGAAGGGCCACAATACAGACGTTGGCATGCTCCGGTTCGTGCAGGACTACCAACAGGAACTATTTCTCTCCAAGGTCGGCAAGGACCGGGACTCGAGCTTCGAGGTGTCTAACCTGGGCCTGTTCAAGAAGCAGCCGCCTTCAGGGGACGTCGAAGGAGTGGAAATGGGGAGGATGGTCTTCACGCAGAGTGCCGGCGTGACGGCGAGTGCGATCCAAGTGTCCGTCGTCACGGGGGCTGATGGATGTTTGGTGCTAGGAGTTACATGGCAAAAGGGGGTCGTGGACGACGACCTTGTCGAGAAGATCTTGAAGAGCGTTAAAGAAGAGGTCGAGCGCTTAGCAAGCAATGACGGCGTCTCTTCATGAGTTTTCCTCACTAGCACTTGTGTAACGATTTTGGTCCAGTGGTATAAGACCCACTTTGCACAGACAGACAGTAATAGATGTGGATATAATATATAGACTAATAGTATCAGAGGTACCAGTGCCATCAACACCGCTAAAGATCTCTTCTACGGTTCGCACATGCTGTAATTGATCGCCATGGCCACTGTGGTGCTTTTCATGTTTGGGGGAAGGGAGACAGGGGGCTATTGTCCCAAATTGGCAGTATCTCTCGAGAATCGAGATTGCTGTGGAAAATGGAGGGACGTGTGATTGGAAGGTGATAAAGGGGCTCTCACACTCCATACCGCTTCAAAAGTTGCTATGATTTATTTAAAGAGCCATCCAACTCCAACTCTGTAGATGGTATATATCTTTTGAGCATTTAGCCTCCCGTGAATGTTTCAATAGAACAGGATAGGACGCTGGGACTCACAATGTTCCACAGACGACGGCCTGCACCCCAAAGTCTCCAACACATCCGTCTCGCACGGCGCGTGGCGAAACGGCAACTCGTTGCAACCCTTGGTCCTGTTCACAGCGACCTCGAGGAGTTCTATGCTTCGGTGCCTCTTCCTGATGGTCATAGGGGAGAGTTGAAAGTGGTGCGACCTAAACCGTTAGCAATGCAGTCACAAGCATCCACCCCGGGAGTGACCATTGAGACTGTGCCTTCTTCTCCAGCAGACGGCGGCAACGCTGGTCATCCGTTGATTGTCCTCTTTCATGGCGGAGGATTCTCCAACGGCAGCGTCGATTACATGACTCGTCCGGCGCGAGATTTTGCGCTCGAATTCCACGCCGTGGTTATTTCTGCGACGTATCGGCTCGCGCCCGAGCATCCGTTCCCGACGCCGATGCAAGATGCTTGGGATACGCTGGTGTGGTTGTCCCAGCACGCGGGGGAATTTGGTGCCAACCCTATCCGGGGTTTTGTAGTCGGCGGAGTTTCAGCCGGAGGGACCATGGCCGCTGTTTGCAACCAGTTGGCACGGGATCGAGGACTCACGCCACCGCTCACCGGGGCATTCGTGTCCATTCCTCTTTTGCTCGTCAAGGAGATCGTTCCGGACAAATACAAAAGGGAGTGGACCTCGATGGAAGACAACAAGAACAACCCGTCCCTGAACCGAGACACGATCCAGCATATCATCCGCACACTGAGCCCAGACATCCGATCTCCCTTGTTTTCACCTTTCAACAGCAAGACTCCTCACGTGGGACTGCCTCCGACATACGTACATGTAGGAGGACTGGATGTCCTGAGGGATGACGGCTTGCTATACGAAAGGGCGTTGAGGGCAGCGGGGGTGCCGACACGGTGCGACGTATTTCCTGATCTGGGCCATGCTGCTTGGACTATCCATGCAACAGAGTACTCTCGACCACGACTAGGGCCGAAGATGATGGAAGCGATGAGGTGGCTGTTGGGTCAGGAAGGACTGAAGGACTGAGGGCACCAGTTGCGGCCACTGGACGATGAAGTAGGCGATTCACCAATTGTTATGCTCTTTGCTTCTGGCCTGTGCTTGATATAGTAACTACTTACCCATATGTGCATTATTTGACAAGCCTTCCTCCTACTTCTTTCCCTGTCTCATCGATTCATCAACACGCTTCCGCATGCGAATCTAAACTGTTTCCACTGACCAAGCATTCTCCTACAACAGCCTCCGAAGTTCTTTTGTTTGGGAAAGAGCGCTCCAGCCTCGTCTGCCCAATCAGGACTAGTGCCATCGAGGGGTCGATCATTACATAACCAGGAAAAAGTGGGGAAACATCCCATCACATTTCCCCACACAAGTGCGAAAATGAAATAAATTTCTGGAAATCGACATTTGTGCTGCCGACTAAGTTGTGAAACAACCCAGGTTCTGGAACAGGACGTGGTATGTCATTGCCTTATAGATTCAAGGCAGGAGGTACAGGAAACAGTGCCACAATGGCACACACCACCACCACTTCTGTCCATCACCACCGGAGCACGACAAAGGTCGACCATAAACCCTTCAAGTCGCGGTTCGCCTCCAAGAGCGCCTTGAAGGGCCAGGCAAAAGGTGAGAAAAGCCAGTCTGTCTGACACGATATTCCTGCTGATTTTAATTGCAGGAAAAGTCGAAAGTCAACGGTCCGAGAGAGGCCAGAGAAAGACCCCTCACCAGCAAGTCATGTCGAAATTGGCCAGACGCAACCAAGCCAAGCAACTGCGCATGCACCACAAGGACAAGAAGGAGGGGGAAGAACTCATGTTCCAAGGTGTCGATGGGGCAGCAAAACATATTGCAGTGGTGCCGCTGTCGAGTGACGTCGACCCATACTCGGCAATTAAAACACTGAATGAAAGTGTAGATGTTTCGGACTCAAATGTCTCATCTGGAACCGTACCTGTCCGAGTGGACCGGTTCCGGCGAAATCTTCTCTATCTGCCTGCTAAATTCGACCTTTTCAACGCTCTGGACATTTGCAAGCTTGCAGACTGGGTGATTTTCGTTCTCGACGCGGAGCAGAAATACGGCGAAGAGGAGGATTTGTTTCTGAGATCGCTCGAAGGCCAGGGCATCACGAATGTGACAGCCGTCGTGCACAATCTGGATCAGAAAGTCCCAGCTCCCAAGAGGATGCGACATCTGACGGAGATGAACATCGCTTTGGGCCGGTACTTTCCCGCCCTGGACAAACTATCCAGCCTAGACAGCAAATCAGACTGCTCCAACCTGGTGCGGCGGATATGCACAGCTTCGACGCGAGGAATTCGGTGGCGCGACGACAGGAGCTGGATGTTGGTTGAACAGGCTAAGTGGAGTCCCCAAGTGGACGAAACAGCCACGACCACCAGCGTGACGCTGTTGGGGACGATCCGCGGGAAAGCCCTGAACCCGGATCGCCTGGTCCATGTCCCAGGTTGGGGAGACTTCCAGATCTCCTCGATCCGACAGGTACCTCGTCCGGGACAAAAGAGGAAGGCGGAGGAGATGGACGCAGATGAGCCCATCAAGGAGTGGAAACCCACCGCGGATCAAGACGACCTGGCAGAGCTTGCACCCGAAGAAGCCGAGATGCAGGATGCGGCGAGCACCGTAGCAACCACGGAGCATAAAGGGGTCCTCCTTGACGACCATCACTACTTTTCCGACGACAACTCTCACATCCCTCCCCGACCCAAGAAGCTCCCCCCAGGGACCTCCAACTACCAAGCAGCCTGGTTTCTGGACGACGTGTCAGACTCGGAATCGGACATGATGAGCGAGGACGGAGACCGCGACGGCGACGTAGCGATGGACGCTGAGCAAGAATCTCCAAACATCGAAGACGGCGGCAGTGTGACCGGAGGCAAAGCACCCTCGGAATATCCGCAATCAGAAATGAACCTCGACAACGATGACGATGAGGAAGACAACGACGCCCCGCTCGAAGCGGAGGAAGAAGCACGCCAACTCGCCGAGTTCCGCGCCAGCCGCAGGAAGAGGGAAGCCGAAGAGGACCTGGAGTTCCCGGACGAGATCGAGCTGCACCCGGACGTGCTGGCGCGCGAGCGACTGGCGAAATACCGCGGACTGAAGAGCTTGCGGACCAGCGAGTGGAACCACGCCGAGGACGCCCCCTACGAACCCGCCGAGTACAAGCGGCTGCTCCAGGTGCCCGAGTACAGGAAGGCGTACAGCAGCGTGATGAAGGAGTCTCTCGCCGGCGCCGTGCTCGCGGGCACCAGAGTCGAGATCGAGCTGCGCGATGTGCCGGTGTCGCTGCAGTCGAGCGCGCCCCACCCGTCGTCCATGTTCTCGCTCCTGCGGCACGAGCACAAACACGCCGTGATCAACCTGAACGTGACGCTGCGGTCGGACCTCGAAGAGCCCATCAAGTCCAAGGACGAGCTGGTCGTCCAGATCGGCCACCGCCGACTGCTCATCAACCCGGTCTTCTCGGCCGCGGGCCAGACGCCCAACGACGTGCACAAGTTCGACCGGTTCCTGCACCCAGGCCGCACGGCGATCGCGACCTTTACAGGACCGCTGACATGGGGGTCGGTGCCTGTGCTGGTATTCCAGCGACAAGCACCTCGCCAGCCATCCGACAGCGGAGACACGACAGCAGCACCCGCGCTAATCGACTCGAACACGACAACCTCTACCACTACCTCAGCCCCTACCGCCACGCCGTCATCACCACCTTCCTCGCTCCGCCTAATCGGCACGGCGACGACACTCCCGCCATCATCCTCGCGCGTCGTGGCCAAACGGCTCATCCTGACCGGCCACCCGTTCAAGATCCACAAAAAGGTCGTGACGGTGCGGTACATGTTCTTCGACCGGGCCGACGTGCAGTGGTTCGCGGCGCTGCCGCTCTTCACGCGCCGGGGACGCCAGGGCTTCATCAAGGAGCCGCTCGGCACGCACGGCTACTTCAAGGCCACCTTTGACGGGCGCGTCGGCCCGCTCGACGCCGTCGCCGTCGCCCTGTACAAGCGCGTGTGGCCGCGGGGGGCGAGGGTTTGGGAGTGAAGAATGGACAAGCCCAAGGTCAGGCAAGGAGAGAGGAGGCAGAGGAATGGAGGGGGAGAAAAGGGCGCGGGTAACGGGTAAAGGGTACCGGATGGAAATGATGTGTCTGGTTCGGACAGGGCTGAGGTTGCAGTTGCTGAGGTCGGTTGAGCTGAGGTGGACTCGCCTGGAAAGGTCAAAGGTACACGGAACGGGGTAGAATGTACAGAGGCACGCGGAAAATGATGACGATGAGCGAGCACGAATGACAAAAACAATGAGATGGTTATGATCACGACAAGTCTTTACGCATGAATAGAAGATAGAAAGAACCCTCTACACTGTGATGTAGATCATGTATCATTGCCAGATGATATAGGAACTTCCCCAGAAACTCCCCCAGACTCTCCCCGGCGCCAGACAGATCGGAATTGACAGCATCACCAAACACCCACCACATCGAATCTTGTTCCTTTACGATTCTGGCTTCCCCCGATGTCGATAGGAACAGGTTCGACCCATTTCCCTCGACCAAGCAATGATCGATCGGCCTCGTCGTCGTCGTCGTGCGATGCTCTTCCCCTTTGATATCGACAGCATCGAGCTCGGCTTGATTTCATTGCTGTGGCGGCGTGTAAGATTCCAACAATTCCATGACATACCACTGGTTCTCTTTTTTTGCATATTCCATTGCACTCTCGCACACCTTGGAGATGGGTCTAGGTCCATTGTAGTTATCCAGCAGCAATTTCACCATGTCAATGCGTCCCCTTTCTGCTGCTCCGTCGATTGCCCGTCTGCCTTCGATGGGGCTTGGATCGGCATCAATCTCAGCGCCATGTTTCAGAAGAATTTGTGCAATCCCCAAGGATCCTTGGATCGCGGCTGCTTGCAAAGCTGTGACTCCAGCCCGAGGGCCAGCTGGAGCGTTGACTGCTGCCCCCTCTGATAGCAAATACTGAACGAACTCAACATTCCCCATCTCAGCAGCAAGTTGAAGCGCCGTCCTCCCGAACCGATTACTTGATGGCGCAGCGTTGATATCAGCACCTAGTTCAATGAGTGTGCGTGCACACCGCAGTGCTACGGTGTGTCTGGCACCAATGCAGTCGGCATACTTGAGTGCGGCCTGCAAAGGAGTGTGTTGCGTGGGGTGTCTTCGGTTGACGTTGATGTGGCAGCCGAGCAGCAGCTCCACTATCTGGGCTCTCTGCTCGGCCTTCTCTATCCCATCTCTTGCCAACGAATCAAAAGTGCAGAATAGAGGATATCCAACATTGACATCGACCCCAGATAATACCAAAAGCCGTGCCATCTGGATATCTCTCCAGTAACATGCTTCGTCAAGAGCGAGTCGACGATGATCTTGATGCCACCAGTTCTTTTCGGTTGCACCTTGGGCCTCCAAATATGGATCTGCCCTATGCTGAAGCAGTAGTTTTGTCATTTCAAGGTCCGAATTTGCGACCGAAGCAATTATTGGCGATGAGGGTGTACGATAGCAGGTGCCAACATTGACCTGAGCTCCGTGGTCGAGAAGAAATTCGACAATGTCTCTGCGTTTGGCTTCCACCGCGAGTTGTAAGGCGGTCAAGCCGTCAGTGTTGGGATAATTTCCCTTGCTTGAGTCAGACTTGTTCACGTCGGCGCCAGCGTTGCACAGCATGGTAACAGCGCTCAGGTTGCTCATAGCAGCTGCCCAGTGGATGGGAGGTAAACAGCCGTCAATTGGAAGACCAGATATTTGCTTTGTGTTCTGCCATTGTATCCGGGACGGGCTGGGAGATGCATCGTTGGGATCTGCACCCCATTCAAGCAAAAGGGACATGAGGATCAAGTCTTGATTCAAAACGGCTGCTATCAACGGCGAGGATCCATCCCTAGACTTGCCGTTTGGAGATACGCCGGCTTCCAGCAACTCCAGTGACCGGTCATAGTTGTGTTGTCTGATGAATCCTTGAAGAATAGCTGTTGAATGATCTGGGTTCGAGCAGCAGTCGAGTTTCGCACCAGTCTCTCGTAACAGGTCGAATATGGCCCCGAAGCCTCTTTCTGCCGCTCGTTGAAGCGCTGTGCCTCCCTCTCTTCCGGATGAGCATCGATCCAGATCAGCTCCTGCAGAGATCAATCGCCGAACTATGGGTTCACTCCCTGAAGACACTGCTCCTTCAAGAGGAGACAGGCTGCAATCTTGCGTGTCGGCTGGGTTGATCATGGCTCCCCGGCTGATCAACATGTCGACCGTCGCTCCTCTTCCATGGGATGCAGCAATCGATAAAGGAGGTATACCGTATGCTGGATCCGCTATTGCTCCGTGGTCCAGGAGGTATTCCAAGATGGCTGGATCCTCAAGGCTGGCTGCTGCCTGTATTGGGAAGAGGAAATGAAATCGAGTATCCTCGTCGACACTAACCAATGTCGTCGCCGCTATTTCCCGAATGACTTGTTTCCTTGTCCTTTCGTCGAAAATGTCCAAGGTCGACCAGTTTGGATCCGCATCATGCGCAAGCAGTAGCTGGACTATGTCCAAATTCCCACACTGAGCAGCAAACAGGAGGGGAGACACGTAAAGCATCTCTCCCAAGGTTTTCATGAGACGCTCATGTTTGCGCAAGATTGGACCGTTTGGATTTGCACCATAATTGAGGAGGAGTCGGACCATCTCGGCGTCACCAGAATATGCCGCTACGCAAAGAGCCGTCCGACCACTGTTAGTCTCTCGATGAGAAAGGTGACATTCATTGACCGTCGCCCCTCTTTGAAGAAGCATCTCGACCGTTTCCACCCTAGCACCGTAACGGATGGCACTCACAATCACTGGACCAGCTGGTGCTGTTATCTGCGACTTGAGGAGGAGAGGGAGGAGTTCAACAGTTCTCCATGAAGATGCAGCCGCCGTAATAGCACAGCGTTGTTGTGCCCATTCAGCCTCACAAGCAAAAAAGCACCCAGGCAATTGAAAGTGCTCTTCAGCGATGCGTTCAGGCGATTGCCTGTATACTGAACAGGGAAACCTATGTTCAAATCGGTTGTCTGTTCTTTCCGAGGTTACAACTACGCCAGCATCAACAAGTACCTCAATAGTGCGAACGCTTCTCGACCGAACTGCCTCCACAATCAAAGTCACCGGGTAGAGGCCAGTAGACCACTGATTCATATTTGCCCCGTTTCTCACCGCACTTTTCACTAGGTTCGACTTGTCCAACCTCACGGCTGCAAACAGAAGTTCGGACATAATGGCGCGAGTGCTGGGGTCGTCTCCCAAACGAAGCATTTGAAAAGCACTAGGCTCAGCCATCTCGTCGAGAGCTATGACAAAGGCTTCAACTTCGTGCCGCCCCAGAATGTTGTTGGCCAGCAGAAGCGCCGCGAACGAGGTGAAGGTCTGCATTCTCATTTTCGAGTGGGGGTCTATTAGTTGATCGACAACGTTTTCGGTCTCCCCAGGCCATCTCTCGGGCATGTATGTTGCGATCTGAGCCATGGTAGATGCCAAAATCTCTCGGCTAGACCACCATGGTGATAGATTCAAGAGGTTGGTAATCCCTGCACTGACGATGTTACTGTCTCTAGCACCCTTCTGTGTCTGATGGCGATGATGATGTGCAAAGTCGGGGTAAGGAAACGAAGGTTGATCCGTTTCGATCTCCACAGTGAATCCGAGAATATCTTCTTTGCATGAATCATTGTACCCCAATCCCAGTAAATCATCGCTGATATCAAGGATAGCGGATGGTAGGGGTGATGGAGAACGACTTTCTTTCCTCGCCAAACTTGTCATGGCCAATTCGAGCCGAGTACATATCTCGTGCCATGGCAGCGAGATGACGAGACATCGGGGTATCTGGATCCTTGGGCGGATGAATATCCCTTCAGGAGTTCGAGGCCTCACGACCGTTTGCATCAGTGTGGGTGGATCATTTCTGGAAAGCTGCCTCTTCAGTCTTTGCTTTGAAATTAGTTGCCCATCCAAGAAGACATCCACATCGTCAGCCGTGAGATTCATGCGCTTAAGGATCAGGCTGAGGTCTTTCCAGAAGTTGCTTTTTTGTTTTTTCTGAACGTGCCAATCTTTGAAGCGCCTCATGTATTGAGACTTGCTATTAAGAGGTGAGCTGAAATCAGAGCCGTGTCACGAAAGTAAATACCTTGCCTTGAAGCCATGCTCGGTGGACATCACCTCTATCAGCTCGGTCATGGGCATGTCTTCGTCCTTATACAGGCGACAGATGGTCGGCTTGTGTTTGTGCCAATCGGCATTGGAGATTTTGTGAGGCACTGCCATGGTGCCGATAGGGGGGTGGGAAGCGTGAGAGGCAAAAGGATTGTGGCCGAGAAGGAAAGACGACCGCGCAGATGATGGTGCACCATGGTCGCTTTATAGCTTTCAGGAAGTGAGATGGCTAAATCGATGAGGCTGTCGTTTCATAGTATGGGCCATGTTGGCAAGGCACCTGGTATTCTGTGTCCTCTGGGCGCGGTCAAGCCACCCGTTCTGATTCGCTATTGCCAGAAGTTGACCCGAAGCGCAGAGGGAGGAAGCTTCGTTCTACCCGGAAAATGCGCCCCACCGCCAGCCCTTGGGAGCAGCTGACTGACCAACGGACCGGGGGAGTGATTGGCCAGGGTCGGAGTTTCGCCAGCCCAAACATTCGTTGGCCTTGCCGAAGAATTGTGCTTCAAGTAGTTCCCACCTCTTGCCGCTCGCACGTCCATTATTGGGTTGTATTGTCGTTTGTCCCTTCATGTTGATGGGGAAGTGAAGTGCAGGGCAACGCGGAAGTTGTAAGGTGCGTCCACGGAAATGCTTGGTTCGCGAAGATAGTCTTGCTTGTCTCCCCTCTCACATCAGAGACGCAAGAGAACTTGCAGGTCGGTGGAATCGAGGGCGGGGAATTACAGGTATGTCAATCAAGTCAATAGGCTGAGTTGGTTTGAGGAAAAAAGTCAACTCGTGTGGATGTGACGTACAAGGCTGAGCTTCAGCCTCACCGCATTCTCATCCATTGCTGTCTACTTCGGCCGCAACGCAGCCTCAACGCTTCACTGCCCGTCTCTGCAACATCTCAATATCCTTCCTGACCCCTTCCATCTCCTCTTCAATCTCTTTGTACCTCTTTCCCAGTCTCCCCATGATGCTCGCTCCGGGATCGATTGCCTCGTACTCGGCCAGTACGCTTTCCAACGAACCGATCCTGTTATCCAGCTCGTCCTCCTCCTTTTGCACCTCGGCCATCTTCTTTCCGATCACTTCCTTCCGCCTCTCCGCTTCCGGAGAAAACTCAAACTCTTTCCTCGCCTCCAGCACCAGCACCTGCGCCTTCAACGCCATCGCCTGTGCTACGGTGTCCAGGAAAGCAATCTTCGACATTGTGTAACGAGACAGGACGCCGTGCTTGGAGGTTTCGAGGTGCTGAATCTGCAGTTGCAGAAGCTGGCGCTGAAGAGTGAGCAGTTGCTGAAGAGTGGCGGTCAGCGTTGTCAGTGATGATGGGAGGACATTTTCGCGGAGGTCGGAGAGGTGGGATAGTTGGGTCTGGACACTTTCCCGCAGGTTCCAGGATACACGCAGGCGGCCCTGGGCGCTCTTAGATCTGCCCACCCCTTCGTCTTCCTCTCCATGCCCATTCTCCAGTGCAATATCCGACAATGCGCAAAGCGACGACTCGAGCTCGACGAGGCGCGAAGAGACCGCGTCAGCGATAGTGCCGATGTTCATCTTGAAGCGCACGATATCCTCGTAGAGAAGACCTTCTTCTTCTTTATCATCCTTCCTCATGCCTTGTTGTTCTCTCACCCCCCTCTGGCGCGAGTGAACATCATCTGATGACGACGAGGAGAAGGGAGATCCCGATCCGTCAAGCATGAGGTGTAGATACGCGGCAATAACACGAACAAGTTCTCCTAGATCCGGCGGTATATCTGTGACCACATTGTCTGTTTTCCCGCGTGTCAAGGATGAATTCGCCGTCATCGTCTGGCCCTGGAGATTGGACGTCTGGTTCGTGACATCGGCCATCTCGGCATTCGGTCCTCCAGCTCCTGCGTAGGGCGCAGTTGTGACGCCTGTGGCGGCGGGAACCGGTATGCGATTCTCGCCCCTCTGATGACTGCGCGGCGGCTCTGCCCCCGGGGATCGAAGATGGGATTCACTCGCGTCACCGTGGCTTTGACCTACGGAGAGGTTAAGACAGGCGACACCATCGAGCACGTCGCGGAGGATGCGTCTCTTGACCCTGGCGACCCTGAGGGCATGGAGTTGTTGATCGAGGCTCAAGGGTTTTTGTTGGTGTTTCTCATGCTTGCCTGCGCTGCCATCATCATCTTCCATGTTGTCGTCGTCGTCTCCTTCATCTTCGCCATCGTCATCCTCAGCCTGGCTGTCAAGTTCTTGTTCCTGACCCAGCTCTTTTTCTTGCCCATCTCCCTCTCCCTCTCGAGAACCACAATACCGAACCGATCCATCTTCACCCACGCCACCATCGCCCACACTCCTCTGTCCGCCCCTCCTCGTCACCCTCGTCCTCTTCTCCGTCCTGATCCTCCTCCTCCTTCCAACTCTCCACGCCCGCTCCCTCCCCTCCTCTTCCTTCCTACTCGACACGTCTCCCCCATCCAACAACTCCGTGGTGACATACTCCCACAACCTCGCAAAGGCGGGGTTCGCCTCCAAGTCGGACGCCGCGATCAATCGGATCATTCCTGTTGTCTGCCTTCAAAACTTGCCTTTCTGCCTATTTGCCTGTCCTCATCCCCCTTCACCTCTTCAGACTGGCCTCTCTGCGTCTGGCACACCCGAGTACGTTTAGAACCACGCGCGTCCCTCCCGGTTCTGATTGGGTTTGTCAACACACACAGCCAAGCAGCCAGCCAAACCACAAGACTGAAATCTTACAACGCGACCTCAGCCAAAAGACACCACTGCAGAAGACGAGGCAAAGACCCCCAAAACGGTCAAGAGTCCAGACGCAGATGGGCTCGCAAACGCAGCGACAGCAGCACAACACTAGTACCTATGTGAATGTGACGGACGTGGATTTTGGCTCCGCAAAGACATTGATGGTCAATTCAAAAGTGGAGCGGGGATTGAAAAGAGCCAAAATCGATTGGCTAAAAAAAAGGAGACAGTACTAACATCGCATACAATTTCCTCAGATACCCGGTGCTCGAATATACAAGTAGAAAGGAGCAGAAGACGGACTTGATTGGGTGCTACTGTTTCTTTTCATTCTTTGTTCATTCATTTCATTTGCGTTTCTCTCCAGTTTGAGCGCAGCGTCTGCCTTCTTACTCAGCGAAATGGGATACTGTCTACAAACGTGAACCGCCGATCTCAACCATCGGGCGAAACTTGCTGTGTGTTTCGGCTCAATTCCTGACAGCCGCACTTTGATAATAGATCTGTGCGAGTTTGATCACCAGTGGTTGCTCTGTTCAGTTGCGCAAAGCAAATTTTGGTCTTCGTTTCAGTCATTGCTGAGATCCATGTGGGATTACCCCATCATTCATCGAGCTGCCCAGCGATACCAATGTAGGGAAAAAAGCCTATTCCTCCTCGCTCTCCTCTGAGTTGTCATCGTCGCTACTGTCGCCCGTCTCTATCGAAGGTACGGCATTGGGGGAAATGGGTCCGGCGTAAGCTCCCAGCTTGCCCTTCAACTCCTCAATCTGTGCCTCCTGCTCATGTTTGCTCATGGGCTTGCTCTTCTTGCTTTTCTGATGAGCCGGCGCATGGTAGGCCTCGGCAGCATGTTCCACTTTGGGCTCATCTGGAGGGGGACCGGCATATTTTTTGACAAAGCCGAGTAGCTTCAGAAGTGCGCTGTTAGGGACTTCCTCGATATCCAGCTCTATTTCGTTCTGATCACTGTTGGCCAAGGATGGGACGCTCTGCTGAATGATGCGCAAGGCTTCCTGCATTTGTTTCTCCGGCAGCATGGCAATTCCGTTAGAAATGTACTGCTTCTCGGCGAACGTGACATATCGGTCTTTCTCTTGCTTCTTGGATTGGGGTTTCTTCTTTTCCTTCTTGTCCTTGCTGGGTTTGGAGACTGCGCCCTCGGATTTCTCCTTTTTGGGTTTCGACTTGTCCTTCTTCTTCGTGGGCGGCGATTTGGATTTCTTGACCTTCTTTTGCGTCAATTCACCCATCTGCTTCGACATCTCCTCAATCTGTGCCTGCAGCTTTTTGATCTTTTCGTTCCGCTCCTCTTCGCTATCACCCTCCGCTTCATCTTCGCTTTCCTCTTCTTCCTCTTCGTCGTCATCCACATCCGATTGCGTGACTGATGGTGGTTCCCGCGCAGCAAGCCAGTCATCCTTCGTCGCCCATTTCTTGTTGAACAAATCCTCCAGTTGATGACCAGAAGAGTTGACCAAGTCGCCTTCAGGGTTGAATTTGTAGCAGTTTTTGAATATTAGCCGGATGTCCTCCTCAAAGTCCTTGGCCTTTTCGTAAGCGTTGTTCTGGAGTTTGGTCTTCACCGTTGTCAAATCCATCGGCTTCTTGATGATCTGGAAGTATGTTGGGATGTTCAAGGCCACCGGATCCACGGGATACATGAAGTATTGGTTTGCTTGCCAGTGTTTTGCGTTCATGAGCTCCTTCAGAACTTCATCGCAGAACTTCAGTTGCAACTCATACTTCTTCTTCCTGGGTCTGCCGCCTCCAAACTCGGAGTTACGCTTAGTGGGAACAATGGCTCTCTTGGGTCGGCCATCTGTCAAACTCGAATCGCGTCGAATCAGAGGCATCCCATCAGGATTCGGTGCGAAAGCAGGAGTTGGGGGAGCGGCCGAGCTGGGTGAACTAGCTGCACCGACATTCGGCGTAGATGTACTCACGGACGGTCGTCGCGGAGGCGCTGTTCTCGTCGGTTCTTGTTTCTTGACTGCTTTCTTAACCTCTTTCGAAGGCTCTTCGATGCTGGCCTTGGGCAGGTTCCTCATTTGGCCATCAAACGATGCCTTCATTTTTCTGGCTTGTTGTGAGACTCCGTGATCGGGCCCGTTGAAAGTGAAACAGTTATGCACAATCAGTTCAAAGTCGGCCACGAATGTAGCCACCGACGAATATTCGTTGCGTTTCAACCGCTGGTCAATTGTGCCTAGATCCATGGGTTGCTTGATGATCTCTGGATATGTTGGGATGTTGAGTGCGACATAGTCCACCGGAAGTCTGAAAGGTCCAGACGCATTGCTCTTCTTTAGATTGGAAATCACTTTCTTCATGTGTGCCAGGCGCGCTGGTGTAACCGAATCGTCACCATCCTCCGTGACTGCCGCGGAAGCTTCAGTGTCGCCGTTAGCTGTGACTGGCGATGACACTACGGGTGGAGGTACATCCGGAATCTTGAATTGTGGCTCTTCAGTCAGCGGGCGGGGTTCGTCTGTCTTAACGCGCTTCGAGGCACGCTCTGCATCTTCGGCGTCTTCATCGCGTTCGTGAACCTGCTTGGTCGGTTGCGGCAACGCATCTGTCATCACTTGATCTTCGGGCTCAGCTGGAGCAGGGACGGCCGGTGTTGGCGCGGGTTCCCTGGGTTCTTCCACTGCAGGAGCCAACTCTGTGACCTGCACCGATTCTTCCGGCTCTGGTTGCGCGGTAGAACGATCTGAGAGCTTCTGGTCAGGCAAAGTCGCAGGTTCTGCTTGTGGTGCCGGAGGGGGGGATTGCGCGGGTGGGGAAGGAAGACCGATGTTTGTGGCGGCTGAATCGACGATCGGCACTGTTTGGAATGAAGTGTTGGCAACCTCTGGTTTGAGGGAGGTGGTTAGGTCAGCAGAGTTGTCGAGCTCATGTTTCTGGGCCTCGACCTTTGCCACAGCTTTTGGAGTCAGTGCATCAGAGTGCGGCGCAGTACGCAGATCGGATACCGGCAACTCGGGTGGGAGCGTTGGGGGTTCTGAAATATCCATGGTTGACTGACTTGTCTCCAACGGCGTGACCGAGGACTGGGTCTCTGCGGGCATAGAAGAGGGAATAAAAGATTCAGTCAGGTTGGATTCCGATATTGATGTCGCCACTGGGATGTTCGCAGATTGGTTGTCGGCTGAAGATTGAGGTTGCGAATCGGGAACAACGGTAGGGGGTTCCTGGACAGGTTCGCTGGGATGATCTGTGACTCCATTTGTGGCAGGTGGTGGTGGCAGCGCTGCCTCAGAGGAAACTGAAGGCGCCACTTCAGGGGCTGCTTCAGAGACAGTGTTTGTTACTGGTTCTGTAACTGCCTCTGTAACTGCGTCCGGCACTGCCTTGACTGAGTCTGGTTGCGCTGCGTCAACTGCAGGCTGTTTCGGTGGATTTGGATTCACTGTCGCCTCTGAATTTGATATTGACGCGGCCAGGTTGTCAGCAATATGAGACTCCTCTGGCTGCTCTGAGGTTGAACTGAATTGCGTTGGCAATCTAGTGAGGGTCAGATGAAACGAATTGCGCCGTGCCGGAAAGGTCAAGTCCACATACCCATGAGCCTCCATCTGCATTTCCACGTCCATGTTGCCAAGAGCGAGTGCGCAAATCTCAGGTCGATAGAGATCGGACCAGCCGAAAGGGAACAAGACGGTTTGGCGAAAAAGTTATTAATTAAGAAGTGAGATATTTTACAAGGCGCAACGCGGCGCGGCGAACTGGTGGCGTGTGAAGAAAAAGAACGGCAAAACAAAGGGCGCGCGCGCAAAGGTGAACGCGGGCCAAGAATGAATTCGCGAACAAGGCGCAGGGAGGGTCGAGATTAATAAATAGTCGGGAAGATGCAGACGGGATGATGGTGTCGATGCAGACCAGTGTCTTCCGTGGCGACACCAACTTCAACACCAGCCTCGCGAAAATCTCGACCGGTCATGTGACAAGCAAATCCAGGTCACGTGAAGGCTCAGAGCAAGCCTCGCCTCACCAGCGAGCTGCGTGTTTCAATTACAGGAAAAGGAAACAGGCAACAAGTCGGACACTGGAAGACAAGTGGCGACAGTGATGGCGACAATGACGAGGGCGATGAGGGCGATCGAAGATCGATGGCCGATGATGGATGGTAATAGACTTATTTGAAGAGGTGATGGGATGCGCGTGGGATGGATTGGGATTGGAGAATGTTTTTGTTTGTTTGGCGCGTCGTCAGCGGGCCGTGCAAGAGGGAAATCAGGAAAAAAAAAAGAGGTGGTTTCAGAAGGAAGGCCAGCCGAGCGGCGGTATTTCAGGTTGAGGTGCAAGCGACACAACAAAATTTGCGCGGAAGCCCGTTAAATAGGATCGGGCATTCGCAGCCACCGAGGGGGGTTGCAAGTCCACCAGGAGGCCCACTGGGCCAACTGCGCTCTGCGGCCCTGCAGCGACGCTAGGTGATGCTGACATGGGTATCCCTGCAGAATCTCCAGAGTGGATGCACAGAGTCGTCGTCGACCTGCTTTGATTGGCCTGGTCCGTCTCCTGCTGGCTTCCAAGGTTCTTAGCTCTGCCCAAGCAAATCGATGGCTGCCCCCCAAACTTCTGATTCCGAGTCCTGTGTGCGGCCCTGCCTCTTCCCATTTCTGCCCTTCCTTTCCCCTCCGCCTCCCTCCATCTCAAGTCGCCGCTGGTTGCTTGTTGCGTTCTTTGCTCCCCTTCTCTTTTGCCCACTCGTGGCCTGGTCTGACGCCTCGCGTACCTCGGGCCACCTGTCCACCATGCTGCCTTTGTTATCTCCCCATTCATCGCCGGACCCCTTTTTTTTTTGTGCCATCTTCCTTTTTGTGCGTCTCAAAATTGTTTTGAGCACTTCTGCTGGGTCAGCTTCAGCTGCTTTGATACACTCGATGCGAACCGCTTTTCACTTTTATTGTTGTTAGGCTTGGCAACTTCCTGAGCAATAATCATCCGTATTGACTTCTTAGCTCGCTCCGCACACCCGCTTCATCCCTGCCATCGATTCCATCATGATGACCGAAGTGTCGGGTCACGTGGCCGCACCTGCATGAGTCATGGCTGTTCCCCGACGGAGGGCGGGAGGCAGCACCAGACAACGTGTACGAGTCCTGTCGTGTCCTCGAACAGTATCTTTTCCCCCTCTTTGGCAGGTAATGTGCTTGAAAACTTTCCTGAAGGCATTGTCGAGAGGGATGGTCAGCTCGTCCGCGAGAAGGCTACCGAGTATGGTGGCAGCTTTTTGCCCCCTGTACTGTAATTTCCGCAACTTTCCGCCTTCACCGGTCGACCCGGAGGATGAGGGTGATGTCCGCTCCAGGCAGATTTTTTTGCAAACACGCAAACATCAAGTCTGTGCTGCTATTGATGATTAGGGTTTTCCTACCTCCAAAGTCAGACATAGAGTAGCTGCAGTGCAGTTCAACATCTTCGTAGATAGATCTGGTTCTGCCATCGACGTGCCCTTGCTTCTTGTAGTGTCCATGAGCAAAGAACAAAAGTGTTCGTAATGCCCGTTTGGTGATGGGGGCAATAATCTGGAGACACGTCAAATGGGCCTAGAATGACAGACACAAAATGCAAGTGAACATCAGGCGTCTCCCAGCTGGGGTCACAGCGAACATTTCCATTGTCATAGCTAGCGTATGCTAGAATTTAGAAATGCCGACCAGGTTAAGAATAGTTTCATAAAGACAGCAGGTGACAACAGAACTGATACAATGGTGAAATAGATTTCTGAGGAGAGTATTCTGAGAACTGTTGGCGGGCACCAACATTAGTCCAGAAAGAGGGAGACGGATGCACTGGCGAATCATTGGACTAGAAGAGCAGAAAATACGGACACGCAAAGTTATGTCCAATGGCACTCCAGCTAGGCCAGCAATGGTAAGGCGGCGCCCGACAATTGGATTCTCCAAACATTCGTCAACTTTTTTTGCCGGACTGATAAATTCTGTACAGCAAGCATCCCGAAGATTGAGGCGTGGGATATCAGGCACCACCAGTCAATAACAACTGCGATGTTATCTGGGAATACACATACCACTTGAGTACCCCGTCTCCCTCCCTGTCACCTCCCATAATTTCCTTCACAATGGGTAGGAAAGACCCTCAAAAATCGGTCTCCAAAATTTCCTCCGCCTCGTCGCCCGCAGTGGCTGCCAGCGTCAATACTCGAAAAGTCTCAGTGTTGAAGTCAGCGTTTGCTCCTTCACAACTACAACTGCACCTATTCGCCTCGGTCATTCAGAGTTTCGACGTGCACCAACTGCGCATTCACGATGCGACTACGGGACGTTTGCGCAGCCAGCATGAGACCAGAGCCGGGTCAAAGATCACTTGCCTGGACTGGGGCTACTATGGTGCTGCATACCGGGAACGACTGCAGTCAGCTTCGAAGAAAAAGCGCAAGCGGAACTCTCAGAGTAGTGATGGTGCAGTCGTCGCTTACGGAACCAATTCCTCGCAGATCTGCATGTTTTCGCCCGCCGAAGGTCGAATTGTAGGCACTCTGAGTGGAGGACACGAACGAGGTGTTAAAGATTTCAAATTCTCCTGCGCAGATTATCTGTATGGTTGGAGCATAGGCGAAGATGCAAAGCTCATACAATGGGATCTGGCCAATGATCAACCCATCAGGTTAGTAGCTCCTCCGCAGCTGTACCATGACATTTGATTGTTGACAAAAGCAGGACAATCAATCTACCAGACCCTGCCATCAGTATCCTCGCTTCGCCGACTCAAAACGCGCCTCACATCATCTGTGCCTCCTCCACCCCGTTTGCAATCGACCTCGTCTCGTCCGACGACTTTCGAATAGACCGCTTTGACTCCTTCAAAAGCCCGGTGCAGTCATTATGCCGGTCGAGCTCAGATGTTGCAGGGACTTCTGGATATTTCCTTGCTGCAGACTCAGGTAGATACGTCAACGTCTACGACATATCTCAAAAGAGACTGGTGCGCACCCTAGTCGTCGGAAGCGGTGTTATTTCTATCGAACTCGCGACTCCTGCTGTGGAAACGACAGATACCCTCCGCCAGCAAGTTCTTTGCGTTGTGACAAACGAAGGCACCGTTGAACTCTTTCCTAAACCTTTTGCAGAGAATCAGCAAGTCAACGGAGACTTGAAATCCAGCAGAAAAAACCTCACAAAAAAAGCATCGGCCTCGATACGATTGGTCGCTCCAGGCTCCAAGGTGAAAACGGTACCGATAGTTGCAGGCATTGTCCAAGGATCCGACGTCGTCCTGGTCTCCGCTGATGGAGGTGTAGATTTGGCCTTTCAGAAAGTGAGATGGCAAGACGAAGGAAATGGAGAAATACTGTTTGACGGCGTTAAGGAGGTTCTGAGAGCGACGAGCACATCGACCCTCAACACGGCTACTCTCAACGGTGTTAAGGACCTCGGGAAATCACAGGTAGATGAGTCGAGGACTGTGGTCATCGACGGCGAGGCAGTCGCTGCACCTTTGGACCCTGCTATTCCAATCTCTGACAGCGAGAGTGCCGAAGAGAGCGAGGATGACGAGGAGAGTGAGCCTGCAAACGAAGCTGTAACTAGGGCGAAGGACGAAGACGCAGGACAGGATGGTGACGGCTCGATGATTGATTCCGATGAGGAAATGGCAGATGCTGAAGAAGCAGAAGACTCGGCGTCAGGCGAGGCAGCTACCGATGCAGAAGGAGAAGAGGGAGAACCCTCCTTCGGCGATATGTTGGCATCGAAACACCCTCACGAGATATCCATCGCATCAGCCATCCCTCAACGCGACACTGCCGCCCTCATGCTCAACCCCGGCCAAACAACCATCCCCTCGGGAATGTCTCTCTCCACAGTCCTTACTCAATCACTCCGCACCAATGACACATCTCTTCTGGAAGCTTGCCTGCATACCCTGGACATGTCTATTGTCAAATCCACCATTCAAAGGCTCGACTCCACCCTCGCTGGCGTTCTCCTGTCCAAACTCGCAGAACGACTCGCTTCGCGTCCGGGGCGGTATGGACACCTCATCACGTGGGTGCAGTGGACGTGTATCTGTCATGGCGGAGCAATAGCAAGCCAGCCCGGCGTGGCAGCGAAAGTGAGGACGCTCTATGAGGTTTTGAACGCGAGGATGAAGACGTTGGATGATTTGTTGTTGCTGAAAGGAAAGTTGGATATGCTGGATGCGCAGCTAGATTATCGAAAACAGCTGCTGGCCCAGAGACATGCGGGCAGCAGAAAAGGGAGAAATGAACCCGGAATTATTTATATCGAGGGGGAAGACAACTGGGACAGCGATGACGAAGACCTGGACGAGGACATTGCCAGACCAACCAAGAAGTCAAGGATGAAGCCGCAGAGAGATCTGGATGAGCTTGTCGGCGATGAGGATGAAGAGGAGGATGATGGAGATCTGACGCCTCTCGAAAACGGTGTAGAGGATACGTCATCTGACAATGAAGAGGACGATGACAGTGAGGAAGCCGAGGATGAAGAGGAACAACCCAAGATGAACGGCGTCCGCCATATGGGAAATTTTGTTGATGACGAAGCTGAAGTTTCCAACGCCGAAGAATCCGACCCCGACGATGATGGCCCATCCCCAGCAGGCTCGGAGACTCCATCCGTTGCATCTTCTGATAACGAAGAGGGGAGTGGCGACGATGATGAAGACGACGAAGATGAGGAAGAAGACTCGGAAATGGACAGCTTCATCAACGACGGCTCTGTCGACTTCGAAGAAGAAGAAGGCAATGAAGTGCGTGTGCCCGGTGACTCCAGTGACGATGAAGGTGCAGATGACTATCAAGATGCGCCTGAGGAGACAGAGCCTGTGCCGAAATCAACTCCTCTCAGTAAGAAAGGAAAAGCAAACGGTAAAGATGATGTGGATATGGACCTGGATACGCCCAGGTCGAAACAAAAGTCGAAGAACAAAGCGGGCAAGAAGACGAACAGGATCTGAGCGATCCACCTCCACTTGTCGATGGTATTACGCGCTGTGGGATTACTCTACTTCTTGTATCCGCCAACAAGCCATTCTTGAACACCAATGCCTGTCCCTCTATCTGCAAGTCTGCCTTCCTACGCCCCCATTCGTTACTCTGCCTCTATCGCCATCTACGTCGATGTCTATACAACCCCTTGTCAGGATATATATGTGGAGAGGGACGGGAATGACAGATTTGGAAAACAGAGCCAGTGCCTCGACACACGTCTTAATGCCACTCAACACTTCCGCCGACCATCACGGCCATTACCTCCCCCACCATAGGTTTCCTCTACCGCCATCATCACATATCAAATCCAACAAATCATCCTCTTCCTCATCATATCATAATCAACCTGTTCCACAGCCCACCCCCAGACGACGTCGAAGACATTTGCACGCACAGCATAAACGACCCTACCCTCATCTAACGCCACGATTCAAGCACGAGGGTGTGTGTAGAGGACGGATCAAGGCATCAGCATCAGTGTCAGTGCGGTATGGCACCACGGGAGTCACGACGGGATGGAACGAGAATTCGATCATCAAAACTCACCCCCTTTAGCTCATGTCTCTCCCTCTCACACCCTGCCTCTCCTTCCCTTTCCTTTCCTACAAGTCGACGGCAAAAAGCATTCAGTCCCTGGCGGCTTCGGCTTGAAAATTCAGCATAGCGAGGACCTGGATACCAGCGAGCGTGACATGAACATTGATGGAGCATTATCATGTATTATGCATGGAGTATTGAGCATCCGGAGCATTGGGCATGTTTTCTTATCTTGTAGATTGCGTGCAACTAGGTCCAACAAAAAAAGTTCAGCTATGAATGAATGATTGTTTGTCGTGTTCTCCTGGTGGCTGGCTATCAATTGCTGTGGATAAAAATACCCGCCTTCTACCTCGCTGTCTTCGATGATGGTTTGTTGATAGGGAGTGAATGTCCGTCCTCTGTACCGTGAACGAGGGTTCCTCTCATGTTGGCTCATTCCACTTTCCCCTCCTCATTCCTCGCCCTTCATGGTCCATCTGCCCGGTCCCTCTTTCTAATCCACAATCTACCGGATAACGTCCTCCCCATATCCAATCTCATCCACACCAAGATTGTCACACCAACCTTCCAGAACACGACTACCGCCCAGCACACCTGCCCGCTGACCCAATCCATACACTTTCTTTCCTTTACTTTTCCCCGCCCAAATCTCAAAGAACTTGACCGTGTGGTCGCAGCATGCGATGATGAGGCTGCCTTCGTCTTCTGTCCGACTTGCCCATCGCTCGCCTTCACGTCGAATCTCGCCGCTGTGACCATCTGTCAGAAATTCCTCAGCACCCATGCCCGGATGTCCTCTTCGTATCACTGGGAAGATACTTCGCTCAGGACTTGGGGTTGGACTGCGACGAATTCGAGGACCGACCGTTCCCACTGCTCTTGCAGCGGCTCTTCTTCGCTCGGTCTCGGTTTCTCGAACTCCTTCCCATGTCGAAAATTCGCCATTAGACCCATCTTGTCTTCGGATGGGTATAGCATCATTCGGTCCGCCCGGATAAGGGATTGCCCATAGTGCACGGCTGATCTCGCCATTCTGTCTTCTTTCCCAGGGAATACTCACCACGCATTCACAGGTCGGCCAGCTGAAAACAGCTATCCTAATTCCATGCTCCGGCTGCGAATATCCAAAGGTCGCAACTATCTCGCGTCTCGTTGTGCTCTACACCAGGCTAGTGACTTGGGAGAAGACATTGATCAGGGCCAGAGTTGCACCTGATCCTATGTGAAAGAAATGAATCTGGCGATCATTGCTTCCGCCTCCAGTCGCCAGCAGATTCGGCTGCCATGGAGCAAATGCGATGGCCTTGACAGCAGCTGCGTGATCAAAGGAATGGATGTGAAGATTAGAATCTCCAGGGATCACGGGATCCACGAGCGCGTTGCGAAGAACAGACTCATTCGACGGAACAGCAGTCTGGGGATGACCAGGCGGGTTGAGGTCCTGCATGGTTGGAGAATGATCGACCACTCTGCTGGGACGCAAAGGGGATGGAGGTGGTGTTGCTAGGTCAGTATTGCGCATGTTGTTGACTGGGCCTCTATCGAAGTTGGAGGATTCTCGGTGACTTGCCGATCGATACCTCTGCGGCGTATCCGGGGGTGTGGGAAGCTGAGACGTCGAAAAGCTAGAGTCATCAAACATGTCTGCCGCAGGGCTAGGTGTACTCGGGGAGATATCTCTCTGGTCGTCTGCGTGGAGGAAGACGGACGGATCGAAAAGTAAAGCCCGGTTGTCATTGCCACCAGAGACAAAGTGCCTGCCGTCTAGTGACCAGGAGATGCCGCAGATGTTCTGACTGTGGGCGTCAAGTTTGGCCAGAAGCGTCATTGATCCAGGGGCAAATTCGGGCCACTCCAAAGAATAGTAGTATATCATGCCAGAGTCGTCGCCGACGACCAAGTCTTCGCACATGACTGTGCCATTCCCTGTGACAGACGGTCGCTGCGTTTGGACAGGTTTGAACGACACACAGGACGTTGCGCAAGGATGAGGAGCATCGAATCGTGGCCTGATCTCCAGCAAACTCCATAATGTGATAGTCCCGCTGTTCCTGGCGACTGCCAATATCGCCTTGGCCCCTTTCTCAGATGAGAAAGCTAGAGAAGTCACAAAATCGGCAGGTCGGCAAGGAGGGAGTGGTGGATAGCGCACGCCATACTGTTCGGTCCAGAGATAGACTTTTTGGCCCAGGGCGACAGCTAAGGAGTGACAGGTCTGATTGTAGGCGAGAACGGAGCAGTAATAGTCGTCTTTGAGGTTCGGAGCGTCAAGGACCCGAAAGGGAACGGTAGGAACCACCTTCTCGCTTTCGAGTAATCCTCCATCTTTGTATGCCCGATCTACTTCAAGGTCAGTAAGCAAATGAGAAACAGGTATATTCACATATTACACCAAGAGGTTGGCTCCCGGGTCCATGCACTGTTCCTCCATACAAAGGGACAATGCTCGGGTTTCCGGTTGCCATCCTTGTCTTCGAGGGCGGGATTTTGCAGCAGGATGCGAGCCGCTTGGTCAATGTCGAGCGCCAGTGCCAGGCGGCGTTCGTGTGCCACTTCTTTGTCGTGACCAGTCGCGTGGGCCAGAAATGTAGCCGTGTGCAATGGAGCAGTGCCTCCACTTGCCAACATTCCACCCAAGCCAGTAGGTACACCCTGCAATTGCCCCAGATGAGCGGACAGTCTGCCTCCTACTGTCCAAAATCCTGTACTGATCTGACGGAGAGTTCTTGTCGCTATACTCCCGTCAATATGTGCAGGAGTGGAATCTCTGCCATGAACAAAGGAGGGAACATATTGTGGGGGACGCAAGTTATAGACATTAGGTGCATTTCTTTGTCTAGTTAACATTCGGGACCTCGTCTCGCTCATAGAGCGAAAGGGGTTCACTGTGTTATCTCGCCGGCGTTCATTTCTCTCCCTTCCTCGAAGTATGACTGGAGGTGTGGTAGTTTCATAAGCTCTTCGCTTATCTACGTGAAGAGGTCTTTGTGGGATGAACCGGTCGGGTGAGGTGAATTGCGACCGAATCTGCAGAGGGCTGCCGGTACTCAGGCTGCGTCTTTGCTAGGGACGGGACTCTGTTCGTGAGGGTGCTTGGGCTGGATGGGCCTCGGAGACCAACTCCGAGGTCGATTGGTGTTGGGGAACGTGACGGAGCAATGGACGTTCTGTAGTAGGAATGGCATGTTCTTGCAGTGCAGTGGACACTGATGCTCTGTTCGCATCATCCGTGATTGAGGAGCGAGGACTAGTCGACAGTTCTGAACGAGACGTTTCTGCAGAAGACGCGGCATGGTCCATTTGAAGGAAGGTCAGGTTGATAGTAACACTTTGAATATCCTGACGGCAGTAGAGCCCTCTGATCTAGCGAGGGGTGGTAAGTAGCTGAGATTGACTCGAGCGGCCACCCGCATTCCCTTTATACAAGGGCTGAACTTGAGGTCGGTCTCCGGGCACTTGGTGACGGTGATCGAACCTCCTCACCACCTGTGGAGGCGCCACTCGCACAGAGCACTTTGACTTGATCAAGTGCAGGACGAGCAATGTGTTGCCGATTTGTACCTATGTTAGTGACAAGCCATCACTTGTCCGTAAAGTGTGTTGGTTGGTATTGATGCTTGGTAATTGAGGTACAAAAAAATAGGTGGTTGAGTTGGGTGCCTGGAATTGTGTTGGTTGAAGTGTCATTGGATTCGGACCTCGATCGTTCTTTCACCTTGTTACACCCCTCCACAAGTCTCCCTTCCACAAAGCGCAGGTTGGTGATCTTGCTTCTTGGGTTCGCCTCATCCTCAACCATGGCAAGCGTAAGCCACACAAAGTCCTCAGGTGCAAATTCCCCGAGTTGACCAATTGACCAGCATGGCGTGCTTCGCACAACGACCCGCGAGGAGCGAACGGCAGAAGCACGACAGAAAGAGTTGCAGGAAATCGCTCAATATCAACAGCTTGTTGAAGAGGTCAACACTAAGGTCTCTGGGCCAATCTTAATGGTTCCGAGATGAAGATGCTAATGTTGATTGTGAGCAGGTTGCTGCAAAGGAATTCACCCCAGTGCTACTCCAACAAACCGCGCAGCTGCTAAAGAGGAACCCAGAGTACTATACCATCTGGAATCATCGGCGTCGCATCTATGTCAGCGAATTTGAGGATCTTGCAAAACAGACAGCCTCGGGTCAAATGGACGAAGAGACTCGAATCAGCCAGGTACTAGATATCATCCAGCTGGACTTGCAATTTTTGTTTCCTCTTCTCCTCAAATTCCCTAAATGCTACTGGATCTGGAACCACAGAATATGGCTCCTGAAGCAGTCTACGGCTCTTCTTCCAGCTGCAAAGGCTCGAGGAATATGGGAAGATGAGCTCGGATTGGTGGGCAAGATGCTCAGTCGGGACAGCCGAAACTTCCACGGCTGGGGCTATCGACGGATTGTGGTGCAGAGCCTCGAGAGTCCAGCTTTACAAGGGCAAAGTATGGCGAGGCAGGAATTGGAATATACCAAAAAGATGATAGGCACCAACCTCTCCAACTTCTCAGCCTGGCACAACCGGACAAAGCTCATCCTGAGAATCTTGGACGAAGAGAAAGCCACTGATGACGAAAGACAAAAGATGCTGGACGAAGGTAAAGTCTTTGATTGACGAGTTTGTCGATGAATGCTGACCATCCCAGAACTCGAATTGATCCATAAGGCTCTATTCGATCCCTACGACCAATCACTCTGGTTCTATCACCAGAACCTAATGTGCACCTTTGATCTTGACCAGGCACCAAAGAGTATGGCGCCGAACCTGTCTGACGAGCAGCGGCTGGAATACATCGCATCGGAGCGGGAGTACATTGAGGAAGTTCTGGAAGACGCTCAAGATTGCAAATGGCCATACCAAGCGTTGATCGAATGTACAATGCTGGAAAGCAAATTGAAAACCGGTCTTGAAGAGGAGGGTTGGGGAAAGGTGGCGCTGTGGTTAGAGAAGCTCAAACAACTTGATCCCCTTAGGAGAGGGAGGTGGACTGAGATGGAGCAGCAACTTGGCAAGCAACGAGTAATGCAGCGTTGAGATGGAGTAAAGTGGCCTTATACCATCTGGAGTTCCCCCTACGATATGATATTATTACCGAGTACTGGAGACGAAATGCGCCCTATGTTCCGTACTTGTACTATGTAAAGCTTAACCACTATGTATGGGACAAACAAACCTGCCAGCACCACGGTGACGAATCCCTGGAGCAGCTGAAACAAGCCCCATTGTGAAGGGAGCCGCAAGGACTTCGCAGGCTGCAGGACCCCTTTATGGAACAGCCAAACAACGGCGTGACGGGGCTTGATCAAAGGGGCAAGGCAGTGGAAAATGCGAGGAAATGGGGCTCACCAGGCTTATGCTCCATGCTAAACACGGGCTTCTGGCCCCCTGGGTCCCGACATAGGCACTGACGGGGCTCAAGGAGGGAGGAGGGTATGGGAATCGCGCATCGGAGGATCGTGGTGTGGTACAACTGCGGATGATGGTATCGGATACCAGAAAAAAAGCAAAAAGACAGCTTTCCTCTCAATTCAATACACTGTGTCGCCTCACCTTGATTTCCTCCCGAGCCATAGATCTTAGAGCCTAATCGTCTCGAGCACGAGGTCCGCAAGATCTCGCCGATCCTTCTTTCCACTATCAACTGTTTACAGAACTGAAAAGTTGGCTCGCTTCCCGCGTCACCCAAGAAAAAGCGCGATCATTCGGTCATTTACTTTGCTCAACTGCCTCCATTGAAGGTGCAAGGATCAAGGCAGACGGACTCATTCTCGGGCTTCTTCTCTTCTCGATATCACCAAGCACGACTCCCCGCCGGGATACTGACCAACTGTGGTGACATCTCTTCCCCGTTTGGAGTTGGAACCTGCGCATCTAATACTCTTTTCGACGCTCCCGCATCGACTACGAGGACAACGCGCCCCCAGTCTCAACACACACGCCCACCCTCTGCCTCCCACTCCCTGCACTCCCTGTAATTATCGGTCATAGTGTGGTAAAGGATGATATGAGCATGCCTGGTGGCTCTTGAAGGCAGACCAATATGGCGAATAGTGCAGACAATCCGGACATCGAAGAGGTAAAGCGCTTGGAGGTTTACGCTTCTCCGTTCACGAAACATGTTTTCTAACGCAACTTAGAAATTTGAGGATGCCACGGATGTCAACAATGATTCGAAGCGAAGTTCCTCCCAGTCGGATCAGCCGCCTCAGGATCCCAAGAACTCGAATGACCCTCCTCCGATCTCGAACGACAAGGAGGAACCTAAAGAAGAGCAAAGAGATAGTACGGGGACTTCAGAGTCGAAAATCCCTGATATAACTACTGATACAAGCGCTGTGGATGATTCCCATGACGCTCAGCAAACCCCTACTTTGAAAGCTCCAGAGCCCTCCAGCGATGCCTCAGGCGATCCTTCAGAGAAACCTCTCCCTCCTAAGCCTGCTACCCGCCCTTCGAGATTCCAAGGCTTTTCTGCTTCTCTCCCATCAGTGCCTTGGGGACCGCCTCCTCCCAGAAAAGCGTCAGACGCTCGAGCACCGTCTCCGCAACCACCCCAACCACAGTCAACGTCCACCTTTAGCCGCAAAGTGACTACTCCGTTCGGATGGCTAAGCCGAGCAACATCGGCTCCCAAAGAGACACGCTCGCCCCCCCTACCCTCCAAGTCACAAGTTGACGCCCGTCGGAATACGGCAGCATCAGCATCCACTCTCGGTAGTAACGCGGATTTGACGCTAAAGGCGCTAGAAGAGTCTCAAGATGGGTCAAGCGGTCAGAAACAGCCTTCTAGAGCATCGCTCCGCGAACAATTCAAGATGCTACGGCTGCGGGAAGAAGCAGGCATAACGAGCTTGGAGGGAACAGAGTCATCTGAAGGAGGTGCAATAGCTGGACTTATTGGAAGGTCAGCTAGTTTGGGTGTGGGAATCGCCACTCCGGGCAGTGTAGGTCAGGATGAAAACGTTGTCTCTACTCCTGTCATGTCTTCGACCTCGCCCATAGCCGAATCACTACCCACTGATCCAAATCTGCCCCCAGGAACAGTGGCAGGGGTAGCGGCAGCAACTGCAGATACCAGCACCCCGATTGATTGGGACTTCTGGCAAAATGTTGTTAATGAGGGTCCACAGGCCGTTGCTCGGACGAGTCCCGATGAGTTCACCCAAGCCATCAGTGGTGGGATACCACAGACCATCAGACCAGTTATATGGCAAGTGTTAGCAGGCAGCAAGAACGAAGATCTAGAAGCCGTCTACTGGGATCTCAAGTCCCGAGGGCCACACTCAGACATGAAAGAGGGCATGTCCAAGTCTCCCTTACTGAATGGGCATATCAACGGAAACACCAAGGAAAAAGAGTCGGTAGCGTCGTCGAGATCGTCGATAAGATCTGATCACTCAACGCCTGCCACCAGCTCCAACGTAGGCGTCGCTTCTCCTTCGCCTTCGCACGAGGCGACGGATCCCATGAGCACGGCTCGTCTCCAGACCCAACTGGCAGCGGAGAAGGCAAAAAAGGCCAAAGAGGATTCAGCAGCGCTGGCCAAGCTTGAGAAGATGATCAAACGAGATATGGGCTCCAGGACAAGCTACTCAAAGTATGCAGCAGCTGCAGGTCTGCAAGACGGGCTCTTTCACGTGTGCCGCGCATATGCGCTCTTCGATGATGCCGTCGGATACCCCCAAGGCCTGAACTTCATTATCATGCCTCTGTTATTCACGATGCCCGAAGAAGAAGCATTTTGCCTTCTTGTTCGGTTGATGAACAAATACCAACTCCGCGACCTTTTCGTCCAGGACATGCCAGGATTACATCTACACCTGTACCAGTTTGAGCGGTTACTGGAGGATTTGGAACCCGCGCTGTATTGCCATCTCAACCGCCGAGGAGTCACTCCCAAGCTCTACGCAACACAGTGGTTTCTAACCATGTTCGCATATCGGTTTCCACTCCAGCTGGTCATGCGTGTTTACGACTTGGTCCTTTGCGAAGGGCTCGAGGGTGCCATTTTGAAGTTTGGAATGGCTGTCATCCAACGAAACGTGGCTACCCTTCTCGCAATGCAGGATATGCAGAGCCTGACGAACTTTCTCAAAGAAAAGATCTTCGATGTTTACATCGATGCTGCACCTTCATCTAAATCAATCCTGGAGTCAGGATTCTTCGGCAGCTCTGGTGGCTCTGACACGGAAGTGTACAGAGCAGATCTCCTTGTCCAAGATGCATGTGCAGTCAAACTTACCCCCGAGATGCTCAACCGATACCGGGAAGAATGGGAGACCACTACAAAGGCTGAAAAAGCACGCGAGACCGAGTTGGAAAATCTGAGGACCGACTGCGCCACAAAAGCTGCACAGATCCGCTCTCTCGAGCAGAGAGCCGAGAAATCCGACGCAGAGCACATTGAGATCGCAAATGAGCTCGTGCGGCTGAAAGTTGAGAATACCGAGTTGCAAGATCGCAACGAGAGCTTGACTGGACAGGTCGCCGAGCTGAAAAAGGTTGCAGAGAGTGAGGCCGCAAATGTCGAAGAGAGGCTCAGGGCGGGAACGGAACAAGTTATGCAGCGCAATATCGAGGTGCAGAATGAGAATCGCCACATGGAGGAGCAAATGGCCGAAATGGAGCGGGAGCTCGTAGAGATCAAGATGAAGTATGCCGAGGTGAGCAACCCCCTTTTCCTTGTGATATTTTTCTGGATCTGTGGGTATGGACGTCTAACATTGTGCAACAGCTCAATGCCGAACATGAAGGCCTCAAGCAAAAGTGGAATGACTTGAAAAAAGCGTTGGAATGAGGTCGTCCTCATGGTTGTCGATGGTTTACATCTCACGAGCTCCCTCGAAAATCTTTGATGCATTGTGCGACGTCGCATCCAGTGCTCAGCTTCTCCCTTGGCCACTGCTCATCCAGTGTAACCGACTGATGTGTTCTGATCCTTATGTACAGCTTTTGCTGCTTCCTATACCCAAGTCATGAATGATGGAACCAAGCATAGCGCGGGCGGTATATGGTGTGCTGCAAGTGTTTTGGCGGTGCAACAATCGGATCTCTCCGAATGGCTTCTGGTGTTTGTGATGGCGGGCTAAAGAATGGTACGTTTCGTCTTGGAGATTATGTTCCGCGAATGATGGCTTGTCTGGTGTCCAGGAGCGGCAGCAATGTCGGCTCGACCTCTTCTCGGAAGGTGCCTATTTCGTTGATGCGGACCTACATATGTTTCACGGACTTGTGTGGAATGACGAAAGGGATTGATGGCCTTCCCGACCTTTTTTTTTGGAATGCTTTGCACAAAAAGTGATGAGAGGAATCGGAGTGATTTTGATGTTTCACACCAAAAATATCAAGTATTGATATGGACGGGTGTTGAAAGTTCTGTAGCACCCCGCAGTGGTAGATATATGTATGTATTTATGTACGCACGTACGTACGTACGTACCTACTGTATGTAGGTATATGTGTCTCGAAAAGAGACTCTCAGGCCGAGTCCTGCAATGAAAAAAGGACAAGTCGTCGACAAGCGAAGAAAGTACTGAGTATAGTCTCTCGAGTCGATGATTGGGACGGGGCTATGGACCATGTGGACCATGTGGACCATGCCACTGATTTTGGTGCATACTCGGTATTAGGTAGACAGTGTCCGTCTTCATGTTCATATATAAGTCACATAGTCGTCGTCTACATAGATAGCTCTCTCCTCGAATTTCTATCCCGTCCGTCGTCGTCCTAATGCGGCTTAGCGCAGCCTCGTTGGTTCTCTCCCTGCGCTCGCGTTGCTAGCCGAGCCTCGCCTCAGCATCGACGCGCCGTGGAGATCTAACCGAGGCTTTGTTGATCCTCTTCTGTGTACCTCTGAGCTCCTGTACCGAGTACTGAGTATGTCAGCCGCCTTTTTGGACATATTGTATGTATCCCTACCATTGACCCCTTTTCGAGGGCGAGGAGGGAACGGCCAGGGGTGGGTTGCACTATATATGTAGTGATTAATTCCTGCTTTGGGTTGTTACGCGGCGCCTATATGAGTACCCCAGCCATAAGACCAGACCACCATCATCTAGTCACCCCGAATCTATGTAGCTTGTATGAGGTACATACTCGCAAAGCATAGCATCTACAGCTTTACCTTACCGGCTTTCAGATCTTCCCACTCTTTTCGGCCATAGGGCTCGTACTTGGTGCCGCCGGGAGGGAGCCAAAACATGCGGTCTTCCGGCCGAGAGGCCTCGATCTTGTCCAGATCCACGCCCTCGGCGCGCAGCCGGCCCTTCTGCAGCTTCATCGTCCCCGTATACTCCAGCTGCGGCACCGCCCGCAAAAAGATTGGCACGGCGTACCGCGGCAGCGTCGAGAGCAGGTGTTGCGCCAGGCCTGCCAGGTCCAGCTGGTCGGGCGAGGTGATTGACGAGATGGGCACGATCGCGGCGCACCCTGCGCGGCCATCGGCGTGGGGTACCTGCACGCCGTACACATTTGCTTCGGCTATTTGGGGGAACTTGCCCAGCACGTCCGAGACTTCGTTGGTCGACACGTTTTCGCTGCGCCAGCGGAAGGTGTCACCCAGGCGGTCGACGAAGTATACGCACCCATCGGGATCTTGGCGCATCATGTCACCACTGCGGAACCAGAGATCTCCTTTTTTGAATAGATCTCGGATCATTCGTTTGTCAGTGGCGGACTTGTTCTTGTAGTATCCTGCAAACACTGTAGACGCAGTGGCTGGATCCATCTTGTGCACGACTTCACCAGGCTCTCCGTCCTTACAGACGATCGCGAAACCGTTCTTGTCACGCACGATCTCCTCGGTGTCGATGTCAATCTTGATCCTCTTTTCATTAGCGTCATTGGCGAAGTTCCAGTATAATCCACGTATAGCAATTGCGTTTCTGCCAAATTCGCCCCTGTTCGCATTAAAGGAGGCGCCCAAGCCATCCGTGGCTGCGTAGAGCTCGTTGATGGTGTCGATCCCGAAGCGTTGCCGGAAGGTTTCCCATACGTCCGGACGCATACCATTGCCCCATGCCTTTTTCACATTGTGTTGTTTGTCCAGCGGACTGGGCGGCGCGTTGATGAGGTACCGGCAGAGTTCACCCACATACTGAAGAATATCAGCATTGGAGGCACGGACTTCCGGCCAGAATGTCTTGTGTGAGAATTTGCGGCTGAGAACAACCGAGGATCCGGCAAAGATACAGGGTGTAAGGCACAGACCGTGTGCGGCGCCGTGATAGAGTGGCAGGCAGGTATACATGCGGTTGTGGGGTTTGAGTCTAAGATACGTAGCGATGCTGCGAGCGGTGTTGAGTTCGCGGCCGCGGAGCATAACCACGCCTTTAGGCATACCCGTTGTGCCCGAAGTGTAGATGAGACCGCCTAGATCGGTAGGTGCAATTCCTTGGTGAAGGGATTTGGGTATCGGAGTGGTGTCGGTAAGAGAAGAGATGAAGGCCTCGTCGAAATAGACTATTTGTACGCCCGAGGCTTGTAGATCACTAGCACATGGCTGTACTAGATCTTGTGTTGCCCGGTCGGCGATCAGAATCCGGGCGTCGCACAGCTTAACACAGTGTGTAAGCGGGCCAGAGGTCAGATTGCAATTGATGAAGGCGGGACAGGCACGAAGCCCCTCCAAAGCAAACCACAGCATCAGATATTCCGGACTGTTCCCACCGTCCAAGGCAACAATTTCTTGAGGTTTGACATCCAAATCTTTTGACAGCCAGTTGGCAACTTTGTGCACATCATTGAAGAATTGCTTGTAGGTCCATGATCGGTTCTCGAAGATGAGAAATGTGTTGTCTGCGTTCTTGCCGGTGGCATGCTCTTCAAAGATGTGGTATATGAGCATCCGATTCTGCTGGTACCTCTCGGTCATAAAGGCCACAGCTTCCTTCTGGTTGTGTGCCAAAGAGCCTGAACTGAGGTCATGGCGGATGAGGAATTTGGCGTCGAGGTAGGCGGCGGCAGCGAGGCCACCCGCAACGGCAGCGGCTACGGTGGGAACTGGAAGGTCATGGTCAGTCGCAAGAAAGACAGGATGACAGAGAGGATAGACTTACGGCCCATTCTGTTGGAGGTGCTGCGACAGGAAATCGAACTGGCACAGTGACATAGTCAAGTGAAGAGTCCATGATATATCGTTTCATACGACTAGGGCGATCTTGCGCGTGAGTCGGAGTCGAGCTCTGTGAGGGCCGCATTATCCGTAAACCTGCCGAGGTCGAGAGCAGAGAGAACTTGGGTGCTTGGGAAGCCCAAGTGCTAGAGGTACTCCGTAGGATTCGGCACAGACCCCACAAGCACAACCTTGGAAGTGATAGAGGGAGCTAAACCAAAATCACGGGTCATCTTTGCAGCAGCGGGTCTGGGGGCGGGTGTTGGCAAATCCTACCTGCCCAGGCTACCCCAGGCACGCCTTAGGCGACACAAGCCGCACGAGTCAAAACTGACATGAGTCTGACTGGTCGCGTCAGTTGCCCTCCACAGTACGTACCTCGTACGCACTGACGCACTGACACCGAGGGCCGAGGCGCCTGCGCTGCATAATAGTCACTGCTATTATTCGTTCCCTTGTACAAGTACTGCATTACATTGTTTCTGATTTGATGGTATTTTGATTTCAAGGCTGTTTGCTATATCTCAGCCTGGATCCTGGACGCATCCTGCTGTCTTGTCACACAATCCTTCCCGCGTGCCGATGTCCAATCCACCATGATGATGCTGCATGCTGTGAAAGAGCTGGAGATCGCAGGTACAATAATGGCACTGGCAGCATCCGTCTCCTGCTTCCAACCCCCACCGCTTGCAATGCAAAAAAAAAAAAAAAGAGGATACCCAAACCCGTGAAATCGTGTCGTCGTGATAGTCGTCACTGAGAATTTCCAGTGCCCTTGTGCGTGAAAATCCTCAAACAAAGACCCTGATCCGCCCGTCGAAGAAAAAATCAAGAACAGGAGAAAAAGACCGCACTCTGTAAAGCTGTTCCTCACCACAATCACAACCACCATTTCTTTGAAATAGCTCCCACCCCGGGGCTCAGTCAGTCACAATGTCGTTCACCACCACAAGGGGTATTCCTGCCATATTTCTGGCTCCATGCTCTCGTCGTACCACATCTCACTGCCAATCACTGGTGTTCCTATGAACCCATCTCCTTCATGGATGACCATTCCCCCTTCCTCTATCATCATCTGCTGTTGTTGCAGCCATTCTGGCACAAGCGGTGCCCGCCACGGTCCGATTTGCTCCATCAACTCTGTTCCCAGAAAGAAGTTTCCGAGTGCCTCAAACTGCGCATCTCCGTCCGTGTCAGCGTTGTTGACGTAAATCTCGTCGGGTCGAGGGCCCATGCAGAAGATAGGGCCAGCTTCATCAAGTGGCAGCTGCCGCGAGAAGGGCTGTTCTTGGAACGGGGTCGATGGACTAACGGGAACACGAGGGGGAGGAAGAAAGCGACCACACTTTGTCTTTGCCATGAGGCTCTGCCTATTGTCGCCATTCCATTGCAGTTCGCCATTGCTCGGCCACTTGGCGACCCGTCCGGGGTACTCAGCTGACCAGATGGTAGGCAAACCCAATACTGGGCTGAGTCCATCGTCGAAGATCTTGCCGTCCTCGCCAAAGACGGAGTGGATCTTGCGCTGAGACTTGGGGACTTTTTGACGAGCTTCAATCTGCGCCTTGAGCATTTCGCAATTCTTCTGCTGCTCTCCCTCGGCTAATGCCAATATCTCCTTCTTATGTGTCAACCACTCGCCAACGTTTTGCGGAAAGATCGACGACACCCCTGGACTCTGTTTCGTGTTGGCCTTGAAATGCTCCGGAGCAAAATGGCGGACTCGTTGTTTGACACGCTCGTATTCCTCCCTGTCCTTGATGGTTTGGCTTTTCCATGTGACAGAGGATGTATGGGATACGACATGTGATGGAACGATTGCCAGCTCCTGTTGCTGTCTGCCGAAGAAGGTCTGGGTGGCTAGCTCCTTGCTATCGACGCTTGCTCTATCATCGAAGGTGAATAATGATATTTGATCCAGCGAGACTCGCTTTCCTCTTCTCTGTGGACCCATGGTGGAGGATATGAAAGATGATTGGTGGGGAGAATAGAAGTTTGGTTGGATAGGGATGGTTGGAACGAAGAATGTTCCGCAGATCCAGAGCGAGCGATATCGGGGAGAGGACGAAGTATCGAAGGGCTAGGGTTGCAAACCAGGTGGTTGGTGTGGTTGCCTGGGAAGCAGAGAAGGCCAGTGAAGTTCACAAATTCACAGATAGGAAGCCCCTTGTCGCTATGTCAACCACGGGGCGGACGCTGGGAGATGGCTGATGGTTGCTGTTTGGGAGCGCTGTTCCAGCACTGCCTTAGATCTGCGTCAGGATGAGTTCCGCGGTATCGCAAGGTAAGTCGTTCCTGGTGAGACGTCGTGGTCTGAGTTGGATAATATCTACAATAGTGGCTGTTTATATCTAAATAGGTCGCGCTGCTCACAAGGGCATTCTTCTTCCACTTTAAATGATCTTTCATGCTGCTTGCGCTGCCGGAGCTGTTCTGTGGCAAGACAAGTCACTTGACCTTGGTACGTTGCTTGTATCAGGATGACTTGGACTATTGTCACAATAACTCCGAGTGAAGCAGGGCCCAACTTCGGTTTGCCAAAGGGTTTGCCATCGCCATGAAGAACTCGAAGGAGCATATTCACTTTGATCCCCGGCGGATCTTCGGGCAGAAAGTACTCGCCTGGCTGGATTCACGTCTCTCGTTGTGTCACTAAGAGATACCAGGTCACTCCCCGTCGGAGCATGTGCGTGAGCACGAGCAAACGCAGGTTGATGAGTATGACTTGTGCGGGCACAGAGGTGAGGGCGTGGGATGGCCATATCACCCGTACTGACGATGATCTCGCGTCCGAACATTTCCAAGTCATCGACATCGCGCAAGAGATGAATCTATAACCGCGGCACTTCTCACAAAGTCTGGGGAACAGGTAGTGACAGGCAAGTGATATCTGAGACGGGATTCAAAGGAGGCGAGCCAGAGTAGACACGAAAGGGTTAGGAGTGGACAATCTTGGTGATTCGGAACCAGGGAATCCCAATATTGGTCTTGACGGCTGACCTTCCTCTTAAGAAGCAGGACAAAGCAGTATGAGGAATATGTGGATGCTGTTTTTGGTGAGGGAGGTAGTAAGCCAAACACGGGGAGGCTTGACGTTGGCAGCCTTGCACGTGATGACCTCCTAGATACGGTGAAGCATATATCTGTCTCTCTTTTACACCTCCGTGCCTGATGCACAGACGCAAAACGCGTCCTCCGCGTCTCCTCATCATACATTCTTTATTCCTTTGGTTGTCAACGTGTCTTTCCCGTAACGGCAAAATCTACCAAAGTAATCATCACAAGTACATTATGCCGGCAGTTGAGCTGCGTACGGCTGCTCCCTCCCAAGACACCAATGGCACAAGCCTGAATCCTCTGCCGTCCCTTCTGCACACGCCAGCGGGACTGGCGATTATGGAGATCCAAGGCAAAATTCATGGACCTCCGCAGGATCTGGCGACCGAGGATCTAGAGCAGTCACCTGCTGTGCACCCTATCGGACGACTTGAGTTCCCACTATACAACCCCCAGGAAGCCAGCGAGGGCAAGTGGATGAAGAAAGTCTATCTGTATGTCGGGAGGCATCAGAGATTGACTGGTGAGGTTAAGAAGTTGGCAAAGCCCATGGCCGTCCTCCGCAAAGTCGATGAGAATGATCTAGGAAGTGAGGGGGAAGAAGCGCTGGAGATTGTGGATGTGGTCAAGTTCAAGCTGCTGTTCAGTGCAAGGCCAGAACCTGTGGGGGAATGAAACACGCGCGCATTCATCTTGACCTTTGCCTCCAGGGACGAAGGCTATTGCGAAACTCCAGAGGGTACCGATGACAACTCTGGGGTGGAATCGTATCAGACTTGTGCGAACGAGACTCGCAATTATTCAGGGGTTTTGGGGGAGCCAATCAACAGCACCGACTCTAATCGGCCCTTTTCTACCCAAATAAAGCACGAGCTTTTGCGCCAACGACTTGACTTCGATGCCATTCCCTACACAATCTTTTCTAGCCATACAAGGACAACAAAGACAGCCTTTTTGTGCGACAAGTTAAGCACTATCCACATCCGCTCGCTAGCAGATCCGACTGGGCAGACTGGTTTCCATTCGTGGAAGCAGGTTTCTTACCGATGGACAAAGCAAGAGAAAATCTGATCAGTCTCTCTTTAACATATTGCTACAAGCATCCTTGTCAATGGATCAGCCTCCTTCACCATCACCAGCGGTCTTCAGGTGGCGTCCTCGATACCACCTTCAAGCAAGCCACGGCTGGATGAATGACCCTTGCGCCGCAGGCTACGACCCGTCGACAGGCATATACCATCTATTCTTCCAGTGGAACCCTCGTCGAGACGAGTCAGGTTCGGTCGTCTGGGGTTCGATCTGTTGGGGCCATGCTACCTCGACGGATATGGTGAAGTGGAATGTTTCCCCAACCCCGAGCATCGAGCCTGGGGCTACTGTTGATGGGTGGTATGACGCGAAAGGGTGCTTTACAGGCTGCTTGATTCCTACCAACTGGGACGGCGAGATTGGAGCTGGAAAAATGACGATATTTTACACTGGTATAAGTCGACTACCTCTGCACTATACTCTTCCCTACATACGACAAACAGAGACACTGGCCGTTGGCCAATCAGTAGACAGCGGTCTCACATGGACGAAATTCACGAAGAACCCAATTCCACTAGAGCCACCGTCAAAACTTGATGTGACAGGATGGCGTGATCCGTTCGTTGCAATTTGGCCTTCCATTGCCGATCTTCTCGGCCACGACAGGAGCCAGTTATATGGTATGATTTCCGGAGGAATTAGAGACTGCTCACCTGCTGCATTTCTTTACCGGGTCAATCCTTTAGACCTAGCAGAATGGAAGTTCATCGGTTCTCTGCTTGATGTTGGATTGAACCATTCTCTATCCCGCTGGAGTGGTGATTTAGGCATCAACTGGGAATGCGCTTGCTTCATGACCCTGCAGAACGAAAAGGATGATGAGAGCAGGGACTTCATTATCGTGGGCTGCGAAGGATCTCGGCCAAACGCTACCCACAATGAAGACTCATCCTTCATACAACAGCGCCAGCAACCAACCAAACTGCGCCGCACAGCAAGATCTCTGCAGTGGATGTGTGGAATTCTTCAAAGTACAGACGGCACGATTTCTGATACCGGTATACGAGCAAAGCTGCCGAGAATGGACTACCAATTCGGAGGCCGCTTCGACCACGGCCTTCTCTATGCTGCAACAACCTTCCGTGACCCCGTGAGCAATGCACAAATTGTTTGGGGCTGGGTCACAGAGGAAGACTTGCCACAACGACTGGTCGATGAACAGGGATGGAGTGGGATGACGTCTCTTCCCAGAGAAGTGACACTTCTCACTCTAAAAGGTGTGACGGGTACCCTGAGAAGCAGGTTACAAGATATTGCGTCGATACAGGTTGAGCGGGAAGAGTCAAAAGACGGGGGGCAGCATAAATTCAAGATTCGCACACTGGGCATATCTCCTGCTCCGTGTCTCAGGAACCTGCGCAACAGTGCGAAAGAGGTTAGGCCTGTGTGCCGCTCACAGCACCTCAATTTAACAGGCGACACAGTCATAGACATCCAGACGCACCGTTTCGAACTTGTCTCGACTTTTTCTCTATCCCACGCTTGCGAGAGAATTGGGCTTAGCATATTCCATGAGCCTGGCTCACAGGAAGCTCAACAGGATCGAATACCCCCGCTACTAAGCTCCAACACGGCGACGACAATTTCTTTCCTCCCCCACAAAGAGACTGTCCGAATTGATCGACCCATCACCAACACCATCGATGGGGAGGAGATCAACACCGCCGCCGAGATCGCCCCATTCACTTTATTCACGTTCCCCCCTGCTCAAAAGGACGAGGTTGGCCAGGGTGAAGCCGGGACACACCTAGAGTCGGAGATTGAGAACTTGGACGTCCACCTCTTCTTTGACGAGTCCGTGCTCGAAGTCTTTGTCAATTCCCGGTGCGTGATCACGACGAGGATCTATCCACCAGGCAAGACGTGTTTCGGAGTGAGGTTCTGGGCAGAGGACAAGGATGGCGAAGACGACATCGAAGATGACAGCAATCAGAGTAATACAGCTCGACAGCAAGAGGGAGGAGGCCACACAGACCTCAAAGCCTTGTGTTCAAAGGGTCAGCCGGGAACTGCGAGCAGGCTGTCTACAAAGTCTCGGATCGTGCAAGCCATGGCGTGGGATGGCCTGAGTGCAGATCTCAGAAATACGTTTCCTTGAGTCGACGATATTCAATATCAACAAGTACAAAGGGGCCTAGAGGTCGATGTGTTGAGTAGAGAGAAGCGCTAGATATTTTAACCCCTCGACAAAGGGGACGTGGTTAGGTGGTTCCCATTCCGGCTAGCTGACTCGTTCATAAAGCGGCATTACTCTTGTCCCATTACGTTGCAATCTTGGCTGTGGGTCGCGATTGGCGGCTTCGCAGTGACCGCATCGCCAGCTGCAGCTGCAGCTCCGATTTGGTGTGTCCAACCTCGACTGCGAAACTCTGCTGCGCTGTTCTTCTGGAGAATAGAGATCCGTCGTCCTTAGTTGCAGCTGTTGCTCGCCTGCGCCATCTCCCCTCTCCGATTCGTCCATTGGCCCTGGGTGGCTGCTGAGGAAGCTTCTTTTCCTTGAGCAAAGGGAGTTGCTTCTGTCTGTGAACATTCACCCACCCTCTCTTCCCCTGCTATCGTCTTGCACCCCGCCAGGCCGCCAGAATGGCCGAGATAGATCATCGGATGGCTTCCATCAAGCCCAGGTTGAAGTACAACACGATCGGTGGTGTCAATGGGCCTCTGGTCATTCTAGACAATGTACGTTGACGCAACGGCTCGAAGCTCCGACGAATTGGTCGCTAACAGGTGGTCCTTCCAGGTCAAATTCCCCAGATACAACGAAATCGTCAGTCTAACGTTACCTGATGGGTCCTCGCGGTCTGGTCAAGTTCTGGAGGCAAGAGGTGTGTTTGTCACAAGATACAAAGCGCAGACAAAGTGGTGGAAAGTTGACAAAATGTCCCCGCAGGCAACAGAGCCATTGTGCAGGTGTTCGAAGGCACTTCCGGCATTGATGTCAAGAAGGTGAAGATTTTATTGCTACTCTACACGACACCATACTCACTCAGGCGCAGACGAAAGTCGAGTTCACGGGTCACAGTCTGAAGATTGGCGTCTCAGAAGACATGCTGGGGCGCATCTTCGACGGGTCAGGAAGAGCCATCGATAAGGGCCCCAAAGTGCTGGCAGAGGACTATCTCGATATCAATGGAAGTCCCATCAACCCCTACTCAAGAGTATGTTGTCCGTGGTTCGTTGCTGCCTCGATTGCTGACCTGGGTAAAGGTTTACCCCGAGGAAATGATCTCGACAGGCATCTCTGCCATTGACTGCATGAATTCGGTCGCTCGAGGCCAAAAGATCCCCATCTTCTCCGCTGCTGGTCTGCCTCACAACGAAATCGCCGCTCAGATTTGTCGGCAAGCTGGTTTGGTCAAGCAACCCACGAAGGGTGTCCATGATGGCCACGAGGAAAACTTCAGCATTGTCTTCGCCGCCATGGGTGTCAACATGGAGACCTCGCGTTTCTTCACTCGGGATTTCGAAGAGAATGGCTCCATGGAACGAGTGACTCTGTTCTTGAACTTGGCCAACGACCCCACCATCGAACGGATCATCACGCCTCGTCTCGCCTTGACTACTGCCGAATACTATGCTTACCAACTCGAGAAGCACGTCCTGGTCATTCTCACTGATTTGTCCGCATATTGCGATGCCCTTCGAGAAGTCTCGGCCGCGCGAGAAGAAGTGCCGGGTCGTCGTGGGTACCCTGGTTACATGTATACTGATTTGTCCACCATCTACGAGCGAGCCGGTCGGGTGGAGGGAAGAAACGGTTCCATCACGCAGATTCCCATCTTGACCATGCCCAACGATGATATCACCCATCCTATTCCCGATTTGACGGGCTATATCACGGAAGGGCAGATCTTTGTTGACCGTGGATTGCACAACAAGGGTATTTACCCACCTATCAACGTTCTGCCTTCCCTGTCGCGATTGATGAAGTCCGCCATTGGTGAGGGGTTGACGAGGAAAGACCACGGTGATGTCTCCAACCAGCTGTACGCCAAGTATGCCATTGGCCGTGACGCCGCAGCCATGAAAGCCGTCGTCGGTGAAGAGGCCCTGAGCGCGGAAGACAAACTCTCTCTGGAGTTCTTGGAGAAGTTTGAGAGACAATTCATCGCGCAGAGCCCGTATGACAAACGGACTGTGTTTGACAGCTTGGAGATTGGTTGGAACTTGCTCCGTATTTTCCCCAAGGAGTTGCTCAATCGGATCAATCCCAAATTGCTGGATGAGTTCTACGCGAGAAAGGCACATGGAAAGAAGAGCAACAAGGACACAAGGGACAACGAGGGTGGGAACAAGCAGGTGAATGGGGAGCCCAATTTGTTGGATGACTAAAATAGGTCAGGAGCGAGGATAGAGCGAAAGGACAGCCCATGCTACCGACCTGGTTTAGAGGAATTGAGAGCGTATTGTGACCGAGTAACTGCGTATGGTCAGTGTGATCAGCTAGACAGGAGCTTTGCCGTGGTCGCAGTAATTGTTTTTGGGGTGGAGGCACGACGGTGGGAATATGATTAGTTGGAGTCTGCACAGAATTTGTCCACATAGAGCAGTTGTACCGGTGATAAAGAGGACTGAATTCGAGGTATTTTGCTGGAGAGTCGGTAGTCCAGCAGTAGATTTATATTGAATATATGTGCACGGTGTGTGTGCAAGAATGGTAGAATGGATACAAGACCTGTGGGACCTATGGGAGCCATGGGAGCCATGGGAGATATTTGGATGTAGTCTGTGTTGGGTGTTGGGTGTAGGACCTCTACTGGGTGACTGGGTGTATTATTTGTGAGGTAATAGTGTTTGCCAGAATAGACCTGGTAGAGAAAAGAATAGGAAGGAAAAGACTGCCCTCGCAAAGGGACACGATGATACTCTGATTACGCTGATGATTCAAGGAAACATGATACCCCTCTCTCTTGTGATTACTCCTCTATCTGGATATTACCTAGGTGTAGATATGTACATTATGGATGTATCTATGTAATACATGGATATGTGGGGGGGGGGACAAGAATAATACGTCGATTGAGGCCCGCCCGCCCATAGAAGGGAGTAAAGCGAGAAAATGAGAGTGAAGATGAGCATGAAGACACTCTCAACTATAGTTCCCGCGTCTCCTCCACGGTAGACAGATTCCGCTGAAGTTGCTGCCGACTCGGCGTGGCTTGTAGACGGAGTCTGTCCGACGGTGCTGTCGGTGTTGTTCCACCTGCGGGGGCGGCGGTGAAGTCTTCGGATATGGAGCTGGGCATGTCCATGCCCATGCCCATGCCCATGCCGGCATTAAGGCCTGCGGCACCCCCTGCCGCGGCGGCGGAGGAGATGCCGCTTCCACTGACGCCGACGTTGATGCCGGCGCCAGGATCGGTGAAAGAGCCGGCAGCGGCGGTGCCAAACGGATTGCCAGCGCCAACGGCTCCAGGGCCGGTCATACCCAGTGTACCGTTGACGCTTCGGACGCTGCCGTAGGCTGACCTCGGGGGTCCGAGGAGTGGTCGTCTCTCGTCGTTCGCTGCCGCTGCCGCTTGGGCCGCGGCGATTGCCCTCTCTCTCTGCAGAGCGCGGCCCTTGATGTCGACGTACATGACGAGGGTGACGCCCAACACTAACCCGGCGGTGGCGAGGCCGAGATTGATGGGCTCCGGGTCGTCCTCGAAGACGTCGTGCAGCAGGGCCTGCAGGCCGGACTGGGTGAAGGTGAAGAGGCCCGAGAGGCAGATGATGGCGCCGTAGACGGTGCCGAAGGTGGCGTAGCCAAAGATCTTGGCCGCATAATCGGACATGGCGCTGTAGTAGAGCGGGCGGAACAGCACGAACAGCGTCACGTTGGCGTAGGCGGCCCAGATGGTCGGCACGGCGCCCAGCACGCCGATCAGCGTGCTCAGCAACACCAGCAGGTTCAGCACCGCCACCGTCGAGGTATAGTCCAGCAGGGCGCCGATAAAGGGCACGGTGACGATGCCGCCGATAGGCAAGGCCAGGTCGAAGAACTCGATGATGCGCGTGGCCTGTTCCACCGAGTTGAGCATGTACGAGTACTGCGAGAAGATGGTGGCGATGAAGAAGTTGAACCGCGCCATCTGCAACACCGTGAAGAGCGTGATAAGGACGAACCACGGCGTTCGGATCTGCTTGCTCGCCGGCAGGCCGTGCAGGATCCCCCATACGCCGCTGTTGACCTTGATCTGGCCCTCCTTCTTCTCGTGCTTGTTCTGCTCTGCGGGCGTGCCCAGCAGGTCGTTGATCGAGGCGATGGACTGGCGACGCCGATTCGCCCTCTCGGCCCGCACTTGCATGACCTCCATGGCCCCGTCGAGCTCGTCATCGCTGTCGTGCACGTCCGTCGTGGGGTCCTGGGCCTTGTCCATTTTCTCAGCCAACTCGCCGCGAGTCTGGTAGCTGTGTGAGGGCATGATGGTGATTTGGGACACGAGGATGAAGATCGGGACGACCAGGTAGACGGTGAAGATCTGCCGCAACGAAATGGCGCCATGGGTGTTTTGGTAGAGGATTCGGAAGATCAGAAAGACACTGGCCGAGGCGTCGAATGCGCCGGTGACTAACGCAAGGATAAGGCCTTGGAATCGAGGAAAGGCATTGGAGAGGTGGAAACTGGGGACGAAGGTAAAAGTGCCTCCGAGAGCGAGGAGGAAGCTCGCTACGATATAGGCATCAAAAGGGAGATCCGAGGCAAAGGCCATGAAGATACTGCCGAAGACGAGAAAGATGGAGGAGATGATGCCGCAAACGCGTGGGCCGTATCGATCAAGGATGCTTCCTACCAAGAGAGCAGAGATGTTTGTGGTGACGGAGGCGATGACAAAGGTGAGATTTAACCTGATGAGAGGAATATGCTCAGCTTAGCTCGCCCAGATGAGACCCAACCATAGCTGAAGACATGAAAGGATTGGTGCTTGACTCACCTTTGGTCTTGCATATAGCACAACGGGACATTCTTTCTCAGTTCGTCCTCGGTGCACAGATCTCTGTAGGTTCCCTCGGCCAGGAGGATGGTTTTGAGAGCGTCAAAGCCAAAGACAATGCCGGACGCCAGGACACACGAGATCACACCAACAGATACCTGCGCTGTATGGCGGCAAGAGACGTCGTCGTCAGCTTTCTATTCATTTCCTATTCCTCTGTTCTCTCATGCCTACGTCAAACTCGTGAGTGGGGATAGAACTCACCTATCCTCATCCCCCTCGACACCTCGTATGCGGCAATGGGCTCCAACCTCTCGGGAACCCCAGCGTTCTTGTCGGCGCCACCTGGAGGGAGAGGGTCATAGCTGATTGACAGGGCCATGCTGGGTTGGCGTGATAGCCTATGGAAACTGAGCAGACTGGCCCGGTCGTCAAAAGCCACGTCGCCGGGCTCGGGCTCGTGGTCAATGCCTTCGAAAGAGGAGACATGTTGGGCTAAGGACATTGGTGGATATCTCGGGAAATGAAAAGGGCGACTTGGATCACAACAATACGAGAACGATAGTCGAGGTGGTTGTTAAGAGGTCGAGATATCGATCCACACAAGGCTGAGCTGAGCCGGACAGGGCGGTGAAGCAACGAGGCCGGCCGTCTCTTAGCGGTATTTCACGAGTGTGATACAAGGATGCTCTTTGGGTTGCTTTTCTGGTTGTTGAGCTTGTGAAGTGCTGTTACTGGTGCAGAGAGAAACTCTGCCAATGGTTCCATCCGGGCGGCGAGGACCGAATGATTTTCTCCGGATAGAAGCTTCCCACCAATGGGAATGGGTAAAAAGCGGCCAGAGCGAGAAGGGCAATAGAGCCGGATGTGCGGTGACGTCACTTGCCAGCCATCAAAGCTTGGCATGTTTGGCAGCGAGGGGCATATACATCTCGACATATACCAAGTACCGAGTACAGTGTATGCAATTCTAACACCACTGTACAAGATCAACTTCTCGTGTCAGTGTCACAAGACCGGTACCTACAGTCCCTCACTATCCACCCTCTGCCGAAACTCCAAGATCTCCTTGGTCAACGCCTCGCCCTGCTCTAGCGCCATCATATGCACCCCCGGATCAACCTCCTTATACACGACCAGGCTGCTGCCGCCCTTCTCACACGCCTCCTTCAGCCGAGTCATCCACTTGGGCCCTGTGCTCAGATCCTGCACCCCGCAGACCAACAGCACGGGACATTTGATGCCGCCGCTCTCCAACCGATCCAACGTGTCTAGCCCGCTCATACACCGCCACGCGTCGCCCCAGTCCTTGACCGAGATCCTCTCGACGCACGAGCGCGCGTAGCGGACACCCCATTCATTGCGCGCGATGGCTTCGGGCGTGAACCACCGGATCATCGTCTCGGGGAGGAGGGGTGACACTGATCCGGCCTCCTCGGCCCTGGTGGCCCGGGTGACCCACGACGGCTGGCCTTCGCCTGCGGTAGTGATGAGGCCGACCGAGCGCGTGGACTGCGGGTAGTTGAGCGCAAAGTACTGAGCGACGGCGCCGCCGTAGGACTGTCCGTAGACGTCGGCCTTGGGGATGCGCAGCTTCTCGAGCAGACTCTGCAGGTCGGCGGCGAGCTGGGTGAGAGACTCCGCCGAGGGAGCGTGGGCCGCGTAGCCATGGCCTCGCAGGTCGTAGGAGATGACACGCAACTGGCCACCACTGCCATCACCCGCTTTACTCGCCGCGAGACTGGCAAAGACGGCATCCCACATCCTCCGATCCAGTGCCAAGGCGTGAATGAGCACGATAGGCACCGCCCGCGTGTTCTGAGGATCCGAGTCACGCACCACCGTCTTATGCCTCGTGCCCTGGTCGGCCCCAACTGACACCTCCTTCTCCAGATGATGCAGCCTGCCGCGCAGCGACTTGAGCACGCCCTCGACGCGCGCCCGCACCGCGACAGCCCGGGCGGCCCCGACACTGAAGCTGGACTGGAAGACGACGTTGTGGATCTCGGACTCGGTGGCACCGTAGTGCAGCGCCGTGGCGACGTAGTCTTCCAGCGTGGTCGTCGTGGTGTCGGCGAGGGCGAGGTTGCTGCTGCTGCTGGTGGGGCTGGAGACGGGCGCTTCGTGGGCGATCTGCGCCATGAGGCCCAGCAGGGCGCATTCGCGGTAATTGAGCGACGAGGTTGACACGAGGTCGAGGAACGCTACGGGCGGTTTGAAGGACGAAGATGGTGCTGCCATTTTGTGTTCTTTTGTCCTTTGTGTCAAGTTCGAAGTAATACTTTCCTCGCCAGACCACTTGAGGAATTGAACGTGGAATCAATTCCCAGCCCCAGTGCAAACACTGAGCAAATAGAATGGCAAACTGAAGATGATCCTCAAAGGACGGGTAGCCAGTAATAGTAAAATGCCCAAGACGACGAAACCCCCGCCCTGCCCCAAAAGGAGTCGACTCGGAAGTAAACAGACGGTACCGCTTACTACTCTCTTTCTCTTTCTCTCCTCTCTCTCTCTGTGTGTGCGCGCGTGTGTGTGCTTGTTCCGTAGAAGAGACCTAACTAAGAACTAGAAAGACCGGAATCAACAACACCTTTTTTTTGGCCTCTACTTTTTCTCTCCCTCTCCACCTAAAAGCAGTATGCGTAATCCTCGATTGGGGAAATGGGTCTTCTTTTCTTTCTCGGAACGTGAGGGTAATATCGAATCGCGTCGAGTCGGAAAACGGTAAGTGGGAAACGAACAGAAAGGAATAATAGTAGGAATAGGAATAGGAACAGGAACAGGAATACCGAGTGATTGGGAGGAAATCATGCATTGCGATTATTCAGCTCCCGAACGTCTTGAGTTTCTCTTCAACTCGTGGGTAAAACCTGCGGACCACACAAGTACGAGTAATTAGGTAACTTGTCTGCTTGTCTATCTGATTCTGGTGCGGTACTACTGCAAAGGGACGTCTCATATCCTTTGACCCTTTCTATCCTATACTACTCACGTAGATCATCCGATATGAGCAATGCCAAACGCAACCACCGCTGTTGCTGCTGCTTCTGCTCCTTAATCACCAGCCAGTGTGAGAGCGAGAGCGAGAGTACAGTCGGAGGTGGATTTGAGTTCGGAATGGGTTTGGAGTCAAGAGTTGGAGAAAAAAGCCAAGTCGGTGGCTTGTCAGTCACACATCTGAGCGGAGTTTGACCGGCCGAACAAGTAAAGAAAGTATGTATGTACGCGGCGAGGTGGGAGGGATTTGTACCCCAACACACAAGGCTGGACGAGGCTGACAAAGCTGACTACCTTGACGTCTTTGCACCCAGCACCTAGCTTGCAAGACCCAGCATGAAGCACCATACGAGTAGGTGTTAGGTAGGTAGACACAAATTTTAGTCAGATCTTTACTGACTCTCTCCCCCCCTTATTATGGTGGAGAAGATGGAGGATTATGTACAATATATACCTTGGCTATGTGTCGACGACCCCCTCCGTCACCGCCCGCAGTTTCTCCCGAATATGCAGCGTGGCCGCATCACCCTCTCCGCGGAGCATGCACGACGCATCCAGCGCCCGTCGGAGCCAGTATACTGCATCAGTATCAACTCCAGCGCCAGCGCCAGCATCTCCTTCGCTACTCACGCTTAACTCAGCCAGTTCGGCCATGTCCTCCATCGCGTACGCGGCGCGCGTGTCCGGGAAGTTCACGCCCTGGAGGAGCTGGTAGTTCTGGATGACGGACGAGCACAGCGCGCGCGCCACCGTGGGCTGGCCGAGGTCCTTGTGCACGTGGACCAGCTCGGTGAGGGCGATGCATAGGTCCGTCATGACTGCAGTCGTGGGCCGGTGTTGGTGGTGGTGGTAGTATATGTCCTGGCCAGGATCCATCGATGATGATGATAGTGCCAAAGTCAGACTTAGCGCCTGTTCGGTCGCCTCGACCAGGTTCTCGCCCTGTCGCTTCGCCGCGTCGAGCCGCTTGGACCGCCGCAGCAGGCTGACCAGCGAGCGGTGCACGGCGAACGTGGCGTGGTGGTGGCGACCCACCGTCTGGGTCAACACCTCCAGCGTCAGATGCGACGCCGCCTCCGACACCGCGGCTGCATCTCCGAGTTGATTGTCCTCCCTGGCCATCTCGCGGCAGATGACGGCCAAGGGATGCCGCGGGGACTGCAGCTTGATGGCTGCCATGCCGGCAAGATATTTCAGCAGCGTGCTCCGCACCTGCGGGTACACTCTGGTGTTGACAGGCGAGAGAACGGTGAAGACGCTGTTCAGAAACAGTTGCGAAGTGGCAAACACGTCGTCCCCAACCAGGGCGCACGCCTGGTTTAACAGCGGCCACGCCAGGTCGGGGCACTGCTTCTTCAGAAAGTAGATGCCGGACTTGACGTTGGACCAAAACGCCGTGGCGTGGCCGTTATTGTCGATGGACACGAATTCTGCCGTCGAGGGGTCCACAGCTTTGAGGTAATACGTCCGCGTCTGCTGCAGGATGAGTTCTGCGTTGAACTGGTTCTTGGGTGGGAGAATCGGTGGACTTGGGGTTGGGGTCAGAGTTGGTGTTTCGATAGGTAAGTCGTCAGGCTGTCTGGCGCGGTCGGATTGCGACGACGAAGGCGTCAGTGAGAGGGAAGTCGTATTCCCCGATCCAGCGGGTGTGGCACTGGATACCTCCGAAGGTCTCACAGGGACGCGAACCATGTCGTCGTCTCCGCCAGAATTGGACGAAGGGAAAGAATCCTGCTGCTCGCTGTCGTCGTCTTCAAAATGTGTCCCGTGAACCCTCTGCTTCGGCCGCACACGAACCGGCCCCACCCCACGCTTCGGATCCCGGAAATGTCTCAGCACGCGGTGCAACTTGACCGGACGGCCCTCGAAGGTGATTTGAGAGGCAGGCCGGTTCTGGAGGTGCGCCTGGGCGATGCGCGCGGCGAGCAGGTCTTTTTCCTCGGCGCGGTAGTTTTTGCGTATGTTCCACTGGTTGAAGCGGGTGTTGTACATGCGTTTTCTGTCGAGGTGGTGTTAGTTTGGAGAGGGAGAGAGTGAGTGAGTGAGTGAGTGAGTGAGATGGCAGGGAAGGGAGACGGGAAGGAAGGGAGGGAATACCTACGTCGCCTTGAAGCGATACTCTCGCTCCATGATCCTCTGGACCTCCTTGAGCGGCAGCTCCCGGTCGCGGTATAAATGCGTGATGATGGCGCGGTGGGCGAGCCATTCCTGGGGCGTCTGCGGGACCGTCGCCCTCGCATTTGGCGTCGCGGTCACCGGTCGTGAGGGATCAGCCATTGTAGCGGGTGAACGAGGGGTTCTCCTTCTAGCGATCCGGGTTTTCAGAAGCGGAACAAGAACAAGAACAAGAACAACAAGAACAACAACGAAAAAATGCCCGGAGAGTCTGAGTGGAGAGTGAGCGGGCCGTGATGAGGTGAGGAGTGGTGGAGTGGTACAAAGGTACCAGACAACCAGAATACACGGTCAAAGGCGAGCAAGAGCGCAAAGGATTCGGGTTCGTGATCGAAAAAGGTTCAAGATGGTCGGAATGGCCTTGATATGAGACCGTTGTGATGTCAAACTCCAAACTCCCATTTGACCCGCGCAGGTCTGTGTTTTCACTTGTGCAAGTATTCGCTAGTCAGAGTAGTACGAGGAGTACGAGGAGTCATGCGATATAGCTTGCCTGCATCTTCTGTGGTGATGATCCGGATGAGGCTGTGCTCGTGCTTTTGAGAGGCGGAGCCTTACCAAGATATGCGCTACATAATCCCCGTGCATTAGCAGCCACACAGATCAACCAATTAAATGGACATCCTCCACAAAAAGTTCGCTTCCTTGCATTCAATCTGTTTGGACAATATAGTGTCACTCTCACAAGGCTTGTGCAAAAGTACAGCCCAGCACAGTCCAGTCTAGCCGCACAGGGTATCGTCATCCCAAATACTCGTTTTAGGAGTCTTCCCACTATTGTACAAGATATTACAAGGCCGTGGCATCCTCGTCTCTCATCTGGCATGTGGCAACCTTGGAACCGAGCTCATCATTGCCTGTCTCATACCCCCCTCCTCGTTTCCGTAGTTCACAACCCGTTTACTCCCATGCTTGCTCACTGTAACATTTGCTCTCGTGTCGTGGGAGCCAAGCACTCGGTGATTGTGTTTGGACAGCGCGAGTGCTGGTGTGGTTCTATCTAGACGACCAGCTCGAGGTCCAAAGAGATTGGTTCGAGTCTCCTCCCAAAGCGTCTGACAAGCCGGCAAGCTGGTCACAATGTAGATGATGGTATTCCAAAACCCCTGCAGTGGAAGCACCAGACCCGAAGCAAAGTCGAGTCCGAAGACCGAGTCATCTGGCCAGACCAGAGTATACACTCGGTTGACGGTGGAAGGAACCCTGACTTTGTCAGTCCAGGCAGCTTATGAGACGTAGAACAAATACGTACCATGTGCAGAGGAGAGCAAGGAAGAACAACATGGCCGTTTTGCAATAACTCATAGTCGCCTTGTTCGCGTCCAGTGTTCGAATTGGTGGTCTCTCCACAACCACATTGGTGTTTGTTTGGTCTACGTTTGTAGATGGCGCATCCTCGTGGTAGGTGTTCCGTGGGGACCTCAGTTGGCGTTGCTGGTTCGAGGCATGCGAGTGAGGAACTTGACTGCTGATGGTGACCTCGTACGTCTTTGGAGACACAGGAGAGGTCGGCAGTTGTTTCATTGCATAGCCGTTGGACGGAATATCGGCTCTGCCCTCGCTCTGATTCAAAGAAAGGAGGTGCCTGCGCCAACGAAAGACCACCACGCCCACCTTGACGTAGATAAACATGGTCACGAGAATGATCAGCCACACTGGTCCATAAAATGTTGCAATTCGGAGCGCATTCCACTCTGTCGATACCCAGCACCAGAGCTGTGAAAGGTCAGCTAAAACATCAGCTATGGCAGGACACACATACGACTGCATCTCCATACACTTTGCCCTTGCCGCCAGAACTGACAAACAAAAACACCAAAGCTGGCACAAACGGAACACCATAGCAGGCTCCCAGGTATCTCCACTCCAGGCCTCGGAGTTGCGACGCGTCGTACTGTCGAAAGAAGGAGAGGTACACATTGCACGCCATGGCAAAGGTCCATAGCGCATCAGCAGGCAAGAACCTATTTCAGCATGAGCAGGGGCGACAGAATGAGGGCAGCAACAATCTCACCAGTGAATCAAAAAGCCCTGGAATTGACACAACGGGGATGTCACCCCCAGCTTGATGCCAGACCTCGCAATCAGGGTCGCCACATTGGCAAACAGGTTCCCCCATGCAGCATAAAACACCAGTCGGTTGATGGGTTTCCGAAACTTGCTGTCTGAGAGAAACGTCGCAATGATGAATGCGGCTCCAAAAACAGAAAACACAGAGGTCACTCTCTCAGTCGCCACCAGGGCATGGTCCTGTGAGGCTGTAATAGCCATGTTGACAGCGATATGGAGGCTGCAACCAGACGAGCATACCGAACAAGCTCAAGAGGGTCCAAGGTCAAGACTTTGCGGGTTGCGGGGGAATTGACCTGCTTTTGTCTTTGGCTGCATCGATAAGCCACCGCATGTGTAACGTCTGTGTCCCAGTGACCCAGTGACCCGTGGTGTACTCGTTCACTGTTTGCCACAGAAGTGGCCAAGGGGTTGCAACTTCACCCGTCTCCACCACCACCACTACCACTGGGGTCAGAAATTTTCGAGAAGCAAGGGACCGTCTCCGCCAGGGCAACTCGGTCGATTCGCTGACATGTAAGAGACAAAGACTCTGCCGGGGTCGGTCTGGGGACAGAGGACGGTGGTCGACATTGAAACGGCTAGAATGTATCGGGGATGCGCCTTCCGTATGTGCAGTGGTGGATCTAGCAACAACTCCACCGGTGGAGCGGAAAGAGAAGTTACTCTGGTTCATTGATCAACGTTGCAGAAATTCGCAATGGCACGAGCCGGGGTGCTGGGGTGCTGGGCGTCATTCCGCAAGTGGTCATAGTGGCAGTGGTAGTAACAAGGAGAAATGCCCGAGGTGCAGCAGATGCCCTTGCCCTTGGCATGCCGTTCTCAGAATGGTAGGATGATGCAGGGTCACATATTCGTCTAGATCGGACTGTTTGATCGACGCAGGGTTGTTGTCACATGCGTGGGCAGTATTGAGATAGCCAGGACTCCCATCATGTGCACTGAGATGTACGAGTAACGTCCGAGAAGGACAAAGAGGTGTTTTCCACTTCCGACCTGTTAGTCAAAGTCAAGGGCATGATTCGCGCCGTCTGCACCAAGTCTGTGTCAAGGACAGGAACAGGTCTGGGGATTTCATGCTCGAGGAAGCCTCACAAGACCGCGCTCGGTCGCTCGGCAAGACTTGAGAGGCCGCGATTCGAGACGATTGTGCCTGAACGCAACGACTGCGGGCGGGGACGCCCTTTTCCCCAGGTCGAAGAAGACGTCCAGGATGGTCGGTGCAAAGGAAGCTACTGCAGGCACAAAAGTCCCAGACGAGGCCTAATCCGATCGAAAAGCCGAGGACATAACATTCGAGTCGCGTGATAGCCAATAAGTTAGGAGTACTCGTACTTGGCTGCGCTGGACCAAGACTAATGAGAAAAGATGTTATTGTCTGTTTCGACGATTCGCAGGGGATGGTTGGTGGGATTGCGCCAGTGAAACACCGTATCGTAGCAATAGAAGAACGAACAGTTCATCCCACTGGCCGCTTGATTGCGTTCCGGGGTTGAGCCTCGAGTGTTGACTAGTGTGGCGTCATAAAGGTTTCCACCGGCGATGAAGAAATCAATCCCAACGTCTATCGAGACAGCAGTCTAGCACGGCCTGACTAGTCCAACTGAGGGAACGGACTATTGAAACACTGGGAGGTCGAGACGCAGGCCCTGGTCAAGGGTACCAATTGCATGAACATTCCCAGTGACCCATATTTGATTCTGTGCGTGCGCCTTTGACTTTTTCAAGCTCTGACAATAGACCGAGACTGGCAATGCTCAGAGTAGGTGAAGGGGAGGAACGACTTCGTATTCGGGGTGTCCAACCAGAACCCGTTGAACGCGAAAAACAGCTCTTTCTATATTTGACCATTTGACTCCTTTCACCTGTTTTCCGACCAGTATCTGAACTAGACGACCAACACGGACCGGGTACGGGCTTTCCTGTAATTGAGATATGATCGTGGAGGGTTGGTTTCCTGCTTGCTGCATGAGATTCCACAAGGCATCAGTACTCAGTACAGAAGTAACCCACGATTTTGCAGTGTGGGGGTTTGTGGTGGAAGGGGATCCAAAATCTGACGGTGGGAATTTCTTCAGGTACGAGGGAGATCATGATTGATGTTTGTGTCATTGTCGGTGGACTTGATGATCGTCATTCCCCCGGAGACAGTGGATGGGTTGGTGGGTTGGTGAGTGTCGCACTGCACTGTCATGTCAAGGGGGATGGAAGACGCTCCCGCCCTGTTGGGTACGTGGTCCACATTGCATTGTGCGAGTTCCCCAGTGAGCCTGGTTAAACGGTCAAAGGGGAGACAATACCAAAGGGGGATTAGTAGTACCAGAACCAGCTGCACCAGCTGCAGCAGTATGGAGTGTCAAGGGGGGCCGCAATAGTCGTAGTAGTGGGTGGCCACTGACCAGGTGCAAGGGAGACAATCCCGGCTAAAAGGAGGAGAGAGAAAAAAAGCCTTCGACATCAAAAGAGGATGTTGCCCCGAGGCTGCCGCCACGAGCCACGCTTCTCTGCCTTTTGATTTCCTCTCAAGGGCGCCGTGGTGCTGGGGAAGTATTATACTAGGGGCTACAATCTGCACTTCGATTGTATCGTGCTCTCTTGTAACGAGTAGAAGTAGGCCAAGGAACCAGTGGCTCCAACGGCCATGGACCTTTAATTCCACGCACTGTATATCCGAGTGACGAGTCCTTCATAAGTAGATCGCAACAAAGGTCTCGTAGGTATTCGTGGGATGGTACTCAACAACTTGAGATGAGACGAACGATTGCCCATGAGCCAGGCACACACACACAGACATACGTATGCCGTGCGGGTAGCATTCATCTCGGCGTCACCGACTGTATGTACTGGGGTTCCTGACCTTCCATCCCACGTTGGTTGCAATCTACAGTACCTACGAGCAAATCTCCTGTCTCCTCTTTTCGTCATGTCCATTGCCCACTTCCTCAAAGTATCCAGCGATGACGAACAGAGGGTTCGGACAATACCCATTTGGGACGAAAAAGTGGCAGTTCTATCCAGTGCCAGCTCACCAGAAGTTCTGGGTGGTATCAAGTACATATGTACGAGCACAAAAGATCTGCACTGATCAGCAGGAATATACCTACCTAGGCAGGTGTTGAGGGATCAGACGAAGATCGCTGAACGAAAACCAATCAGCAATCAATAGGATAAATCGTGAAGAAATGAAACCCTGTGATAAAAGTGGGAATGCCGCCGACTGCGAGGCTTCAGAGGTCCCATTTTCAATACCTTTCCCCCAAGATGTATAATAAACGAACGCCATGCAAAGAGGCCGAGTCCTTCATTCAACGTCTCCGCTGGGAACGCGATAAACTCAATTCCTTGGCCATGACACCACAGACCACATAACAGCAGGTTCATATTTGCCCGTCTTGCTAACAAGACAAATGATCTTAACGCCTAGACGGACATCATAATGCTCATCTCGTCCCTGCATCATTCTTCGTGTGATACCTGGGCATCCTCTCATAAGCATTAGGGCTAGGTTTTCTCCTCCCCTTGCCCTTCCCATGATCACAACCGTCGTTATGATTATGGTGGTCACGAGGACGGTCGTGTTTTTGCCCTTTCCGATTCCCGCTCATCCTCGCACCGCCGTCGTCGGGACTGTCACTACCACCCGCATCGCTGTCACTATCACTCGAGGAATCACTCGAGCTGTCGTCTTCACTGGAACTCTCGCCAAATTCCCGGGGTTTGTGGTAAATGCAGCACACTTTGCTTGATTTTCTGCCCAACCCTTCGTTGTCCACCACGTCTTCTGCCCAAGTGATCTGTCTGCGGCGCCCTCGACTCGTGTTTGTGCCGGACCCGGCAGCGGTGGCATCATGTGCCCCACGGAGACGCAGGATGAGCGGTTCGGGCGAGACTGATCGTGACGAGGCGGAATCGACCGGAGTGACAGTCTGGGTTGCCGAACCTGACGTGACGCGCCGCGACGGCGAAGCTGCGAGCAAGGATGGGCCTATATGTCTGGCACCGATTGGTCTGGATGGATGATGGGACGTATTCATGACTGATGGTTGACCCGACGGGGCTGTGGACGAAGACATGGTGAACCCGAGAATTCGCGCAGGGACTATAGTGTCGGTCGGTCGTTTTTCTCTTTGTCTGTGTGAGACAAAAATGCGGTCTCGACTCGATCGTAGGTACGACGAAAGGTAAGATCGTAGATAATGAGGGACTTTTGATACCCAGGGTCTAAACAACAGGAGATGTTTTGGTAATTTGAAGTTGTGAGGTAGTAAGTAGCGGGCTGAAATTGCGGCTCGTCAGAGGTTGTGGTGGAGTGGCGTGGCGCGCCGAGCGCATGCACACAAACAGCAGAAGCGTATGTATCTATGAGCTGGAGGCTCAAGCACAATAATGAAGAAACGTGACTATAAGAACCCCTCGCAATAATCAACTTGTCTCAGCCAACGGTGACCAGTGACCAGTGAATGAACGGCGAAGATGAGGGAGTTTTATTCTGCTTCGCGGGAATGATATGATGTCTTTGTATTGTCCAGTACCGCGTATTCGGTAGAAGGGGATGAATGTTTTTTTGGGCGTGGAAAGAGGTGCAAGATTGGCGTGGCCCGCGGGGCTGCAGATCGTTGTGGACTTGGGCTTGGGCGCGGGGCGAGGCGAACAGGCGGGCGATGGCGATGGTAACGGTAATAGCAATGGGAATGGGAATGGGATAATGGCACGAGATGACGCCGAATAATAAACAAATTTCGCTAACTCGCTACTGTGTGTGCGTGCGTCCTTTCCGGACCTCGTAATGATGCACACGAGACCCCTTGATGACCCTTACACTTAGTAGTTGTACGAGTTGAGAGGGTCCCGAAAAAAACAATCAAGTGACGTGCCTTTGTTTTCGTCCCCCCCGCTATTGTGCTTCTGTGCATCTGCTTGCCTTAGTGCCCGCTTTTTCCCATCCATCCATTCAACCTCCTCCAAGCTGGCTAGCTGACCGGGCTGGCTGGCTGGAAGGCTGATTGATTATTCTTGCTTGCTACGGTACCACCTGCACACCTCACTTCTCACATCTCCAGTATTACTACTGTACTCGTACTCGGTCGGTACTCGCCTCGGTTCGCCGCGTTACGTTGCGTTGCGTTCCTTTTTGTTGGGCTTCTCACGCACCGCTGACCTCCCTGCCCGCCTTATCGCATACTTGTATACGAGTATACCTACTGTCCTACGTACCTAACTACCCAGGTAGGTAACAAAGATGAGACCCGGACCTCACTCGTACATGATTGTCCGTGCGGGACATGCAGCCAAAGGGGCCTGCTACAGAGCTGACCGCATTACATGCATGCTTGCCTGTCTGGCTGCCCTACCTGGCCCGTCCATACATCTACATCTGCCTACATCCCTTACATTACTGCATTGCTTAGCCTTGTCCAACGTGACGCCGGCTCGCTATCATCGTCGCCATAAATACCCGCCTGACCACATGGCCTCGGGGCCTTACCCTACGACCTGCATTCAATTGCGTCCGACTGCATTCCAACGTCATGCAGACCTCACTCCACATGTCTCTAGATCGAGTCCGTGCACCGTCTCACGTGGTCCTTGCGAGGAGCTCTAGAAGAGCCTGGACCTTGCGAACAACGGCTCTTTTTAGCTCTTCCAAGAGGTCAGGGAGGGAAAGGCTGGAGGCTGTCGTCCTACTACACACCCATTGTACTACTCTATTCCGTTGCTACAAACGGCCATTCGGCCTGTTCGAATCTCCAATCTTCGTATTATTCGGGTGGCCTTTTCTCAGCTCTCGTCTAGTCATCTAGCAGCTCATGCTCTTGATCAAACCGTCTCTGCTCTTCCCCCCTGAACTCTGGTTGTACTCGATTCGACGCTTCTGGTGGTCTTGACCCCCTCCTTTCAATCGCCGGTGGTTTCCAGGGCCGAGTAGGTAATCCCCAAGAGAGGTGTCGCGAGTAACACTCTAACCGACTGACCCGAGGACCATGCTTTTTGGTATCATAACACACATCAAGCAAAACAAGGTATGCATTTTCTCATCCATCTCTGCCTGTTCCAAACAGCTCGTCCCTTGCTCCATCGTGAGAGCCGTCTTCGAGACGAGTGCCTCAACACTTGTAGAAAACCCATCCACTCTCAAAGTCCTCGTCGGGTGTCGACCTTTCCATCGCATAGTGTTCAACCGAGGCTTCGGCAGCGGCGGGCTGTTCTGCTGCGCGTATCGCGAATTCCGTCCGTAACTCTTCTTCTAGTCACAGCTCATCGTCCTGGTCCAGATCGGCCGGTTTGATGAGACCGCCGACCTTGAGTGCTCGCTCTCTTTCTGCCTCGGCCAAAATCTTCTTTTCTTGTTCGCGTTCTTCGGCATACAGCTCTGCATTGTCCCCGGCAAATTCTTTGAGGGAGATCAAGAAGTCGCGCACGTGAGTCTTGAATTTGGTGGCGTCCTCATTGAGTGTGAAGAGCCCATTGACAAAATGCTGTACTTGGATCTCCTTGAGATTGGGAAACGCGCGTTGCAGCAGGTTCGAGGTGAATTCGCTAACAAACTGCTTGTTGGAAGTCCCCGGAGCAGCCTGGTCAGGTTGATACAGTGGCTGCGATATCTTGTTGGTCTCGACAAGCTGGAACATCCGTGCCAGCAACATGCATTGAGATTTGAAACCTGCTTTGTGGTCCGAATCGGTAAGGACGAAGAACACATCCTGCAGTATGGAGATGTAGAACTGCTGGAAGAAAATACCCGCAGTCTGGGGGTCTGTCTCGGCCATGTTGTTGATCAGCTCCAAACACATGGACAAGCCAGTGTTTTCAACCTCGCGGTTATCGTGTTTGCTCGCCCACATGCAAGAGTCAATGACAAACTTGAATTGACGACCGTCCAGTTTGAGCAGGGCTGGGAAGCAGAACAAATTGATGGCCTGTAGCAGCTTGAAAAATTCGACTCGGAACTCGGGGTACTCGTGGAAGTCCTTGTTGATCATCTCCAGCGTGCACTCAAAGATGCTGTCCATGATTGGACCAATCTTGTCGTCCATCAGGTTCTGTAGCAAGTCAGTAAGATGCCTGGGAGGAAGCATAGCGTCTCTGACCAAATGCCGAGATCTCTTTGGGGTCCAACGTACATGTAACTTGTGGATGATTGTGGTGGTCACACTGAGGACTTCAGCGTCCCGAGCATCTGGAACGTTGCGTTGATAGTCAAGCAAGATGGCATCGAGCAGTGGCGGCACCATGCTATCATTGACCATTTGCAGGTCATCCGCTTTTTGTACATAGATATCGACTAGCTTCAGAATCTCTTTCTTGATCGTGCGCAGGCCTCGGACCTTTGGAGTCTTGGTCTGGACATTGCCTGAGGTTCACATTAGCATAAGCGCAAACAAACGTCCGGCCTGACTCACCTCCAGACGCGACAGCATCGGAAATCAGCTGGCTTGAAGCCCGGTACATATTGAGCATATCATGGTAAATGCGGCCGATCTGGGAGTAGAAATAACTGCCGATGGACGAGCATGCTGCGACATTTGTTTTCATGATGTTTCCCACCACTTTGATGATCTCTGGATCGTGGAGGATGGCGGGATTGGCATTCGCTTGCTGAATCACACTGTCCCAGGCTTGGTTGGGATAGGACATCAGGTCGCTGATCAGTCGGTCTTGGACGCTCTTCTGACCTTGGGCAGAGATCATGTAGCCACAAGCTTCATAAAAGGTGTGAACTTGCTGAGGAGTCAAGTCACAGGTGATCCTGCGCATATTACGCACAATCTCATCGATGAAGGGCTCCGTCTCGCCGGGCTGGAGAGCTACAAAATGGCGCTTGCATTTGTTGGCGATCTTGATGAACGTGTCGCAGGCCATGTCTTGCACTCCTTCGTGGGTTTCGTGCATAAACTCAAAGAGTTTGTTCACCACCGTCTTCAAGAACTTCCAGTGCGCCTTCAGAAAACGTGGGTACTGACCCACAATATACATGATGTTGCTGGCCACCACGGCTTTGTTGTCTTTGCCACGCTTCATCTCGGTCAAACCAAGCAAGTCTTTGATGACCGTCACCAAGAAACGCTTCTCCGTCTCTTCAGACATGGCTCCTGATATCGAACCAATGGCCCAGCAGAGAGTATTGCAGTTGTTCCACGACCACTCAGACCCGTCAACTTGTCGTTGAAGCTTGTCAGACATGATTTGCTCGGTATCAACAACATCCAAGTGCGTCAGATATACCAGACATTCACGGGTGGTCTTGTAGAGTTGGATAGTGTCGCTCTCCTTGACGAATTCACGCACAATTTCTCCCTCGTCATTTTCCACGATGAGAACCTCCTCTGGTCGGACCATCTTTTCCACCATCACCTGTCTCAGACTTGACAACACTTGAGCATATTTGTGCTTGCGGAGTGGATAATTAGCCAACGTGCTCGGATGAGGTGCACCGCCATTAGCGAGCCCACTAACACCCATGTTGACCAAGGGATTGAGCTCAGTGATCGGGAGTTGTTGCATTTCTTCGTACAACTCTTGGACTAGTTTGTTCCAGTATTCGAGACAAATCTTGAAGATTTCGCGGTCGTCGATCAGACTGATCTTGATGAGATAAAAGTGGCCATGCAGGAGAAAGTCAGGATTTGGTAATCTCTCAATAGTCTGAAGGTGTGCGGAAAAGTAATTGGTGAGAAAGATTGCGAGGTTGAGGATATATTCTTGCTCTGAAGACTTGGCTTTGGCATAGGCCTCTCGAAAATCTGTGTCGAGGGAGAGGGTTCTGGCAACGACCGTGAGGGTTTCGGTGAACATCTGGACGAGCTTGTCATCATATTGGTATTGTTGTCCCAACTGCAAGCCACCGATTTCCGTCAAGCACTTGAGCGTGATGTTGCGAAATTGATCCACTTCGAGGAACCTGGTAACGAGGGTGTCGATGAGCTTTGTTTCGAAGATGAAGCCGAGGGGAATCCAGTTCAGAAACCGAAGCAATGTCTCCAGAGTTGCCTTGACTAGGCTGACCGAGTCGGCTGTTGTAAGGATGTCATTGCAGAGTTGAAAGATGGACGAGAATTCGGCGCACATGGTGGTTTTCAGGTTCTTCGCCTTGGTGGAGGTCATCTGATCCTGGGAGAAGTCAAAGACTTCTTCAGATAGCAGTCGTAGAATAGTCATGTTGTTCTCGCACACAGAAATGCCGGTGTGGCAGGCGGAAATGATCTCGTTGATAAAGGTGGGCCAGTTCTGTGGCCATTCTTGCTTCAGGATCGTGACCAGTGTCAAATCGAGCTTGTTGAGAAAGAGCTTGTTCGCCTTGAGAGATTCTTCAGTTTCGGAAGCCTGGAGGATCTGGTTGACCACGAAATTGCGGATGCCCAAACACTGGTCACGCGGGAGAACCTTCCATCGAGTATTGACCACATCATCCAGCACCTGCAAACCGAGATATTTGGTGGGCACGTAGGTAGCCTCTTGCAGTATCCTGTCGACCATCAACCAGGCATCGGGATTGGACTTGAATTCATTGAGCTTCTGTTGAGCCTGCTTTTGGACATCGCCATGACCCTCTTGAAAAGCTTTGACGGTCGCGTCAAGCTCAGCGACAGTGACCGACATGGCGGGGGAAGAGAATTGTAGGAGGAAGAGCGCTCAGCGAGCGAGGAAAAGCACGAGTGTTGCGCCAGTAAGGGGCGGGGTCGCAAGATTTGAGGCTCGATCGATGTATCGGTATGATAAAAACGACCCGAGGGCGGGATGAGGAGTTGTTTGTTGCTTGCCCCCTCGTTTTGTTTGACGAGAAGGAGATGGGCAGAGGGCGACGAGTGCAGCGGGCGGATGAGAAGGGAGATGAATCGCGTGGATTAGAATGAACAAGGAGATCTGTGAATCTGCGTTGGGTTGGTGGCTGAGGCAAGTGTTGTAATTCGTTGGATGATGGAAAATTGCCAACGCGTGTGAGGCCCAAGCAATAGCACGGCCTGTCCAGGTCCCAGGTTGATGAGGCGCCGCATAAGGCAACCGCAGCGGTGGTGGCGGTGATATCAAATGTCACCAGCGCGGCTATTAACCCCGATTCTGGGATTATTGCTGGGATTGCTGCGATCTCTGATCTCTGCGTGAATTTGTCATCCAGAGTGTCCAGAGGCCCAATTGGAGGCGCCCAGCTCACACAACACTTGGAATTGTCCAGTGACATACAACTTCTATCATTATCATCTACAAAACAACATAGTCCTAGGAATAAACAAACATCTCTCCATCTCTCAATCATGCACGTCTCAAGAATATATCTCATTTGTCTGAATAATTCTGGTTTATCTGGTATCATGGGCACTGTAAAAGCCACATAAAATCTTGTGTATCAAGTTCAATAAAAACACCAAATCAAGCCTCTCCTTTTATTTTGGTTGTGATTTAATCAGTGCCTACCCCCGTCGTGTGTTCTTGGAACTTCATCTCTCGCTCTTCGCTTTCTTTGCGATACTGTTGGTACGCAGCGGCCATCTCTTCCTTGGATTGTATCCCGTTCTTCTCCGTGATTAAAGCTTTGAGCCATTTATTCTCCATCTCCAGTTGATTCACCTTTGCCTCCAACTTCGCGTTCTTCTCCTGGACTTCCTTGACCGTCCGCTCCAAAGCCTGCTCGCGCTGCTTCTTCTTGACGCGAAAGCGCGCACTGGCTGCTGTGTTCCGCCTCCTCTTATCTTCCTCGGCAGCGAGGCGAGACTTCTCTTCCGGGCTCAATGCATTTCCATCAAGGCCGTCGCCTTTCCTCCGACTAGTCTGTTGACCAGCAACCGTGGAGCCGCTGGGAGATGTGTGAGAGTCAAGGTTGTTAAAGCCGGGGACGGGTGCAGGTTGAATGGGAGTATTATAGGTGCCGTAGTAGTGCGTAGAATCGCCCGCAGATGTCTCGAGATTGGACGATTGATAGTTTTGGGTGGGTGAGGAGCCAGAGAGGAGGTCTTCATATTTGACACTATTCGAGTTGGTTTTAGAGTCGCCGAGGTCGAAGTTAAAGGTGCCGTCTTCAGGTAGCGGGGGAATATCAAAATGGGTGAAGTCGGTGTTTGTAAACATGGCCAGGTCCTGGCTTATGTCAAGCTCCTCCGTAGGGTACTGCTCTTGTTCATAGGGCGACGTCAGAGTATTGAGACTGTTCAGATACTCTGAAAAGTTCGGCCCTGTACGGCCGCGATAGCCCGACATGATCCTCCACTGCTGCTGTATTTTACGACTTGTATACCCTGCTCAATGGTGTGTACAAATATAAAATGTTCGGTAGGGGGTGTATGGCTGAGAAGGAATTTGCTCGTCGGAGCTGTCGACGCAGGGCGCACGATGACACACGGTTTCTTCGTGTGGCGAATTCGTCGACCGCCGACTTCGGTGTGCAGCTAGGGAGCTGTCGTCTGTCGTCGCTCAGTCCAAATATTCGATTCGTCGTCCTCCAGGTCCAGAACAGACGTTGTGTGTGTGTGCATAGGAAGGAGGTGGAAGAATCAAAGGACGAGGAGCAATAGTGGGGAGAGAAAATTGCGTTCTCGTGGGAGAGGTAGTGGTGGTGCGCGAAAGGTCGGGTGCAAGGGAGGGGCGCGAAAACTCTCAGTCAAACGGATTACTTGGTGGGTGCCACAGGAGTGGGAGTCGTTGCAGCTCTGATGGGGGGCGGGTTCCCGGCGTGGGTTTCGTCCGCTGTGTGGTTGGCTTCCTCGGACTCGCTTCGGGAATTGCACTGCTTCTCCTCGTGTTCCTCCCACTCCCACCCCTCTTGCGCAAGGACCCTGTTTTTCACCTGCCGAATCTATTCGCTCGCTTTGAGAGATCTCTCCAGTAGGTAATAATATCACTCAATGGCTTCAAGCCCTCCAAGCTCTTCGCGATAGCTCAAGGTCACCCCAAGTCGAATCGTGAGAATGATTGTCAACGGTGGTGAACCGACCTCGTTTTGTAACTGCCGAGGAGCTGGGGTGGTGGATGATTCATTATTGGCTTTGTCTCCATTCTTAGGTTCCGAGGCGGTCGGGACGTTGTGTCGTAGAAAAACTTCTCATGATCTCATCTAAATTGGTGAAGGTCGCGCCTCATAAGACGGATCAGCCTACCGAAAGAGGTCCATGTACCTCCAAGATTAGTCGAGGTTCATGTGTCTGGGAAGTTCCTCGCCTTACTCGGTGCTGTGGCGCACATCACCGTCGGCCTAACTCATTCCATCTCATGATAAGCGCGAGCTCTCCCAACTGGTGCCAAGGTCCTTGCTGTTCTCTCTTCTTCTGACTGTGCAGGAACTTGGTACAGGGAATGCGCGTAATTGCCTAGCCCTTGTCAATTAATAACCAAGACTTGGAGAGGGCAGCACCCAGGCAGGATGACTGCCCAGGATTTGTCTGCTCGTGATTAGGTATTCAAGCACTTTAAAGAGCCCTAGTGTGGGGTTTGGGAGTTCCTCAGGCAGTTGGCGTGTGACACTGCTGAGACAGCTCACATGTGGCACACATCTGGAAGTCGTGGCCTGCCCATTTCTGTTGGATAGGTCGATACTGGGAAACACACTCACTGGGAGTTCTTTGTCATACTCATCTGTGAACCTCTCGAGGGGACACCGTGCACACCTGCGACCACGTGCTGGAATTTTGGTAAGGCATGACTCAATTTGTGGGTCACGTGATTTAGTCATGACTCGTCTGTTTACCTTGGGCTTTTCTCTCTTCCCGTTTCAAGCCCAATGTAAACAAATCCCTCAACCACACCATGGCACCCATCCTCGCCCGCTCACTCAACCGGCTGTCAAAGGAAACTATCCTTGAACTTGCTCTGACATGGCTGGAGGAGAAGCGCACTTCTGCTCCTTATCTGCAGAGCAATCGTACGGGTTTCGAAGCAGATGAAGAGGATTACCTCCACACGCCAGCAGAGAGTATTGAAGAACTGCGCAAACTGTACGACAATCTCAGAAAGGATGTCGCAAAAGCTGCTAAGCGTGACATTATTGACCGCATTGTCGATGGCGACTGGCGGAGGGGGCTGTCGCTGCACCAACATGCCATGATTGACTTTGCTGCTCTGGAGCAGAATGATCATGCATTGAGATGGAGTGCGCTGAGGCTGGTACCACTAGAAGTGGAAGAACAGCGAAAAGGGCTCGATGACGATGATGACGATAGCGACGATAGTTCTCATCCACCCAAGAAAAAGCGAAAATTGAGTCATCACAAAGCCGAACCCCCTTATCCTCAAGTCTCTCCAGAAGCATTTCTCGCGGCGCTGAAGGCAGAGATCTCACCCCTGGTCAAAGCGCACTATCACCTCCATCGTATGCCGCCGCCTTACCGACTCACGATCCTGCGGCTCTACATTACTCCGAACTCGGCTTTTGCACCCAAACGATCCAGGATCCCAGCCCGGGCCAAGCATGCGACTGATTCTGGGCGCATCATGTATATAGCCCTCCCGGACAGCTGCCCTTATGTCTATATTTCGATATCCGGATCCTCGTCGAGCTCGAACCGACGATCAAACGGGCAAAAGGGTACGAAAGATGGGATGATGGCGGCCAAAGTGGACATGGCCGCCATGAAGAGGATCGTCCTGGAAGCTATTCCAAAGGCACTTTCTCGCCCCCAGCGTCGATGGGCACTAGACACGACCAAGCTCGTAGCCAAGTCTCTGAAAACGATGTGCGAGCTCAGGGGTAACCAAAAGCCAGGAACGGGTGGTGGAGCGTACACTGTCTTTGCCGAGGGGACGAAGGCGTCGGAAAACAGCCCCGTCGACGTACTCGGCAAGGAAGAGACCAATGTCGAAGATGAGAGATGTCGACTCGTTGAAAAACGGTTCGGAGACATGTCTGGGGATCATCATGCACCACTCGATCGTGTTCAGATTAAACTCTGCAACGCGATACCGACTGAGGACGATGGGGAGGAGTCGTTTGGCGCAGGAGCAGAACCAAAGATAGATGGCGACATCACTTTGACATTTTCCGGCAGTGATGTGTTTCTAGGGTTGAAGAAGCTTGCGGAGATGGGACCGGAGTATATCGACTTGGACAAGATGCCTAGTTGGATGACTGGCGAATTGGGTGTCAGCAGTTTGGCTGTTTAGGATTTGGGGGAGAGGTCATTTTGGATCTGTTACTTGCTCAGTGGTTGGTTTTGCGGATTACGACGTTGACGATATTGTTGTACTTGATATTGGTGAGGAGACTGCGACCGTTTTGGGTACTGGGCGGCAAGCAAACTATATTTTGTCCCTGTTCTCCTCGTTCCGGCACACCCTCATACTCAGTCACGTCTATCGTGCATGCGTGCATGCATACAAGGATGCGACCAGCGGATCGAACACAAGGATTAATGAAATGGATAAAAACAATGCAGCCCATCTGGTCCACCGGTGGGTGCTCTTGCTCTTGCTCCTGCTCTTTCCACTTTCCACAAAGGTACACTCGTCTCCTCGTCCTCGGGCATATCTCTCCCGTTCGCGATCCAGAATCCTTTACACTTGATGTACTTATTGTACATGAATTAGAAATGAATGCAGAAGTTTGAAGTCCCTGTCCTTGTGTACATATGTACGTCCTACCTAGAGAGCCTGCGAGGTCATAAACAGTCCTCCATTGTACGCATGATCGACCGACCAATCGACCGAAAGGCCGCTCGCTCGCCCGCCCGCCGTCTGCCCTTCTGCCACGTCGACATGCAACGCAGTGACAGCCTTGTCGTTCCTAGTGTAGCGCTGGGAGGTTGGGTGGGTGATTAGTAAAACAGAGTGGTTTCGTCCGGGCCACGGACGGTCAGGCGACGCTCGCGCCGCACGCAGTACGCAGCACGGTGGACAAAGTACATATAGAGCAACAGACGGTAGCAGGCGGCCTTAGGGACTCGGCATGTTGAGCACCGAGTACCTACACACTTGTTTGTACACAACAGGAGGTGCTCTACCTGTGGAGGTAGGTACGCAGGTACCTCCATACTTTCGTACAAGCAGTACTCGGGACATACCACCATACCTCCAGGGGAACCTCCATCCTTCGTCCGGAGATAGAGATTCCGACCCTCCACCTTCGCCTCAAGGGAGCCACCAATCTAAGCCTCTAGCCTGCCAGACTAACCTCGCCTCGTACCGCGGACATCGTGATTCGGACCTGGACTTTTTCCCAAGAACAACAAACAACCACTTTTGACTTTTGAACGTGTGTGCATATGCATCTATGTACACATCTCGAAACCTGTCGTCCTTAACTCCATGGAACAAACCACCAACCACCTAATGCTTAATGCCCAATGCCAAAGGTAGTTGGTTAGTCAAGGTCCATTCACAAAGCAAATCTACCCAAAACCTACCTATCTAGCGAGCAAGGCACACACTCGTAGTGAACCCAAAAAAAAAACTCCCCAAGTCTAACCATCGTAGGTAGTGTTTGCTCGTCTGTATCTCTCCGCTCCGACGGACCAAATATCTTCCGCTCCCCCCCTCTCGTCTTTTCTGTACATTGCTACTACTTGCTTAGTAGTAGGGAGGTAGGTGGCTGGGTGGCTAGACCGTCTCCGTTCCTGGCGGGGGTGTTTGGGTTTCTGGTTGTGTCGCGAACGAGTATGGAAATGACGATGACGATGACGGGGTGGATCTGGTTGGTTGGTTGGTTGGTTTTGAGGGAAGTGAGGGAAGGTTATAAGTCCATATGTATCTCTACCAAGGACAAGTATAAAATAAAGGGCTTGGTTCCTGCTGCTGGTCGAAAACATCTCCGTTGGTATCATATCATTCTCAATACGAGGTACACATAACCGCCTTCTTGTTCTTGTTCTTGTTCTTCTGCTTCTCCTCATCGGCGTACAGCACCATATATCGGTACTCGGACAACAGGCACACTGTGACTCGAATTCGACGACGCTGAAAATCTCAATTCCTCCTCCGAGCGACTCTGCAAATATGCCTTCCAAATACCTCTCGAAACTGCAGGGCAAGTCGGTCCTCCTGGTCGGCGGCACCACGGGCATCGGCTACGGCATCGCCGAGGCGTGTCTGGAATTCGGGGCCAAGGTGGTGGTCGCCTCGCGGTCCGCCGACAAGGTCGCCGCCGCCGTCGACAGCCTCAAGACCTCGTACCCTGAGCACGCGGCCAACGTGCGCGGCCACACGGTCGACCTGAACACGGTCGCGTCCGACGACGTGGAGAAGCAGCTCGTCGCGCTCTTCGACTTCGCCACGGACCAAGGCGCGAGCCCGCTCGACCACGTCGTCGAGACCGCGGGCGATCTCCAGCTCGCGGGCAAACTGGGCCTCGACACCATCACGACGGATCTGATGCGCCAGGCCGGCGCCGTGCGGCTGGCCGGCGTCGTGCTCCTCGCCAAGGTCGCCGCCCGCTACCTCCACAAGGCCTCGACCAGCTCCTTCACCATGACCAGCGGCGCCCTCATCTACAAGCCGCGGCCGGGCTTCGGCGCCTTTGTCGGCATCAGCGGCGGCAAGGAGCCCCTCGCCCGCGGCCTCGCCGTCGACTTGGCCCCCATCCGCGTCAACCTCGTCAGTCCCGGCGCCATCGAGACCGAACTGCTCTACTCGACCATACCTCAGGGCATGAAGAGGGAGGAGCTCGCCGCCCTGTACAAAAAGTCATCCTTGCTGGGGAAGTTGGGCTCCGTCGAGGACGTCGTCGAGAGTTACTTGGGCATCATCAAGAACTCGTTTCAGACCGGCACCGTCGTGCATTCCGAGGGCGGCTATCTCCTGATTTAGAGCCCTAGCCACCACCAAGGGGAGGTGGATAACAGCCATTGTGAGCGTTGACTTGAAGCGAGGGAAGGCTGCTGATGGATGGAGTTACCACAATGTCGGTCCGAAGATGATGTCTTTTTTGGGGGGTCAAAGCTAACGTGGTTGGTGGACCAAGACAATGCAAATCCCAAGTGATCGTTATGAGTTGCCTGCTCAAGGGAAATTTCATTACAGCATCAGCCCCCAATCCCAGTCTTGAACCCCCGTCCCAATTTGTGTTCCGTCATTGCTCGCAAATCCCCCTGGTGGTCCAGCTTCGCCGGCACTGCCGAGATGACCCATCCCCGCCATGGCCGCGTGGCTCAGACGATCGCAGTAGATATCGTACCCGTCAATGGCAGTGTCGATCTCGGTCATCCAGGCATTCATGCTCGTGTCAGTAGAATCCGTAGTCGGAAAGGTGAAAGGAGGCGTGGTGAAGCTGGCTCCCGTGTTTGGAAAGTTTGTCCACGAGGCACCCGTATCTTGTTGGGTCTGCACATTGGATGGCGGACGAGGCTGTTGGGACTGCGGCCGGGGTTTGTAGTCCAGACTCTCTCCACAGAGTCGGAAAATGATATCACGACACTTTGGAGCGCTTGGGTTTAGGTCGTTCATTGCGTTGATTATGCTCAGAGCCGTCAGGACTTGATCCCGCCATGAGCTGGCATCCGGGTGATTTGGGTTGCGTCGCAGACAGTGGATCGGAATCAACGCCGCTTGGAGCAGGAAATATCTGCCCAAGTGAATGATGTTAGCCATCAAACCCGCAACAGGATCACAGCCGTGGCAGAAAGACAGAACACCGGCACTTACAGGACATACCAAGCCGCAAGCCTGGTGTGAGTTCCCGATGACCAAAACTGGAAAATGGCCGAAATGCACTCCTCAGCGGCCTTGAAGCACCGATTGGTGGCAATTGTTTCAGCAGAGGCGTTCTGCGCCGGTGGGACAGCGGCTACTGTCGTGCCGTCCAAGCCGTCTTGTGCCGATCGAATCAGGAACGGGCGGTACATGATGATGCGCATGATTCGGAAGCGCCAGCGGCTGATGGCATGACCCAGGAGATACTCGTTGGGAAGTGGTAAGTTGTCGTCGCGGAAATAGGGAGGAAGGCTACTTAGCCAGCCGTCGATGAGCTCATCATCGAGGGAGATCAGCTCAGCGGCAGAAGGAATGGGATTAGAAATGAGTCGATTGTAGATTCTGATGGTGTGGAGATGGTAGGATGACTGAGTTCGGACGTATGTGTAGATTGTGGCCTCATTGACCTCGGGTGGGCAAGATGTAGAGTCCATTTGGAGATCCTGTTCTCTGTGTCAGTATATAAGAAGCTTGGGGTTGGGCAGCACCGACCTTCTCGTGGATATTCAGCGGAAACGGGATATCGACTCCTACTTGTGGCCAGTTCAATGGTCTGCCATAAGTCACGGTTGCGCCGACATCCAGCACACAGAGCGACCACCAAACTCTCCTCCGGATCTCCTTCTTGAACGGCGCAGTCTGCCATCCACGAAACTCCTTGTGGAGGCCCAGCGAGATGGCGAGCCGCAGCGCAATGCCTCCGTAGTTGTAGCCACTGTTGGGTCTGTTTCGTTTTTGCAGGTAATTTGCAGCCATGGCAAACGCCTGGACCAGACTCAGACTTCCAGTCTCTAGCGAGTTGATGGACAAATTCGCTTTCACGCCGTTGAAAAGAGTGACGTGGGTATCATCCGAGGAAGTACTCGAGACAAAGGAGCCAAGAGCCGCGACGAGATTCGCCAGGGTGTGCCATGTGCTTCCCATGGTGCGGCTGTTGAGCTTCGCGTACTGTTCGCGGAAAGTAGCTTCATGGAGGATGGGAAAGGTTGGGTGGTAGAGAGCAAAATAGGCATCGATGAGTGTATCAACCACCGCCCGGGTGAACAGAGGCTGTGCCCGCAGCCAGGGGGTAGTGGTTGCCGGGTACTCATTCGAGCGATGGCTGAAGAGTTGCTCCAGACTTTCCCGTCGTTCACTCTTTGTATCTGCCTTGTTTCCGGTGCCGGTACCCCTCCAAATGAGCCGTAAGAGAGCAGAGCCCGAGACGGATCCGAGAAAGCCAGCATTCGAGTCGTCAGCAGTCAATGTGGCCATTCCGTCGGTGATTTTGGGGATCTCAGACTCGACATCATCCCCAAATGCTGAACGGCCGGCACCGGAATCCGCAATATTCCACGAAGATTCCCGTTCATCCCATTCAAAATCGTCGTCAGCTGCTGGGGGGTTTTCGAGGGGATAAGGAGTGTCGTCGGCCACATCGCCTTTTGAATCAGCAGGGGACTCGAGGTGACTTAGGTTGACTTTCTGATCCGAACCTGCCCCAATCGTCGAGAAAGACTCTGTACGCTCCTGTTGGCGCTGCGCCGAGCCTTGCGCTGGAGAAGGGAGGAAGCCTGATGTAGTCGCCTGGGAAGACGATTCGGTCGCAGCTTTGGATGGGACGTCCAGTTTGTTGGTGATGCCATGAACAAGCATTTGCGACAATTCAGCCTCTGTAAAAAATGTCCTCAATAGAGCTTCTGCTTTCTCCAGGCGCTCTTCAACCTCTGTCAGGTGCCTGTGGATGCATCAGTCCCAGCTACCTTGACGGAATGCGCGGCACGAGGGAGAATGTATGCCACTGACTTTCTCGTCAAAGATGATCTGCTGTGCTTGTCATACAGACAGTGTCGATTGTAACGTTGACAGATGGAACACACTGGCATCCTGCCATCGCAACGTCCTTTGCGACGCCGACATTCGCGGCAAGATTGGCCAGCGTTCGGACCAGGACGTTCAGCCCTCGAAGGTTCTGACATGATACGCGATCCCGGAGATATTATTTAGCGACGGGGCTTCGTGGGTCAAGGATATATGGGAAGGTATGGAAATGGGATATAAAACGGTGTCTTGTGCCATGTTTTGTTTGCCTCACAAGCCCCGCCTGTGGCCCACTGGTGCCACCACCAGCCACCATGATGATGCTTTTTGGTTGCCAGTTTGAAAGCGGCCGCGGGTCCGGGACTGTTTGAGGGGCCGCTTAGAGCTTGGAAACCCCAGCCTATCGCCTATCCCAGCGTGCCCAACTTGCCCAGGCAGTTGAGGATGGCGCGGAAAGACATCATCGGCTAGTCACAAGTTGGATATTTTGCAGAAGGAGACGTGAAGAGGCGAAATCTCGCAAAATCTATAAAGTGCGCTATACAATATAATGTCTTGGTCTGCGCTCGAGTCAATCCCCAGCACATTCAAGGACTTACCCGTATAACAACCTTGCCAAAGTGTCCCCCTCCAAATAGATACTGGAAGGCTTCTTTGGCTTCGTCAAAGGGGAAACTTTTGTCGACCACAGGTCTGATCTTCTTCGCATCATAGAAGCGCATCATTTCTTCAAACCTGTCCTTGGGCCCGTTGAGGATTCCTTTCAGCGTGACATTGCGCCGCAACGCAAGGACGTTGGTATTGGTGCGATCGGTAGGTTCGTCTTGCTTCCCACTTAGATAACCAATGCAATCGATGAGACCCCCAAATGCAACACAGTCGAATGATTTCCTTAGAGTATGTGCGCCTCCCGTCTCAAATATGATGTCGGCACCCTCGTTCTCGGTCAAGTCCATCACGGTATTCTGCCAGTCTGGATCCTTGCGATAGTTGATCGTGAATGTCGCTCCCAATGCCTTGGCCCGAGCAAGTTTGGCATCCGAGGAGGAAGTTACAATTGCTTGTGAGATGATTAGAATACGAAGAAAAGGGGGATGGAAGCCACTCAACTCTTTGCACTGGCGGCATGTGCTATTTGTAGGCCACTTATGGAAACTCCACCGGTCCCTTGCAGTAGAATTGTTTCTCCGTGCCCACCTGGATGATTGATGGGTCTCATTTCATTGATAGACATCCATGCTGTGACTGCTGCAATAGGGAGAGTGGATGCTTCCTCATCATTGAGGTAATCAGGGGCTTTGACCAAGCCCGTCGCTGGAAAGACTCTATATTGCTGGAGTACACCGTCAAGAGGCAGCCCAAGACCAAAGGCCATGTCCTTCTCTTTGATCTGGCCGGTGAGATGTGTCTGGCAGAAAATGGACAGGACACGGTCTCCGATGTTCCATATGCCATGCTTGGAATTCCCGATCCCAACCACAATACCGCACATATCTGAGCAGGGTACGACTTTTGGGCTCGCCCCAACGGCTTTATGGTGAGTATAAAGGCCCATGGCCACTACACGATAAGGTGAGCGAGTGCCTCTCCACCGGTGCGGTCAGAAGGCGAAAAGTTCTGGAGTCAGCGTACCTTCAGTATCTCGATAATTCAGAGACACTGCACGAACTTCGACAAGCACTTCATCCTCACCCGGTACGGGAATTGGACAGGTGGATTTGGTCAACTTGTCCAAACCGTCTTGTGCGGTTTCCCACCTGATCATCGTTTGCGAGTCGGCAGACATCGTGTGCCGGAGCTGAGATCAAAGGGGGGGGGTTTTGAGAGCAGTACTCGGTAGAAGAGGTAGGCGAAGGCCCCAAAGTCCGGAATCTATCTCAGCAAATCTGTGAGCAACGAGCACTGGTTCATCTTGAAGTGATCCTAGCTGGTCATGACATTAGCTCATGGAACGAGTCCATCCCATAACTGTGGATCAGCATCGCTTATGTCCGCTGTCTGCTGTCCGTTGTCTGAGTGGAGAGATCTGGTGCGGGTAGGAGGTCTTTTGAGGCCAAGTGAGATGCTGGTGATCCATCCTGTTGCTTGTGGAGGCGGAGAGTGTTGTGGCGTCATAGCGCTTTATCCTCCACCGGAATTTCATACGGTGACGCAAGGCGTCCATAGCAAACTGCGGCTCACTAACCAATGTTTGGCCGGAGCGTCTTTCCATTACAACTCCGCGACACTCATCCTGTGTAAGATCCGTAACCACCTATTCTTTGGATAAAATCATTTAGTGCACTCTTTCACCATGGCGGCGCAAGGGACTATGCACAATCTAACAACTCTCATCAAGAGGTGTGTGGTCTTTCCTGTGTCCCAGCTTCGCTTCGCTCCTGTCCAGCTGTCAGGGTCTCAATGGATCTAACCCATGCTAACTGCGTTGCCTGGCCCAGACTAGAAGCTGCCACTTCACGACTTGAAGACATCGCAACAGCTATAGATGGTCCAGGAGCCACTTCAAACAATGGAGTTATCCCTGCTCTCTCTCCGCCGTCCGCTGCTGGCACCCCGGAGCAGACAGCGCCCCCTCCAGAACCCTTGCCTAAATCGGTAGACGCCTTCAATCAGATCATCGAGGAGGATGTTGTGGCTTTTGTCAAAGCTAGCGAGAAGATCGGTGGTCTCGTGGAAGAACAAGCCAAGGCTGTCAAAGCGGCCTTTGAGGCTGAACGGACATACCTCCACGTCGCAGCGAAAGCAAAGAAGCCCGATCCACAACCTCCTGAGTTGATGACTGAACTCCACCGGTACACTTCAACTGTGGACGAAATCCGAGAAGCCAACCGCCCCTCTCCTTTGTTCACCCATCTCAGTGCTGTTTCAGAAGGTATTGTCGCCTTGGGCTGGATCGTGGAGAAGAGACCCGGTGATTTCGTGACGGACACCCTTGGAGGAGCTCAATATTGTAAGTGACTTTCCAGTCCGGAAGCTGTCTCTCATACCTAGCACACTTCGGGCACAAGTTTCCGTACTGTGTCACGTCTCGAACTGTGAACCATGATACTGACAGGATCTTGCAGATGGGAACAAGATTCTGAAAGAGTACAAGGACAAGTAAGTGGTGCTGGATCAGTATGCTCCGTCCGCGTCGCTGACAGGGTTCGATAGGGACAAGTCGCATGTGGAATACATCCAGGCTTACTACAAAGTCTTTCGGTCCCTTGCCGCATACGTGAAGGAGCATTTCCCCACCGGTCTCACATGGAATACCAAGGATGGCATTGATGCTCTCGAGGCCCTGAAGCAAATACAGTCCGGCGGGGCTGCGCCCAGTGCACCAACAGCTGCTGGGGGTCCTCCGCCTCCTCCGCCGCCACCACCTCTACCGAAATTCGACGACGATGGTCCCCCGGCTCCCCCGCTACCTCCATCGGGAGCTGCTTCACAAGGCGGAGATATGTCTGCAGTCTTCGACCAGATCAACCAAGGTTCTTCTGTCACGGCAGGCTTGAGGAAGGTTGATAAGTCAGAAATGACACACAAAAACCCGGCACTGCGAGGCAGTTCCACGGTGCCACATCGATCCGCATCCCAGACGTCCGTTACAGGACGTGGCAAGTCTCCAGTTCCCAATAAGAAACCCGACAGCATGAGGTCTAAGAAGCCTGGTCGGAAGGAACTGGATGGGAACAAGTGGATTGTTGAAAACTTTGAAAATCTCCAGAGCGAAATCATTGAGATTCCGGCCGAACTCAATCACAGCATTCTGATCTCCAAATGCAATAAATGCGTCCTCAAGGTCAATGGCAAGGCCAACGCGATTTCTATCGACAACTGCACAGGTCTTTCAATACTGGTGGACTCACTAGTCTCCAGCCTGGACGTGATCAAAGCACCCAAGATTCAGATTCAGGTTGACGGAGTGGTACCGACCATTCTCCTCGACCAGGTCGACGGAGCACAGATCTACTTGTCCAACCAAAGTCTAGGCACGGAGATTTTCACCAGCAAATGTAGTGCCATCAATGCGGTGTTGCCTCCCAAGGATGAATCCGAAGATGACAGCAAGGAAGTGCCGTTCCCTGAGCAGATACGCAGTGTGATCAAGAACGGCACTCTGGTCAGCGAGATTGTCGAACATGCGGGTTAGGGGGCATTGCCACTATTCTTCTTCGAGCGTGTATCATTAGCGATGGGGTTCCAGGATGGCTCAAATGGTCTCTTACAAGTGGGCTGACCATTCATTTGTGCCGTTGCTACTTTAGAAGAGGATGTTGGGGATTCTCAGAATTAGCCATTCAGCGGGTCTTGACAGGGATGTTTCGATTCGACCATTTGCATGCCGTCTCTTGGTGAGATGGATATCAGCCGTTGTCACTTGAATTTCTGAATGGCCCGCCGAGGGCCTTTTGAGATGGATCTCAATTTGATGGACTGCTCCCAAGCACCGAACACGATGGAGGAATTGTCTATCTGCAATATCCACCTTCCATATATCGCAGTAAAAGCGGTTTCTTGTTTCGTATCGGGTCGATTGCCGTCCACCTCAATGGCAACATGTGGAGTGCAAAGATGTCAAAAGTACAAGCTTGCTCTATATCTCAAAAAAGTGTACTCACCTGTACTCTCCTCTGCGCCGCGAGTCGCGACAACTATAATTTTATTCCCTTGGTACCATCCCGCCGCTAGGACTCCCATAGCACCGCGGACGCGAAGGACATCATCTATGTGTGAGATTTTTCTGCCCTGTTCTCTTGCCACCGGTAGAGCCGCGACACATCAGAATGGCGACCACCTCGAGAAGAAATGAGCGGAAGATGATATCCACCCGCATCCTGATCATATCGGACACGCACGCCCAGCTACCCTTGCAGCCAGGTGAAGGAGCATCTCCGCCGGCGGCGGTGGTGCCGTTCCAGGCCCCGCTCCCCGCGGCCGACGTGCTCATCCACTGCGGCGACTTGACGATGAACGGGGCGCTTTCGCAGCACGAAGCCGCCGCGACCTTGCTAAGGAGCAGCTCAGCGCCGCCGCTCAAGATCGTGGTCCCGGGTAACCACGACATCACGCTCGACAAGGCCTACTACGCCCGCTTCCCGCGCCTGCACGCCCACTACGAGACGTACGCGGACGACACGCTCGGCCGCATCCGCGAGCTGTATACCGGTCAAAGGGCGAGGGATGCCGGGATCAGGTACCTCGAGGAAGGGGTCGCGGCGTTTACGCTGGCGAATGGTGCCCGCTTGACACTCTATGCGAGCGCGTGGCAGCCAGAGTTTTGTAATTGGGCGTTTGGATATGAGAGGGGTGTCGATAGGTTTAATCCCCCGCGTTCACGCACTCAGGGAAGAGGAGATGGAGACAGAGATGAGGGAGACGGAGATGCAGAAGAAGAAGGAGGTCAAAGGGACGGACATCGTTCTGTCGAGCACGAACCACCCTCTCCAGTCCCCGTCCCCGTCCCCGACCACGGAGAAATCGACATCGTCGTCACCCACGGTCCCCCAAGGGGCATCTTGGACAAGGTCTGGGCTCCCGGGCCCGACGGCGTGAATCACGGCGAGAACGTCGGCTGTGACCATCTCCGCAGGGCGGTTGGGCGGTGTCGACCGCGGATTCATTGCTTTGGACATATTCACGAGGCGTGGGGGGCGGTGTGGAAGAGGTGGCATGATGGGAAGGACGGGGGTGATGTCGGTCGTGACGAGCATGGTGATGGGACCGAGACTGACAAAAGAGAGGGGAGGGGAGACAAACAGGATGGGTCTGCGACCAGGCCTGGCAATGTCGAAGATGTTTCTTTTCCTTCCTACTCGATGACCGAGCAGAGACAGCGACGACAAACCCAACAAGACCCAACCACCTCACCCTCACAAATTCCCAACCCGCCATACCACCCCAAGGACAACCCCAGCTGCTACTACATGTACAAGACACAGAACGCGCAACAGGACGTCCCCGGCGGCGAAACACTCCTCCAGCCCGACCCCTACGAAGAGCAGATTCGGCAGAGGTGCGCGACGACCGTGGACGCGCGCGGGCTCGACTTCGGCGCCGAGACGCTCTTTGTCAACGCGAGCATCATGAATCTCCGGTATAGGCCGGTGAATGCGCCGTGGGTGGTCGATGTCATGTTGCCTGAGGCGGAGGATGGGGATCAGGGAAGAGGGACGAGGGACGATGAATGAGATGAGACGGCAGGCCATGAGGTCATGCGGTAATGGATAGAGGCGGAACAAGAAAAAAATAAAAGGAAAATGGTGGTGATCAAGAGTAGGGGGAGGGATCAAAAGGGGCTGTAGAATAGATCGGAGGCTATACGGCTATACGGGCAATACGGTATAGTGTTATAAACGCACACCGGTTCTCGACTGGTAGAAGAAACATGTTCGGCAACTCGAATTCTGATACAAGAACATCAAAAGGCATCCGCTAATATCGACACACAACTCGAGCATCCAATGCAGATAGCCTGGTGGCCACAAAATGAAAAGACCACCAAGGGATATACCCATGCTGCCATGCTACTATTGTACAGCAGGAATCAGCACTCTGCTTCTCCCACGTAAACCGTCACGTGCATTGCGAGGGATCACCCTCCCAAATTTTACCCGCAAACATCATTTCTTTCTCCAATCCCATCCCTGCATCAGTGCAAGCCGTGGGTCAAATCGAGCACCAGAAAGCCCGGCTTCCTCCCTAAACAACGGGTACATGTTGCCTCTCAATGATCTTCTTCTCCTCCGTCCGTTTCTCCCGCCGTGTTCTGTGAGTTTGCCACTGTGCAAGCTGAGACGTTTGCTCCCAGTGATCAAGTCTGTCGTGGGTTCAAAGCCCGTGATTCCCAGCTCAGCCAGTAGCGACAGTGCTTCGGCAGGAAGAGGACGTGGCCGTGGAGGTAGATCGCACGGATTAGGCAGGGCAGGTGGCGTTGAGAAAGCGACTGCAAGGTCAGCTTGAGATTGAGAGGAAGAGTGTTGTGTGGATTCCGCGACGCTTGGATCAACAGCTTGCGTATCGCTGCCTCCACTGTCTTTACTAACAGAATTTGACCTCTGGTATTGGTATTCAGGCTCGGACTCATGCCCCAGAAGCTCAGGCGAATCGAATGTCAGCTTGACCACCTCGTGCCGTGGCAGAGGCCTTTGATCCACCAGGTCTGGCGGATCCGTGGACTTGTTTCCCGCTACACTCTCCAGTACGACGGCCACCGACTCGGCCAACTTTATGTCTTTCTCCTTTGCGGCGAGTCGCAGAACGGCCATGCACATGTCTTCGTTAGGAATAATATGCATTCCCGTCACATATCCATACCAGATAAATTTCGTGACATGTAAATCGCTGTGTTCACTCGCCTGGTGGAGCAAGTGCAGCAAAGTAGGGCGTGGGAAGAGAAATCCCGAGTCAGAGAGCCTGTACAGAAGCTGCAGGAGGGCGTCAAAATCATGCCGCAGATCGCAGATTGCGTGGATATAGATGGTCCAAAGCCATTTCGGGACGGAAGTACTGTCCCTGCCTCCTCCAATGATCGCAGGTCTCTGAGTAAGCTTTTCGAGTTCGACGGTCGCGAGTTCTAACTGTCCCTCACGTATTAAAGAGAGGATATTCAGGTAGGCGTGGGCATCAGAGTTGGGAATTTGCTGGTTTGCAAGGCGCGAGACAATCGATGCTCGGAGATGTGTATCGGGGTGTACAGCGAGGACCGTCAATACTGCGAGAAGAATGGGCACTTCCAGGGGGACAGATCCGCGTTCCATTTCTTGCAGAATCAACTTGACGTTCTCGATGGAGCCGTACTCGGGGAAACACTGCCCTAGGATCAGTGCCTCGTAGTGTTCAGGTGTGGGCTTGATTCTCCGCTCTTGTATCAAGATTTGTAAGATGTTGCGCACGGCTCGTGGGTGCGGTGTATTTTTCGCGATCCACCGCAGTTCTGCTTCAAGAACCGCCGTACTCAATGCGTTTCTATTCAACGTCTTCTTGGGTCTGCCGCTGCTCAAGTCAATGCTTGTGGTGCTGTCCGCGCCGGACGTCCTCGCCTCTGACAAGAGTTGTCGAAAGCGCTTTGGCTTGCGCAGTCTCCTCATGTATGGCCTTTGGGGATATGTTGGCTTCTCGTGTCCATGTTGGGATCCTGAACAATGGTTGCCCGATAAATTCGAGGACGCGTCGAGAGGTCCGGATGTGCTATGCACATGCATGTTTCGATCACCCTGTCCCTCCTCGCCTGAATCTTCCGCTGGCCTCGTGTTGCTGTGCCCACGACCTGGATAATTCCCCGAGTTATGGTGTTCACTTGTCTGCCCTCCAGCCTCTTCTATATCAGCACCTGAACCAGCCGTTGATGACGGACTCTCTGACGGATCCTGACGGCGGAAGACGCCATGATCTTCCTCCTTCTCCGTATGCCGCCCCTGGGCATGATCAAGATGGGGGAACCCCTGAAAATTTGCATCTGGAAGCAATGTCAAGGTCGCGGAGGAGGACTCTCGGGGTTTAGCAGGCCTCCTTGCCTGGTTCGACTCGGCTGTTCCCCCATTGAGTTGGCCGGCAGGTTGGAAGAGTCGAGTCGCAGTGGTATGCAGAGGTCGACCGCGGACGGCGGTAGTCGTGCAAAGGCTTTGCTTCAGTCCATGATGGATCAAAGACCTGTGCATCGGCTGTTCATCGCTGACGTCGGAGGGTTATGAGGCTTCAGCAATGGGTTAAGAAGTTCAACTGCAGCCAATTGCTCGGAAGCGAAAGCACCGCAAGCCGTAATTCTCAGTAGATGCCGCTTTAATGTCTGATGTCCTTTTTAGGTCTAGTGCCTAAAATCTCTATAGAGGCGAGAAGTTTTATGTGGAGTGCAGTTTCATTGTTTACAAGTACCGAGTACTCGGTGATGAATTTCACGGCCACTGATCCATCCTAAGGGAATTTCCCCAGACTGTGGCGACTAATGTATGCACAGGAGATCATCGTGAATAGAGCAAAGCGTGTGTACTGTCTTTGACTAAGCAGGCAAAGTACATTGACACCATGAAGGTGAACGGGTATTTCATCGAAGGCTTAGACACGTTCAACCGCCTCCATGTCCGGCTTGCATTCCCTGGCAATGGAGCACCGAAAACATTTGCGTGACGTCCAGATACAACATCGCGAGAAGTGATTTCCAATCAACCAGCAACAAGCATCTCAGTCACAAAATACATACATGCTCTCTGAATACATAACCGCGGCTACATATGACACCTTGGCCACGTAGGGCCGAGGCAGCAAGTAAATTCACCTCTATCGTTCGTTTCCTATGATGGATCAGCAGAGATCGACAAAGTGGTTTGGGGGCCGTCACTTCCAATTCTTTGCGAGATACCCCTCTCATTAACCAGAGCCAAGCCTGCAAGGCTAGACGCGCCGTGTCACACTGACAGAGTCCTGTCACACGCAAGGGTACCTATACATGTCGAGCCAAGCGTATGACAAAGTCACCAAAGGGGGCTAACTCAGACACTTGCGGTCTATACTTGGTAGATTCTCGGTCGATAGAAACTTGCTAGAGCGGACGAACACACGGCGGACCACGAGTGGAAGCGACACTTGTCTGAACCATCTCATCGCAATGTGAAGGGTGTTACAAATATCCTGGGCTGTGGTATCCGTCTCTATAAAAGGCCTTCGGGGCAGTCGCTGACGCAACAACACTCTTGGTTCGTTTGCAAGTACAACAAGCACAGAACAGACTCCCTGGTCTACCTACATACCATTATTGCATCAAACATCCCACACAAAGCGACAAGCAGACAAGTCATAGCTCACCCCGTTTCTTTTTCGTTTTCCTTTTTTGACAGAAAAATGGCTCACTCTTACCCTTCCATCGTCATCATCCCAGGGTCCTTCTCCCCAGCGTCCATGTACTACGGAGTCGTCGACGAGATCCAAACGCTGACCGATGGCTCCTCCGACTCGGTCTTCGTCAACAACCTCCCGTCGGCAAGTCGCAATCCCCCAGAAGAGCCCGCAACCCTCGAAGACGACGCGACCTTCTTCCGAGGCATCTTCGAGAAACTGGCGGACCAGGGGAAAGACATCGTGGTCGTGGCACATTCCTACGGCGGAGTCGTGGGGACGGAATCTCTCAGTGGTGTGGGCAAAGTCGAGCGACAAGAGCGCGGACAACCAGGGGGTGTCGTCAGGATCGTCTATCTCTCCGCCCATGTCCCTGAGGCAGGTCGCTCCTTGACAGAGCTTGTGGGAGGAGCGCCGGCCGAAATGGTCGAGACTGGAAAGGTAAGTCAATCACGAAGTCAGTGATTGAAAGATGCATGGTGGCGGTCGATTCGACCCGATCGAACCGGAGAGACCTCCTTCAACTTTTCTCCCTACGCAAAAAGAGAATTTACTAACCAGGGGAAACCCATGGTGTTCCTTGGTCGTTGTAGGACGGGTTCCTGAGACTCGTGGGCGTCGAGACCATCGCCAAAGCCACCTTCCCGGACCTCGACTTCGACAAGGCCGTCGCCGTCGTCAAGACCATGTCCCGCCACTCGGCCCTCAGCTTCGCCAGCAAGGTCACCTACCCGGGCTACAAGCACGTGCCCGTCTCCTTTATCATGTGCGCCAACGACATGATCGTCCCGCCGGACCTGCAGCGGGGTTATATCGACATGATCCAGCGCGAGAGCGGGAGGGACGTCGACGTCCACACGCTCGACACAGGTCACTGCCCCAACACGACGGCCCCGGATCAGTTGGCGAAGCTGATTGTCGACATTGCGGCAGCTTCGTCGTGAAAAAGGAGAAACAAAAGGGTCGACCCGTTTGGTGACTTGTACGGGAGAAAGGGGCAACTCTTCGGAGCGACGCACACAGGGACGATTGACAAACGGGTTCTCCGAAGGTATGTAGAGCAATCGAAAGCTCCTGGAACCAGTCAAAGTCGTGCATGGCTACTGGTCGGACTACGTACTATCAGGCAGTTCGGTACCCAGACCGTGTGGATAGGTCTCAATGTATCTCGTACCGATGACCTACCTGTTCACTTTCGGAGCGTGATCCTATCACATATCCTGAGTAGTATAAGGAAAAAGTGGAATCTGCTTAGGAGTAATTTCATACAATCGACTATTTCGTCTTCTCCCATCCCGAGATTCGGGCTCACTCACAAGTGACCATGACCATATCCTTGGATTATAACCCGTGAGGTGAATGACCGCAGGGCGGAAATCTCCAATGTCCCCCTATACCATACCCCTTCAATGCAACGACGCCGTACCTCCCAACTGTATTATACATATTGTGAAAGATCCGAGACACACAAAAGAAAATTGTGCGATCCACACCAGACATAATCATATCAGGTGTCGGAGATCACAGCTGAATATCCTTGATAATGGACTCTTCCAAAACGTGAGCGCCTGGCAGTTGCTACTCATTCGTATCTTTTGTGACAATAGTCGATCGTCCAGTCTCCAAACTCAGTCTCGGACTGCAATCAATAACGCTGCTCGCTGGTGTGTCATCCGTGTTGCTGGGTGTGTATCGAAAGTCTTCGACAACGACAATTTCTCCTTCGAGCTCTTCTTCATATCGAGGTGGGGGTGTCACGTAAGATGGGGCGATGTCGGAAAGTCCGCTGCTCCCGATGCCAGCATCGAGTTCCGCAGGTTCGAACCCTTCCCGATCACGATGGCCACGATACCCCGATCTTGCTCGGCCTTCTTCAGCATAAAATAGATCTCTGACGAAATCGGATGCATTTCGAAGCGTACGGATTTCCTTCTGCAATCCGCCGTCCTCTTCTTCTGTAACGGCTTCTTGATCAAGGAGCATCTCGCGCTTCTCCTCGTAGTCGCTGGTGTCCTGGTTTAGGAAGCTTTTCCACCAAGTCCTCCATCTATGTTTGCACGCAGCTTTGCGGTAAAGTCTCTTGGTTCGACGCTCTTCCCATCGGGCTGCGCGCTCAGCCCGTCGTCGAGGATCCCGGAACAGGACTATGGCACGGATGACCAAGCCGGCCAGTATAACAAGTAGAACGAGAAGAAGGATCGCCAATCCAATGCGGTATTCCAGGAGGCGCCGTTCTGCAGGCGCAAAAGATGGGAAGTGTGGTGGTGGTCCGTGAGGGTGGCCATGAGGGCCGAAGCCGCCAGGCGGACCATGATGTCCCCCAGGGAAAGGGAACCCTGGAGGCGGACCATGAGGTGGTCGAAATGGAGGATGATCTCCACCCATGAATGGAAAATGGGGCCGATGGTCATTTTGTTCATTTGGAGGGGAAGTCGGTTCTGGTGCAGGAGTTGGTGAAGGGGTGGTAACTGGAGCCGCCGCCGGCGTCTGAGACACTTGTGCAGATTCGTCGCCTTCGACCGCAGCAGACACTTCTTCTGCTTCGCCTTCATGTAGACTGTCGCCGACCGCAAGGTTATCTTGGTCATCCGCAGAACAGGGTGATTGTGCATCGCCATCTTGACAACCACCATGTCGATTGCTGTGGTGCGAAAAGTGAGAACTGATGAGTTTGGCAATGGTTGGGGCTTCACTCATGGCGGTGTTCCACAAGCATTTCATGCTTGAGCAAGCTTTAAACTCTTGCTTGAGGAGAGAAATAATCTTTGTCTCCGTTGCGCGTATTTGTTCGTGAAGTGTACCCATTTCACTGATCAACTCTTCGAGCTGGGAATACTCGGCCTGTAATGAGGTGTCAGAGGACGAGGCAAGGTTCGAGGCATTGGGAGTGATAGAAAGTCTTCGATCCTCTGATAGGAGCCAATCATCACAGAGGCTTTCTGATATGCGAGCAACGGGTTTGTCTTGAAGACGTAAGACAGAAGGTTGCCCTTTTTGCTTGAAGGAGGTGGCAAATCCAGAAGTGTCTTTGAAGGGATGATTTCCGACGATGCTCTCAAATCGAACGGAAATTATCGAGGCTTCGCCCTTCAGACAGGTCGACTCCCAAGAAGCATTGACCTCGCGCTCGGCTAAGCCATCTGAAGACTTTGAAATGAAGGAAATCTGACCATTGGCAACATCATTGCCAGCTCTCAACGGAATGAGAGAATGTCCATTCAAGCGTGGGGGAGTATCAGAGCACTCCTCTTCCGCAGAGTCGATCTCGAGGGTCAGCTCCTGTGAACACCAAGGTCAATAACTACAGCCAACGACGGGACCGAGACCATCCGACGTACCACTCCATCCTTTGCATCGTCGAAACATTCGTGACAGGGAGCGTAGAAGTGTATGGATAGATGACCAGGGTCTATTGGCTGGTCAGCTAACAGCCGGATCGTGAGAGTGATGTCCACTACCTGTTGTACCAGCAACAGTCGTTATGTCCTTTGGAGATGCACCAAACAACGAAGCAGGAAACGCAGATGCCGACGCCAGCACAGAAAACAGAGTAGCCCCGCGAAAGAATGAAGACCTCATCTTCAGCCCAGAGATTGAAACAGGGCAACAGACGATTCGAATGAGTGGGACTATACCCGGGAATCAAACACTCGTGGTCCAGTTGTACAAAGTCTTGTTCAAATTGTATGGCATTCCCCACTAGAAAATGGGAGCAAACAGCTCACTTTTTGCCTCACAACTCCATATTCAGATGCCTGAAGTGTATGGCGGATGAGGATCAAGAATCGAAGACGAAAAGAGCGGATTGTGGGCGTGAATACAGGATAGACTGGCAATGTTTCGTTTTTTTGGCTGGAGCCTGAGCCTGAGGTTGGGCCTGACGAAAGAGTAGAAGTAGAAGAAGAGGGTGCGGATGGCGCCAGACGCCACTTGAGCGTTTTGAGGTTTGGCTGCTCCATCGGAGACGGGCACGGTGCACAGCCCCGACGACATCTCGGCCACGTCGACCCTCCGGCTCCGAGTCTGACCTGACGCGTGGGATTAGGGGGAGACATGGGTTCACAATGCTGGGGGGCCAGTAAAACTAGGCGTCGTCGTGCTCGAGGCTGTGGCCTTTGGTGTCGGCTTTTGTAGTCTGTAACGTCGTCCTATCGAGTGCTGGGTGGATTTCTACAACTGCTTGTGATAATCTGGGCAACTGTTCCTGCAATTGACAACCTACCTCTCACGTGCCCTCTCACGTGACGGTTACGCTTATGTAAACCATGACGCCAAGAATCAGAGTCATGGTTCCAGGTTCTTCCTGTTGCTGCCAATGAGGCGTAAATAATCCATCACCGCGTTGACCACCCACTAATAACCCCCAAGAACCACGGCCACCGTCGCGCGCGTCTTACAGCCGATCTCGAAAAGCGCCATATCGCAAAACATCTGGGCGCAAGTTGAAAACGGATCAAAGGAGAATTCAGTCCGGCGGAACTCGTGACAACAATGCTCCCCCTCGGCCTCCTGACGGCAGCACAAGGCCATCCCATGCTAGTGGAACTGAAGAACGGCGAAACTCTCAATGGCCATCTAGTAAACTGCGACACGTGGATGAATCTGACGCTCAAGGAAGTCGTGCAGACGAGTCCGGAAGGAGACAGATTCTGGAGACTCCCAGAATGTTATGTGAGGGGAAATAATGTGCGTCTTGATTTGCCGTTTGTGCGACTGTCGCAATGTGTCTTGCTATGCTCTATCCGAGGGGTTGCATGCCCCAGTTGTAGCTTGAGCTCTGCGCCCGCTCTCCCTGACCATCGAGAGGTGCTTTGTGGATGTCATGTTCCGTCAACTGACTATTCAACGTAGATCAAATATCTCCGAGTTCCAGAAGAAGTCATCGAATTCGCGAGAGAACAACAGCAGCAACAACAGCAACAACATCAGCAGGGTGGTGGACAGCGTGGTAGTCGGGGTGGGCAAGCTGGTCACGGTACCGGTGGAAGGGGAGGAGGCGATCGTGGACGAGGGGGCGGTGGACAGGGAAGGGGTGGCGGAAGAGGGCACGGTCGTGGGAGAGGGGGAGGAAGAGGGCAGGGTTGAGGTGAATTCGCTTTTTGGCGTGCTATATTGCGCGTGTCTCTATGGGATATGCATCGTGACGATCACCCCCCCGATGCTCAAAGATACCGAATCGTCAACACACATTAACAGCACTTCACACTTTTACATCAAGATCCGGACCTCGTCCAATTCAGACCTTTCCCGGCACTCTGCAAATCAATGCCCAATCGGCCAGCGAGAAGATAGAACAAGTTTTATCTGGCCTGCGATCGACATGCAGACCCAAAGCCATCATAATCTCCCATCAAAAATGGAGACATCAATGCAAAAATTTTGAGGCCCCGTCATTTCCGACACACGCACACATACACAAACCAGGGCCCGGACTCCACCGCTATGCTTAGTCCAGATACAATGGCTTGCGACGCTCTCGGCAGTTTTCAGGGTTCACGATGGAAAGAATTGAAAAGAAACCATATCTTGTCGCTCCGTCATCTTCATCTCTTAGGAAGAGCCAGGTCCAAGCATTGTCCAACCTAGAGACGATTGTGTCAGTCAAGCGAGCCAGGAGACTAGACGTTTATAACTTACCTTGTCCGAGATAATGCCCTGGCCGTGTAAGTACCACCCCAGTCTCCTCACTAGTTCCACCTGCTCTTCGGGGGTGAGGCCCATAATGGCGGTCTCGAGGACACCGCCCACTGACGTCTTATACACAGCAATGAAGCTCTGGTAGTACATGTAGGCAAACAAACCCATGATGAATTGACAGTCCATGCGATCAGTCATACCTCCGTGACCCGGGATACTGTCGCCAAAATCTTTGATCTTGAGGGTTCGCTTCAGTCCCGAGGCGAAGAAGCCTCCAAAGGGAGCGATCAGCGAAGCGAATGATGCAAAGACAAGAATATGGAACTGTATAGGGGCGATCCAGAATGTGTAGTCGAAGCCAGTCCAGTCTTTGATGTTGTACGGGTAGGCTTTGAAAACCGGATTGGGGTCGCATTCGAGACCAGTAAAGATATTTGCACCGAGATCGTTGACGGGACAAATGAAATATTTGTAGCGCATCAGGATGTTGGTGAGCGCAAAGCCGAAGAAGATTGTGCAGATCCAAGCTCCGACAAATCCCTCGACAGTTTTCTTAGGTGAGAGGCTGATAAGTTGGGTACGGCCAAAGGTGATGCCGCAGATGTATGCAAAGATATCGTTCGTAATGACCAACGACGCGGGAAGGAAGAACCATATCATGCCTTCAAAGACGTTATTCATCATGAAGTGTGCTTGGACGACAATCAGATAGAGTGCCATATGAGTCCAGGCGAACTGGGCGAACTGAAACCGGTAATAGTTTTTCCGCAGCGAGGCGACAAAGGACATGAATCCTATCAAAGGGTAAGCATTGGAACACGGGACCACCAGACCTTCGACACATACCGAATATATACATCATGAAGCTGATGAACCTATGATGGGTCGCAAAAGGCAGCAAGACTTTATCCACCAACAGGATGTGCTTGAAGTAATAGATGACGCTTTCGCCGTACAGGAAGTACATGGTGATAGCCAAGAAGTACCAGTTCAAAGAGGTTGTCAAAGGGAGATTCTTCTGCTTGGTCGGAACTTGCGCGATAGCGATCACCTCCTTGAAGGAAACGATCTGGACAGCAGTAATGACCATTAGGACATAGACGTGACCCGCAAACATTGCGCCGAAAAAACCACCTATCATCGCCAGTGTCCATATTGTCCGTGTTATAAAAGTCTGCTTCTTTTTCTCGTACTCGGACGCTTGATCTGGCTTTTCGCCCTTCACAGCATTTCCATTAGTGCTGCCGTTGTGGTGATCTCTCTGAGGGCTCGGGGGTTCAGAGGCAGAGTCGCTAGTAGCGGAAGAGCTTTGTCGACGGTGGTGGTTTCCATTACCATTGCCGTTGCCGTTGCCGTTGCCGTTGCCATTGCCATTGCTGTTCGACCGGTGCTGGAACTTGACGCCCTTTTGCCGGGGCATAGCTCCTTGTGCGCGGCGTGGAAGAGCCGCAAGAAGAATGCTGTGCCTTCTGCGTCAGGGGTGTGCGCTGGTTGAAGATGAAAGTCGCAGGATGGGAAGGAGAGGGGATGCCTCGCTTGACACGTGCTGATGGCTGGCTGCCTGAGACGGGCTTTTCAGGAGCAACACTCTGTAGTCGTAGGTGGAGGTCTTGATCTTATCCTTGTTTGTGCATGGATAGGCGTCTCTGCTAGATCAGTAGTAAGCAAAGGATGCGCCGACGGTGAGTGACAGATCAGTATGTACTGTCGGACAGTAAATGAAAGATGATCTCAAATCAACCAAGTTGGGACCGGGTCGGGCCCCCAAAAAGTAATTGGAACAGGCAAACAGGGTAATAGGGTAGGCCAGCTTATTCCTTGGAGTTAGATTTGCGTCATACAGCGAAACCCCCGCCTGCAGCCACTGCCCCAAGGACCCTTGAGTCTAGGCATTACGACCTGAGAAATGATGCTCGGAGCTGCGATCGTTCCGGGCGCTTGTCACTGGCTGGTGATGCTCACTAGGCTCATCCGCACCCGCTAATGCACCCTTCACAACTTCGCCCTTCGCTAACACCGAAAAAACCACTGGACACACTCGTCTCTAACAATACCCCTCGCTATCGCGTCGAATCCGCGTCTTTGGTCGAAGCGTGTGTGCCTCTACACAACTGCCAGGCACAACAAGAGCCTCGACACGTGAACTTATGCCATTTGTGTCACTCCCTGGTTCCATTGCGGTCCTCAATGGAGGTCAAACATGAGTGGCATGGACGACAACGAAGACGAGACCGATCTTTTCGACGACGATGATTTCGACAATCTATCGGAGTCCGCTTTACAGCAACTAGAATACCATGCCATCCTATCGACCCAAAGAGCGCAAGCATCCAAACATGTCCCTCTCACTGCGCACCAGTCCACAAATTTGCCGCAGTCGAAGATTCAACCTCTTGCACAATCCAATGCTCGGTTCCCGCGTGCGCATCCAGCTATTCAGAGATATTCGACGGAGGACGATGATAGCTTTGAGCTGGTTGGAGAAGAGGGTGTGCCCACCCCAGTAGAAGATCAAGATTCTTATCCTATACGTCGAAATCAACTCAGCGACGCCGCTCAGAGAGCACAATTCCGCCAACAACGGTATGGTCAAACCCATGGTGCTGTCCCCCGTCCTCCGGACGACGAGGCGGACTATGGACGTCAGAGAGTTTCATTCGACGCAGCTTCAGCACATGGTCTCCATCATGGGGCTGCAACAAGACTGGACGAAATGTCGTTGGACACTCCGCCGCGACAAGCCGGCACGGCTGCTCGTGATACTTCCCACAACCGTGTCGACGAACTACTCCGAGAGCGGGAGGAACTTGCTCGGGAGTTACAAGCTGTCAGAGACACGGTCTCTATGCAAAAGGGGGAGATTTCCATCATTCGAGCGAACTTTGAGAAAGAAAGCAAAGTCTACGACCGACAAATCGGCGCTCTGAAAAAGTCAATGGAAGAAGAATCTGCAAAACATACTGCTGCCCTCAACGCTTTGGCAGAAAAGAATCATAATATTACCACTCAATTCCAGTTCCTCAAGCAAGAACACAATCAAGGCCTCCAGGAGACCAAGACCCTCAGACAACGTTTAAAGGATAAACAGGCGGAGAGGGATGCAGACCTTACGACAACTCCCAAGCGCGGCGTCGCGAGCTCTCTCAGGGACGGTTTCAACGATGATGATATTATGCTCATGTCGCCTTCGAAATCTGCGGGACGTTCCAAGCCGCCGACACCAACGGCAGCAGGCAAGCGAAAGAGAAAACCTGACCGGCCAAGCCCTGTGAAGCCGCTTGTTTTGAGGCCTAGCAACACTGCGAGTCAAAATGAGATGCCGCCTCCGCCGCAACCGTTGCAACCAATAGAGCCCATTATCCCCATTGTGCGAAAAGACAAACAAGCGGAACACAACCTCATGTTCCTGCAATCTATCATCGAGTATCGCCTCACCAGCTCTAAGGAGCCAGTCTTCGAGGCTTTGCTCAAATTCGCCTTTCCTTCGAACCCGTCCAAAACATTCTCAGGACTTTTATGGGAGGGTATTGCTCAGCTCGGGGGGAAACGCTTCCCCGCCGACTTGCTTCAACTCTTGCTAGATATGTGGTCCAAGTCATTGAAAGAACAATACTACAGTCCGATTGCCACCTTGCGAGAGATAGCAAACCAGATCATCGATCTCGATATGCTGCTTATCGACTCGGGCATTATTACTGCCATAATCCCAGTCCTGAAGTCCACCATTACGATCAATGCCGAGAAACGCTTTCAACACTCACCAGTGAATCACACGACATATGGTAAGATCCGCCAGACGCCTCAATCGGTTCTAAACCCTGAGGTTGATGGGACGAGCTGCTTGGAGCTCATGCTCACAGTCGCCTACGCTGTGTCAGACGATCCAGAACTGATTGCTCTTTTGTGGCGTCTTGTGGACCACGAATTCATCCTGATGATGCTTAACGCCTGGCAGCCAATATCTGATATAGCACTCATGCTGCGACTACTTGCCACCAGCATCCTCCCTTCCACATTCGGCAGTATTTGTGTCGATGGCCCGCAATCAAAGGTCGAACACTGGTTGATGAGTCGAATCTGTTCTCTCCTTAGAGAAACGCCCAATGTCGATGAAGGTGTTGTTAAGTACACGACCCAGGATTTCTGCCAACTACGGATCGAAGCCATGGACCTCCTCATTAGAATCGGATTAACGTCGTCTCCACATCCGCATAATGATCCCTCTCATCACGGCAGCCTTCTTATCGCAAATGACACGAATGCCATTGCGCGCATTGTCCGCAGCTTGTACGACCAAGTCTCGGCGATGTACTCGCTCCATCCAACCACGCACACTTTGCACGCCTCTCTGATCAATAAAACCGTTTTTCTTCTCTATCACCTTTTGCAGCTCCACAGCTCCGCCATCCAACTGCCAGAAAAGCTGTCGGTAATCAATGGTGGGGTGCACAGACACCGGGTGGTGCTCACACGACTCGCTTTCTCTGAGGGGTTCGTGGTGGATAAATATATCAGCGACGAGACGGTCGCCATGGCCACGCAGATGTTGGAGGAGAGCGTGACGCCGGATGAAGCGGATGAGCTTTTGAAGTGCTTCCCAGGGTTCAATGGGAGGGGAGCCGTCAGAGACGAAGAGGAGCAGATGTCGCTGTGGATGGACACCTGACTTTATGTCCACCTATGTCTTTTAAATACCACCATGCGAGCTTGTCTGGTCCTGGATAGATACGGGCTGGATATGGATATGCTCCCAACGAGTACAAGTGTGTGAATTAACAATCAATAATTTCGCGATTCTCTCACTTTGAAGAATCCACCACGGCATCCGTCACTTCCTGTCCATGTCCTTTTTCTTCAACCCACCCGGTATTGTGACGATTCTTCTTTCGATCTATCTATCTACTTACCTATGTATCTACCTCGTACTTCCCGAGAATCGTCGTCGCCCCCTTTTTCCACTCAGAAATGTCGATCGATGCATTTCTATCTATCACTATTCGTTTTCGACCGCAGCTGAAAAGATGAGTCGAGTCGAGTCGAGTCGAGTTGAAGTGAAGTGAAGGTCCTGTGTGAGGAAAAGTGATTTCTAAAGTGTACTAAAAAGTGTGGAGGGACAGTTGACTTCATCGTCAATCAATCGTCAAGGGCGCCGCTGTAGCAGCAGCCGGGGTAAAGACTATTGATTACCTTTACATATATATACATTACATCTATATCTAACTTTTGTTCATGTCTGTCCAAATAAAAAAGGACTTTGTCCAACTGCATGCAAACTGGGTAACAGATCCGCTGTTACCCTCGGGGCCGTGCATTCCAGATCATTAAATCGTCATGTTCGAGCGACAAATTAGCGAAACTCCATCTTGTTTTGCCTCGGTGGCTACCGCTCTGTGGGGAGCTCGATTCGATACGGTAGTCCATTCGGAGCATCGTTGTCTTCCCCTTGCCCGGCAAGGCGGATAACGGAAAACCCGTTCCCGCTTCTATTGCTTCTCCTCGAAGTCCTGGAAGACTGCCTCGTCAGATCGTGACGTACAACAGACCCAGTGTTCGATTGTCCAGAGTCAGCTTTTGAGATATCAGAATGCAAGCTCATTCGTGACACCGCGGAAAACATCCTTGAGCTCGACCCTGTCGTTGAAGGACCTGGTCTCTGTCTTGACCGAGAACGTGAAGTTCGGCCAGGTTCGGCGCTAAAAGATTGCGAATTATCCGTGTCCTGATGGCTCTCAACATGTTGGTTGTCCGCTCCGGTACCCGATTCTGGCAATGTGTGGTCCTCGAGATGGTGGTGGTCTTGTTCAGTGGAAGTAAGGGAAGGGGCTGAATCTTCCGAGATACGGCGTGGCGGAAGTTTGTGGTGGCGTACGGAGCCGGAGGCTGAGTAGGTGGACGGAATGGATGAGGTTTCTGCTTGTTGACGAGAACGATAGAATGCCTCTCGATGGATTAAGCTGGAAGTTTCAAATTGAGAAGACTGGTCAGAGCCATCCTCGAGATCGAGCAGCTCAACATCAACCGGGTTCATATTGCGGAGTAACTCGGCAAACATGCGCATCAAACTTTGGAAATCTTCATCGCTTAACGGTTCGGAGGAAAACCGGGCGCGTTCGTATGCCGCGAGAAACGCCACCGTCAGAGAGTTATCCAGTACGACGCCAATATTGATAAGATACTGGAGGTAAGCTCTCATACCCATGTTTCCACTCCGGGCGAGCTGATCAATGACTCGCGGATCAGGCATTGGCGTGCCATCTGGATCAGGCTGGGCGTGCGGGTCGATGGGAGCAAGACTGACGGCTTTGGCTTCGATCAGGTCAATCAACTCATCCACGACGGTGCAATATTCGAGTCCTGGCAACTCCTGGGAAGCTGGTGATGACCAGCCAGGGTGCGCCACTTTCCCCCAACTCGGCTCAGCATCGTGGTCTGTATCGGGCTGCGTATTTGTTAAAGCGAGCATCCTCGTCCCGATATTAATGGTGTCATGTTCAATCCTCCGACTCCTCGGTCGGGCTTGATATGCAATCACCGCACTCTTCTCCAGACATTCCTGAATCAGCTTATGCACTCGTCGTCCCGGTAAGTCCTCCTTTTCAATGGGCATATATGTTTTCGGAATGTCCTTAAGCACCGAACGATTTGTGTACAGCCGCGAAGCATAGATCAGGATGGCCAATAGAGCGGTAACAACATAGTCGCCGGCGATGAGGAAGATGTCGATTAGACGCCGGCGCTTATAGGACTCATACAGCGTATCGGCGGGGGTGACAGCAACGACAACAATGAGAATTAGGAAGACGGCGGTGAACGAGGTGCTGTAGAAGACGCGGAAGATGACCTGGCGCGCTTGTGCCATCTCTGTGGTCGTGGTAGCGCAGGCGAGTGCGCTATGATCATGGTGCTTCTATTACGGACATGGATCCAGTAATCGTCTCATACTGAGGTAGAGAATAGGTGGTGATAGACGTGATGGTGGAATATACAGAGTGACTGCGTCTTTAAGACTGATGGGCTCCAAGCGAGGAGCGTGGACAACGGCTTCCCGGCTAAATACCGGCTTCGCATCAGACACTGACGAATGACGCCATCAACGCCATCGACTGATAACGACCAGGTTGCCCCAGGAAAGACTAAAGACCCTCGAGTGAGACGTGTTGCCACTGATCCTGCCTCTCGCAGCCTTGCTATATCATAGCCTGATCTTCAACATCGATGCCCATTCACACATAGGCAGACGAGGCAGCACCATTGAAATATAGCCGCGGCAACATTGTCTTGTTCTCATTTGCTCGGAGGAATGTATACTCCGTGAGCGGGATCAATTTGTCTGGAGCGGCCACTGCGGCCAATGAGCGGTGGAATTGGCTGCGACATACGCCTGATGGTCCAAATGTTTAGATGAAAAAAGTCGCCCGGTTTGGGAGAAAGCACTGATGGATGGTGCGGCTGACAAATCAACGTCTGATTAGGCGCAGTTTCAAGTCCTTGATGGAGCGGGAAATGCACAAGTGAGACCTACATATTTAAACACGTCGCAGCAACCGTCCGCAACTAGCCATATCAAGGGCGTACGAACACCTCCAGCCTCAGAACAGTCTCTCAAAAGGTCAGCGAAGCTAACTGGACACACCTCCCGCTCCCTGACTTCCAATACCATGGCGCCACTCAACCTCTACGATACCACCGTCGTGGCCATGATCCGCACGCTTCGCAACCTCTCCAGCCTCCTCAAGAAAGGAGAGGCCTTTGCCGATGCCAAAGGTATCCCCCACTCGGAGATCCTCGAAGCTCGCATAGCTCCGGACATGCACATGCTCCCCTTCCAAATCCAGACATGTTCCAATACCGCCAAATTCGTCGCCGTGCGCGTAGCTGGTGTGCAGAACGTGCCCTGGGAAGACAACGAGAAGACCTTTGACGAGTTGCAAGCTCGGATCACCAAGACGATTGACTTCCTTGAAGCGGTCAAGCGGGAGGATTTTGAGGGCAAGGAATCGGGTCACGAGATCGAGCTCCAGGGCAAGAAGCTTGATGGGCTAACGTACGTCAATGCATTCGCCGTGCCGAATTTCTACTTCCATGCTGTTACGGCCTATGATATCTTGAGGATGAAAGGAGTTGGCATTGGGAAGAAAGATTGGCTGGGCGTTAATTGAAGAGTTGAACTGGCGGAGAAAGTGGGCAGGCATGTGCTAGGCGCAGCTTGATGTTGCATGGTGTGAGGAATGGCTTTCTGCACCGGGCACAATTGAGATGTGGATTGGCTGTGCTGTCTCGGGCTCAACCTCGCCAGTAGGTCAAGAAGAAATGTCAACATAGATCTCTAAAAGGAAGACCAATTCACGATCAAGCACATTGGTATTGTCATCGTTGTGCGACCGTCTCGTGCGTCTCCTCCATTCGCTCTTGCCTTCACACGATGACTAGATAACATGCTTCCAGAGACACAGGTGTGGAATTGCAGTCGGTCGATCGAGACTGCTCTACAACATCATGCATCGGTTCTGCAACACCTGGCTCCATTGTGGTCTGAGTCGATTAACTTTTGTGCTGTTCTCCACTCCGGCCAGGATCCAGAACTCATGTATCATGAAAGGCTGTGATCTTATGAATTGGCATCTGGTGCCTCCTGCGTCCTTCCCCTAACAGCCTTGTCACCCGACAAGGCTGAAATTTCCACTTTAATCTGATGCCAGGCTTGGCGCAGACAGAGGCGTTTCTTCAGGAAGCTGAAATAATTTGCGGTTGTACAAATATGGACTTCTCGGCTGGACTGTCCCACACCTTCGGGAGGACCGAAGACGCCCATCTATTTCTTGCACGTTACCCTCAAGTTCTCATTGGTGTGCATTGAGTTCGGTCCGCCGCCCATGGGAAGACATCGTTGACCTTTATTTTCCACCCCTTTCGAAACAAGCAGCATCAGATATCCCCCTCAAGCCACGAATTCTCGGCGGATTACGACCAGCAAACTTAGAAACAGTAAACAGAGCCTAGATCACGCCTAATTCGGTCGATGAGACGTTCAGCACATCCACAAAAGGTCGAACCCAAGCATCCAATCTTGCGAAGCGAGTCGGGTCAATGAGCCGATCTGGGCCAGGAGTCAGGACTCAGGACAATTTACCCCACGTGGCGTTTTTAGCCCCTAAACGGTTCCTGAATTGGTTGTCGCCCAGACCTCGACCATGGGTTTTTTGCGTTCCACGATGCCCGTTACGGAGAGACATTTTACATCTACCCACTTCTTCACCAAGAAGCACGTCAGATGAGCATGTACCGAGTTCATATTTGCCCATCATGGGAAGAAGAGATTGTGCCTGAACGGCCTCAAACGATAGCATGATGGCGCGCATGATGGGTGGGGGTGGGTGGTTGACCCTACCGTCCATCCATCTCGTATACTCGCACAGATGTTTTGGCACAGTTCCTCGAGCTGGCCACCTTTGCGCCATGCCTCGAGGCATCTAGGAGGCGAGTTCCATCTTCAGCCACAAGGTTGAGTTCCAGCCGTAACAGCCATGGCTGTACTTGTACTCGGAGTGAGGCGATGATTTAGCTCTTGATACTACCTATGAAGCAGGTGTCGGCACTGGGCAAACGAGCGCCTTCACAATTGCCCGAAAGATCGGATCGGTCACAGGTCACAAGTCGCCACCCCGGGACCAGACACAAGTGGATCAGAGTCTAAACAAATCCTGTCCTCGATAAATCCATCAAGACTCTGGACGTTCGCAGCTTCCCAGGAACTACAGTCTTTCTTCTGTTGGCCTCGCATCTCTGACGGTTTCTCTGGTGTCCATTCTTTTTCCAATTGCAAAAATGCTTGCACACGTTCGTTACCTGCTTCCTCTGCTTCTTTTGGGTCCAGGATCTGCCCAGGCATGGAGCAGCTGGGCTGATCCTGACACCACAGTGACCAAGGTTGTGACGTCCGTTCATTACATTTGCCCTTGCGATACCTCTAAGGACTGGTCCGAATGGACGACTCGGCCTTCAGCACCAGTTTCGCGAAGCCTAAGTCACGAAGGCGGCACGTCCTCGCATCCTCATACCTGGGAACCATGGCGAAGCTCGACAGGCAAGGGTGATGAGAGTGTCTCTAATACAAGGGGAGCCTGGACTGGCTCAACAAAGGTTTCGACAAGGACAAACTCTCGCAGCAGCCATGACCATCCCGTGTACACATCTGTGAGTCGTATACAGCACAGAACAAGATTTGCGTCTTTGAGTACTGCATAGTCTCTAACCGCTATTTACTGTAGCCTCATACCTATACCTCAACAACTCCTTCCTACAGCACGACAACAACGACAAGTGCACGAACGTCAGAAAGCCCTGCCACTACCTCACCGACGTCAAGAACGACCAGTGTAAGTGTTGAAGAAATCAGGGGGGTCGATACAGACGTCTAACTAGTCTACAGAGTACCACGACTCCAAGTACAAGCTCCACCAGCAGCTCGTCCACAGGCTCTCCGACCATCTCTCCAACTATCTCTTCAACCAGCTCTTCCACTACATCATCCGTCACCTCTTCGACCACTTCTCCTACCACCTCTTCGTCCTCGACTGCTACCTCCACGGAAACCTCCACGACAACTACAACGACGCCATCTACTACAACTACAACTACATTAACTACGCTGTCAACATCCACAACCACGACTACAACGACGACGACGACAATAACAACAACCACAACCACAACCACTACGACGTTACCCACTACAACCGTGACTACGACCCCATCCACCACCACCACCACCACCACCACAACAACAACATCAGCACCACCAGCCGTATCGTCAGCCTGCTCGTCGGAGCAGTTCAATGACTGTCTCAACATGAGCGGTGGCACGTGCTTGTGCAATATCCTATCTGACGGCCATACGCCCCAGTGCAACACTGGCGCGGCCTTTTGCTCAAACTTGGGCGAAACCTGCACTACCGACAGCGACTGTAGGGACAAGTACCCGGACCTCGTCTTCGACAAGTGTGTAAGGAACGACGGCCTCTTCGGCCCATCCTGTTCATCACAAAACTATTGCGTCGAACTGGGCACGTGTCCGCAACCCGGCGGCAGCGCGAAGAGGGACCTGGAAGCCGTCTTCCAAGCACATGGCAGCATGCATGCAGGGGAAGGAATGAAGCTGAGCAGGCGCTTGATAATGGGGTGAGAAAATTAATTTTTTTTTTTTTTTGCGAGAGTGGATTATAGATATAATATGAACCTTATACAACGTCTCTGGGTTCTGTCCCCTCGTCACGCGATACTTAAGGACGGACGTGCCGTAGGAACAGAATCATCAAGGTCGACGGAGTTTTGAGGACTATTAATGCATGTCTATTTAGCTTCATTACGCTTTAATGGTGTTTTTCATGTTTCAATCGCCTACTGAACCTTCAGGGGTGTTCAGACCCTTTGGCTGCCAGGCCAGGCCAGGTTGGGCCAGGTTGGGCAAGACCAGACAAACAATTACTGGGACAGACAGATACTGAGCCGATGGGGGATCACCAGCAGCTCTTTTTTGATTTTTAAGCCATCTTACACCGTACACAGTACACCTTCATCTTAGATCTTGCAGCTTACATGAACATGAACTGGATATGAACTGAATATGAATATGAGCATAATGGAACCTTCCCAAGCCTTCTAGGTAGTCTGAGTCTCAGTCTCAATCCTGTTATGTACACACACGGGTATCAGAGCATCGTGGCAGTAGCGACCACTTATGACGACCGTGTCTGTGTCTGTGCCTATGCCTCTATCTATCGCATTCTAACCCCGATCCATCCCCACGACCTCACGATGTTACTTTGTCCTTGTACCTCATGAGACCCTTACTTTCAGTCCCTGACTTGGTTGGCCATGACCTTGCTTTGTCACCTCGTACCACCTTGGCACCCAACCCCAAGCACTATTGGCCCATTGGCGCGACAAGAGAGAGAAACCGGGCTTAGTAATACTAATACGAGGTACTAACAAATACCAGCCACGCCAGCCAAGAGCGAGCGACGGTGGTAGCGACAAAGCACGACGAGACGAGGTGGTAAGACGAGCCCTGAATACGAGAATTTAGCCCCCCACCGTTTCCCGTTCCCGGGCGGGAATAAACGTACTTCCTCTTTCGACTTGCCCCTACCAATGTTCACTTCAGCCGGCATCCTCGCTTACAAACACCAAACAGCCGCGTAGTACTACTCATAAGTAAGTACACCTAAACAAAGGCTTCGTCCCGATCGGGCAGTGCGGGACTCCTGGCAAAGATACTCGCCAAGTTCCCTCGAGCCTGTTCTAGGTCTAGGTGACCCTTGTAACCAGCTCTTCCTGGCCAGGATTTGCCTGGGTGATGCTACCTTCTCGAGCTGATGGTGTAAAGCACTGGAGTCGTTGTAGGTTTCTCTACAAGTAGTGTCGAGACTTGGCCCGCTTGTGAGATGGCTCTGGAGACAACGACCTGTGCTCTGGGCGGCAAAATCCCCCTTGGCGTGTAGGACCAACGAGCATATAAATAAATGCAGTGCAGCGGTGTCCCAGGATGTGAGATGAGCAATCCAATCTCTCAGAAACGTGAAATATCTCCTGCAAGTTCCAGATTGCTGCAAGCGACTCCAATCAACACCCATATCGCCATCTTCACAGGAACACCAGCAATGTCGTCGCCAAACACCAACCGCAACATTCCGCCTGGAATCAGGGACGAGAAGCGTCACACCATCGTCAACAAAAACTCGGGAGAGACAATCACATGGACAACATACGGGTGTGAGACCGGAGGCAAAGAAGCGAATGCCATCCTCGTGTGCAAGCCAGGAGGTGGTCCGCCCCTCCACTACCACACCACCTATGCCGAGCGGTTCGAAGCGGTCGAAGGCGACTTGGGTGTCATCCTGGGCCATAGGGAACCATTCCATTTGAAGCCAGGCGAGTCGGCAGAGATCCCCATCGGCACCCACCACCGCTTCTTCAATGACGGAGACAAGGACGTCACCTTCAAAGGATTTGTGGTGCCCGCCCACGCAGGCTTTGAAAGGAGCTTGTACGTACTCTTTGGTCTCAACAACGATGGCTTGGCCGACCCGAAAACCGGTATGCCGTATAGCATCTTACATGCCGCTCTGGTCGGCGAGATGAGCGAGTCGAGGTTCCCAGGCTTCATGGGCGGGATCATGAACTACGTTGGCAAAATTCTCGCAACGTACGCGAGGTGGACTGGCGTTGAGGAGGAGCTGTTGAGGAAGTACTGGGATTGATTTCATTCAAGGGTGTTTTGGGGGGGATCAAAAGAGCTGCAGCGACTTGACGTGCGGTCGGTTATCCATCTCATCTCATATCAAAGCAGGAAAAGGGTGCAGAACTGAAGTGGAGGCAAAAGACAACCCAAGTTCGATGACCGAGCTTGGATGTCGAGAGAAGTATTTTAATAGGCTGAAGACTGAGTGGGAGCCAGCTATTGCGGCTCCCGGCCGACAGCTCCCATCATATAGATTGCGAGAGACATGGTATAGAAATGAGATTCTTGTAACGATCTACCAGGTCGAACCTGGCCGAGGCAGGTTCCCCGAGTATCGTGCCAAGACACTCAGTATTGCTTGGCGTGTTTGCCTCCAAGTCTTCCCAGCAATCCGTTCACCCACCTTCTTACGAAATATCGAGGTGACTTCATTGGGGCATGGGTCGGTTGAGAGCATGCTAGGGGTCTGAGGTGTGGCTTTGATCTACATTTACCTTTCTGTCCGGCTAGATCTTCCCGCAAGGTTCTTCAAGCATGGCCGACAAAACCTCTCCTTCTCTGACGGCCGTGGCGGTCTCTTCTGTCATTCTTGGCCTGCTGGCAGGCTATTTCATAGGCCAGGGCTCCAGTATCGGTGTTTTTGGTGGTTCCGGAAGTGCGAACCAGGCAAAGAAAAGCTGGCCAAACAGCTACGACGTCAAAGTCCACGCCGACTCGAGCGACGACCAAGCAGACGACGAGGATGAAGCGGACGACGAAGAGGAAGATGATGGGAAAGAGTTGAATGACTTCAAGGACTCAACGGAGGAGGTGAAGCTTGTTTTAGCAGTGAGGACAGACCTAGGCATGGGCAAGGGTAAGGAGATCCGGAATCGGTTGCCAGTTCCATTGACTAATTCTCCCGCAGGCAAGATTGCCGCTCAATGCTCCCATGCGACTCTGGCGTGCTATAAATACCTACTCAACCATGTCACTTCGGCTCCTCTGCTGAAACGTTGGGAATGGGGTGGACAGCCGAAGATTGCGGTGCAAGTCAAGTCTGAGGAGGAGTTGGAGACACTTCAGGCACAAGCTATTAGCTTGGGGCTCTGCGCAAGGATCATACACGACGCTGGCAGGACACAAATCGCCGCCGGCAGTGCCACGGTACTGGGCGTTCTCGGGCCCAAGAGTGTGGTTGATCAGGTCACCGGTCACCTGAAACTTTTATGATTGGAAGATATGAAGAGTCTGTTTGGAAGCCCTGCTAGGGGCCTGCGCATGAGCTCACCACAGAAAGTCACAAAAGTTTCGATCGTTCTCCAGCATCAAATTTTGCCCTAAACACCCTACGCAAAACAGCAAAATTCAGCAGCTTCCAAGGCTTGAGAATAACAACATCGGATGTATGTCTACCTCGTTCGTTCTCGATGCTCTTCTATCTCATGCCAGTCATTTGGTGTCTGACAAGATATCTTCAGAAGCAGTGATGGCCACAGACCCTGCATCAGCCAACGTGTCCTCCCGCTCGACGTCAGGCGAGAAGTCGGTGGTGATTTCGACCTTGACCTCTTCCAGGGGTGGGCTTTTCCCATCAAAGATCCGAACGGCTCCCCCTCTGCCTTGACGAATAGGCATGTCCGAACTCGATCATAGACTTCATGTTTTACGACGTGGGAAGACCCGTGGGATCGTCTACCTTCTTCGAACTGCATATAGCAGCCACTCTACGAAAACACCCCTGTCAGCCTCGATCGCGAGATTTGCCAGTCCATAATGAGTCAGCGTTTGACTGGAACAGCGCTCGAGTCGACATTCTTCCGTCTGAGGAACAACAGACTCTACATCGGCATGGCAAGCGAGGCCGCAGGAACTACAGGCAAATTCATGGAGACTTTTGCACGGCTTCCTGGCTGACACTTTGCCGCCGAATTCTAAGAACTGCGGCCCAATAATGCGAGACTTGTAGTAGACCGGTCAAAGAAGAACCCGCGGCTCAGGGACTACTTGTTCCCCAGGGAACAAGTAAAATAGATTTTGAGCTAGATGTCAGCACGAAAACGACAATCCAAGTCCAGGAGTTATGTATCCTCATACATGTCCTTGGTCAAAAAGCCGAATCAAATCAGTCTGTATAAGTCAAGGCGGTACCAAATATTTCCTTTTTCTCGGGCCAGGGGGAAAAAGTGATTGTTCAACGATAGAAATAAAAAATTCGATGTCATTTTATGTCACATATTTTTTCTTCATATCTCTTGTATAAGTTGGTTGGTAGGTAGGTACCACCGTCTCTTTATCCGTGACGAGTGCTCGTAGCCTGCAGGTAGATAATCCGTCTTTCGACCCCGTTTGAACAAAGCGCCATCGCAAGAAATTTATACAGAGTCACGCTCAAAAGCGTAGTGACGCCTGGCAGATCTTCAGCCACCCAGCGCTTACGTTACGAGTACTTCCGTGCCAATTCCTCGCTCCGCTTCTGGTACTTGTCGCGGTACAGGGTCAGCAGGTCCAGGGAGATTTTGGAGCCGCCGCACACGACGATGACGACCTTGGAGGCCGCGGAGAATCCCTTGAGGAGCTTCTTTAAGCGGCCGTCGTAGGCGAGGGCGACGCTGGCGCCGCAGGCGGGTTCGACGAGGATGCGCTCGTCGTCCAGGAAGCGCCAGCAGGCGGCGCAGGCCTCGGCGTCGTCGAGCACCACCGACGTGACGGCCGGGCGCTGGCCTTGGCGGAAGGCGTTTTCGGCGACGCGGATGGCGCCTAGCGAGGTCGCGACCGACGTGATGGCTGGGAGGGTGACCAGCTCTTTCTGCTGCAGCGACTGGGCCAGCGAGTCGGCGCCCAGCGTCTCCACCGGCAGTACCTGGACTTGGTCGGACCAGCCCACGTGGTCGAGGCCGTACATGATGCCGGAGAACAAGCCGCCGCCGCCCACGGAGCAGACGATGGCGTCAGGCTTGTCATCCCCGTCGGGCATCTGCTTCTGGATCTCCTCGACCATGGTGCCCGCGCCTTCCCAGATAAAAGGGTGGTCAAAGGGGTGGATGTAGATGCCCTTTTCGCCCTTGGCTTCCGCGGCGGGGATGACGACTTCGCGGAGATGTTGGTCGGCGAAGAACCAGCTGTCGCCGTGGACAATCACCTCGCTGGCACCCGCGGCAAGCAACTTTGCTACCGTGGGTTCATCCGTGCTAGTGGGGACCACGACCGAGGACGCGTAGCCCAGGGACGTCGCGGCCGTGACACAGGCGAGCCCGGCGTTGCCTCCGGAGGAGGAGTAGAAGTGCAGCGGTCGGTCGTCTGAGGGGGACTCTGATTGTTCTTGGATGCTCTTGAGCATCAAGTTGCCGATGCCCCGGGACTTGAATGACGACGAGGGCTGGAGGTTTTCGAGTTTGAGAAAGATGCGACTGTACGAACGAGCCATGGGTCAGCAAATAGTAAATCCGTGGGTGTATCCAAGAGGAGGGGCGTGGTTTTCTTTACCAGCCAGCGATTTTGGACAGGACTGTCGATTCGACCAAGGGCGTCTCGATCCACGGTTGTTTGGCGTGAGGCATGGTGTCGGCCCCGACGTGGTTCCTCTCTATCATTGCAACTTCACCGTGTGTGTGTGTGTGTGTGTGTGTCGATTCAAACTGGAGATTAGAGCAGGCTGACACTGATATATTTCCTTCACCGAGGACCCACGGACACTGAGCGATGCAGCGATGCACAAATTGAACCAAGTACTAGCCAGACGATCAGCAATAGAAAAAGCAGCAATAGAACAAGGTATAAAAGAGGCGAGGGGTGGGTTGTAGTTGTGGAAGTGGTTGTGGTTACCTACGGCCAGCACCGGGCGGAAACACCTTTTGTTACCCACCCCTTTTTCCACTTTTTCCCTTCCTTTGCACTATATTTCCTCTATCTTTTGACACCTTGTTTGTCGATCGACAACGGGGGCCTTTTTTTCCGCCCGGGAATTGTTCTCGAGATCCACGCCTTGTTACAACAGACCCAACAACCACCAATAGGTGTAAAGCTTATGTAAAAGCGGGTGGCACCTTACCAGGTTCGACGTAGGATCCGATGAGCTAAAAAGTATTACGGAATGAATCCCTTTGAAAAGATACTGGCTGGGTGGTACAAGGTAGTAATAGTTTGGGGATGGAATCCCTCCGTAGTAGGGTGCATGGGTCCACGTGGACTGGACTGAACCCTGTGACCACCTTTTGAGAATCAGAGAGACGAGGCGATGACATGAAGATGAAGAGACCTGTGAGAAGAAGTCGATTTGCTTTGGGAAACCGGCCCGCGTGCTAATTATCTCCCTATTTATCGCATTTTTCTGATTGGTCAGCCTTGCCATCACTTTGTCGTAGGAGACTTGATCGCCAGCCGGAGATTCCCACGTAACGAGGCTAGGAATAACGCCGCCAGAATTTTTCTCTCCATGAACTACAAACCTAGGAAGTTCTACGTAGGGAAATCTCAAAAGGTTAAGCGGGACAGACAGGTTGTGGAGCGTGTGTTTCAGTTTTCGACAAACCTCCTCGTATGGCTCAGGCCGACAATAATGACAATGGGGCAAGTCCTCCTGAGAGACTCGCGTTCTGTACGCTGGGCATGTTGATTATTGGTCCGCTATACCCCCTCCCTCTTCCCCTGGTGTGGTGTCTTCTGCACGTTATCTGTTTACTTTGGTACTGTACTCGTACCATATGTATATAGCTTACCAGCTCATCCACTAATTCACCCTCCGAAAGTACAGACAAGATCGAATACCTCGATGGCACCAGCAGCACCACGCAGAAAGCGCAGGAGAGAATCATCGGCGGCGCAGGTACGTATGCGGCGCTCGGGGCGCGCCTCGCCGCGGGCAGCCTCCACGCCTCGTCGGTGGGCTGGATCGTCGACATGGGGTCCGACTTCCCCGCGGAGTTTCGCGCGGCGATCGAGACGTGGCACACGAGCTGCGTGTTCCGCTTCGACGGGTCCCGCCTGACGACCACGGCGTGGAACGGCTACGGGTCCAACGAGTCCCGCGCGTTCAAGTACCTGACGCCCAAGCGGCGGCTGGACCAGCACTCGCTGTCCGACGAGCAGGTGCTCGCCCGCGCGTTCCACATGGTCTGCTCCCCTGCGCGGTGCATGGCGCTGGTCCAGGGCATCCTGGCTCGGCGACGGAAGTTTCCTTCGGAGAGTGACAGTGACAGTCACAGGGACAGGCCGATCTTCGTCTGGGAGCCCATCCCGGACCTGTGCACGCCCGAGGAACTGTCGCGGCTGCGCGAGGCCGCTGCGTGCGTCGACGTCGTGAGCCCCAACGCCGACGAGTTCGCGTCCTTTTTCAAGGAAATGCCCGACTTCTCCTCCCGGGAACGGATGGTCGAGGCGCTCCTCGGGCTAGACAACCGACAACAAGGCCGAGGGCAGCAGCTGAATCCGCTAAAAACGGCCTTGGTGGTCAGAGAAGGCGCCCACGGATGTACCACATACGTCGGGAGCACAAAGGGTCTACATCTCTCGGCATATCACCAAAGTAAGGCAAAAGTCGTGGATCCGACCGGTGGGGGGAACACATTCTTGGGAGCGCTGGCCATGGCCATGACGGGGACCACGACCCCTCCTCCTGAAGACGCTTCTCTCAAAGAACTAGAGGTTCCTGAGGTGTCTGTGTTTGGTGGCCAGAACAGGCTTTTATTCGCACTGCTTCACGCCACCGTCGCGGCTGGGTATGCAATTGAGCAAGTGGGAATGCCTACTGTATCAACGAAAGATGGTGACTGTTGGAATGGAGAGGCATATCCAGAGCGATTCCGTAACTACGTAAAACGAGAGAGAGATCACATAGCCGTTCAACTCTCAAGCTCATGCAGCTGAACATACACTGCCGAAAGAAGTATCTCCAAGTCTCGTAAGTGTCATTGATTTGTCAATGAAGACCCTGAACTTGCGGTTCCTGCAAGACCGGTCGAGCAAGGCAAGGTTCTCTTCATATTTGACGCGGTGTGATATGTACAGTTTTATCATTCTTGTGCTGCCTCCCTTAATGTCTTGATACTCTGCAGTTGGCCTCTTTCATTGCTGCTTGTTCTCTCCTCCGGCGCTCGCACAGTTGTCACAACACAGCCAACTGCGCGCCGTGCCTCAAGTATTCTGAAAGTATGTACAGTGGAGCAGTACCTTCTTGCTCAAGAGAGAAGACGGCTGGATTCGCTCGACGTTCATTTTGTGTCGGTAGGGTAATTCGGGAGACCGGTTCGTGGTTTATTGGCCCTTCTGCGCCTTTTCGTGCTCGATTATCTGTTTGCTCCAACTGCCGAACCGTCAGCATAAGCCCCCAGCGCTACTTATAAAAGAATCCAAGGCATCTCCATCGAGCACAACCCATCCTGCCATCACTTCCCACACTCCCACCCAAACGCATCAAACCAACCAACCAACTGGTGCTCGGGATCGAACTTACTACCGACTCGGGAAAAACACGCCCTTCTCTGGCATCTTGGTCCGGACTTCCCTGTTCGCCGAGACTCTCCAGGCAAGTCCGGCGCACGCGGCAATCACCACGCCCATGACGAGCGTGTTGGCTCGCCAGTTGTGAGGTTGTGCGTACCACCCACCGGCGGGGGACCAGACGTGCTTCGGGTAAGCGACTTTGCCGCCTCCGCCCATCGTTGCTGTGAGGTCTTGTGAGAGTCGCGGCGGGGAGGATGGGGATCGATATGGAGGGTGAGGAGAGGAAGGTAAAGTGGGTGAGATGGTGGATGAGCTTGAGAGGGAGAATGGGACTCAATTGAGGTGCCTTGCAGTGCAGTTTCAAAGGCCCAACTGTGATTGGCCGCCGAGAGCTTCATCGGCATACTTGCCTTTTCTAGCCTGCTATATATCTATCTACCGAGTACCAATTTCTTGTCTACAACTTGACCACGATTTTGCTTGCAGAAACTCCCTGTTTCAACCTGTCAATCCCACTTTGAATGCTATCCAACCCTTCGCCGATGACATTTGCGCGGGGCGCAGGTTTGTATTGGCCGCTCGCCAACGCAGCCGGAAGAAAATCCTTCCAGAGAGCTTTGCCGACATCTGTGTCTGGCACCAATCCTGCCAGCACTGATGTTACATTAGTAGACTTTCTCAAGACGTATCGTTGGACGATGACTTACTTTGTTTGGCCGTGACACCTTCCGGCAGCTCTGCTGGTGGTTGCCCTGCTGTAGCGATCAAACCGCCTCCAATTCGTGAGAGAATTCCAGCAACCTTGCGAGTGCTGTCTTCCGCACCGAACGCTGAAATATATGTTAGTTGTGTTACAATATCGGCTAACTTCACTCCCACACTTACCATCGAAAGCGCCGACCAAGCTACTCTGCTCCAGCCTGGCTGCCAGCTTTTCAACGATATTCTCATCAGCATGATCGAATACCTCCGTTGCGCCAATGGATTTGCAGTATTCAAAATTTCTTGGCGACGCGGTTGCAATGACATTGACCCCGGAGGCAGCGGCAAGCTGGATGACTGCACTACCCACACTCGAACTGCCGCTCCAGACTAGGAGAGTCTGGTCCGTCTTCTCGTGGCTGTTCTGCGGAAGCCGCAAACCCAGGAAGCCATCTTGGTAGAGTCCTCCGACGGCGGTGGAGAAAGCCATCGGTATTACAGCAGCGTCTTCATAACTCAAGCTTTGTGGGATAGCCGCTGCGGCATGTGCTGGGATGATGGTATATGTTTGGAACCCCCAACCCTCGGACTTTCCGGTTATGAACCCCAGGGCGTGTGCTGTGACGCGTGCTCCAGTCTCGAACCCAGTCACTCCATCGCCCACTTCGACCACCTCTCCGGCGATGTCATGTCCAAGAATTGCGGGCCAGTTTTGAATGAACAGGCCCAGATCTTGGACTAGGATATCAATTGGGTTTATTGCAACGGCATGGTTTTTGACCAGAATCTCTCCGGGGCCAGGCTTCCCAATGCTGGCGGGTCCCACTCTGAGACGTTGTCGTGGCCCGTCGAGGAACGCCGCGTTGTTCTCGAGAGTCATTTTCATCTGTCTACTTTGAATCGATATAAACCAGATCGAACCTCAGATGCTGCAAAGATGGGAGATTGCGATTGATGGCCAAGTCAAAACGGTAGCCTGAATGGACATTGACTTTGTGCCTGGGTTGCCAAGCCGCTAATAGCCGAGATGCAACTGCATAAGAGACACTGGCTCAAGATGGTGCTTCCGCACAAGACTTTCTGGGTATATGTCTGGTCAGTCTCTCACGGTATGTCAGGCTTCAAAAGTCGAACGACCTCATCGGTGCTGACCCATCCTGGATGTATTGATCGAGAACACCCTGCGACGACTTGGTAAGCAACGACGATAGAACGTGGGAGGGGGAAGAGGAACTAACCCAGTCAATCATGTAGGAATCGCTAAAGAACACATCGAGAAGCTCCCGGGATGCAGGATCGTGGATCGCTTCAAGCCCATCATCATGCAGGGGTATCGTAGGCTTATCCAATGGCACACTCTGGTTCGTGCTTGCGGTCCTTACGGCGTCCAACTTTACCTGCGACAGTGGCTGAACTATATCTGCGGTTGCGCTGTGAATTCCATTCACTTCTTCCTTCTTTTGGGGTCCTGGCCTGGGGATCTTTGAGAGCATGATGGCAAGAATATCTGATGCTCGCCTAGCATCTGACGAGGTTGATGTTTGTGATTGCCAAATATCGTGCGAGACTTTCAGAGCATCGTATCGCAGTCTTTGTGCATCCGAGTCCAGTGTTGGCATGGCCTCTGTGCCGGTCTGCCGGTGAGATTCATAGAGGTCGAGACAAGTAATCATAGCTGCCAGCAGGAAATCATGGTGTGCCAGATTCGCCGACGTCCACTGACTGTTGTGCAACAGACCTCCGGGCTGGGTGGCTCGGTCAACCTCGGCTTGATATTGCAGCATCTGAAAGCTGGCGCCGGTGCAGGCACTCCGTGAATATTGAAATGCAGGGTTCGTCCTGTCATGACTCAGATACCTCCTGTGAAGGATCATCATGCCCTTCTGATAGACCAGCTCGACGTTGAGCCGGTGCACTATTGTGTGAGTCTCGTCGGTGATGGAAGAACCGAGCGGCCTCCATCTAAGGCTCGGCGGTATTCCAGCACGAATCTTACGGAGTTCGTCGTCCAAGCTCAAGACATCCGCATAGGCTGGAAATCTCGGTGACAGAGCCTGCTGCGCCACTTTTCTGAATGCCTGCGCTAGCTGGCCTTTGTAGCAGTAGTAAAGCATCGGCGTCGGGTCCGTGGGCGGCCGCGATGGAGGAATTGTCGTAGAATATTCGTCAAAGTCTTCGTCGAACAGATTGCCTGGCGGTGCGGTGTCACAGTCCTCCTCGTGGATAATGGCTGGCAGTCCTGCCTGAAAGGACAAGAGTAGTTCAAAGGTCTGCACCGTGGAGAAGACTCTCCGGCGCATTTCGCCCTCGAACGGCGAAATGTGAGCAAGATGACTCGGGTCTCGATGGTATCCCATTCTCAAAGCAAGACGGGCAGCTACCCCCATCAACAGCCAAGGCTCAGTCTCAGAAGCCCCTCGCTGAAAGAACCTGCTGATGGCATAGAGCAGCATAGCTTCGACGCTGTAGGGACGAGCCTTCTGGTAATGACCAGCGACCAAAGCTCGACCCGCGTTCGTAAAGAAGAGGCCCGAAGCTTCTTTGAGGCACTGAAAAAAGTCTGTCTCTTCGGGTCGTGCAATCCGAGAGCCCAGATGGATGAGCGAGAGAAGCATCGAAATCCAAAGGAAAGAGGCTGATGAGGGATCGTTCCAGAATGATTCGTACTGCTAGTCATCAATGTCCCCTATCTTCCAATGCCAGTGGTCTTAAGGTGAGACCTACCTCTCGCAAAAACTTTTGCTTGTGTATAAATGCTGCAACGGTAAGCCAAGTTTCTACAACAAACCGATGAAGAGTGCTCACGGATATGTAAAAATCGCGCATTGAACTGCTCTGAAAGTAACTTGTCCACCACGGCTCGGGGAGGCAGAGAAGTGCAGACCTCAGCCATGGTCAAAGGCTGTAGATCGGACAGGACAATGTCAGGGTCGTTCCTGTATGTCGAGAAGTCCCCGTCCTCTGCCTCTTCTGGCTCCGGCGCAAGACATTCCTGAATATCTTTAATCTGTGCACGGTGAGGCTGACGACCCGGCCAAGAGCAACGATGTACAAACAAACATTTTCTAGGATCGCAGCCCAATGAGTAGGCCCGAGGTATCTGGTTTCGACACCTCTGATAGCCAGATGACCGTTCGGCAGAGAACTTGTTGCCGCTGACGAAGCGTCCGTCGTCAAGGACGTTGGAACTGTGTCGGAGCGTATGCTCATCGACAGTGTCTGGAGACTATTGTCAGAATGAGGAGGCGTTGCCTGTCCACTCTGCCCATGTGTGCTCTGATTTGCCTGCATCAACGTCGTCACCATTTCCTCGAGTTTCTGCAGCCGAGACTGCGCCCTGGAGATATTGTCTCCATTGTCAAGGCTGACATTGCGATCGCGAGCAGAGACGCCAGAAGGGTTGGCTGAGAAGCCGTTGGTCTGATGCTTGCGTTTGGCTGCTTGACCGGCCCGTCTAGGGGTATTTGGTTTAATGATCCGGAACACAGTTTGATACTGAGACAAGTTAGACATGTCCTGGGGTGTCCTGGGGTGCACGGCTAGGACCGATCGGACCGGCCTAATCAACTGGAGGCTGCAGATGGAGGAATGTGAGACTGCTGGTTGATACATATCGAGAGATCTTGATCTACATATGTAGGGGTGAATGATCGACCGTAGAATACGGTGAAGCTCAGGAGCACTTAGCGTATGACCTCTTCCAATCTCTCCAGGTCGGATCAGGACTCAATCACTTCAGGAAAGCAGGACACTGCGCATCTTCTCGGGTCACAGAGAATATTTCTTGTGATTAAGTATTGCTAAAGGAGTGTCTATTAAATCATACAACACAGAACGCCAGTCGCTAATGCTGATAAGAAAACACAAAAACGCCAATTGCTATGCAACTCAAGTAACAAAAGATCCGTCCCATGCACACAATTTGCCAGTGGCAGCCAACCCTTCCTGACTCTCTGTTCTGTCGTGCCAGCCCCGTCCGTATATTCTCCCACCATTCATAGCTCATTCATTTACAGCTTTTGGGCAACAAAGGTAGGGTCGCAGACGATGTCGCCAACCTCGCTCGGGGTCTCCAGGGTCCAGGCACCTTTGTCGGCGTCGGAGAAGGTGATGTCTCGGTTCGCGCCTCTGAGGACAATCAGGGGGTTGCCGTGGATATCGAGGATTTGGCAGCGGTAGTCCTGCTTCTCGACCAACGATCCGACGGAGAGCTCGACGGTTTCAAAGGGACCGCTGGTGGCGACGGGAGCCGACTCGGCGCGGTAGCCCGCAGGCAGGGATGTCTGCGAGCCGGTCTCGGTGGATTGGCTTTGGAGGATGACGCGCAAGTTGAGTTCATCCGAGGCCGGGTCGATCTTCACGAACGAAGGGTCGCAAACAACCTCGCTGACATAGCTGGACTCGCGGAAGGTCCAGGCGCCCTTGTCGGCATCGGAGAAGGTGGTGTCAATGTTGGCGCCGCGTGTGGCCACAATGGGGTTTCCATAGTTGTCAAGAGCCTGGCAACGGAGCTCCTTGTTCTGGACGTCCTCGCCGAGTCGGATCTCGATCGAGTTGAAGGGTCCGCTGATGGCCGGGGCGGCCATGTCCCTGACATTGGACTTGAGGTTCACCTGGGCGCCGGTTTCACCTCCATCGCTCAGCGCGACGTTGACCTTGTCGTCGTAGTTGCGACGGCTGTGAGGAGCAGCAAAAGCGCCGGTAGCGGCGAGGAGAGAGAGAACGATGGCCTTGGAATGCATTTTTCGGATTATGTTGTTTTGTTTTTGAGTTGAAAAGCTTTTGGGATTAGATATTTTCTTATTGGCTGGTAGAAAGAATGAATGTAGAGCAGTTGGGCCCAAAGAATGTAAGGAAAGAATGAAGGAAAGGAAATAAAAAAGTAAGGAAAGGTAGTAAGTTGGTTGGTTTGTTGTTTGTCTGTGTTGTATGAGGAGAGGAATCGTATGACTGGTGAGGAACTCATGGCATCTTTATACCCATTCCAGCCCACCACAGATGTCCCTTCTCAAAGGACAGTATGGTGTATTCCGCATATACGAAGTAAGACCGATTCCTCGGATGAACCAGTCGTCAGTATCCACCAGAACCACTGGGAGAATCATACACCTGTCCGAATCGGGAAATGCGTATATACTGCGCCTGGGAAGCGCGGCGTGACAAAGCGCTCGCCAAGGCGACTATGTCGATTGGCTCGATGGCGGAAAGGGAGTCGCTATACCCAATATCGCCTGGACGAGCCCAAATCACCCAATGTCCTTATAGCAGCACCGCCGAAAGACCCATTCGTCCACAGTAGTCGTCGCCCTAGAGTCCCGCTCGGTCGGTCTTGGCTTCTAGAAGTGCTTACTATATCAAGCTCCCAATAATAGATATAGACAGGTACACAAGCCTTGCGGGAGCCAAGACTCCCCGCCGCGAGATTTTGGCCAACACCGCAGGTTTTAATAATGCTGTGGCGGGTTCAGTGGGTTTGGCGAACAGGAACAGACAGACACTGTCAGCATTTACCGTGGAGCCGCGTTAGCGAGGTAGTACCTTTTGACCAAAGACAAGCAAGGATTCTTTTTGCTTGCCTCTTCGTCCGTATGCTCAAACTGGAGCTATTCGACATCAGCCAGGGCCCGCTCGCAGTAATATTCCCTTTCCTGGATTCGGGGTTTCCCCCTCTTCGATTGCTCTCGTGGAATTTCCTAGAAGAAGTGGCTGTAACTGTGCCCCTTCCACCAGCCATTTCAATTTAACTGCCATACATTCTGGTCGTAGACTGTCCGGCGAGTCCGGCTTGGGTGTATCTCTGCATATCGCCCTCGGCAGATAGACTGAATTCTCAATTCTGCATTCTAACGCATTGCTCAATTGGGTGACAGTCTCTTCTCTGCACCTGTGGGCCTCGTTGTCGCGACTTCATTGCCAAGTCGGATCATCTCACCTCAGCGTAACTCAATAGCTTTGACCCTGATAGCCAACAGCTGAAAAGCCGTGAAGCTTCACGGATTAATGTGGACTATGGCACGTCGGCAATATCAGTAGCAGTAGTGAACGGAATATTGCCGGCCTGAAAAGCTGTATGAAATATGTTCTCATTCCTGGTTGTGGGTAGGTTAATGCTGCGACATCCTCTCTCTTTGACCCACCTGAAGCCAACCAGCAAGCCAGCGCGAGCCTGCGATCCTGAGGCTCACTCGTGACAGACAAGTTATGCGGATCACGCACTATTCCACTCCAATACCCACCAGGTGGTGCCGAACTTTGCCAATATGATGGATGACGATCTCAACACGGTTGTCCGTTGGGAGTTTTCAGCTGCTAGATCTGTAAAGGCATTTATTGAGTGTGCAGGGTGGGGAATCTCTAGTGAGATAAGATAGACTGCAGATGTCCTTTGTGGCCCGGGAAAATGCACGTGAGAGGGAGTATAACAGCTGAAGGGTTTAACCAGTTCCATCTGATCACGGGCACTGCGTGGTGCAGCAGTTTGGCCCCGGCAAGAGGCGAATTAAGAAGGTACTTTTGCAGCCGGGCAGCAGACCAATAATGTGTATGCCTGTCTTACCAATACCGCCAGCGAGGTAGACGGCCATGATGATTGTCGGAACCTCTCAAGAGTGCCATGGCTCTGAGCTGATGCTCATCCTGTAAATCCCCATTCCGGAAGAACTTGGCATCTACATTGGCTCGGATGTCTTGTTTTCAACTTGTCATATGTCCAAGCCGCAAAGATATAGATGCCTGCCACGGCGATGATAGGTTGTAGATTGAGAAAACATGTTTTGTCAGAGACTGAGGTGGAAAGGAAACAGAGATCAAGGACGCACAGAACGACGGCCTCTTCAGGCTCGGCTGCCAAGACAAAATATGATTGGCTGATGTCTCTCCAGCCGAATTTCCTTTCGCGTTCAACTTTCCGTGGTCTCGTGTCGCAGGAGAAAAAGTCTCTTGCACCATCGATTTCGCTGGCACTCAGCGCTCAATCACCCTCAGGGTTTCTATTCCATCAACCCCGTCGAGAGCACTGCGCAGTCACTCCAGAGTTTACAAAAGGCTCTTTCAGTTCTCATGAAGAGGTCGAGGCTCCTGAGATGGAGCGGCACTGTACTCTCACCTCGAACGAGACCAGAACCTCTCCAATGTCAGTTCCACCTCCATCGACGTTTCCAAGCAACTGCCGCTGCACCCTCAGAACCCGAAAATGAATCTCTCCATCAGGTCACAGATGGACCGTACCTGTCGGAAGAAGAACTCATGAAGCTACCCTCACCTCCGGTTGCCGCAGCGAAAACGTCTGCCAAACTAGCTGCCTTGCATGCTCGACTCGCCCTACCTTCTCGATTTCCCCTCGAAACTCTGGCACGAACCCTCATTGACGACTCGGCGGATCGCTCTATGCGGTTCAACAACAAAGCATTTGCTCTGCTTGGGAATGATTTGTTGGGTTTCTACACCTCTGAATACATTATCAGTCAATACCCAAGGTTACCACTCGCCGTCATATACGCGGCCATGTACGCATATCATGGTCCGGCGACGTTGACGCAGATGACCAGAGAATGGGGTGTGGAAGCTGCGGCGGAGCCTGGAGGGGAGGTTGACCCAGGTCTGTTGCAGTTCAAGAGAATGCCGCCGGAACAAGCTCTTGGAGTCGGAGACGGAGCTTCAGGATCAAGCAGCAGCAATAGTGATCCGAGAGCAAAATGGACGCGGAGTTTAAGCGCCAAGTCGGTACACAACGATCAGTTTGGTGAACTGCCAGAACGTCCAATTCCGGCAGAGGATTTGGCCTCGAAAGGCGTTACTCTACAACGAGCCAGCACAAACTTTGTGAGAGCGGTGATTGGTGCAGTATACTTGCATGCTGGAAGAGCCGCCGCGAAGAAATTCTACAGTGACCACTTCATGTCTCGACAATTGGACATGTCGAGTCTGTTCCAGTTCAAGAACCCCACCCGAGATTTGAGTCGACTATGTGGAAGAGAAGGATTCCAGGCACCTGTGGCCAAGATTTTGAGTGAAACTGGTCGGAAGAGCAGGACCCCTGTCTTTGTGGTGGGAATATATTCAGGCAGTGACCTGTTAGGAGAAGGTGCAGGGGCCAGCTTGGACGAAGCGAGAACACGAGCAGCTGTCGCAGCGCTCAAGGGGTGGTATCTCTACAGCCCGACCGAATTTCGACTGCCCAGCGAAATGGAAGAGCCCGGAGCCAAACCATGGAACCCGATTTTGGTGGATGCAGGCGAAGTTGTCGGCTAGTGTCTGCTCGAGCCTTTTTGTTCTTGCGACCTTTTGTCGTCGAGGCTCAATGTACTTTTATGACAGCTTGAACAAAAATTCTATTGGGACATATGTAAGCATTACCAGGCGCCTGGAGGAGCTATAATGCGCAAGGCAGCCATTGACAGGTCGCGCAGACCTATGTACAGGCAAACTGTCACCAAATCTTGCTCTCCAGACATCTTTCATTTGGCTTTAGCTGTCAGTGATAGTCCTGCAATATGCCGAGGGCTTTTTTTAAGTCGAATTTTAAGGCTCAAGGCGCAGGACGCTGCCGCTAGCTAAAAGGCATGGAACAATGGGGCCGACTGTCTCGTGTGTACTGCCTGAGAAGCGGTGAGCAGCTTGATGATCGTGTAACTCATGTTCATGGGCTGCGGGAGTTTTGAGAATATTGTGCTGTCTCATCCCTCACGCAGGGACTTGAAAGGACGGGTCGGGACACGGGGTGTTGTATATACAGGGCTCGCCAGTTCTTCGCGAACAAAACCCCTGAGTACTTGGGATTTGACACACACTACCAGCCAATGAGGAGCACAGCCATTCACGACTTGGCGGGCTTGGCGACCATCGTGATGACGTCGGCTGGTGGGAGGCCTTTTCCTCCTCATTACCAACGGAGGCGAAGTTGAGTGACAATCAAGGGATCCAAAGAGGCTACCTAACACTACTCTCAGGCAATCTCAAGGGATGTCAGCGCTCCCCAGAAAATCGGGCGTCCCGCTCGCTTTGGGGATCAGCCAAAAACGCGAAAACGACTAGGGAACTTTGAACAAACACAAAGTTCTCTGATTCATCGCCCCAGCTTGCGCCACACCCAAACTACGGGAGGGCAGCGTCTCCACGAATCATGTTCAGACTTGGACCATAACCACCAGAGCCACCGAGGACGGAGTTTCAGGAAGCTGATCAGGGAAACCTAGTACCGGAAAGTTCAGAGGTGGTTGAGTAAGAGGCGAGAATCCCCGCTCTCCCGCCTGCTTCACTCAGATCCAGAACCTTGGTTGGCGCATGACTGGCGCTTGTGACTTGAACAGTTCGAACCCCCCCAGCCTCTTCGAACATTCCACGAACCGGTATTTAGCCTCGCTAGGCAGTCATGGCAGTCCTTTCAATACCGTCCAAGGTCCTTTGCCTCTTGTGACGGATCAACATCCGACAGCATGTGGTTCCTATTCTTGTTATAAGTCTTCCTACCAACTCCGGCTCTCTTGAACCTGATTTTCCCCATCTTCATCTCTACCGAGAGCACAACTCATAAGCCCCCCCACGATGGCAGCCGCAGACTACTTTACATCAGGCCCCAGGCCTCCGCTGGAACAACACAACAATGGGCAATATGTGCCTCCACAACCTCAGAGAGTACACTCCTCGCAGGCTGGGTTCAATTATCAACCAGGTCAAGCGAGCCATCTCAGTCCACAGTTTGGTGTTCAACCGCCTTCTCCATATGGTCCACCTCCCCATGCTCCTCCTCCTGCCTACCAATCTATCAATAATGAACCGAAAGTCCACTTCGCTCCATCATCTGTAGGGGCTGGACAGCATCGACCTTCCCTTTCAAGCCAAACAGCATACCCTCTCAACCAACCCAACTTCCAAGCCAATCCTGGGCAGCAATTGTCTCCATATCCCCCAGGTCCATACGTACCTCAGGCCTACCAACAGCCTTATGGACTACCTCACAATCGTCCACAGCACAGACCGTCGCACAATGACCCTTCTGGCTCTGGCTATTCCTCAGATCCTGAGCCCAACAGAAGAAAGCACAAGGAGCGAAGCCGTCGCATATCGGATCACTCTCGATCGACCGCGGCCGATGGATTTCTCGGTGCCGCTGGTGGCGGGCTGATAGGCGATTTGCTTTTCCCGGGGCTCGGGACCGTGGGTGGCGCATTAGTGGGATGGGTCGGTGGCAAGGACTATGGAAAACACAGGAAATGGCGAGAGGAAAAGAGGGAGCGCGAGCAGGAACGCTGGGAGAAGGAATACCGCAGGAAAAACAGCCACAGTCGTTCGCGAAGTCACAGTCGGGACGTGGATTCGCACGAGCGGGGCCACAGTCATGGTCGTCACGACGGACGGCGGCACAGTCATGAAAGACACAAGGGTTATGACTGAGACGGGTTGGCAACAGCCACGGACGGGAATGTTTTCACGGAGGCAATTCTGGCATTTTTGGGAGGGTTCTATTCACGATATTATGTGTCATTATAGAAAATGGGATCCAGGTGATGATGGATGACACATCACCGATGAGTTTAGAACCAAGTCAAGTTGTTCATGACCCCAGGAGATATCGCTACCTCCGAAGCGGCTGGACCATTCCGGGGTGGACAGGGACCTTTTGTCCAGGGAGTAAGGAATTCGTTCGTGGTTTGTGGTTGTTTTGTGGTCGTGTGATGTATGATGTGTATGAGGTCTTTGTCATGTTTTCCACGAATCACAGACGGTGCAGGGTCCAGTTGCGATGACCATGCACCCCAGATCCGCCGCAGGTGGCGAATCTGACGATATACTTGACTCCTCGTACTCCGTACATATCGCGTACTTGCTTACTTTTTTCGGACTCGGTGCCTGTGAGCAGTGTCGCTATGACTAGATCCACCCGGTCTCGTTAACGTCAGGAGGCCGAATCCAGCCTGGTGAGCCTCTCGGTCCATGTGACCATGTGCAGTCGATAAGGACAAGTATACAGCTTTGGCACTCCAACAAGGCGGAAAGGATTCATATCTACCCGGGCACTCTGAATTTCCCACGTGTCCTCCAGAAAGAAACTCACTTTGTATTGATAGTCCGCATTTTCCCTGCCTGCCTACCTCCCTGCCCGACTGTCCGCCTGCCTGTTATTCCACAGAAGAGGCTGCTAGCCGGCACCGAGCCATTCCCGTCCACCCTCCCTCCTCGAACCAACCCCTAAGTTCGAGTGCGCCTTACCTCTTGGCATTATCAACCTACCCGTCGAGTCGTACAAGTAGTGTCTCTTTCAGCCTCACGAATCTTTTTGTTCTCGAGCTTCGTGGCCCTGTCCCGAGTCCCGAGTACGAGTGCATACGGAATACCTACTCGTAGTGTCCTACCTTGCTTTGGGGCCAAGGCAATCTTGATGCGCATGAAACCAACTAACTAATCAAGTGCGGTCTTTGGGGTATGGACATATGTAGGTAGGTACCAGGTAGGTACTACCTAGGCTACCTTGATAGGTATGTACTTGTACGTACCGAGTAGAGTCTGCCTGGCGTCGTTGTCGACGGCACGTACGAGGACATGTGGGCCGTGCATGTTACCTTTTGCATTGAAATGCACTGCCCGTCCCCCCTTTCCCGCAGCGGTCCTCGCTAGTAGCGTCCGAACAAAAGTCTCACAAAAGTTTTGTGTGGGAAAGCTTCCCGCCCTCGCGCGCCAGGCGAAAAGAACCACCACCACCCGCCCGACAAAAAGTCCAAAGTCCACACGTGGCACATGCGTCTATGACACTGGTGTACTCGTAGATTGCTTTTTTGGTGGGTTCGCGAACCCCAGGTTCTTTTTATATCAGTGCCAGCGCCCATACTTTGACAGATCGAACGCGTCGCAGGGCTGGTGGAGGGAGCATTCTGTTGTACGAGTACGAGGGAGAAAAGAGATGCATGAGTTAGCGGGAGGTATGATGTTGGGAGCCCTTCACGACTGGCGTTGGCGAGCCACCTGCGCTCTCACAGCTCTCAGCACTGCACAGAATCACCGAGTTCTGGCTGAGCGTGTTTGGTGCTGAGCCTGTATGTCAAAGACCCTGGACGTTTCAGGGGTTAGTGAAGGCGTTGCCAATCTCTCGACTTGAGCGAGGCATCGTGAAATTATATGCAGGACCTCACAACTGAGTATATTGACGAGGTACATATTGTAGCTCCATCGACAAACGAGGGTTCCGCAACGAGTGGACAACGTGGAAGGTGATGTAAGTCAGTTTGTAATGACGAACCACAGTGAGTTTTTGCCAAGACATTTATATCACGGACTTTGCTGGTTACAACCTGGCAACCTGACTGCCTCACAACTTGGTGATCAAACGTGTATCCATTTCTTGATGTCAACGGGCCCCCCTTTCTGCGAATATGTCAGCCTGTCACCCGCTAACCCTACTGATTTGCCTTAGGAAATCAAGATGTTGATGCCTCGGAAACACATTCGTCGTGGCGGAGACACGACCTCAGACACCAACGATGGTGTACGGCATAGACGTGGACGACCTATGAAACGAGTTGATCAGCTCAAGCCTTCTCGCACAGCTCGAACCATACGAGCCAACCTTATCCACGAACAGCTCACAGCAGAGGTCGAACCTCGAAAGAAAGTATCCGCTCTCGAATCACTGCCAGTGGAGATCATCGAGCAGATCTTTTTCCATTGCTTGGAGTTGGATCTCCCTAGGGCATCGGTACATCTAGCCAGAGCTCTGTCCAGACCTTCCGTCTACTCTGTACTGGTTCTGTTCGCCTTTTTTGAAGCAGATGAAACGAGTCATGTGGAGACTCGCCACTTCTCGCCTGCAACTTTCAGATTGATTGGATTCGACGAACAGCGACGTCTACAGGAAGCCATATTGGTCACCAGATGGTGCACTCCCGAATTTCTCCAGTCTTGCATCCCGGCGCTGAACAGATTGGCCATGGTCCGACACTGGCACCGTGAAAGAGAGCTGTTGACAGCTGCAAGATCTGCTGGGATCCTCTGGACGCGAGGTGGTCAATCTGCCCAGCTTGCCGACCCCGATATCCTTCTCCCGGCGATTGATGATGAAATCGGCATGCAAGACTACTTCAGCTTCGGGTTAGCCATTCCAGACATAAAATGGCTTGGGGCAGTGACATATGATAGCATAAATACATCTCCATCCCTATTCATCAAGACTACGTATCTCTCAGATCACCCGGTCCGGTCTCAGCCACAACCTAAAGAGGTCTGGCTCGAGCGTTTGATGAAGAGTGTACTCGCAGTACACACCATTCCAGAACACCTCGTCCGCCGAAAAACGTGGACGTACAGGGATATCGGACTCCTCCGGCTGCTGCTCTCAGCCCTGGGCACCAGAGATAGCAGCCTGCCGGATAACAAGGACTGGGGTCCCATCCGGAGGGGTCCTTCGCCGCAAGCAACATTCGAGGGCATGGCGAATGCCGTCCGAGAGGGTAACAGAATGGCTCTTGAAGTGCTGATCGACGTATATAACTCGATCGTGAAGCATGAATACCCGGACCAACCACTGCCCTTGCGACTATTCCACCTGGTATGCGAAAGAGCACAAGACCCCGCGAAAGGGACAGGCCTGCAAGGAAGCATCATTTCCCTCCTGCTGGACAACGCCGCCGAGCAAGTCCCCGCGGATGACGAGATCCTCACGCACTGGGCTATCCACGTGACGAACTCGGCCGCCACAACAAAGCATCATCACATTACCGTCGCTACTGCAACCAGGTTGCTCCAACACATGGAGAACCAAGGGCACCCGTCGAACCATCATGCCATTGGTGCTCGAGACGGTGATCGCTGATCCGCAGCCTCATTTACCGAGGAGATCGAGTGTCTCGAACGCACAAGCACTGAAGTGTGATCTATCCTAATTTCAAACCAGGAGACGACCATCGTTGCTGGTGAATTGAAGAAAGACATTTACGAAGTGTTGTCGGAAATTTCTTCCCAAATTTTCGCTAGCCAGGACATGAGAAAGCTCTTCGAAGCTCATTATTTACTACTCGGGCCGATGTTGAATGCAACTCCCCAAGTGATTTCATGCGCAGCCAAGTCGACCGTCAACTTTTGATCTATACTCCGCGTCCGGGACTGTTGAAGCCCAACTCGTTCATGCGGTCCCCGTCAAAAGGCGCCTCTCGACCAGACGTGATCCTCGACGTCTCGGTCCAAGCAAGTTCTGCCGAGTATCGACAATCTCTTGGATTCTCCCAATTACGGCTCCCCAGGCCAGATGCGATCCGCAATCCTCCTCACCAACTTCAATTTCTCGATCATATCCGCTCTCTTGACTGCGTTACCGCTCGAATGGCTCGCAAACCCGCACTGCGGACTGACACCACACCTGTTGAGAGCTTCTTTCTCACTCTCCCCCGTACCCTTGCACATCCAGCCGGCAGCCTCTTTGATCCGCTTCACCATCTCCTCCTCGTCCTCCATCTTGGGAAATTTGCTTGTCACCACACCCAGAATGACGTTCTTGTTCTTGGGCAGGTGCTGCAGCGGTTCAAAGCCGCCAGCCCGCGGAGTGTCGTATTCCAGGTAATACGTATGCATGTTGAGATTCTGGAAGAGTAGGGTGGCGATACGGTCGTAGCCACCCTCGGAGAAGTGGCGCGAGTTGACAAAGTTGCCCCGACAGAGGTGGACGCCGACATGCATGTCTGAGGGAATTTGAGAGATGCATGCATTGTACAGGTCGATGTACTTGGCGAGAAGCTCGTCGGTGGAGTAGGTGTTTAGAGGGTCTTTTTCCCAACCAGCGATCATGGCTTCGGAGCAGAAATCTGTACGAGAAAAGAAAAGCGTCAGTTCATATTGGAAACGCCTCCATGCCAGTGGTTGACGCTACAGAGTGGATTTCAACCTGCCGACTTACAAGCCAAATTGGGATCATCAAACTGCACATTTCTCAATCCATGGTCGTACAAAATTCGCAGTTCCTCTTGGTAGGCTTTGGCAATGTCGGCAAAGTACTCATCATCGTTCTTGTACACGTCGGCGGGATACGCTTTACCCTGCTTGTACCTGAGATGATACCAGTTGGGGGCGGCAAGGGTGAGCTTGAGGTTCTTCCACTGGGACTGGGGCACGAGTCCTTTGAGGAAGTCGAACTGGGCGGTGTAGGTGCTGCCCTTGTGCCTGATCTTGCCCGTGCACAACATCGTCTCGCCGGGTTTGTAGCCCTCCTCGGTGAAGGCGGCGATGTCTGGGATGTACATGCGGAAGAGGTCTGGATCCGGGTGTTCAATCTCGGTCATTCCCTCTAGCCCGGGGAAGAATGATCCCCAGAACATATGTCTTCTGTATTCGCCATCGGTGAGGGCTTGGAACCCCAGCTCGAGCTGTAGCTTCACGATGTCCTTGATGTCGGCGTCCTCGATCTCCTGCAGAGCTTCAGCCGACGCCTTCCCGGCCTCCCAGGCATGACGCGTGTCAAGCAGCTTGTCAGTGCGCAGGAGGGAGCCAAGGTGTTCGGCGCGAAAGGGCGGGTTACGGTGCAGAGGGAAGGACATGGTAGCTGTCAAGGAGGCGTGTTAAACTTGAGTTTCTGGAGATATGGACGAGCGTAGGATCTAGTGGTTCTTGTACTTGACAAGCTGTCCCTCAAACAATACGGCGCAGGAAAACTATCTCTCACTGGATAAGTAGCTTATACGAGCTATTCTGGACAGTGCGGAAGAAGAACTGGCTACGTAAACAAACCTCTTCTCTTGTACACAAAGTGCCAACAACGACACCTTTACCCCGCGCCTGGGCAAAAAGTTTTCAGGCTTGGTTGTGTGGTTGTGGTTGGAAGAGTCAGGCAAGAAGCATCAGGCCAATCGCTAGGCCTGAGGCACCTGGAGACGAGTCTGGTACAATCACGGCGTGGAGAATGGTGGCCTGTTGAGATGAGGAGAGACACAGGCACAAAGGCAAGTTGTGGCAGTGAAAGAGGGGTAGAATGCAGGGAGAAGTGAGCCTGCGTCCTGCGGGGAAAGTGTGACGACGATGGCGATGGTGGCGTTAAGGAGGAGAATGACAACCATGACTTGGTCCGTGTCTCTTTCTGCTCAGAGGCCGCCTATATTTGTCCATCCGGGCCAATCACCACTCCTACTCAACGGACCCAAGAACTAAAGGCTGCAGGGACATCTCCAAGGTGAGTCGTGTGTCTCAGGTCGGGTCTAGAAGTCCGCCCAAGTTCAACGACGGCAATGAAGTGAGACCAAGACGACACCTACACCTCCTTGTCCACCTTGTGATCATCGATCGTGCATACCGCTGATCATCAGACAGCAGGTAAATGTCATCTTGAAAGAGTCGGCTGTCAGGCTGTCTCACTTGCCCCTGTCTCCGTCCGGTGCCCGCGAGCATATCTGATATCTGAACCTTCAAGAGCAGCGGGATCAACGACAACTTGACACAGATGAATTTCCTCCAACACCCCAACGAGATCCTCAGCCGCATCATCTCATTCCTCGACGCCCCCAGCCCCTTTGATGCCGACATCTTGCAGAAACCCAAGTCGGGTCTGATACCCTTCGAGTCTGAGGCAGGCATCGAGTTGACCAGCATCCCAACATCATTGCACCGCCAGCATGCCCTGAAGAACTTGACATTGACGTGCCGCCTTCTCCGCACCCTTACTCTCCCCGTCCTCTTCAAACACTCCGTGCTCCATCCGCTACTACTGAGCGACTTTCTCTCCTTCCTCAAGAGGCATAACCTAAACCAATATGTCGTCAGTGTTGTCGCCCACGTGCCGGGTCATTACAACCACATCCATCCAGCCTGGTGGGCACGCTTGCTCAACGAAGTTCCTGCGACCCGCTTCAGTATCGTTGCCGCTCCCGAGATCCTAACCGAGCTGGCGGGGATCTGTTCGTGGACCAGCGACGCCTGGGCCTTTGACATGGCCTTCCAGATCCTCCGGCTTGACCAGACTCTAGAAGCCGCCCGGACGCCGATCGACTACGATGATCTTCCGAATTTCCTAGTTGCGCGACCATGGCAAAACATGGTTGTTAACGAAGGGTCCAGCCTGCTGGCCTACACGACCTACGAATTCTTCTTGCGGCGAACCCCGTCTCTGCTAACGGCGCTGCACTCCAACAACTCGGCTGCTGGAGATGCGCTGTTCAGCAACCTATTGAGTTTCGACTTCGTTTCCATCTTCCCCTTCTACAACCACGTAGACGAGGTGCTCAAAAGTGTGCGCAAGATGCGACGGCTCCGGCGGCTGTTCGTCAAGCTGTGTCCAGAGCCGCACAGCACGGTGTTCCGCGACGAGATCGAGCTGGCGGGCGGCGCGATAGACATTCATGATCCGTGGAACGAATGCGAGACGTCGTGGTCGCTGATTGCACACAGCGTGGTGTTCCTCACCACCGAAGGCCAACTGTCCGAGTTGCAGATGGACGACGTCAAGGTGGAGGGCATACGGCAAAGGCTGGAGCAGAATGTCAGTTCCCTGCTACAGGAGCGCTGGCGATATGAAGACCCGAGATCTGGAATCTGGCGACGGATAAAAGATCCGAGTGCCACTACAACAGTGATAGCGTAGAGCAACCCAGAGACAAGGTGTCGGCACTCACTCTCGTTCCCATGAGTTTCCTTTGACATGGTTTGTCCTCCTAAGCGAGAAAGATGCCGTGGGCACATGAATGATGTCAGCGGACAGGCGCACAAGGCATTGGGCTATTCAGCACGAGCACCGCACATGGAATTACCGTAAATCTGGTTCTGGATCTAGATTCGACCTTTTCACGATCTGTAATTTGGACACTTGTGGACAAGCGTTTGGCATGACATGGGATATTTTGAGAGAATATGAGATAATACGACATAACTTAGCGAAGATAATACTATGTTGATCACCCCAACAAAATAGAAGAGCTCTCTCAGATACCTCGCCGCTTCTCTTTGGCGTCTCGATCCCAAGGGCCACATTTCGGTTCGTCGCTTAACTCAATGAACCCTGACGAGAGGAGAAAAAGTGATCGATAAATGTGTAACAGACAACAATGCCTCGACTCCCTGATCCCCCTTCAAACATACTGTGCGGGCTTTTGCACAAACAAACAAAAAGGGATGCGTAACAACGCCAACCTGGATCTTTTATCCGCCTGGGACAATCTTCCAGGGCCCCCTACACCGCCACGCGACCCTAAATAATATTCCCACAACCAGAGGAGCGGACAAACTTTACCACCTCCGCACACAGGCGAGCCAAGGACAACCTGCTTGGAAATTAACATGGGTCCTGCAGACCAGAGAGGAACTAAGGGCACCTTTCCTGATTATCTCCTAGGTAGGCACCAGGTTAGATGTTTTCTCCGTTTGGTCTCGATTCCAGCCCTTAAACGAGCGGTCTCGTCCAATCTTATTTACTTGCCTACCTAGTTTGGTAAGTTGAGAGGTGTAGGGAACAAACATGTCGCGGACACCACAACAGTGGTATGCAGGTCCTAGTCAGAACAAATACGTCATGGGTAATATCGCGCCCAAAAAAGTTTTGTTCAATCTGTCCATTGTGATCGCAGAATCACCGAGGTCTTCTACCCTCGTTACCTCCTCTACCTATCTACTCGTATTCACTTCAGCCACTTAGGTATGTGGCAGGACATTATGCACACCAAGCGAGCCTCCTGAAATTTCCAGGTTATCACGAGAAAGAATACGCGATAGAAATGCCGACGTGCGTCGTGGGAGAAGAGCGAGAATTCTCCCGCGAAGAAAAACCTCCTCAGAGGAAAGGAGGTAACAGAAACCCCATATCATCCCTTGGGTGTAAGTAGATCGACTTGAGACGAATGCTGTCGTTCCCCGAACAACCGGATCTTTGTTCTATCGGATATATTTTTATTCTAATTTCTTGGCGGCCAATCTAGAAAAGACATCAAGTTCGAGGGAAACTTTTCCTTGTGGATTCCCTTTTCTTTTTCTCGGGGAGCCCCTGCGGTGAGAGGGAGGGGGGGGAGAGGGTCTTGGTGTTTGTAACAAGTGAACTGTGTTGATCGCTGCTATTACTGGCAATTCGGCAATGGGTTATGGGTCAGGTCTCCTTCTCTACAGGATTCCAGCCTCGATCCTCAACCCTCCTTTCGGAGGACAGGGTAACCACACATCCTCGACCGCAACCGAGAAACATACGTCATTGTACAGAACCAAACAAGGGGGGTAGAGGCACAAGCGCCTTTGGAAGGCATGTTTCGTATACGAGTGCGTGTTCATGGTGGTGTACGAGGTATTTGTAGGGGGTTGTGTTGGGGGTTGGTGTGTCATGTGGATCCCCTGGAACTTTGTTCCGGGCAGTCGATCGGCACCCAGATTCCATGTGGATGGTGATCCCTCCAAACTACCCGGTACATACCGGTGATAGGTCCGGGTGGAGAGGGGGAGACCCAGCGTAAAGCGCTAGGCAGGTCGCTAGTTCGGAGCTAATGACGTACCGTCATCCAGCGTACGCCATCCCCTGCGCATTTTCGCACCTGCCCACCTGTTGCTCAGCTGCTGCAGTACCCAAGGTGTAGAAATCATTTGCGTGGTTGATCGATCGTCCTCGATTGCTACCACCCTGACCTTCATGTTGTGTTACAGCCTAACACAGACAACGCTCGGTACCTAGCGCACGCACACCTCCCGGAGGAAGACACCGCCCGGAGGAAGGGAACAAACTAATTACCATCCATTCGACGAGTTACTGTATCTACCTTCCTCCCTGTCCTTTACCCTCCATCTTTTAAACTTCAAGAGTTCTGCACTGGATATCTTTCCATAAGGCGCCGCCATTGGGGATGGCCCCTCGGGGTCAAAACCCACACCCATGCCCCTAAAGTAGGTCAGATCAGCACAAAGTTACTGAGGGAGAGCCCCACCACTCTTCACTTGCTCAACGCCTCGACCAATCACTATTGTCTGGATGTAGATTTCCAGGTCACCTGACGCAGACCTGACTCTCACAGGGTCCTCCGCTCGGCTCTTCTGCACGCTATTGCACTACCAGACCCTGCGCCCCAAGGACCACTCGACTGGGCTGCGGTTTGCTAGCTACTGCTACTGCTGGCAACCTCGAATAGCCCTTTTATCACCTTTTTTCGCCGCTTGCTGCAGCAGGACTCGATTCAACTCGTACTAGGCCCAGAATGAGAAGCCCGATCGCAGGGGGAACCAGAAAGTTGGCCCAAGACAAACAGCCCCTCGTCATTGTTTTCCTCTCGCCTTCTTTTCTCTTTCCCTGTCTCTCTCTCTCTCTCTCTCTCTCTCTCTCTTCTCGTTTACAATGTATTCATCTGAAATACTATTCTTGCCCGCACATTGAGACTGCCAACCCTCCAATTACCCAATTGGCTTTGCACGCCATCCTGCGAATAACTCCACCCGCGTCGAAAAGCAAACCGGAAGGAACGGACTCGATTGAATAACCCTCGGCACTGCGCGATGGAGACAGATAGGTGCACATAGAAAACAACGGTGCAATCACCCTGGAAGCGTTGAGAAACAGAGACAGAGACACAGCCAATGCCTTCGCCACCTAATGCGCGGCCCATCAAGCCGGCGAAAGAGTCTCTCTCCAAACCTCCGCGGAAGAAACCATCCAGTGCTCGTATCTCGGCCGCCTGCGAAGCTTGCAAGAAACGAAAAACGAAATGTACAGGCGGGCCGGCACCCTGCCAGCTGTGTGAAACCCTTGGTACCGAGTGTGTAATCGACCTCTCGCTGGATATGAGACGCAGGGCTGCTTTTCAGCGCACCTTGGACGAGTCGAGGACTTATCAGGATGCCTTGAACAGCTTACTCGATGGCATCCGCGAGGGTCCCTCGCCCCGCCTCGAAGCAATATTCGAGCTCATCCGCAGTGGCACGTCAAATCAAGAAATCACCAACAACCTACATCATTACGCGCACCGGAACGAAGACGAAGATGGCGACGACATCATGTCGTCCCGCATAGAAGGGTCTGAATCCCTGGTGGATGCCAGAAAAAGTCCCGCTGATACCTCGAGTTTGGGATCGCTCACTTCGGAATCAGCAAAGGGCAAATCACCCGACGGTTCCATGTCAATCGCTAGTTTACTGACCTCACTCAAGCATGCATCCCCTCTAGAAGGCGAGGCCATTTTGCGTCAGTTTCTGGCACTGCGCTCCGACGAAAGGGTGGGCTTGTCCCTGGGCTCGGTAGAGGGAAAGAATTCCTGGGAGGGAATGGATTCTGGCATAAGCCCTCCCGGTGTTGATGAACGTGCCGTGTGGCACCCAGTACTGCACTTACGATCGCAAAGTGCTCGGTTGGACGAGCGCCCACAGGTGAGTGCCTCCACCACTTTCGTGGAGTCGACACGAAGTCGTTCATGCTGCCTGAAGCCGGCGATCCCGCAAGTGAGACAGACCATCACACGACTCATAAATGCCTAGACCCAGCGAGCCCCTGCCGTCCTGCCTGCGTGCTTGTGTCCTTGATGAGAATGCACTAATGCCTGAATTCCCACGTTTAGTTGCCACCAGGCCCTCGACGATTTTCCCAAGGAGGGTCCAAGAGAGAGCCAACCGATACAGTCGGCTCAGAATCGCCGTCACCACCGACTAGCTTATCGAGACAGTCATCCCAATACCCCCGAATCGCCACCGACATGGCCAGCGCCAGCCCGCTGCCGCTGGCCGCCTCGCCTGCAACGCCCTACTTTGAGCTGGTCACGAATTTTCCCACTGCGCACCCGAGATTGAACGAATGGGATTTGTGTGTGGCGCAGGAAGATCAAGTCACCAGGCTCAGGATCCCTAGACACCTCGTCCTTCCACTGGTGGTCCCCGACGACTCGCCGATGAGCCGCACCTACACAGACTATGTGAACGGGGCGCGGCGCATGCTTGAAAGTGGTGTCCTGGTGTCCGATGTCCTGGGAACCACAGATAAGGTGGCTGTCGATTTGTTCTTCCGCCCCCGTCGAGCGACGGACAAATTCGACTGTGCGTCGTGGGCATGCGAAGTCTCGCGAAGTTTTGATAACGACATCTTTGTCCGTCTGGCTTCGGCCTATTTGCTTACACACATGATGCGAGTGAGTTGGAAAAGTTCAGAATTACATCCCAGTTCACAAACTGACAAGAATTTCCATAGTGGCTGCTGGTCCCTACGCTGGAACATTACCAGAAACTCCCGGACATGATGAAACCGACACCGGCACAATGCATGGTCCCGCACATCGGCGCGATCGAAACAATACCATTGTAAGTGGGCTCGCTTTCTTGTGGCGCCATCGTTTTTGCTGAGAAAATGCTAATATGAATCTCAGACCCCCCGTCCGAGATGCCGCAATCCACAAACTGCGGGACTGGCTCACGCCTCTGATCCAGGCGGAATGGGGTGTTAACTGGCCTCACACTCTCGACTCGGCTGTTGAGCAGGACGCATTGACGGGGGCCACCGTCTTAACCCAGAGGTTCATCGACCATGTGGTCATTTACGATCACTGGAGTGTTGGGTCTCGCTTCTTGAACAGCTTTCCCGAGGTGGCAGGCAGAATCCGGATCCACGAATTGGGGTAACACACCATAACGGGGACTCTGCGAATTTTGGAGTGGCTTGTTGTCCACATTGTCCACGTACAGCCTACAAGTGCATGCTGGGGGTGGTCGCCGAGAGCAAAGAGCCGCGTGTGGTCTTTCTTGCAAGTCGCCACCCGCCACGTGGCAGACGTGGTACTTGTAGTCAACCTCGGACTCGAGATCATCGATTTGACTGTCTACCTTGTACAAAATGACAGCGACTCGAATCTGAGCAGCAACGAGTCGAGTTCAATCAAGTCGAGTCGAGGCGTGTTAAGTTGTCGAACAAACCCAAGCCCGGAACTTATATCCAGTCTAGTCGGGGATGCTTGCTGCCGAACCCGGTTTTTCCTCCCCAAGACCAAGGCGGACCGAGCTGGAAAGGGCCAGGACCATACAGACGGAGGGACAGGACACGGGCACGATTGGAACAGGAAGAAAACGGCGAGGGAGCCAGGCTAGGGCATGCCAGGCCAGGCCAGTCCAGGTCAGCCCAGCCCTGCCTAGCCCTGTAACGGGAATGGTATACCAGGTATACTCGTACTAGGGAAGGGATGGAATGGATGGAACTTGCCGGGTCCAAACAAACAGGCGAAAAGCCAAGGCGACAGCGATGGGAGGTCTGCGGCTTACCCCAGATACAAGGACCAGTATGATTACGAGAACGGGAATCTTCGATGAGAGTATCATGCGATGGAAACGATGGTCATGAGACACACGAGAGTCCCCTTTACGTTGAGGCCTTTTAAGGGGGAAGGGGGCACCATTTCCTGGATCGGAGACTGGACTGGACTGGCTGGACTTGACCGGACTCTGAGGAATTGTCTTGGTATTCAAAACAGTTGAATGATGGATAAGACGATGGGATGATGAGACGATGGGAATGATCGGATGATCGGATGACAGCACGGTCGAGGACGAAACATGATGGACTGATGTTTTTCTTTCTTTCTGCAGAGACCAAAGAGATGAACCGAGAAGGAGACAGACGAGAGTAGAGTGGAGCCTTGGTCCTCATGACTCGGACTCTGGACGACGAGATACGAGTACCCATCCATGATGGTGAACAAGCAACGACAAACCTGAGACAAGAGATACAAGGTACTCGTCCTTGTCCTTGTCCTCGTACAGGCAGGAGAACACGAGGGCATGAGGCGTAGTTGATTGATGATCATCTGACCTGCCGAAGCCCAAGTCGAAGCCCGGGCTGGCACGGCTGGGTCGGGGTGGTCGGGTCGGGTCACCTGACCTAGTCTGTATTCCTCTGATGAGGCCACGAGTCATCAGAGGACGAGGCTAGACTCCCTTTTACTTGTACAAGTGCTTGTACATACCTCGTACTTGGACAGAGGACGTCCATAGTGTCTCGGTCCTACCTGGCTACCTACCTAGCTTCTCAATTCGTCCTAGCTCATCCTTCTTTCTTTTGGCCTCTACTTGTTCTTTGGTTTTGCTTGTACTCGTGTCGCCCTATACCGAAGTGGCCGGGCCCCGAGTCATATACCTTGATTTCATTGGCGCTGCGCCACAGACAGAGCGGGCCGGCTCTTTCCTGGTAAGGGTTTGAAGGGTTTTTAAGTTGGTGGTGGCGAAAAAAGTGGCGAGTGTTATCGGAGGACGCGAGAAGAAGAAGAAAAGAAAATATGAAAGGGGTTAACAAGGGAAAGGAGAAAAAGAAAAGGACGAAAAAGGACGAAAAGATGGTGGGATGAGAGTGAACGAAAGGAAGGGATGGGAAATGAGTTGAGTGAGGACTTGCGATTGAGGGTAGGATCAGAGTAACGGTAATAGTACCACAGAGGTAATCAATGGGAAGCACGAGCATTTGCTGCACAATGTATCTCGTACCTGCAGGGAGAGATAGAGAGGCGCGGTACCAGGAGAGAGTACGACTACGGCACCAGGAGCCAGACACCAAGCACCCGCGCAGTGTCTTTGTCTCGCCGCGGAGGTACCAGTACAAGTATTCAGTGCTCAGTACTTACCTGATGCTCTAAGTAGGTACCATGCGAGCTGCTCGTGGCCAAGTCCCCTCACACATGTACTCGGTACGAGGTACAGGGAGGCGATACGAGGTCAGGTACCTCGCACTCTGGAGAAAGGTGTGATACGAGCGAGTCCCGAGTCCTCGGTACCGCACCCCCGGGAAGGTTTCGAGGCGTCAGCAGTTGCCGCGGGTGCCGCGTACGAGTTCTTGGACAAGTACCTCGTAGAAAAAGCACTGCTGCCTGGACCACTACTCCTAATCGTACTCGTAGGCTGGGCTGACGCCTTGTTTTGCCTAGGCACGTGCCTAGCGAGCCTAGTAGCCTAGTAGCCTAGGTACAAGCACTAGGTAGGTATACGAGGTCTTTTTTTTAAGTCATACCGAGTACTCGTAGCCACTAGGTAGCCACCTACTAGCCACTATGAGTACGAGGTGTGTAGTCAGCACTGTTGTCACCAGGTACAGGTAGCCTCGTATGAAGGGCGAGGACCAAAAAGTGTAATTCACTGGTGGCGACCTGTAAACCGAGAATTACTACTGACTGTAGGTACGCAGGTACGGCAACTCGTGGCCTCACTACTCTTGGCTTCTCCGTCCCCGCTCCGAGAGGCTTGGGGACGCTTTTGTTCTGCTCTGCCTTGTGCGTGCCACACAGCCTTGGCTTTTTCTTAATCCCCCAAAGAGGCACAGCCTGGCCTTTACACGGGCTGAACTCGCTAGAACTTAGTTACTCATCCAGCCATTCGCCACGACGACGTCGTCAATGACTCGCGAGGTTAGTGAAAATCTGTACTTGCCTAATACTGCTACGCGCACTCGTAGGTACCAACGGTCTGTGGGGGGGGCGGGAAGGACCATTTCTGCCTTGTCGAGCAAAGTCGGTACATCGAAGTACCTCGTATCTGGCTGTCTGGCTGTCTGCCTATCCCATTTGCTTACCTTAGCTTGGGCTTCTACTTGTCCTTGTCCACGCTAGCACATTAGTTACCTACATAGGTACCTACTGGTACTGGTGTCCACCGGTCTGCCTGTACCTGTACCTTTAATCTGTACTTGTACTCGATACCAGGCCCTAACCACGGCTATCCGGCTACCCTACAAGGACTCGTACAAGTAGTGACTCACTCACGCTCAGAAGGGCCAAGGCGTAGAAGAGTACCTACCTGCCTACCTGCCTACCTGCAAGGCACACTGCACTACCGAGTACACTACCAAGTACACTACCAAGTACACTACCGAGTTTGTTCGTATACCTCCAAGTCCAGGTATCTCCGGGTACCTCCGGGCCTCTGGGTCTGGCGTGCCCCGGTGCCCGAACTGTGCCTGACTGCCTGAGTGCCTGGCTCCCTGCCCCGGCACCTCATCGGCCGAGTCTTTGTTATGCATTGCATCGACGAGATCGAGATGACGATGACGACGACGACAACGTCGATATCGACATCGACCACTACCACTACCATCGCTGGGACGGGGGCAAGGACAATTACGCTCCGTTTATGTTACGTACATACCTCTCTCATATACATACACCCGTATACAGAGGAACCGTGTCTCTCAGACCAAATCTCACTCTCACTCTCGGTTTAATTTCAATACCGGTTCACTTGTAAATTAAATCAGATCAGATAATTGTCATTGTTTCCTCCACCATTCTCAAACCAGGAGAGAGGGTAGAGCACAAAGTACCTAGGTATGTATCTATCTATCTCAGATAGCCTCGCCAAGCCACGACGAGTCGATCGCCGTGACGTTCCAACAAGAATATTAGGAGGGGGAGTAGTGAGTGGCGGTGGCAATAATGGTGGCAATGTCGTAGTAGTAGAGGGCTTCATGGTGCAAAAGTACAATGAAAGAAACTTGCGTGGTGCGCGTGCGCGTGCGCATGCGCATGCGTGTGCGTAATGCGTATGAGCCTGCGTGGCGATGGTATCGTGGTATCTTGCAAAGACAAAAATGACGGAGCAGCGACGATATTGTTCCCGCCCTAACCTCTGACTCCTCCTTTCCCATGGAAATCCTTCCCTGTGTCATGTGTGCGTATGAGTGTGTCTGTGTGACTGTGTGTGAGTAATAGTGTCGTAATGTATTATTCCTTATTCCCTTTGCAGGTTCACCAACGCCGGCTCGACCGAACAAGAAACCTCCCAGGCAATTAGGTACGCTTCAGCCGACGCCACTGCCAGGCATCCGGCTCTGCATGTGGTAGATCGCCTGCGGTGGCAAACTGCGTAGCAGGTTCTGGAGGCGATGGATCTCGGCAGCCTGGCGGCGGATAAATTCCTCTTTCTGTCGCAGCTCATCCCTGAGATGTTGGATCAACTGGCTCTCGGCGCTTCCGACAATGTTGTCAATAGGAGTGGATGCCACCTCGCTGCCCACTTGTAGATGTTGTTGTTGTTGCTGCTGCTGCTGAGGCTGTACATGCTGCCCCTGCACCGACCCTGGCATGTCTGTAGCCGTCGAGATCCTCCGTCGCTTGACTGCGGGCTCTTGGACCATGGTCGAGCTCGACGCCGTGCCCACAACAGGCTGCGAGGCCGCGTCGCCTGGGCCGTGATCGGACAACTCCTCCAAGTGTCTGCGCCGTTTGTGCTCCTCGAGGTTTTCCTTCCTGGTGAAGCCGGTGCCTGAGCTCCGGTTACAGTTGGGAAACGGACAGAACAGCGGCTGCTTGGTCGACAGGTGCATTTTGTGAACTTCCCTTTGGTGCCTCAGGAGCCCGCCCGAGTAGGTAAATCCGGGATTGAGTTCGCAGCCGGCCTCTCGACACTTGTAAGGCCTCTCGTGTCTGTCCATGTGCTTGTTCCATTCGCAGACGCGTTTGAATGTTTGGTTTTTGCCACGACAGTTAATGTGGTCGCATACCATCTGGCCGTGCTCGTTGCGGGGCGGTGATCTGGTGCGACGGAAGGCTCCCTGAATCTTGACGGATGTGACGGATGGTTCCGGCAGCGAAGAGATCATCTCCTCTGCCATGATGGTGATGTGCGCTTTCTTCTGGTCCGGAGTGGATGTGGATATCGATGTGTATGTCGTTGTATCGTAGTCGCTTGGAGGCGAGACTGGATAGTTATCTCTCATAATCATGATGGTCGGTGGTTGGATAGGAGATGTGAGATGGTAATGCTGAAGCTGATGCCGATGAGGGTGAAAGTGATAGTGATGGTGATGCTGAGCTGGACACTGGGCGCGATGACAGTTCAAGCGAGCGACATGGCAGAAAGTACCTTGAATCGCCTGGAGATATAGTGTGGAAGATGGCTTGACAACACGCTCTGTTGCCTGCAAGGCTGTGCAACATGATGATTCGAAAATCAGGTATGCCTCACCAGGTTAAGTATCTGGCCTTTTGGAAATAGTAGACGCGCGAACGCGAGCTTGTCCCAGGACCGTGGCTTCCAGTAGCAAATCATGCGCCACACTGCGGCGAGATCATAGCGACCAAGAGGGGGGGTGTGTGGAGGGGGGAGGGGAGTGTTGGCGCAACCTGCATTTTATAGCACTAAGCTTCTATCAACCCATACAAGTTACAAGTACAGCTGACCTGCATGCCTGACGGGAACTTGTCGTGGGTGCCTGGAACCAGGGTTGTGTGTCGAGGTGCGAAGAGCAACTCCCAACCGGGGAGGAGGGGTGGGCATGATGATGTCTCCATATTTGGCTAATCCACATGACTATTACGAGTCGCCGTCGCGTTTCCAAGAAGGAATCCTCTTGTCCCCCAAGTGATGACTCATTTCATTGGGCAGCTCCTTGGGGGCAAAGGAATGGCTCACGATGGTTCAAAAATGGCCATGGCACGGATTGACAAAAGGCAAAAAAAAGAAAGAGAAGTAGTAGTTGGCCATGAGGGAGCAAAAGTTCCCCGACTCACCGTGCAGGCATTTACCCTCTGGCGTTTCCTAAACATCTGTCCGTCCCTCTCCCCCAAAAGTTCCACGCCTCGCTAACAACAGGCCACCATCGCCTCCTCTCGCTCGCTTCTCTTCTCCTCCTTTCTCAGACACTCGAACAGACCACATCCACCCAGATTTGCCACGAAAAATAAAAAGTCGGGACATACCGAGGTCTGGCAAACCAGAGGCAAACAAACCATCTGCTGTTACGACGCCTTGGCAAGGCGATTGGTGGGTGGGTGGTGGTGGTGCGACATGACCATGGCGACACGGTACCTCCAAACCTGAGGAGATTTGGGTTCGAGGGGGAGAAGAGGCTGGAGGCTGGATGCTTCCACCAATCGCACGAAAAAGGAAAATCAAGCTATATTTGAGAGGTGTATTCGTAACCATAATGAAGTATGGCTGATTCGCCCCAGATGAAGGAATCCAGATCTTACTCAGGACGACAAAGTGACGGCACCAACGGAACTCCCTCTTTCTCCGTCTCTCTCTTCCTCTCGAAAAGCTCCGTTCCCAGCAAAGCTCAGCTTATGTACGAAATCGGGGCCAACGAGGCGCAGCCCTGCTGATCCGCTCGCCGAAAGGAAGGCTGTCAGCCCGGCCCCTGTAACAAGTACGGAACATATAAAGACTGGCGCATGACCCCCAAAGAGACCAACCCCCGGTCGGTCATAGCGAACGGCCGCACACCCCCTCCTCTTCTCATCGAGGCCGTCAAGGGACCCAAAGAAATGTCAGCGGACTCGATCAAGTAGTCAAAGAGTTTGGGCGGTTGCACATGAAACAAAAAGTTGGAACGACGTTGCGATATCCTCCTATCCGATCATGCACCTAAGAGCGACACCCCGGTCTGACGTTACGGCATTCCAGCACCCGCCGATGAATGATGCGTGTTTAGTTGCAGGTTTGGCAAAAACGCCACCATGATGTGGCTGATCGCTTCGGCTTGCGCGGCTAAAATCGAGCATTTGTCTTTGAACTCTCGAGGTTTTTGGTCTGCGAGGTACATTATTTCCAAGCACCACGTTTGATTTGGAATACCCCAAGCAAGATGCGTTGACAAAACGGACAATATTCCTCTCTCAAAGTTTACTTGATAACGTCACAAATGTCGTGTGAGACAAGTGACCAGACGGCTAAATATAGCCGTCGCTCCCTCCGCGTTGTCCCCATTGCCTTCCTCCCCTACAATACGTAATGCGACTGGCGGAGATCCGGTTGGTGGCTAATAGACCAAATCCAATTGTTCTCCTCCAAAGCCTTTTCGCCATCTCTCTTACTCGCATTGATCTACTGTGTACACGGCTTCTCCGTGGTGAACCAGTCTCGCAGCAACGCAGCAACGGGCCTGTGCCCAAGCAACCTGAGAGAAAATGAACCTTGTCGGCCCACCAAACGACCGGTATCCTGTGTGGCTTCAATCTAATGCCTCGTTTTTATCCTTTCCGAAATCAATATGTGTGGCAGTTTGATAGACGCTGAAAGATCCCTCAAGTCATGGCTGATAGATCGCGATCAGCACGCCGCGCGCAGACAGGAGGCCATGCAGGACATGCAAGAAGAGATGCAGCTAGCTATACATGTAAGGTACGAGTGTTGGGGATTTTCGATTTACCCTTTGGTGTGTCCTGCGTCGCAGCATCTGCACCCCATTCATTGCCTCGAGGTGCGACAAATGATAACGGAGAAGCAGTGGGTGATTCTACGCATCCAGGATGGCGAAAGACATGTGGGCTTTTCGCTGACGTGTTGGACCATCGACACCTTGTTGATTAATGCAATATACGCCAAGTGGCACGACCTTGAGATGGACATCTCTGGCATAACCTGTCGTTCAACCCTCAGTGGCGCAGTGCGAGGAGCAACACTTCCACCGGGCGGAGCGTCCATTCGGACCACACTTCCAAAGTAGGAATTATCCGCTTGTTTGAGCCCTTCCTATCACACTGTGCCACGCTGGACTTCTCGGCTCCCATTCGGTTGAGGGGAGTGAAACCCAATGGGAAGCAGATTCAGCTTGGGATACCCCTGAGTCTTCGACAAGCGAGTGGCTGCTCTCATCTCCTGCCTTGGTTTGCTTGGCCGATCACTTCTTGACACATGTAAGGGCAAGGCAGCAAATCCTCCATCGAACCAATAACTTGTGTTACACAAACCGTCGGTCAGTCGGTAACCAATTGGAGTAGGGAGCCCAATGCTTGCGACAGGCGAATCACCGACGTGCGTGAAACTGCGCTGCCGGTGCATGACTCGAAGGTCTGGTTGACAGCCCGACCTTTGCAAAAGGGCTTGGTGACGATGACAGACGCCATACTTGACCGGCAATATCACAATGAACTAAGGAACAGTGATGCCACTCGGTCTGCCGTGGCTGTGGCTGCATGTCGAAACCCAAGTCGGGCACGAGACATAAAGTACCGGACAGAATCCCATAGTCCTTAGTCCCGTACGACTATATCAGCATCAGAATTACGTGTCGATGACGACCGAGACCGGGAAAAGTGCCCGAGACTTTTCGTGCGCATACGTGGATCCAGTTCGTCACGATAGGAAATCAGGTACCGTAGACGAGATGCAGTTGTGCCTGTCCGCGTGGCTCAATCTGTGCTTGAATCCAGTCCACTGTTCGAAATCATCGTCATCTGTCAGTCACTCCTTAAAATGAAGCGTAAACATGCACTGACTGTCATTGCGCAAGTGTCTGGGGCGCTGGAGTGCGTCCATATGAGGCAGTAATGTTTGCATTTCGGGCGGGTGCCAAAAAGAAATGGACCGCCAATGAACAAGACAAAAGTTCGTTCCAAAAGCCCGACTACACACCGAGCCACACTAGACCAAAAGTCATAGCACCCTTCACAGCTCCTTCATACGTGAGTGAGAACTTGCTGGACGCGAGGATACACATGCACGAGCCGCTCCCAGAACTCGGGATGATCCGTCATGGCAACTTGGGGATCCCAAGCCATTGCCACAAAGATGGTGTCGACTCCCGATCCAACCGGGGTCGTAAAAGTCTGGCATATCTGCAGACCGATGAGGAACGCAAATGCCATGATGACGGGGGTGAAAGTGCGCCCGTCGTTGTATGCCGGATGGGTGTATTCCAGGTATAGGTAAGCCAGCAGTGCCGAGACGTATGCCACGAAGATGCTTCCCATAGTCAGGACAGGGCCCACTAGGCAGTCGTTGACCAGGGCATCGATGCCACGATCTTTCATCATTGTCCACGTATCTTTGGCTGCCGGGATGTATGCCTTGCCGTATAGTGCAATGTGAGAGAACGCGTACCGGTTGATGAATTGGACAAGCCAGTCTAAAAGGCTGATGAAGCAGCCAAGAATGCAGAACATGATGGTTCCAATGATGTTACCGTCTGCGGCTTCATGTTGCTGGGCAATACTGCAGGCTTGTCGGAGCATGTTGATCAGTGCAACGATCAGACTACCAAACGAGATGGAGCCAAAAGAGTACGTCGTTGCCCGCCTCAGAGCTCCAGCGGTTGCGCCTCGAGGAATACCACCTGGCTTGCCGGCGCAGAAATACCACGAACCGTAGACGCCGGCAATGGTGGTGTGAATAGTGTTCTTGAGCCATTCTGTGATCCAGTAAGCCGCAAAGGTCACAAAAACCACGAGCCCGATAACCTTGCCGCTCGAGCAGCCCGCAGCTGGACATGACGGATTGGCAGTGCTGCCAGCATCGCTCGGCATGTAGGATGTGTAAATTGCAACCAGAGTGACAGAAAACCATGCTGCGAATGCCACACTAGCGATGCCGCCGATAAAGCTGACCAAGAATACGTGTACTCGCTTCATTCGTGCAATGACCATTGTCTGTTGTAGCATCACCACGGCGAAAGGAATGCGCGGGATCCAGCTGATGAAGCAAATGACGGCAAAGACAGCAAAGATGGCGAAAACAATGCCTGCACCCCACAGGCGTCGATACAGGTAGTAAACAGCGGTGCCAATTGCCAAGGCACAGTTGAGGATACCGGTCAGCCAGACGAATTGTTTTGTGAAGGCGCGAGCAGCGAGGAAGTAGGCCCAGGAGAAGACGAGTCCAACGCATAGGATAAAGGCGAAGAGCACAATGGTATTAGTGTCTAGGGAACTGCAAAAAGCCGTCAGTATGTGGACAGAGAGTGGCACCTTCAACCAGATCTCTCAGAAGACGACAACAGCTTACAAGTCGTTTGACGATCCATAAATCCCTCCTCCATTGAAACTCTGGTATTTAGAGTAGCGGTACAAAGTGAGTCCCGAAACGGCGACAAATCCGCAGAAGGTTGCGATGAGCTATAGCTTGTGAGCCTCGGGTTTCCGCAACAGCATAGAATATTGGAGTCCTCACTAGTAATCCCGCCCAGACATCGTGAAATTTAGGTTTAGGGATCTTGAACGTCTGCTGAAAGGTCTGTTTGTCATCTTGAGGAGGGATGAAGTTGTCGCCGTAAGTGGGAGGAGCAACGCCATACTTGGGTTCTTGCGGTTGGTATGGTTGCTGAGGGGGTGGATAATGCTGAGGCGGCGCATTATTGGGAGGAGGATATTGCTGATAGTTCTGCTGTTGATATGGAGTGCCGCCCATGGTCTGATTGTAGTAATCGGCGGCTTGTCCTTGGTGTGCCATGATTGCGACGCGTTCTTGACAGTCTTGTCAACTTGAACTGGGCGGCAACGCGCTCAGCGTGCACTCTGCACAGGCGCGCGACTTGCTTTTGGTGATACGAAGCACCAAGATCAATGCGCGACGATGAATATAGGATGGGAATGGAGATGAAAATGCTGACGAGAGCCAAACCCAGAATTGAAAGGAGGGATGAAACCGATGAAACAGATGAATGAGAAGTAGTGTGTACTCGTATGATGACGATGTTTGTGTCTATTGGCACCCGTAGCACATGTACCTACTGGAACAATTTGTGTTTTCAGCTTGGAAGGGTTGGCGAGGCGCAAGCTCGTGGAGCCCGCAGGGCAGAAGAAAGCGGGCTATTGGATGATGGCACCTAGCATCTGGCGACCCATTTCGCTAGCGACGCCATCGGATGAGCTTAAATCTGGTCGCTTGGGGCGTCCATCCAGTTAAAGTCCGCCTGTAATCCGCCCGGAGCACCACCACCAGCCACAGCTTCTCAGAGATTAATGCCCTCGGTCTGACCGAAAGGAGCTTGCCACTTTCTTCGTGTAATTACGCCTATGGTAGCCGTGGCTGCCCTATATCAATGCACCTAATCCACGCTGTCAGACAGGCAACCAACTCCAACCACAAACGCCACGTCAGAATCGCTCACTTTGTCATCATCGTTACTGTATCGAGTATTTGGCCTTGTCGTCATGATCTCATGTCCTCCTCTCCTCCTCCCTACTGGTGCCGCTACCAGGGTTATCTGCCCTACCACCTACACCGACAAGTTCTCCTGCGGTACCCAAACCAATCAGCGACATGGGTTCAAGAGAGACCTTTTGTGTGTTGATTATGCGTATCGGATATCGTCTATCCATGCTGCCTACTTGCCCACCTAGTATTGACTGGTGGCTCATCAACTCCAACACAACCCTTTAATATTTTTTGATGGTCTTCTGGTTTCGATGTCGATGTTGTCGGTCACTCGATCTGTCAGCCTCTGACCATGCCTCTGATGGTGTCCATCCAGTATCTCTTCTTTGCCTCTGTGGCCGCTTCTTGTATTCCAGCATCGACGTTGCTCTTGATCTTCAACCTCGTGTGGATATCGCTCTTCCCAAGGACATCTGTCCATCAGCGTCTCAAAAGGGTACCAGGGTTCCGGTCGAGGACGGTTTTCATCACCGGGGTCAACACGCCTCACGGGCTGAGACTGGCTAGGGCATTTCATAGCACAGGTCATAAAGTTGTTGGCGCTGACTACGAGCCTGATGGATTCCCTATCCACGTGCGCTTCTCCAATGCATTGAGCCGCTTCTACCGCCTCCCATCCCAATCCGACGATAGCCGCCACGTTGAGTACATCGCGTGTTTGGTCCGCATCATTGAGCAAGAACATGCTGATCTTTGGATCAACTGCACAGGCAGTGCAGATCCTAGCACTGAGGCGCAGGCGAGAAGTGTTATAGAGCAAAACAGCCAGTGCGAATGTTTCGCCCTCCGGGTGAATGATGTCCCCTATTTCGCGACAAGGGAAGCATTTCTCTTATACATGGCCAGCCAAGGACTACCGGTACCGGAAACACACCATGTCAAATCACGAGACGAGGTACACAATGTGCTTAACCAAGCGCGAGGAAGACGCAAGTACTTGCTTCATAATTTGGACCAAAATGGGATTCCTGCCAGCTCCGCCCGGGCTGTGCTTCCACGGAGGACGCTTAGCCAAACATACAATACAGTATCCCAGATGGCCATTACGACCACGATGCCCTGGAAGCTGGAACAAGACGTGGACGAACTGGAGAGATACCACACCTTTGCCATCATTGTCAGAGGCTCTCTCAGAGCCTTTGCTGCCAGCCGGTTGAGACATCCTGGCTGCTACCAGCTCTTGGAGCCGAAATCCGCCCTCAGTATGGCGATGCTGCGGTTTGTTCACACATTCGCGAGCAATCAAGGTCATGACTTCACCACCCACTTGGGGATCGACTTCTGTGTTGAAGAGCAGGTTACAGAATCTGGAGTGGCTCAGATCATTCTCCCAATCCAGGTCTGTGTCAAAGCCCAGGCTGCGGCGCAATTGTTTCAGGGGCTGGGCGGTTCGGTCCAACTGACTCGAGCCTATCTCGAATGTTTAAATGCAGATCAAGTCAACACTGACAAGCAAGTGACGAGGCCAGCTTATGCAGCGGCTCAGCCCATGCCAAAGGAAAATGGCGTAGCGACGCCGGACTCGAAGATACATGGAACGTACTGCTTTGGCCAGGATCTTCTGCGGTTGTGCTTTGAACCGCTCCTCAGCCTGGTCACCTTGAAGATCGGTGTTATTGATTATGTGCGACAGTTGATCCAGTTTTCCGGCCACTTGATCCTCTGGCAAGATGACTTATACGACTTTCAGGATCCGGTGCCCTTCTGGTGGTCTTACCAAGTCTTTATCCCATTGCGATTTGTCAAGACTGCTGTGGCATGGACGCATGACTGTCCTTGATAAGTGGTGGAGATGTGATTCGGCGGACATCGCTGGGCGATTCTCAGGTGTCCGGAACGCGTCTATCACACGAGCGACAGGAGCAATGACATTCCGAGATTTCGACACGAGAGAAGTCCTTGCGTCCAAAATGATCCATGGATGTGCCACAAGGTCTGATCTTTCTCCGCTTCTGCTCTGGAATCTTCGTTCCACTAAGGTGCAACTGCTACATCGCCGAGTTACCAGTGAGTAGTCACCCCTTTCTGATAATCTGGTCCATTTCCCAACAAATACCTAATGGAAGTTGCCACCGGGCTGAGAGTCACCGCGTCTCAATCTGGATTCAGGAAGACTCGATTCATTGGAGGTTGATCCCCGTCCATGAAACCCGAATGGCATGAGCCATGGTCGAGCACAGCTAGCAGCTTTTGCTGAAAAGGAGGCGGGCATCGGCTAGGTGGTTGATTTCACGTCTGTGGAATGCGGACTCAGGCTCGGACAGCAATGAACTTGACAAATCACCTTGGTGATCCCATGTGCAAGATTGAAAGACCCGCTACATACGATACTCGTACTTTTGCACCATCTTTCGCGGATGAGGGTGGTCTTCCCAGTGGCCGTATTTGTGAGAATCGGGCTTTGTGGAAAATTGTGGCTGGCTGAAGTGGTCGGTTTCACGTCAAACCTACAGCACGATGGGAAAATCCGACACTTGTAGCAAGGTTACAAGCGAAGAGAACTCGGGTTGTGCCGTCCCATGTCCTTTCTTTATAGGGAAGCCCAGGCGAGCAAAGGTCGTTTTCTTGATGGACCCGAGCTGAAAGGGGCATGAGGAACAGCGTCCAGTTTCGTGATGGGCTAGCGTGGGGTGTCCCAAGCGACCGCTTTCTCATTTCAGCGATGTGCTAGCGAGGCTGATTCGGCTGCAAAACGATGGCGTCCATTTCTACCGTCTACCCACCCCGTCTACCCACCCGAGCAGATTTCCAGCACGAAAACATGGGCGAAAGCCGTGGCTGGCACCCTGGAGAAGTCGCCTTCCTGGACACCGATTGCAAACCAAAAGCAACCCCTGCTCGAACAAGGATTTATGAAGCGATTGACACGGACTGCAGATGGTCCACTGACACTAACACTTGAACGGTCTTTGTCAAAGGGTCGGCGTGAGCGATGCGAGACAACAATGTCCCTCGATACTGATACACTTATCCACTTGAGCACGCCTCTAGAGCGGAGGTCATGGACAGGATTCTAGGAAGTGCATGGAGTCTGTGACTCGGATCAGTTGAGATTCCGTCAGGCGTCAAGGACGGCATTGACAGAAGCCAGGGTGAGGGGAGATCCCAATTTTGGTGCCCTTCAGCTGCAAAGTCAGCAACTTGATGTGAGCACAAGGAGTCGGCGAACTGCGAGTACCTTCTCAACCATTGCGTGATCTCTTACCCACTCCGCCACTCTCGAGAGCTTCCTCCTGCTCAAACCTGTTCAATCAAGGGGCAACCAAGCACACCCCTTGAACCATGAGAGGACCCTATATCGCACTGGCATCAACCCCGGCTAGGGAGTGCCGAAACCCCAGGAAATGACACCAACTCACCTAGAGAAAACCTGGAGTTCGATCCCCAGCTGCCACTACTGAGACCTTTGTGAATGCACTGGCACCCTTCTGGAAAGGGGTGGTGCTCAAGACCGGCGGCGTCTGGGCGATGGGTGGTGGTGTCCTCACTAATGGGGGTTGAAACGGGCGCCACGGTTGGTCGGCTGGCGGGCTCACTCCGTCTTTGCACTTTGTGGAGAGTCTGGACCTGCGCCGAGAGCGCCGAGGACGGCCTCCTTGCATGCTATCCAGGCTATCGTGCTTCGCAGAAAGCGGTCATCTGCAGGAATAGACGATGCTACCCCGCAAAACTGTTGCGGCCCCATGGGACGGAGGGTGGAGCGGAAAAAGCAAATTTGGTGGCGGTGAGTCCGTTGCCGTGTCAAATGACGGAGGCGGCGAGGAGTGAACTACGTAAACACTGGAAAAAGGGGGTGAGGGAGTTTGGACGTACGAAGTAGGTCTTTGAAGGGGAGGAGAAAATACAAACAAGATAGTAATAGTGACAAGTGACCAACAAGGACCTCGATCGATTCTGTTTCTTCGCCCACGTTGAAAGGGGGGGAGGATGGCTCGGAACTAAGGCAGGAAGCGGCCCTTTTGAGGGGTTTCAAAATCAGGTTATGAACACGAACTTCGGCGTGCACATCCGGGGCCAGGCTCGCTCTCATTTCGTAACGATCTGTGTGACCAGCAGTGACCGACCTATGTAGGTGACTAGTGACCAAGTGACCAGGGAGCAAGGAGCAAGGTGCAAAGAGCAAGCGAGGGGGCTGGAAACTAATGGGGCGCAAAGAAATTAATCATGGTGGGAAAGGCAAGGTGATGGTGTCGAACGTAGGCAGACAGGTAGGTAGGTAGGTATACGTGTTCAGCCGTGGCTTTGAATCTTTGACAGAGTAGCGAGTAAAGGGGGCGAGGGGGTTGAGCGAGTGAGTCATGCGCAAGACATCTCGCAAGGCAAGAGAAGAGAGAGAAGACTGTAGGAGCACCAGGAGGGTGTGCAGGCTGTATGTGCGTGGAGGTTCTCAGCAGCCTGCTTTGCCTACCACCAGGCATCAAATGATAGTGGGATGGAAATGGTGGTGCATTGCGAGGCTGGCAGCTGGCGAGGCGAGAGGATGAGTACCTCGTACATGACTTGATGAGTTGATGACAATGGGAATGGAAATGAGATGTACATGGATCTCAGAGCCTCTACAGTACTACGAGGTTACTCAGAAACCAAGTACGAGGTATGTACCGAGTCCTGTAGATGCAACCTCTTTCAAACTGCAACGTACTTTTTCTTTTCCTCCTCGTGCAGGCTCCCCACCCCGCAGGCCCAAACATTATTTATTTGGGGTCTCCGCGGGGTCCCTTACCTACTCCGTACTTGCCCAGCACCGTGGCAGCCCAAGCAGCCCAGCAGCCTAGCTCGCTAGGTACCCAGGTGATAGGTCCGATACAGGCAGGACTTGGCTTCTGACAGACTCCGTATGCACCTCGTAGCTCGCGCGTACTCCGCACCTTTTATGCCTATGTCACATCGCCTACAGGACGTAGGTACGTATGTACACATGTAGGTTCTTCACTCCACAGACTCAACGACGTGCAAGGTACAGGGCACAAAGGCACGATAGGGATAAAACGTACCCATGTACCCATCCAGTCCCTTGTATGTGCATACTGTACGTAGGTGGCGGGCGTAGGCAGGTAGATACAAACTTCCCTCTGCCGCCAGCCCCCCTCTCCTTCGGACTCCGAGCAGCATCGATGCATGCAGATAGATGCACATCGTCCACGTAGATGGGCCGAAATAATACCTGTTCTAACACGCTAGGTACGGGGATACTCGATAGAAAAGGTTCCATGAGACGGGAAACTTGTGGAGCATAAGAATTCTTCGGATGACCATATTGTTGTATTACCCGTTGTATCTACAAACCTACTCTCCGTCGGTAATGGCGCTCCTCCTGATACCTCGTCGTTTAGAACTCGACCATGTTTTCCCTGTTTTTTTTGCCCCCCCTCCCCCCGTTTCGAAACTCAGTTGCGCGCGTCCGTGTGTGTCTCTTTCTGTGTGTACCTCGTGCGTTGGATGCCGTTTGCCCGTTTCGTCGCTCGTGCTCGTGTTTTCTCTAGCCGTGTGTGTTTGTGTGGGTACCTTACCTATGTACCTACTCGGTACATGGGATGGGCGATTGTTTTGTGTCTCGAGTGGAGAAATTGGACTGGCCGGTAGCTCTAAATGTACAAAGTACTCGTCGCGCGGGAAATCATTTTCCTACAACGAGTAAGAGAGAAAGAGTACGAGCGACCAGTGGCCTCCTGCTTGCTGCTTGTGCCCCTGTGCCCCATCCATCCATCTATCCCTTGCATTTCGCGGTATCCATACAGACATATGTACTTACCTACCAAGGTATATGTCCCTGCACCTGCACCTGCATCTGCAAGCATCGAGAATATCCTCCCTCACGCAGGGGAAGAAAGCGATGGCGCGATCGATCAGGCGGTCAATAATGCAAGGGGAGGGAGGGAGGGAGGGAGGGGAGAGGAGTAGTCACCAGGATGCACGTATGGACGGACAGCCAGAGATGGAGACCAAGCAAGTGACAATAATGAAGTCAAAAGTAGTTGACCCAACTTGTTTTTGTGGGGGAGTAGTTCCCAAAGCAGCAAGCCCATGGTCACTGTACGGGGTCACTGGGGGCACAAGGGTGACAAGAACCAGAAAAACAAAAGCTCCAGGCGAGATTTTGAGTTTCTGCAGCGTGGCTCAGAGACCAACAATGGGGGATAGGTATGGGAACCAAGCCTCGCTCTCCGCAGAAAAATGACACGACGAGGGGGGATAGTCTGGCTCTTCGTGCCCAGCGGAGAAAGTATCCACAGCATTTTGCCAGTGCAAAGTGGAGAGGCGACGGATAGCCCGGCGGGAGGGTAGATCCAGAGGTGGGCGAAGCAGTAAGATTGATGGGGAGATAACAAGAGATGAGATTGAGCAAGCCATGTAGAAAGTAGCTTGGAGGGCACAGGAGAGACAATAATCGTGTCTTGGTCAATCTCGTTGTTTCTGTCAGAGGCCTCGGGTCGCCAACTCAATGGCTCCAAAGATCCCGTATGGTAATGCTAGAGTAGAACTATTTCTCCGCCATTTTGGTTTGATGAATCGACAAATCATGACAAAGGAAAAACAGTGAGGAGGCGAGTGCTGTGCTCCTGATCCATCGATTTCCTGCCAAATGCCGTCAAGAAAAAAGGAAAAAGAAAAGAACGGCTTCCCTCGATGTCTGGTGCCATCCACCTGTCCATCCCATCACAACCAACCTGGTCTCCAAGGCATTCCGTCTTGCCCTGTATACTGTTAACATCTTGATGTCACACTCGATTGAACCCCGAGAGTCTTGTGTCCCAGCCTGCGCCCCGTCGAATCTAGATG